ACTACAGATGACAACTGGAAAAGTTGTTGTACAGGGTTTGTCAACAATTGTAATTGTAACTCGCTTTCAAACCCTGCCAAATTCGAATTTTTATTTCGAAGGAGGGAAAAACTTGTTGGGAAACACCAGTAGCACTGACTGAACCAGTGACATCGCGGTATTTTGGCTAAGCTATCATCATGGGAATAAAGCAGTCTTTTGGTATCTAAATGGCAATCTGAATCCCATTAATAGCTGTCTTCTACTCTGCTCACCAACACCCACCATAAAATAGACGTAAAAAAGGTTATCCTCCTGGGCAATGAAACGAGGTAGTTTGGATGTCTGCAAGAAATTTCCATCTTAAAATGACTTAATAAAATCATTAATCTCACCACCACCATCTTTACTGCATAGGTTTGGGATTTGGCACTTGGCTGGTAGTAAAATCAAGTCTTTAATTTCACTCGAGCTTAAGAAGTAATTTGCTTAACCTTTGGTACAAAGGCTGAAAGTGAGTATGACGCCACCATTCACTTTCGGTTGTGTAGAAACAAGGAATTCAACTTACACGTAAAGCTGAATTAAAATTAAAGTGCTACTAGATCGTAAAAACTAAAGTGAAAAACAAGATAAACCAATTAAGCAATCCTTGTTTCTGTTACGAAAATGTATCAAAGGATGAGAATAAAAATTGGATCAGATTCTTACGTAGGAGAGTGGGTTCTTGAATTCCGTAAAAATTTACTTTACATTATGTGTACGTAAATATTATTTAAAAAATCGTTTAATTTCATTTATACGTTTTTTAAATATTTGCTTACCCTGATTTCTCGAGCAAGGAGGTTTAAAAGCGAAATAGGACTGTTATATGTATATAAAGCTAGAACCGTTGTCACGATTTTCCGACTCCACCCAACGATTAAAGTGATCCACTTTTTGCTAACGAGCTTCCTCTTAAACCAAAGGATCAGAAGGACAAGTTCTTAGTGGTGTACTAAGAATGGAGGTACTTAAGGGTGTCAACTATGTCACTTTTAAATCTAGTCAAAGATTCCTTGCTTGGGAAACCATGCCACCTGCCCCGACACACCTGTAATAACAACTTCGGTTAAAATATGTAGCATGTTTCGAGTAGATTCGTTTGCAGAAGGTAGTCCAAAAAACATAATTTGTAAAATAACCTTGCTCATTTACCTGGAGCAAGATTTTGTATCATAAATACTGCAGCTGAATATAATGTTTCAAACTCGGTCGAATTTAAAAGTCAAAAGACTCAAAGTCAAGAATCCTTGTGCCAGAGATTTGTGCTTTCCCCTCAATCCAATGATGTTAGTAGTGATCTGCCTTCACATCACTCCGTTATTTATACGCTCGTCCAAGTCTAACTCCATTTACCATAAAATGATGGATCTCTTTTTGAAACGGGGCTCAACTCCTGCAGAAGAAAGGAAGAAAGCCAAGCAGACTTTTAACTTGGATGAGAAAAGGAGAAAATCCCAGATTTTGTGGGATTTACAGTTTTCTCAATAGGACAACATTGCACAAAGTAGGCGGTTGACTTTGAGGTGTATTCAACAGTCAAAAAGGTGTTGAATATTGGATAAGGTAAAATAAAGACGGAAGAGCAGCAGACATATGTATGATTCGATTTTGTTTTTAATAAAAAATGCTAAGACATAAACTTGTGCACATCTCGTCATCTTATTTGCATGGACAGCACCATGCTTTAGTCAGTGCATGGAAAACAGCATTCTTTATATTAAAAGGAATAAACTTTTAAAGTGCAGATTTTGTAAAAAGTAGTACAGTTGGGAGTGAATGCAATGCAAATTAAGGTATCTTGAAAGCGACTTCAATTTGCTTTCACAGACTTGCAAATTCGTCCAATTAATCGAGGATTTTATCCGTGACATTTGCAACATTCTTGAAGACACTATTTTTAACTTATATACAAGCGGGTTATAGTCGAGATCCAATTTACAGATAATTTAGATAATTAGTTTTGTTAAAAACACATTTTAACTAGATCCTAAAAGACTTTCACTTTTAAGGAATGTTTTGTTGCAAGATTTTTGCGATAAGAGTAAAAAGTACAAGGACTTCAATTGTATATTTCTTAAAATTCTTGAAAAAGACGACAAGTCCAATCACCAAATGGACAATTTCTTGCAGAGTAGTTTCCTTGTTATTTGTACAGAGAAAAGTTGTTCCCCTGCTGCCACTAGTAGTCTCACTTTGACAATTTTGACTGATGAACTGGCAAAAGTCTGTTGAACAAACTTTTCACTCCTTTGTTAAATAAGGGAAATCTTTGACTAAAAGACCTTGCTCTTTTATTGTCCATGAGGATGAAGAGGGAGAAGAAAGAGAAAAGGGAGCCAGTCGAAAAATGAGAATAGGAAAGGAAGGGGATGCGATCGTATTTAAGGAACTGTGTGGGTGTGTGCTATGTTATTTCATTCTACTTCACATACACTTTTTGGAATATTTTGTTTTATTCAACTTTTCTTAAATTCCCAGAGAGTGACAGTTGCTAGACCATTAATAAAGGAACAGGAAAGGAACTGGAGTGGCCTAAACGGCTAATAAAAGCGCGAAGATGTCAGTAGAAACTGGCAGCAATGGAATGTAGCCGCTATTGCACATATTTTTTATGAATAATACTGGAATTGATTTCTACCACCATTCTGCATCGTATTGAAACTTGTCATTTTTTACATCTCGACATTGATTGTTTCAATTCTTACATATTTCTGTTGTGCGTACATTATTGGAATACTTTGAATTTTTCTTGACTGGGGAAGCTGGATTTATTGGAAGTTGAACTTGAAAACTGTAGATGGAATGTACAATGCAATTTTGTGTTTCTTCATGAAGTGGATGGAGCTGAGATTTGTCTACATACGGACATGATAATCCACTTTAGATTTGCTTGGTCCAGTACTTTTCACTGGATAAAGGACGAAATGGACAACTGCATGATATGCATCTGTACATATGTAGACAGATATACCTACATCGCATTTAGGCAAGTTGAAACCTTTCACAACCAATTTGATCCTTTCTGGTTCGATTGCATCTATTTAATCTCCAATTTCAAAATGTACATCTACCCTCGATTCCATGGTAAGTCCGGATCACGGTGTATGAACCACATGCGCATTTACTCATATTTGTTTGTATACGATATGATAAGCTGTTCTTAAAATATCGTGATCTTATATATGAGAAGTGTATCGCATTACGGATAAGCTCCACTGATGAATCTCTTCTTATCTGATTTATTAATAATGATGAAATGGAGGTAATGAAAAATGAAACAAAATACACCCCAAGCTCCTTGCCCTGTTGGGTAGCGAGATGTGATAAGATTACATAAGAGGGATTTTGAGAGGCAAAATTAATTCTTTTGGGAATTTTGGGGATGGACGTTGATGTTTTGGTTTTAGTCCAGTACACTGGGTACTAACTTTGGTAAGATGGTTATCTGCAGATTATTTTTTGGTCTGGGATTAGACGAATGAAAGAGCGAGAGAGATCAAACCGTGTTATGTTTCAGTTGCGATGCATTTTCCCAAATATGATATCAAGAGTGAGGAAAATATGTGGAAATACATACTTACTCTGATGAAAGGAGGGTGTAAGAAAGCCCATAAAATTTAGCTCCCGTGTGGGGAAAGTGCATTTAGCTTCCGAGATGAATTATTCTCATACTCGTCCACATTCTTCCTTAATACGTTGCAACATTATTCTCCATAAAATATTTTTGTGTGTTCTACAAGAAAACCAATTTGCTGTAGGTGCATGTGCACGAAAAAATATATAAAAAATCTATAAACCGAAGAAACTTTCTATAACCAGAATTAAAAGTACAAGATTATTTACAACAAAATGACAAAACAATTACAACCACAATTTACCATGTTCCCCTTTATAAAGCTAACAAAAAGGACACTACGCGTACTCAATCTACGTATGTATGTACGTATTATGTGCAACTTGCTATGACGACCAAATCGCGTTATGCAAGTATAACAAAAGGAATTGTATTTTCTCCCATCTCTTCATTCTTCCACTATGTGCGTACACATATCTGACTGACTGCCGGGTAGCACAGAAAACTGCGGCAGTCAAACTGAGAAACCAGCCAACTCTAAAGAAAGATGTCAAAGATGAGTGAACAGTTTGCGGACATTTAACTACAGCACTGGCAGCATCCGTGTTGGACACAATGTTGTAACTTTGTTTAATGGAGAAAGTTGCTTTCCACTGCCAAGCGAAACCTGCAACCTACATACATTACACAACAGCGACATAGAGCAGTAGGAAAGACTGATTAGATTAAACATCCTCCTGCGGTTGACATTTTCTTCTTCTTCTCGTCCTCCTGCAGCCAAGCTCGTGCCCAATTTCCAATCAATTTCTGAACCTCTGCTTTGTTTCGCGGCGGTTAACTTATCTTTGTTATATTAAGGGTTTGCGGTATTTATTGTCTATTTTCCAGGAGAAAGTCTCCTCCAAAGCATGCTCCAAGATTCTTTGTTCCTCTTCCTGATTTTGCTTTTGCTTAGGTTCACATTCTTTATCAAATTATGACCTAACTGCCATCGTCATCATTATTACCAGCGAGCAAGCCCAATCCAAAGTAAAGTTACTGATTCCAAGGTTGCGGTTAAGATTTCTTCCCTTAAAGCACGGAGAAATGTGCAGTAATTCCAAGTAGCAAAGATACTTGCAAATAAAGTTACCCCAACTTGGTCCCAATGATTCAATTACAATGGGCATTGCCAAGTCAAGCGAAAAACAGTGAAAGGATGAGCCCTTAGGTAAAATGATGTTAATAATAAACTTGAGAAGACGAATTTCTCAGTATCTACGCAATTTACACTGAATGCGCTTTTCCGTCTTAGTCTTTCGTCACAAATGATAAACTTTTGCACAATAAAATCAAGTAATAAAGTAATCCCCGAAAACCGCAGAGATTTCTGATCGTAATAAACTTTTTTGTTGATTTTCAGTAGGCGTGTTCCTCCTCCTCCCATCATCCACTTTGGCGGGACGACCACCACGCCTGATTGAGACCCCAGTGGACTCCATCGTCCCGAGAAATGAACCTGCAACCTTAAATTGCAAAACGGACGCATCACCAGCTGCACAGATAACCTGGCTGAAGGATGGAAAACCAATCAGAGCGGGTGGACTTCGCAACTTTCTCCCATCTGGGGCTCTATTCTTTTTAAGGGTAGGTTTTTTAAATTCATAATCTATAGGATCCTCTCTTGGGTGGTAGAAGTTGTGCGTTGTAGGATTGTACATACCTCTCTCTGATCATGCCGGGGTGGTTAATGAGATTTAGAGGAAATAAATCTGAAGGAGGAAAGAGGGGGCTGAATTGAATTCTCGCCATCTCCATAATAATATTTCATTTCATCCTCCACTGACTTTCTCCCAGCTTAACAGCAACACTCTACTTTGAACACTATCACATACGAACGTACGTACGTACCACGACTGCTTCCTTTCCACGCACGGTGTTCAGCTAACTCAATCACTGTATATCCACAACACCCACCCACTCACTATCAAGGCCACCTCCGACTACTTTCGTGCTTTTACTTTATTTATGCCCCAATATTTTTGGGAGTGTGCACGAATTGTCTGCTTTCAATCAATTTCTAATATGTCCCGATTCCACCATTATATCAGAAACTATTACAAATATGAGTTTAAGTGTAATCGTGGAAATTTCAAACGAGATTTCTGAATCTAATTCTGCTACCCTTTTCTGGTGTGTGTACGTTTGTCGGCAAGGATGCTTTAAATGGACCACCCTAACGTTGTCAATCTGATGCATGTTGCCATTCGTGTCCTCCTTCCTCTTGATCTTGCTGATGCAGTTGCATTTTAGTGCAGTTGCATCTGTTCCTTATTCTGAGTCCTCAGTTTATACCCACCCACTCTCCCTAATAGCTTTATCTGACACCGTGGAGAGCTACAAAGACGACTGCGGGTGTCTGTTCACAGATTTGGATTTAGTAGCTAGGAAAAGAACAAACATGGCATCACAGAATCGAGAACTTAATTCTTAGCCAGATTTATGTGTGTTCATTATGTCGTGATTCCCAATCCTGTCGCAAATCTGCCAAAAACTGGGAACAAAAGATTTTCAAATTGTAAATATGTATGTATGCACACATTGTACTTCTGCCTGGACAATCGGAGCAGCTTATTTAAAAAATGAGAATTTTCTAATTCGTATTGAAACTAGCCCAACTTTTTCAATCCATTTTTGATCTTTTCTTCAGTGGGGACAAAAGAAACGAGTGAAAAAAGACGACCATTATTTCCCACTTGAGTCTCACGTTGTATAAGCTTCATTCATTCTGAGGGGCACATCTGTGAATCCGATATTAAAAGTGAGAGACAGAGAGAGATTGGATGGGAAATGAAAGTTTAATGAAGAAAGCAGCCTCTCCGAAAGACGAGGGGACAACTTCTTCTTGTTCTCCTCCCCAAGAATAAGGAAGGAAAGTGGGAAGTGCGAGTGAGGAGAACGAAACAATTTATCTGGATTGAAGTTGGTGTGGAGAAGGAAGGACAAGAACATTACATTACATAACATTACTTGAAGAAGAAGAAGGCAAAGTGCTCTCTCTTTCTTTCCCTTTGCCCTCTGCTCTTCACTGCAAACTTTCTTATCTTTTGCTCCGACATCCGACAGAGGAAAATCCGGATTATGCTACTCAAAATAAAATAAACGGGGCTACGTGAAAATGCAAGAAAATTTAATGATAAATACTTTTATATGATTATTGCTGCTTTATTATTCCAGGTGCGGAGCAACGATTCCGGGGTTTATGCCTGCGTGGCCACAAATACGTTTGGAGAAGTTATCAGCAAAAACGCCAAACTTGATGTCGCAAGTAAGTTACTATTTTTGATGATTAGTAGTGGATTTCAATCTTAGAAATACGCACAAAGGTCGATACTTTCGCAAGGGAAGGTTAATTTTTTGTATTTTTTCGACACACCCTTGCTCAACAAAATCTCAAAAATTAAAAAAATAATCTAAAAAATTGGTTCGTATGCATATATGAATGAATCCTTCATCTTGAACCCTACGAGTGAAAGTAAATACACTGCCGATTCTAAAAAAACATATAGGGTACCCTGAACACGACGAGCAGTAGGGAGCCATCCCTTGCTACTATTTTGAGACCTGAAGATTGCAACACATACCATGCATACATCTTAAATATTTGAGAAAGTCGGCGGACTAGTTAGGAAATGGCATAAACTGTGGAAATCTCACCTTACAATGAGAAAGTCAGCCTTACTACTTACTATCTAGTATCTAGTAGGAGGATGTTGAAATAACCTTTGATCATGCTGTAAATATTTGCATAAATGTTTTCATTTACATACATCCGCCACTCTTATACATATATAACTTCAAGCAGTGTTTCCTACTTAATTCCGCTATCCAAAGTCAAGGTGTACAATCTCGAGTCGCTGCAGTTTTGGGAGAAAGTGACAATTGACTAATGGAACTGCTCCCCTCTTCTCGTCATCCATCATCTCCTGCATAATCTCCATTTAATTTCACATCACGAATATTTATTATCCAGAGATTTCATTTAATTACTCCTTCAACTCCTCCTAAAGCCTTATGCAAGACGAATATAATAATGTGTGTATGTCTGTCTGCTTTTGTGGAGTCACGTGATGATAATTTCACTATTTCACTCCAACTGGGAAAGGAAGGTTCCATAAATCTTCTGACTTTGTGGAGAAACAGACTGCATCCTTGTAAGTAACCACGACCAGGTTCAAGATCATGGCCAGTATATTTTAGTAAATACTAGTATTTTGCCACAGGAAATAGTTTCAGGAAAGATCCGTCATTTTGTGCTTAGAGACAGCTTCCACTTCTGTCTCATTTCTACCAACTGGGGTAAAACTAGTGTAAGAAACCCCATAAATAAGTAAACTTGAAAAGTTTACTTTCCAGAGGAACAGCAAATAACTGGAAAAGTGCAGTAAAGGAAGTTTAAGTGGTTTATAAAATATAAAACAGAATATTTCGAACCCCTGCAAGTAAAACGGACAGCAATTAAAGTTTTACTTTCTTTCTATGCAATGCACGATAGTACTTGGCCTAATAAACTCTCCAAAAATTTGGCATCCAAGTTATTACTGGTATGCAGATTAGTTTAGTTACAACAGGAAGCACAAATCCTGTCATTAATTAAACTTAGACATACATAGAACGAAAAAATGCACATTTTATGTGCAAACTCTAGTATTTTGCTTCATTGTCAACATGGCATCTTAGCGTTTACTTTTCTGGTCTGACTGAAATGAAACTTTGATCGACTCGGTTGCCTTGCAATAAGCACTCCGATCAATCCATCTCTCGGACACCGGAACTGATCCAAAACTTTGCCTTAGTCCCCCGTACTCTTATTCGGAGAAAGCACAGCGTTTACATGGAGAGGGTTCTAATAACAACTTGGCTGTGGCAGGGGTCACACTCGGGGTGAAGTTGACGGATGGGCAATTACGAATGAGTGATGGATGGATCACACAAAACCAACGAAAGCTAGCTGTTATATTCCATGGGGTGTGTTGGCTTCGTAGGTAGGACGACGAGTGGCAAGTGCTAACAATCTTTGCCTTCTGGCTACCACACGACGCCACGGTTAAAAAAAGCTTGTCCCGACTTTTACATTTTTTATATCACGACTGGTCTCGCGTCGTGTTGACTTATCAAAACATGTAATATTATCAAATATGCGCAAAAAATACATTTTTATTGTATTTCTGACAAAAATATATACATAAATTGGCTTATTGCGGGCATGATTTAATAAAAATCTGCCAAATTCAATATTCCGGATACTGATTAACCAAGTCCAAGAAGTTTAGTAAAGATTTGTAAGAAATGTGATAAAATCAACATCATGTACACTTCATAAATTCAATCATGTTATTTATTTTTATACCTTTTCGTGCTTGTTGGCCCTATCTGAATTTTACGACTGCTAGTCCAATTACCTGTTTGGTATATGTATTGGATATCAAAATTTAATTACAGGTTTCCTATCGAGTTCAACAACTTGCGAATGTGGTTCAGTATTTGAAGGAAGTGGGTGTAACTTTTCGAATGGAATTTAGTCCAGGCAAATCTAGTTTACTTTTCGATTGACGAGATGATTATACGCTGCCCACACAGAGAAATTTGTTGCCCATATAAATTATTAGTTGATGGTTGAATATGAATATAAATTCATTTCCAGTAAAACAGCATGGAATTATGGGCTGCGAATTCTGTGGGTGGATTTGCAAAAAGTCGACTAAAGTAAATACAAATTACTCTACATATGTATTTAATTCTGTGTAATGCATAGAAATTGCGTGCGCTTTAATAAGGAAATTGCGGATATAAAAATCAGGAAAATATTTACTACACTTTCCACTAGTGCATGTGGAGTGAAAGTATGTGTTTAATGCTTGACTATAGTAAAAGTTCAATATTCTCATCTACACAGATTTTATGTTTAGAAACTTATTAATTTAACTAAGCCAATCTAAAGCAACAAAGCTCATGTCAAAATAAAATAATCGCAGTTCTCAATTTCATAACTAAATAAAACCACCCAGCACACTTTACACATTGTTGAAAGGTAAAGTTGCAAATTACAAATCTATTCCCTAAATCTGCAACATTTAAAATTTCCTGTGCGCTTTGCTGGCAATCTTGGCAGATTACAGCTTTTATGTTAGCGTGTTGCGAAATATGTTTGCCATTTTCATATTGCCAGCCAGATGTGTTTTTCTACCCGTGATGGTGGGTTTGCAAAGATTTCTTATCCCCGACTTACCTACTTGTGTGTGTGCAAAGGAAACAGAGAATTGTTTCGCAACATGCGACGGTTTGAGGTTCGAATAAATAATCCATTTCTTCACTTCAAGTATTAAATTCTTATCGTGCCTACAAACTCAACAACAACTGGACCGACTGCTTGGTCAAACCTGAAACGTTGCATGGCAGAGTGGGGGCAGTACGAAGTCCTAAAAATTTGTACTGTAGTTGTGGTAAACGTAAAGTAAAGTAAAATAAATTGGGTAAAATAAGCAGCTTGTTCCCGATTTCTGAGTCTGAGTAGATCAAGTCTTTGTTTTACATATTTTACTTTCTGTTGCACAACTTTGGAAGCAAATCTTATGCTAGAAATTCTAATGCGGTTTATAATAAATGGTCTCCGGGCATTTCTAACAAGTATTTCATTGAAATTCGCTTGTGGGCAAATTTGATAATAAAACCAGAAAAAAATAAACACTAGTGGAAATAACACTTGGTTAGTGTTTGGGGCCCACAAAGAAAGCAATTCCACCAAAGGACAAAAAAATTATGCCGTGCTTAAAATATATTTAGTTGGCGGTAAGAATTAGTTCAGGAAACAGGTCGACAATCTGAAACCAAATCCAAGTGAGTAATAAATCATGAGGAGGAAATGATTTTAACGGACTGAGAGGGTATCCAAGTACAAACTACTACACAACTAATCCCACTACTTGAAACATTTTGGTTTCCTAAATTCAGAAACTTATGCCAGTTTCTATGCACACACACTGTGTTGAACTGCACATAAGTTTATCTAGCTTTTGTGGCTTGGTAGGAAGAATGGAATTGTACTCTTACGCAACCATGTACAAGTTTAGTTTCGTCCATATATTTATTAGCTATCTTCTGTTTTCTGTATATTAAGTATACAGATGACTTTCTCCTGGAAAGTCGTTGAGGTGGAGGATTAGGGAATTGCGATTGTCAGTAGCACTTGGTGCATACATTCACCCTTCTTGACTCACTTTCCACCACATGCATGAGGTTAATTCTGTTTGAACAGCTTTTAAGCTCGCCATTAACCCGTTATTAATATTGTTAATCTCTAATTATGGCACTGACAGCCAGTTAGGCTACATAGGAACCTTCCTATGCTATTATTACAAATACCTATATATTTTTGGTTTTCAAAAATATGCACGTATGTGCAAGACGCCACTGGACAATTTCTTATATGTATTTTGTCCTTATAAACTTAGCAAATATTAAACGTAGTAGTTATGTGTGTTATAAAATCAGCGAAGCCAGTAATTTCATCGCATGTTTCTTAGATTATCGTGTCCGAGCGTGACAGTATTATCGCAAACAACTTGTCACCGATAAGCTAGTTAGCATTTACTGTACCCTATAAAGATAAGCCACTTCCTTTGCCCAAACCAAGGACCGTAATCAAACATACCCATGAGAAAATGTGAGCCAAATTTAGCAATAAAGGCCAAGTCATGGTTTTGTCATTTATGCTTTCCATTTCTTTATTTTATTTCTTGGTTTAGTTGACTGGCAAATATTAGTACAAAATATTTCCTTCGTTAGCAAAAACTGCGACTCCTGTTATAAAATCATCCTGGCGACGGTGTGTAAATAGCTAAACACAAATCGGTCCCCACTCCCGGTAAAGAGAAATATTTATTGAGTGAGTTGTAAATAAATATGTTTACCGTATTAATTTAGTACAATAGTTAACATGCATAATACAATTTGGCAAATAGAAATTAAACCATAAACATGTTGTGACAAGTCTTAAATTGAGAATGAATTTCTTAATTTAAATAGCAAGAAAAACAATGATTTTAAGTGACTAATATATTAATTTATATTTGGACTTTATATTTCTCACTAATTTCTAACAATCGCCACTGAGCACTGTGACCCCGTACAAAGCTGCTGCTGCTGCAAGAATTGCAAGCATACTCCACAGAAGCCCCCAACACCTAGGCGTCCCACAAAACTCTTCTGCAAACATGACAGCATCAGATTTTCCTTGACTAGAATTATTGATGCTTTTGCAGAGGACATCGTGAATGCAATCGTATAAGGCGTGAAGGGTACAAATAGTTCCAATCGCAAGAATCGCCCATCGAAGTGGTTGTATTTTCATGTCAACGTACTCCTCCAGTACCCAAAGTGCGGCAGGTATCGCACCCACAGCGATCACAAGAAATCTCATCGCCATTCCAAAACAACACTTCATTCCGCAGAGTTTGGCTTGCTGTTCAAGAAAATGTAGATTTAAAAAACACGCCGAATAAGTAAAATAATGTTACCTACTTGAACATGAAGAACAAAAGCAGTCACAATACAAGCAACGATAAAAACTCCGGCAGCAATTTTTGTTGGCAAACGGTCCCACGTCATTAATATGAAGAAACTTCCCCATATCACGGAGCCGATATAACCTGCAGAGAGTGAAAACCATCGGGTTCCACCTCGACTGATTGTCACACCCCCAAAATTTTCGTTTACCTAAAAAAAATATTATTTGCATTCCTCAAACGTCCAGATTTTCATAGATTTAGTTAGAAATGTGGGTTTACCTCAATGGCAGTTACTTTTCCACATGTCGCCCATGTTGCTAACGCATGCGACAGCTCATGAAGGAAAACAGCCACCTATTTTAAATATTGGTTGACATTTTACCCCGCGCATTCTTATCTCTCGCTCATGAAACGACATCAAGCAATCATTCCAAAAGTAAATTTTATTGAAAAACGTTGTCAAATCCCTGCTCGTCCTCTTGATTTAAAATATTACGTCTTACTTTTATTTTATGTTGTTTTACCAATTTTATGGGTGCAAGTACTGCAGACCTCCACAGCACTCCTGTTATTAACGCCGTGGCACCGATCACAATGAAGGCTTCAGTTTGAGTCGTGTTGCAACAGCACATTCCGTGCTTGTTGTAGTTTAGTCTAAACTCGAGGATGCTCATGTTTTTATCAGGAACTTTAATATCACAAGAACTATGTGGAAACTATGGCACTTGATTTAATAATAATTAAAATTTTATCACTGGCATATTATAATACGCCGTTTGTTCTTTTTCCACTTGTGCCCCCCAAAAAAGTAGAATTTATAGTTATTGCTTTGTCTTTGTTAAATTGTTATTTAGTATTTCAACTGGTCTAAAATGGCTGATTTCTAACCGTGCAATAATGTAAATGTTGGGTTGATAATAATTTCAAGTGTTTGTTCAATATCTGACGTTGACTAATACTTACTGCAAGCCATATAATTATTATTCCATTCATACCACCAAGGTCTTACTCATAATATAAACTGTCACAAATGGCTATGGCAGTTATTATCTAATCTCTTGTTGCAATTCACTTGGTTCCGAGTTTTACCTTACTAATATTTGTACGAGTATGTACATGTACCTTCTCGTGTGTGTGTTAAACTTGTATTACGTGCAAGTAACAGTGATGAATGTGATGATGATCTCATCACACCTCAAAATAAATTCATTTACTCACAAAAATTGTATTTGTAGAAAAGTGTGAATTGCTAATTTGTCAGAGCTCTAAATTGAATTGTCAGACAAATACAGCTGACTCTAAGAACTAAAACATTAGCAAAATGTGTAGTTAAATAAGTAAGGAAGTTTGAGTTTCTATTCACCGGTTGACGTATGCACGTAACATAACTGTGTAGAAATTGCTGATGCTTTTGCTTGGTGCAATACTGATTACCAGTATCGTAGTTGGTATCATATCATGATACCAACGATCATGTAAATGTGAGATGTGATGTGAGACATTGAGTAACCTATTTTCCTTGCCAATATTCGCACTCTTATCCGGCTATTTGTAGAGTTAGCATTTCCGCATCAATCTTTGTGCGTGCAAATGTATATAATAGAATGCATGTATTTTCATAGCAGTATATCAGTTACCCATCATAATATGTTAGTTTGGGAGGAAGCAAAGTGTGTCATTGCATTCGCGTCATAATTGTCTACATAAATGTCTATGCAATGATAAAGATAGCAAAACCAGAAATCTAGAACTCCTTTGAGAATGTTACATACGCAAACAAACCACCCACGCAGACAGTCACGCACTATCGTCCCAACTCCCAATATTACCAAATATAGATTACGAGTTATTTCTGCAATTTTTGATGTTTCAATGTAATATGTATGATATAAATAAATGTATTATTAATTAACTTGTTCGGAATGGTTTAAATAAAACTAGTTTCCCCGTAATTAAACCGCTACAAAAATATAAAATTTCCAACTAAACTAAAGCTGTTTTCACCACAAAAACATGTATCCAACAATGTACAATCTAATTACACTTCATCCAGCAAGACCAGCCCAACATTGTTTGAAATTGTATGCCTCGAAAACGTGACGGGATTTTAAACCAGGAGTTAGCTTTGTCCTTCAGCTCTCTTTTGCCATCGTATTCGGATAAGGTTCAGCCTTCTCCTCGTTTACAGGAAATTAATCCAGTGGCGTTTTGGCATGTATGCATGGAGGGAGAGAAGAACAAATCAGTATTCAGACCAACCGGTCTCGTAACTAAACACAACTTGAATAAACACGGTCGAAGTTCAGGACATCATATACACAACCAAGTCCGCTAATCCCCTCTCATTCCAAAACTGGAAACAAATATTGGTGGATTTCGCTCAGAATTTTAATTCTTCGACGAACGAATTTAATTCAAAAACTTAGCTTCAGCAGTTAACTTTTAGCTAGGAACACGGCCAATATAGGATTGTAAGTGTGTGTGTCTGGGGTTTCAAATCAATATTAGAGTAACTAACTATGTATGTAGGTCTTGTTAGTTGCCGGAGCTGATTCAACAGCAAAATGTCAAACATTGATATTCAATTCTACTTTGCAGGTTTTTGCATTGATGGGTTGCAGAAACTTTAATGGCATACTTATTAGTAGATTGGTGTCTCCGCGAAACTGGGACACTTTTGCTATTACTTATTTTGAGAACGTAATTTGATTACCCGATGAGATGAATGTAGGTAGTAATGCACAGTAGCTTTACCAGATTGGCAAAATTCAAAGGTCGATACGTTTGTTTGGATGAAAATAGGAAATTGGTTGTCAACCCATTCTGTGATTTACTCACAGATTGCAAAATTCCACCCATAGCCTTGTAAATGTGCAAGGTACACATCGCCATGAAAAATGGATTCTATTACTTCATTTCATCGATCTAGGAAAATTAAGCTGTGTAAATGGTGTTAAAACTTAGATTGACACGTTACATTACTGCAATATTTTCAGTATTTTGCAGAAAGTGGATGAGTGTAATGGAAGTATATATACACGGGACGGAGGTGAGGTTTAGCAAGTGGACAGAAGTCCAAGAGAGCAGACAAGAAAAGGCCAAATCTTTAAGTATCTAATAAAATGGGTTTTGTGTGGAAAAGTTATTCCAGAGTCAAAAGGAACATTTAGACATTTCACCTCCATTTCTAAATACGCAAAAGTCCTAAAATACATTTCATGGACAGAAAAGTTTCAAATTCTTCAAAAAAAAATAAACTTGTATATCGCAAGTTTATTCGCAAGTTTCATGTTGCCTCCACAGGCTTTCAAATCATTCCGTACGTGAAGGTGCTTTAGATGTGGTCATCACAGGAAGAAATATTGGCAATCTTTAGGACATTTATTGTGATTCCTGACACCCACGGAAATGGGAAATTTCTTCAAGAATTACGTCCCCTTCCTTACATCCTCGCACCCACCTCTTCGTTCGTCGTACTATGTCCTCCCAACCCAGTAACCACTGCCACGCGTAACCAGCAGTGCAGTAGTCGGCTGCTACCAAATGAACGGGAAATTTAATTCCCATTCCCAATTTTAATCACGACACGATAACATCCAACGTCCCTCGCAATCACTTCCCCCTCTTCTGACTTACCTTTCCCTCCCTCTCTCTCATGCCCAACTGCATCGTGAACATTCATCTGCATAGTGAACATTCTTTCTCAAACCAAGGTGCTTGATTCAAATCTAAATGTATTTCAAATTACTGAAAATTGGTATTGAAGATAAAGTTTGAATTATCAAATTGTATTTTATTTCAATAGAAGCTTATTATTTTTTACTTTTACAAGAAATACAATTGTACAACAAGAAATTTTTGGGTAAAAGTCACAGGTACTTTTTGTTAAATGTACGACGTGATAATTCAAGGGTATCATTGGTAAGGCATTTCTGCTACATTTGTTATCGTATTTTACAAAATAAAAAAGCAACCCCACATTTGTAAGAACAAAATAGGGGCCAGCTCATCAATGTGATTTTAACTAATGGCTTCTGAACATGAACACTTCACATTGCCCTCGCTCGCCCTTTGTTGCTGTTGTGTGTTGTGTTTCGTTAAATATGAATAAACTCGGACGAGTCCAAAGGTTACCTCAGCTTTATCGGTGTTAACTTAACCCGATGAAATATCGGAGAAACCAGCAATAAATCGTAAACCACATCATCACCACCAGCAGGTCGTCCTTCCCAAGTTATTACTTTGAGATAAGCACCCAACTACCCACCATCTGATTAATGGTGATAAGCTAGCCAACCGGGTAGTCCGGCCCAAAATGCTGCACGGTGCATACGTATTTATAATGCACATATGTATACGTACATATGCAATGTCCGCATGTAATGTAATCTGCTAACCGAATGGAGTGTGTGTCACATTAGTCGGCAGTTCGCTAGCAGAGTAATAAGAAATAAGATGTTTAAAAATTCATGATGAAATTCAAGAACACACTCATGTAACCCCTCGATTTTTTCGGAAAACCTTCAACACTGTTCTCATGCACAGAAAAGGAGGAACCTACGAGTAGTTGTAGAATAATCTGCGTATGTGTAAGTACTAGTGATGTAAATAATTTGAATAAAAATCACTCCAATTCTGCCTTTCCTTATAATTACAAACAATCACGTGAATGCAAATGAAACTGCTTTCTCCTTGATGCATATCTCCCTTTCCAACCTTTCTTTAATTGTCTTTGCCCTGTTGGAAATAATAGCGGGGAGCTAATCACCTGCGAAACAAAATTATTGGTGATTTATTAACAATTTATTACATTTATGGTGACATTTACTCCCATTATATATCTAACAACGAACTACAAGGTAATTAAGGTGGACTTGAGTGAAATTAACAAAATTATTGATTTTGTGATCAATCCACAATTTTAAACCCATTTTTGTTTCTACAATTCCGAAACCCTATGATCCGAAACGTTTTTGAACTTTCTCGTTAGCCAACGATATCATAGAGTTCCACCCCGAGTATCACTCATTTCTTCGGTTGAATGACTACTCTCGGAGCTAAATCCATCCAACTCCATGTTTCGTTCAGAGTTCTTCTTGGGAAAAAACTAGGGAACGATTCCCTTCGCCCAGTCATTACCCGGATTCCAGTGTCTCTACTAATTGACACATTTTTCATCCTTCTCATTCCAGCCCAGGCCACTTGACATGGAAGATGAGTCCCCTCCATCACCAAGAAAGTGATGAAGGGAAGCATTCACATCTTCTTGTCTCAAATTCTCCCGCTTTCTCCATCGTTATTACAAATTACTTCCTCGAAACTCTCTTTTTCTCCTGTTACATGCCCTTGCAAATACGTACGCATACGGGAAGAGCGAGAAAAATGGGGAAGCATGGTGGCACCAGAAGAGAAGGGCGAATTGAGCATCCTGCAATTTCCTTGACATCGACAAGTGCCCCTCATTTTTTATCGAGTTCAGCTTAAAGGAATGAGAACTAATAATAGAATCAAGTATTTCTAAAGAATTTTTGGGTAATTGGTGGACAAGTGCGTACGTGGTGGGGATGAAATGAATGAATAACACATAGAATACATACACATATGCTCGAATTTACTTATCTGTCGTTGTTGTTTCTACCCGAAGAGATGCATAAATTGTGCTAGTGTTCAAACGATGAAGCGGAGTAGACTTAAACTTAAAATTTCTACAATGAAAGCTGTTATAGGATTTGAGAGAGTTAATTAATCCCTCTTCACTTTATTGGATTTGTTAATTACATTTTGGGCAAGAGATGAAAATGAATACAAATACTGCATTCGCTGAAATTGTTTTAAAGCCCCACCAGTTGAAAGCTTTATTAGTGTAGTTCAAAGTCTTAAAATTTCCTTGAATAGTCCATTGACGACTAAATTCACTAGTGAAAAGAACGTTGCCGAGCATTTGAATTATTAACAGATACCTTTATTTCTCATAACAAGGTGTAAATCTTACATTTTAATACTTTAAATCGCATATAATCAATCAATCAGTACAATATCGCACATTAAATCCGATAATAATAAATGCAACAAGAATAAAGTCGTGGTTAAAATTAAACAGATTTAAAGCTTAGCATAGACCGACACAGGGCGAAAAATCCTTTGATGTTTGCCTCACATAATGGTAATGGAATTAGGAAATTTCCTTCACCCACCGACTTACTACTTTTTCTCCCTTCCTTCTCCTCGCTCGAACTTTTTCGGCATTCGAGATTGCCATCTAAAACTTTGTGAAATCCAGACCAGATGCAAAGCCAGGCTAATTTGTAAAATGATAGACAAACTCGTCCCCTCCCGATGACAAATCAACCGAGCAAATAACTACCTGTCCCTGTTTCCTTCTTCCGTCTGTCCCGAAAAAATAGGCACAAGGTAAATCAGCTCCAACGTACACATTTGGTTTCGTTGGTTGTTTGGTTTGTCCCCAACTTTTCTTTGAATCGGTTCTCAACTGTGGAACGTATCGTTTGAATGAACATTTTCATCCACAACTACTTATTTAAATATATTTATCCTGAGAACTCAGCTCAGTCAGTCAGTTCCGATCCAAGTTTGGCTTTGACATTGACATTGACTGTGACTGATTTCCAAACCGACGAGTTTTGAGTTGAATGACTTAATTTAATTTAATCATTACTTTTCATCCATGGTTGAATTCGAATGGTTCAGGTTACTTTTAAATTTAGTTGTTAGTCGGTCGTAGCACAAGTACTGAATGACCAAGAACTGATTGAACAACTTTTCCATTTAAATATTATTGGTTCACTAGTCACAGCGGAGGCAGCGAATTTCTTACCTGATTCAGTGTCAGATCAGTTTCTTCGTATAAATTGCATGTTTCTTATAGAAAGGAGGAAACGATTGAAAGAAAATTCGTTTAATCTATTCATCAGACAATTGGATTAAATTAATCTAGTCATATTTATTAAAGGCCATATATGCTCACAATGATATAAAGTTTCCTAATACATTTAATTTAATTGTCATCTTTGTGCAACAGATGTGTGGTTTGCTGGATTAAAATTACTTAAATAAAAAGTAATTGCGTGTTACACAATGTAGAAAGAACCACGTACATATGCACATTTAGAGTCACTGGGATGTGATGGCATAATGAAATTTATTAGCTTTTATCCTCATCTTCCCCGTTTTATAATTACACTTTTCTTTACGCGTTCTCACATCCTTCCTTCCTTTCAGCATGACTACCAAGTAAAAACACTCTATCAAAACAGATGGAAATACAATCATAATTTAACAAAATAACCACACGTGTATAATTTCTAGAGATTTATTTTTACTAAAAAATAAGTAAGTATGCACATATTTACGTCTTTTTTCAGAATGTTTTTTTTTTTCAGAAATTCCATTGTATGTACAAACACTTCTTCCTTTCTTTAAAAAAATGTCATTTTCCTGGAGACTGATTTATTCCTCCCAATCACCATTTGTCTAACGATGATAACAGCCCTGGCGCCTACGTCTTTGAAATTTGAATGTACTTTCACTTATGGAAAGATCCCTCGTTTTATTTTCGTCTTTTATTTATTCCATCATTCGCTTCCTGAATTTTAATTTTGAAGAAATTCCCCTTTCTTTAAAAAAATAAAAGTTTCTAAGACAACTCTAAAGAGGACCAACCAAAGTCAACGCAACACACCGTGAAATTACCTTTTGCTTCACAAAAGCAATGTAAATTGCAATAAAGCAGGGCTATGCTCAACGTGTGTCAATGTCAGATAAAAATGGTGCGGCCTCCAGCAATGTGTTATTATCGGAGCTCATTTTCAAGTGTTAATAAATCGAGAAGGGAAAGAAGGAATGATGGCCTTTAATAAGCGTGATGGATTGCCCATAATGCGTTGGCTTGTACTACTTTCACCCCCAAGAATATTAAGAGGGTGCGAGTTTAATTCGATCCAAAGTTACATTTCAGCCGGGTTTTACTCCTGAGAATGGTTTGACATGCATCTATCCTGCCACATTGAGCTCATTGTAAAATATGACGGGTTATATGTGGCAGTTGAACCCTGGCCATGTATTTATTAAGTTGCAAACTCGATAAGGAGCGCTTGGGATAAAATGAGACGGGTGGAGCAGGAAGGTAGTGACTGCTGGCGTAGGGAAAGCTGGTCCACGGGTGTTACTGGCAGGGCCCGATTTTCTAAAATTGATCGCCACTGGACGTAGCGGGTGTATGTAAGTATTAAATATGCCCATGTGACAGGTTATATATTTAGATGCACATAATATATGTACAACTTTCTCCGACAACCAACTTATGATATCTTGGTTTATGATCGTACAATAATTAAACACTTTTGATCGTGCATTCCAAAGCCGAAATAAAGTGTAGTGGTCAAATTAATAAATGAGATGCAATTATTTACATAATTTACAACCCCTCGTGCCTTTTCTCCATGAGTGCATTTTGTAGAGGAATGAATTCAATATCCCGTGAGACCAAGTGCAGCAGAACTGTGTTTATTTGGACAATAAAATTAATTGGGTGTGCTGCATAGAATATTATTATGCACCGTAATGTTGCACTTACCATGTTTAAAGAAATCTATATTTGTCGAGTTATCGAGTAGTTGATAAGCTCAATTTATTTAAATTTCCCAAAGGTGGCAAAATTCACTAAATGTATGCTTTATTTCATTTTACAGCATTGCAAACAGAGTTCAAAACGTCCCCTCAAAATGCGTGGGTGGCTCAAGGAGACAATGCAGTAATGGAATGCGATCCACCACGAGGAAATCCTGAGCCTAAAGTTGTCTGGAAGAAGAACGGAAATGTTATCGATATTAAATCCAATGAGTAAGTGCATTGAAATGATGCAACAAATCAATAGCATAATCATGATCAATCATAATATAAATACTTGCATCGTTATTTATAATTTCATAAATTGCACAATATTCAATATCTACACCGCACTGGGAGAAAGTCTCACGTTGCTAGAGTGGTCTGTGGTTGATCCATTTACACCTGCTGTGTTTTAGCGAACCACATCCATCTTCACTTGAATTCTCGTTTTCTACTCAACTTGTATCTCCGGTACAAAACCAAAGATTAGACTCCTCAACTTTGGGCAACTTTTCCCTGGAGAAAGTTCACACCACAGCGCAGCATGTTGAGCTGAATCACAATTCCTTGAGAGTAGAGTGCACTTTGCATTTTTAGACATTTTTTCTCAAAAAACCAGAAACTATCAATTTTTATACTTTTAAAGTTTTAGTCCATGTACAATGGCTAGAATTATGCATTTGAAATTATGAAAACTCGTGTTTCACATGCGATTCTACGTATTTACATCCCTGCGCACGGTTAAAACTAACAAACACCACACCAAATTACCTCTTTTGCCTGGTTCAGTTAGTCGTCGGAGGGTAGTGTTTGCGAATGAATATATAAATGTGGGGAGAAACCGAGGTAGATTCGATTCATGTTCATAATAGTAACTCCTTGCTACCTTATTACCTGCTACGCCTACGTAGCTCGTCGTCGACAATGCGTGTTTGTACTTCCACGCGGTGCTGAGTTGTTGAGTCGTTTCGCTGTTGCATGCATGAATTGATGCCCGAGCTCAGTTGGTAGTTCCGGATTTCGTATTTCGGATTTTTGGATAGCTCTCCAGGGAGCTCGCTGCATCCAAACTATGTTCTCTGGCAAACAAACAACGCCGAAATCATACTGAATTGCGGAAAAAGGAATGCGATTTATGTGGTAGCAGAAACTATGATAACGTAATTATAACTAGCATTTAGCTTTGAAAGTAGATTCGAGCGAAATTTATTTGTAAAATATAAAACCGTATGTTCCAAAGTAATCCAAAATTTTATTTCTATTTAGAAGAGTTGTGCAGACACTATTTTATGTAAATTGAGGTGGAAAGTACGGATATTTTCAGTCCCATGCGAAGGGGGATATTCTAACTGGAAACATGATGGAGGAAACTCCAATTTTTCATCATTATTATTGACACTCACACCTTGAACGAACAGGGTCAAAGTCAACATTTGCTTTCACTGCAAGTGATTTATATAAATGAGTGATGGCACAGGGAAGAGATTTTTTATATGCTTAACTATAGACACACACACTCAATACCAATGCTTGTGGCATTGATGCGTTTGTTTGTTTGCATATTGTACCGTTCACAACTATATACTTTTCATCGACATATTTAAATTGAATTTTTCCACAATTTGTTATGCACCTTTCATGCGTTGTTTTTGTTTGTAGACGATACACCCTTCTTGGTCCTGGGAGTCTCAGCATATCCGAAGTGCGACAATCTGATGAAGGAAAATACGTCTGCACGGCGAAGGTCAGTTTACCTACTTTATTTACTGAAAATATGTTGATACTTATTACAAAAATCCTAATTTGTAATACAAAATTATTTTCGTTCTAAATTTCTGTCCACCTACTTGATCGTCCTTGGTACTACGAAGAATATTGTTGGTAGCCGACAAAGTACAACTGCCTTGTTACGGGTTACAAGTAAGTCGCTGCCTTTACTTAATATCTACTTGTCTTGGTCAGCAGTTTCCTGGCCACCACGTGCCACCCCCGAGGCTTACATAAGTATCCAGGTGACAATTAGCAATGGTTCTTGGGAGAATTCAATTATTTATTGGGTTGGTCGAATTGAATGTGAAAGCATTCTAGGTGACCACCTACAACCAAAACCCATTTGTTCCCTTCCAAAAGAGAGAAAATAGAGTTCCGACTCAAGGCTTGCAGAATCTGAAATTAATTGACGTCTTTGCTCCCGATCAGGAAACAGGGTTTCACATGAAAGTATCCATTAATACATGAAGGCTAATATAAAATTATTTACCTCCATAAGGTCAACTATAGTAAACTTATTAATACATACATACAAGCATTTTACGTATATTTAGTACACCAGAATTTTTTTATTTTATAAACTTGCACTGATCTCCAAAAAATCTTTGGATTTTCAGTTTTTTGTAAATATGGAACCCTGTGACTAGATCAGTACACAATTACTCACCAACTTGCTTACTTTTGTGGCTGTGATTCACGTGCCAAAAAACCACCCAAAGACATTCATTTATTCGCTAGACTGCTTTCTAGTTTTGCTTCCAACGCAAAAAAAATCCAGGTTTTTTGGCATTGTCTTGTCCTGCTTCGTTTCGCATCAAGAAGTGAAAGTACCTTTGATTCGGCTGATGGTAGTAGAGCAAATAATTCTTAGCAGACCGTCGTTGGGAGTAGGAAGGCGGCTCACAAAAAGAAAGTGGTGCTCTTTGTTTGCAAACAGATATAGAAGAATGAAGGAAACTATATGGCAGGACTTTACTGATGTCGCCACGACGATATATTCTAATCTATAGAGGAATACAATCCAATTACTATATTTAGCTTGAGGTACATACATATTTATTAAATTAGCAACCATGTTTGCTTTCGGTTTCGTAATAGGCAAAAATACAAGATTTACAGCGGCACAGAATTTATTTTGGCAGAAAAGTTTATCTATCAGTCTTCATCATCACCTCATTCATTTCCACGAATGAATAAAAACCCCGAAGCCAGCATAATGGTGGCGGTGGTGATTGAATTCGTACTTTTATTAAAGTTCCACGAATCGACGACCTGAATAAAAGTTGACACTTTCTCTACTTTCTATCCACCGTGGGAGTGAATGCGTATGTATTTGAACTCAAAGGAGATCCAATTTATCGATAAATTTCTTTTCACATTACGTTCCATGAAAATCAATTATTTTTCCCCATTCCTCAATTTTCTCCCTGCTCTAATAATTCTTAGCATTAGTCGTTCGCTAATTAGAAGTGTGCATTCGGGAAGACTTTTCTTGGCCCCATAATTAAGATCAAATCTTTCCAATACTCAAATTGTAGTCAAGGTGCAAATTACGCGTTCCAATATATCCGAAAATACCCTAAAATACCCACTTTGATACCGTCAACCGTATGCATACAAAAACCACTTTAATAAACTATGCCTTCGTATACCTATCTAAGAGTGTAATTAATTATTCCTTTCTCTAATCACAAGGAAAGTTTGGTTTTCATTCCCAGAGTGTCCAGAGTGAATTTCGCTGTTTTCTTTTTCAGACTTGTCAATCACTTTCACCACCACTCCAACCATTCTCTTTTCTTCTTGTTCTTACGTATTGTAGATTATCGCAAAAATTATCGTGTCGCATTAATTTAAATCGATTTTGCCATCATATCAACCTCTTTTGAGTAGCATTCTCCATTAACTACGTAGATGTTATATTTGGCTCTTGATGGTTGTTTTCTAGCTCATTCTTTTTTAACGCCACCTCCTCAGTTCCTCCAGATAATGATCATAATCGATCTATTTGTACGATGTTGGGAACACTTGTAGTTGGTCCTACCTGTCAAAAATAATCATTAAAAGCAATTTCTTCTATCTCTCCATATTGTCAATTTATTTTTGCATGGGTTCAATTTTTTCCAAACTTTTTAGTACATTGAAGTGAAATTGTGCCACATTTCACCTGATAATGAATCAGACTTTTGATACTTATTAGTGTGATAAGACTTTTGACGAGTGACAATTTGGGTGAAATGAGATGACAGCTTTCATTTTTGGAAAGCAAGTAACGAATGCCAACCACTTTTCGGTAATTACCTGCTCCTACATATATGCGTGCTTTACTATCAACCAAATTTATTCTAGTGTGTATCATGTGGTAGATGGTATTGGTATTTGGTATGGTATCACTCTTTAGTGCATTTCCATGGAGTAAATTGTATTATATGTAGTGTCTAAAAGTGTGTATATATAGAGTATGCATTACATACTTATTAATTCAATTCAGTCCACGGAAACACACTAAAGAGTCTGGAATCTTGGCATGGTATGCACACCTTTAAATAGTATGGTTGCATTATATGTACACAGTAAAAGAAGGCTGATTCTGTCTGATTTATTTCTCACGTGTTGGAAAGACCCATCCCCAAATCGAAAAGTTATTTTATTGAAAACCCTTTTGTGTTTGTGGTGTGTTGCTACCTTGTAAAAAATGTTGAATCATGTCATGCAAAATGTAGTTCCAGTAAATCACGCGATTTGGTATTTTTATGAAAAATGTTACCTAATAATCTGTCATCAATTTCGGTTTCATAGAATATATTAGACATGCACATATATGCACACACATATGTACATACTCATCCGTGAAAGATACATTTTTATAGATATTATTTTTTTGGTTACTGAATTGCTAATTTGTTAACATAATAACTTTTAATATTTTCAAGAGCAATGTATTTACAATATTTTCAAAATTCAGTGTTATATGTACATATGCAGAAATTGTGTATTATGGACAAAATACATACGCATTGGTGATGTGGTTTACTGAGTTTATTGGATAGTGGTCGTGGGATTTATTAACCCTTTCCTCCCATTCCAATGCTTCTCATTTTCCAGGACAATCAATCACTCTCGCTCATTCAACCCACTCACCACAGAGAAATCTTACATAGTACACATTTCCTTTCTCTCCTTCCTATTCAGTAAAACACGGTAGGAAAGAATGGATTTCTGCTTCAGCACAACTCTAGGTATCTGGAATGGTGTATTTTCCTCTGCATGTGTGTAGTTCATGTTATGTTTGGTTAATAATAATGGGGCATGAAAAAGTACATCCAGGTTTAACAAGTACAGCGTGGAACATACATGACAAGAACATGACAATGAATTTTTCGGAGAGAAGAGAATAGTGAAAGTGAAAGCAACGGGGTGAAAGCTACGTTCACTACCATGCAAAGAAAAATAATACCGCCTACATGCGAAAACTTGCCTATACAATTGAAAAATATTGGAGAATTTGGATGGTTTTTACTTTTATCTAGAAAGACATGAAATTATCACTGTGATTTAGGTTCAACCGTTTTCATGTAGCTGCGATTTAATTTCCAATTGGGACATACTTATTTATTTGTAAATTGTATTAAATCAATTTTCGCAACTAGATTTTGTAGTAAATTTTGCAGTTCACATTAAATTCTAAAAAGAATGTCGATGCCTGGAATTTTTCAACCATCCAAATAACTCCAGTTGAGGACACTTCACAAGTACTTCTTTAGTTGGTTGCAACCACACCTTTTCCAGCTTCATGACAATTGACTTGACACTTTCCTGGCCCAATTGAACCACTCTTTCACGTTCCGTTGAGTTGTCCGTCTCACAACTTTCGACGACACATACACAACAGTTGTACACAGTCAGGCATGGTTTTGACATGCATTGTTGTCATTTCCTTATAGTTCCAAAATTTTGCCATGCTTCAGTTTTTTTCAATTCATCCCAAGCCTATAGAGCTACTTTGTTCATATCAACCTGATATCCCCTCAACTTGGGCCGTGGATGGAGCTATTTAAGAATAGCCAAGAACTAAAATTCTCAATTTTGTCAATTTTAAAGTTGATAAAAATATATTCACTTTTTTAAATAATAGTTCGACCAGAGTTTACGATCCGTCCTGGAAATACGTCTGGTAGGTCTTTTCGTTTGTATTTTCCATATTGTGGGAGAAATAATAAAATAGTGGAAGACCAGTTAGTAAAAAGCAATACAGAATGTCGTCGTAAGAGTGCTTGAGGCTTAATCAAGAGGTTCCCTGTGACATTCATATTTTTGCCATGATTTGTCATACTAACTGGTCAGCAAATTCGCCAATTCCCACAATATCGACGTTCACATCTCTCTAAGAACAATATTTGATACCAGATTGTTTTAAATTCATACATTCTCGCAGCACTCTTGGGTGGAGACGTTTCCCTCTCCTGCGTTGCAAGGGGCGATCCTCCAGCTGAAATAATTTGGAGAAAGGTGGAAGGACCACTCCCCCTCAAACGGGTTCATTTTGATGAAGAACGTTTGCTCATTTCTAACGTGTCCTACACAGACAGTGGGATCTACAATTGCGTTGCGGGTAACTTCTAATTTTTAGCCGTCGGTATATTTTGGACAGAAGAGCTTTAGCTAACTTGCTTTTCATTTTATACGCAGAAAACAAGGCTGGATCAGTAATATCATCAGCATCAATAAATGTTCTTCGTAAGTATATGTATTAATGATGAGAAAACTCAGGAAATCAGAAAATGTACATAATACATAATAATTATGAAATTTTAATCCAATTAAGCTCTCCCAAAGCTGACCATGACCCCAACCGACGTTGAAATTCAACCGAATGCTACAGCATATTTTGGTTGCGAGGCCACCAGCCACGGATATGATGTCATCATATTTTGGATGAAGGAAGGTGGTCACACACTGATATTTCAAGGTAGCAGACAGGATGGGTTGCAAGTAACGCCACAGGGAACTTTGCAGGTAAAGTTGATGCATATTTTTGTGAGGATATGAATACAAAATATGTGTATTTCTTTCACAATGTAATTTTACTATATTTTTAAAAATTGATTATTCTTATAGATTGACAACATAACTGAACGAGATGAAGGGTACTACTTTTGTGCAGCAGTGAGTCCTGCTGGTTCCATCATTCATCGTGTTCATCTTAAGGTAAATTAAAACTCATATTGCTTAATTGAATTTCTCCAGTTGATGGGTTTAGTTGTCGAAAACTTGAGGTTCTCATGATCATCAATAATCATTAGCTTCCAACAATTAACTTCATTCCTTGATCGTCTCAAACTATCTCATTAGTATTGACACTTTGTAACTTTTGGGCATCTTAATTATCAGTTAGCCCCAAGTTTGCATCTTCAATATTGTCACCTCATATAGGTCACCCCCGTGGAAGAGCTGCCTCCCCCCATTGTGCTGATGGGTCCAGCTAATCAAACCCGTCCCGTGGGTGCTGTGGCTGTCTTGCCATGTATTGCCATATCAAATGCTGGTCCGCAACCGGTAATAACCTGGTACAAGGATGGAAATTCGTTCCTTCTGGGCCACCGCATATTTACCGATGACGCAGGAACCCTTCGGATAAATGGTGAGTGAGTCGGATAAGGCAGAGATTTCAAAGATTTTCCATATTTGCATACTCGCGCAATACGGACCAAAGTAATTCAGTCGGACAGTTCAGAGTTTGGACAAGTACACGGAAGTTTACTTACAGAGTTCAGAGTGAAGTTAGTTGAGGCGTAAGATTCCACTTACTGTAATGAGATTACGTTGTTAGGTTAGGTCCACACTTCTGCTTCCATCCTCCGATCCGATATTTGTCGACTATCAGTTCTATCTCGTGCTCAAAGTTTGCAAGAATTCAAGTCAATTTGAGATAAACTCGTCAACCGTGTCTCATCTCATCCTAAAATTTACAACTTAACAATGTACGTTTGCTCGAATCTGAAAATCTGATAGTCTTGTGACCCCCTTGAATATAAATACAACGAGTTTTTGAAATATAAAAATTTTGAATACAAAGTTTGGAAAAAATGGTCCTTACCGTAAGTTGATAAAGTATGCAATGTAACATTGCAGCAGCACATAGGTACATACTATATATACCTAAATGGGTACGTAGGTACGTTCATTTCAAGATTTGGTATGCATTGTAGACCTTCAAGGAAGAGACAGTTTTGTTCTTTTTCAAGAGAAAGTGAGATTGAGATGGATTGACGATTTCCCCACACTTCATGATTTAGATTCTTCTGGAGTAGGCAGATTGGAGATTGAATCAAGCACGGATGACTGAATAAGGCACGAGTAATATATCGACGGCATCTCCAACAACTTTCTTTTTTCTTGAAACCATCATCAGAGTTAATCGAATCTGAAGACGAAACTAGAAAATGTTTATTTAAAGCGATAAATTAATAGTTTTAAATATTTAAACCTTAGACTAATAAGACTTACTTAAAATCTGCAAATATTTTTTTAATGTGCATTAATGATACAAAATGGTTGATATAAATTTGGGTAGTCTAAATCTATGCTCTGATAAATATTTTGATGTTAACAATTATTTGCGGAATTCTGTAGATCTTGAACTCGAAGACTCTGGCCAATACGAATGTGTGGCCTCATCTCGGAGTGGAAAGTACGTGTGGAAATCCCAACTCTCCGTCGTCCCACCATCTGCTTCGAACAAAGCTTTATCGTCAAATGGGTTTGACCCCGTTCGGCGACCTCCTCCTCCGCACCAACCTTACGTTATTAAGGTGGACTCATCGTCCATTACGATCGCTTGGAATCCGACACAATACCAATCCCATTCCCTGCCTGCAGAAATGGAATTTAATTCTGTTCCTAAAACTCCATTAATTTTTGAGCCAAAAAAGGAACCACGTGAAGATTTCATTACCACTGACAAAAAAGGGTCAGTTGAACCCTCATACATTGACGATGATTACTACGACAGTGGCGAAGCTGACAATTCTGCACGACGGAATAGGCGGTCTCCTTCTTCCGGATCGTCTGCAGAATTTGGACCGTCTGAAACGGACGCATTTTTTAAAGCTCTGGAAAAACCCCATCGTTTTAGTTCTGGGAAATTTCTTGAAACTGAATCATCGCAAGAGCAAGAATCTAGTATTGGATTTGGGGATGTTGTGAGCCAAATCATTACAAATAAAGAAAAGCTGGAGGCTGAAGGGAATACAGAAGAGGAATATGAGTACACGGATGGGGATGACTATGATGAAGATGGGCAGGATTCCCGTAATAGTGCTGGGGAAGATAATGAATCCACAAATTTGGTTTTGACAACTAGTTCAACTACAACATCCACTACCAGCACTACCACAACTACACCCACCCCAACAACAAGTACAGGAAAGCCCATCACCAGTAGTCTGGTAAACCCAAAGGAATATGTGAACCTACATCATTTTAAGCCAGATCCACCAATGACATACAAGGTATACATACATACGAAAAATAGGCTTTTGAATTTGAGAAATATAATGTTCCAAACAAGTACATATTTTTTCCAGGTTGAATATTATTCTCCGGATGAAACAAAGTCCGAGTGGCTCCTCGGAGCTACGGCCGTCTCAGAACAGACCTTTACACTCCAGGTATGTACAATTATTTATACAAATTGGTTTCATCCTAAAAATATTTCTCGGCATTTACTGTAATGGAGACAAGAGTATGAAAAACACACAATACATAAGTCCAAGCTCGCTAATTAGAACTACTTATTGAATCAGTCCTTGTGGTCATTGTACTTATTTAAGGAATATGCATGGTTAAGTTGAATAACTTATTGGAATGAGTTCCTGAAATGAAAAAGTGACACAGCCTTTTCTTTGAACGACACAATATTTTACTTGATTATTACAGCACCTCAAGTCCAATGCAGAATACATCTTCTTCATTCGAAGTGTGTCCCCGGATGGTATCGCAGTGAGCGGCCCCAGTGCAATCTCCCTTCCTGTCCGGACACTGCATTCAGGGAGTAAAAATACAGAGATGGAGGAAATGCTAAAAATTGCTAGAAACAAACTAGGGGAACGCATTATTGCCATTTTAAAAAATGTGTATGCAACTTCCTCAACTTCCGTGAGGATTGAATGGCAGGTGGGTCGAAGTGCATAATCTAGGTTTCGACTTTTACCACCATTTACATGGTATTAATGGGCAAATTGTTTCAGATCGTTTCTACGTCAGAGTTTGTGGAAGGCTTTTACATTTACTATCGACATCTTGACGACCAAATGAGCTATAAAAAACAAGACTCTTCCTCCTCCGGAAGTTATCAAATGTTGACGGTGCTTAATGCGGGTGCATCCAGCTTCCTAATTGTGGGACTTGATAAGTTCGCAACATATCAAGTTTTCCTTGTCCCCTTTTATAAGAATGTAGAAGGTTAGTCATTTTATTACTCTACCCACGAATATGCAAGAAATGAACAAATAATTATGAGGCTTATATGTAGTTATAAAATAATTAACATTTTTTTTCACAATTAACAGGAAGACCGTCAAACTACGTCAATGTTTCAACTCTGCAAGATGGTAAGTACGATTCTCGTTGGTCAGCATTACTTTTTACATATATTCTCGTAGCTTTCACCTTTATTTTATGCTCGAGATTCACCAACCAGTTTTATTCCGATTTTTACTTTAGTACCTTTTGTTGGAAAACATATTGTTTTCATGGCCTGGAGTAGTTTCTAGTGTGGTCTTCTTCTTCTATTTGATATGTCTCATTCGCATTGCTTTATTTGTATTCTTTGCACTGCTTGCATTGTTTTCTGTAGCGAATCTCTGGAGAGACATCAGATCAACATCTATACCTTTTGTTACCTCCGTTTCTGTTATCCACACCACCGCACCACTATTCCGACCAGACGAAGCATAAAATAACGATAAGGATAAGTGTTGGGACACTTTCTCCTTCATCCAATGTTGGATGTTTTGTTTCGTCTCTCGTATTATATCCCAGTGATCATTTCATTGTCATTGTTTCACATTGCATTATTTTCTGTGGCTTTCTGCTCTTTTCGATTTTCCGTCTTTTGTACAGATTCTGTGCGGTATGCATGACCACATTTGATTTCAAGGCTGAAATAATGCCTGTTCAAATTTCTGTTTGGCTATTTGTTCCTTTATTTCTAGTTTTGCTGAAAATGATCAATTGTGGTAATTATGACAAAGGATTCATACAATTTTGAATGTGAATGGTATTATAATATATTTATTTTATTTATGTTTAAAGTGCCCACAGCAGCTCCAAAGCTAATTGAACCAACGCCAGTCAACAGTTCGGCTCTATTGGTGAGATGGGTTCCTCCTCCGGCTTCCGGTGTCAATGGAATATTGTTAGGATACCAGGTAAAACTTTGAATTCTCTCATTACGTATTATTATACTACACGTTTCCTGAATTCTACAAAATGTGAGGACAAATAATTTATTGTCGACACTGACGAAGTATGTATAACTAAATCCTTATTGTGCTGAATGGTTCTAGTATTACTTATTTGGAACTGGAGCTTTCAAACACAGAAGTGTTCAATTTAAATTGCAGTATAACCACAAAATATGTGGCAAATGTGGAACCCATCTGCAATAATTTTGATATGGCTTCATTATTTGAAACTTATTTAGTATCTCCATAATAATTACTGAATAAACTTACAGCCACGCTCAAAGTCCTATTTACGCTGAAAAACCCACCCGCACTAAGCTTTGGTCTTTTGAGGGTTCCAACCTTATGCATTAATGCAGTATCCTGAAAAGTAAAAGTATTAAATAACCAAAACAAGGTCCATTTTGCAATCATTCATATGAGCTATGTAGCTTCATAATTTTAGTTGGTCATGAGTACAAAATATTATGTGTGTACGTACCACCTCATCTGCCGAATAGATCGAGTAGACTTCTTCCCTCAAGTTTCCTAAGCATCGTTTCCCCACAACGCCCAAATGTTCTCCCGTCTCAGTGACAACGATCAGTAGGACAGAGTAGGAAACGAAGCAGAATACTGTCGAGTAGACATCTCTCTGCTGAAACTGACTCAACATAGTAAACACCGTCATCAGCAAGGAGGTCATAAGCACGACCATCTCCACAAGAATGTATAGGCCAAGTGCACCTCCAAGACCCTTTGTCAGTGATACCAAGTTTGCATAAATTTTGATCAATTCCTTCAATTGCAAATGCTGAGGGATCTTCCAGTCTGCGCCCACTTGACTCGTGTTTCTTTCTTTGAGGAGTATCTCCAGACCGATAAAGCTTTTTATTATGATCACCGCAAACATTTTGTACAGCATAAACGGCAGCAAGTGAAAGAAGACGGAAATGAAAAACACCACGAGTAATACCGCATTAACCCAATATCGGAATGGGTCCTTGGTCTTGCTCACGGCTGACTCGATTCGATTAGCAAAGTCACGCCAGCAAATGACAGCGTAGATAATCAAGTAGATGAGATGGATTACGAGCATAATTCGGGATCGAACGTATGGCTTTCTGTACAGGTGGGATAGATTTCGGGATGCCTGGTGAATTTAAGCATTTTAACTTTATTTCAAGCAGCACTAGAGGTTATGCTTACTAATTAGGACTTACCATGAATGAAACCACGTCTCTGAGTCCATTCCAAACAACAGCAAATCTTCTTGCGATGAGGGGTATTTGCAGAAGAGTAAGTACGACACCCAATAATTGCCCACCAATAAAGAGGTTTTCCGCAATGGCAAGGGCCGGATCGGGAATCCCAGAAAAATGACGGATTGCATCAGGAAGATATAGTGATAAGGTGCCAACAAAGATAAGAATGTATGAAAGGGTGTGAAGTAAGGGTCGAGAGAAGAACTTAAACGTAGCCGTGCCGTCTTCATTGACAGAAATTGGGAGGATCCCTATGTGGCGGCAGAAACAGCCAAAAGTTTCAAATATTCGAGAGAGAAGCAAGGGCCCTGGAATGGTGGCTAAAGAAGGGGCAGAAGGGCGAGATAATCGGCTGGTTGGATTTATTACAGGGAGTTCTGAGCTTATAGCCATTTCGTCAAAAATTAAGCATTCGTAGACGTTCTTTCTCGGAGACACTATGTCACAAGACTGATTCGTGTCAGAGAAAGCAAGCAGGTTTTTGCTGACGCATTTCCTTAATTTTATGATGGATGATAATTGATCCGATAATATATTTGCTCGTCATGATTGCAAAAGTTATTAGTCAATTATTATAACGTTGCGTTTCTTATCAGAAACATATCCTGATAAATTAGCTGATATATGCAAACAATGATGTAAACCCATTTGGAAATGGCGTAGTCTAAAAAAACTACGCAAAAAAACTAGGTGAAGCCGCAATATTATACATGGACATATGCACGTAGAACTCGCAAAGTGACTTTCTCTGTTTAACCAGGTTTTATAATTCTCCTAATCTTACGCAAGCAATCAGCACAATTGTTCTTATTAAAATTCAGTCATATAAATATTCTCGAAGATCATTAAACACAAACACATTCATAAAATGTAAAATATATGTACTTACAATGGGTACGCTAGGCTTGTTCCTTCCGGATTTTCTTCAAACCTGTACAATTCCGCACATCTACTACATAAATATAAATAACTTTTAGTTCAAAACTTGGGTCAGTACGCAAAAATCCTTGATATATATTTTTTAGCATTCAAAAGAACACTCCCTTTTCCACAGCGGAATCGATGGATTCACGGTCCTCAATCCTAATGTATTATTCCGCTGTGAAGTCTATGATTTTTACAAAAATGATCAAGAATGAACAAACCCTATTTGGTAGGTGATCTACGATACCCGATCTCAGAAATACCATCTTCATCTCATATAATGCTGATTCTTTGAATATGAAATGATGTCAACATTAGTCCAGTGAAATCCTAAATTCACCTCCCCATATATTTGATGAACTTCAATCCCTCCGTTCCCCCTACTCCTTCTTATCCTGAGATGATGTTCTAGTCACTAGAGTTCATAATGACCATGCATAGTTTGAGATTTCATATAACTACGTATTTTTATCCATGCACTACAATTATGCACATGTACATACATACATGCATATGTTTACGAATAATTTGATGTAATGTAAATTTCTTTGTCCAAATTAAAAGGTGAAATTTCTTCATGATTTATTTCAGCTCCGAGTTTGGCAAGGATCGTCATTAATTGGGAACAAGACTGCAGATTCTCGGGTAACAAGTATCATCCTCAACAACTTGATGCCTGGACAAAGTTACAGCCTCCAAATAGGCTCCTTTACCTCGAAAGGAGTCGGCGTGTTTTCGCCAATGCGAAGTCTCCACTTTTCCCCAGAAATACCGAAACCTCCGAAACACAAGAATCCCCCAGTTGTTGAGACTGATTTCTCCAATAAAATTGACACGCATGCAGCAACAACACCGCCACATCTCGATAATAATATGCCCAAACTGGACAATCGCATCCCATTAATTCCTCCTCCAGACAAAAGGAATGAAGATTTGCAAGGCATCGCATTTGGAGGGGCAGCCGTTAACGCAAATAATGACGTTTTTTCAGAAGCTTGGTTCATAGCTCTCATTGGCTCCATTATATTCGCCATGATGCTGGTCTTTGTCTTTGCCCTTTATTTGAGAAGATGTCAAATTCGTGCAGAAGGAGATAAGCTTAAAGGTAGGATATTTTTATTCATTTACTCATTAAAGCTCGTTAATTTCAATTATTTCTGTAATGACAATTTCCGTCTTGGTGTTGACAACTTTTGACCCTCGATCCCCCACACCTACCATTTTTGTTATAGTGGTCAAAGTATTTGTGGTCCTTTTCGTGGTGGTATTATCCGAATTTTTTGTGACTTGAACCGACGTTTCGTTAGTCGTTGTAATATTTGGGGAAGTTGGAGGATTGTTCGGACCGATTCCCAACGACTCTGTTGAAGCGGAAGACACTTCTCCCTCTTGCTCATCTTCGTCGGATGACAATGAAATCGAAGGTGGGGCAGGAGAAGTAGCAACAACCGTTTTTTGTGGGGGTGGGGGTGGCAGTGTTTTTGGTGGAATTGATAGTTTGCTACTAAGGTTGCTGGAGCTGAGCGAATTTGGCCCATTGATATAAAAGAGACGTCGCGATGGGATAGTGTATAAGGGTGATTTGGGCAATGTTTGGGATGAAACTGATCTTGATGCGGCAGGGGCTGGTTCCGTAGCATCGATAATATTGCTTGGATAACTTGAAGTGGATAATGCGATACCTACAAACCCAAAATACTAAACTTATTTTCATATTCTTAAATTTAGAATGGAAAAATAGTATCAAACGTACGACACATTTCAGGTTCCTCATCACTAGCATCTTGACATTCTACGATAGAATTGCACTTTGCTGCATACGATAAACACTCCCCACTCGTGCATTGAAACAATGATGGTGGGCATAGGGTTGGTTTTGGAGTTTTTGGGCGACGATTAATTCCTGTTGTAAAGAAATAGTCATATTGACATATAATAATAATAATAATAATAATAGCCTTTATTATCCTCATTTACTAGTACTAGGGAATGCACAAAAATGAATATGCGACTAGTATAAAATCGCCTCATGTGTAAAAAGACCTACGTTGTGGTTCATCCGGAATTGGGGGTGACGTGGTACTTGACGAAGTTTCAGTTGTCGTAATTTGTATTGGTGGACTAAAATGTCCAGATCCCAAAGCGTTTTTTAGGGCTGCCCTTACATGATATGTAGTTCCTGGCAGTAATTGCAGCAAAATAAATCCTGAATAATTTCAATAAAATTTATCACATACCTACATTTTTTTGCATAAATCCAACTTGGAACTTGGGATTAATTTTACAATAATATATGTGCTACATATCAATCAAAGTCTTACCTTGTTCGTAAGGTTCGTGTTTTGCAGAATAAAAAACGCTATCTTGTGCTAATTTAGTTTCAACCTGATAATCCAAAAGTGGTAGTTCATGGACACTCTTATTACTCACGAGAATAGAATCCTCTCCTGGAAGAGGCTTGTATTTCATAACCCTTATTCTTGCATGCTGTGGGGCTACCCTCTCCAGTTCCAGGAACGGGGTTGAAGGTTTGACACTTTTTCGAAGGGTGAAGGTTCGTTCGACAGCTCCGATATCGTTACCTGTGTATTATTCATGCATAAGTGTAGCTTTCTTGTTTGTGTACGGATGTATATTAACATTAAATGACATAATAAGTATGATAAAAGTACCTCCCCGACAAACATAGTTTCCGAATTGAGATTCCCTGCTCAACCTCACTTGAAGTGTGGACGAGTAAAATGATCCGTTCAGAATATCGTTGATAATGGAAATCTCATCATTAAAAACTAGACGCTGACTTGATGGACCAAACCATTCAAAGCTTGGAATAGGGTCTGAATCTATCTTGCAAGTGAAATTTGCCCAATCGCCGATGACACTCCATTTCTCGGAAGTTGTGCTCTTGTCTGCAATTTCCATTGGTTTACGAGCAACATGCAACATAATGTTTAGTGATTTAACATCCGGCATCGGAGAGTCAATGTCCATTGCATGACAAACGTAGGATCGTTTTGCGTCCGATTTCGTCACATTTGTCACGACGAGACCATCCTTTACCACTTTGAACTTGGGTCCTGTAGGCATATTACTCGATCATAAAATAATGGTGATCTTAGGTTAAATTACATAGAGCGTCTGATGTGTACCTTGTGGACTTTTTCCATCAACTTTCCAATACAACTTGGGCGTACTAGACTGACCCGTTGCAGTGCATTTTATCATGAAGCTAGTTTGTTCCAGTGCAGTCTGATGAGCCAGGCTTGTGTCGAATGTAATTGGCTCTAAAATACAAGATTTTCTAAATGCGTGAAAATACTTTATTTAAAATTATGTATTAATCCTGAGTAAACTCACTTATCACCACGAAATTGAACGTGACATTAGTAGCTTTAGAGCGACAAGTGTAATGCCCAGATTCTTCTAAAGTGACCCTTTGTAGAAAAAGGTCGATGCCACCCCCGCCTCTTCTAAGTTGTTGTCTTACTCGGCTTCACAATTATAAAATGTTTTATAGTGCTGTTTGCAAAGGCATAATAATGTAATTTGATGCACAAACCTAATTTTGGTGTCATTTATTTTCGCCCCGTTTGGAGCGAACCATTGCGTATCGGACGCTCCGTTAATGCAAGAAATGACATAGGTATCTCCACTGAACTTTTTGACTGTTCTTTCATTTGGTGTAAGGGTCAATCTGGTTCCACTTCCCAGTGGCATTTCTACCTTTTGACTTTGGACGAAAGTATTTTCTAATCCCAGCCATAGTTCTACAATTATCGAAAATAAGTGTAATTAGTTTTATCAGTTTGTGTTATCCGAATCTCACATCCAACCATTTTCTCATCTCGTATTCCATCATGTGCACATAAATACATATTTTTATTAATATGTGCCCCATATTTATTCACACCTTGAACCAATATTTGAACTAATTAATAAGCAATTACCCAATAATTGATTTGATTAATGGTGTAATTTTAAAGCTAAAAGACGAGTAGATATTGTTATAAAGTTGATAGTGGCAGTTCAGGTAAATGGGAAGTGGCTGTCTTAGACTATTTCAACTAAACGTCCGTTCTATTTAGGTGAGTAGTTTCCCATAACGCATTTCCCATAATTTGCTCGCTCTTACTTTCATTCGCTTTGCTGTACGTTTACATTATTATGTAAGCCCGTTGTAGGAGACACTGCATGGTTGAATAATAATCAAGAGTGACGAGGAACTAATTAAAATGGAAAATGATTTGTCAAATCGAATTGGAACGAATGCCTTAAAATTTATCGTAATAGGTCAAGGAATTTATATACATAAGTACATTAATTGTACCTAAATCATTTTCTCTAGCCTAAACAATCCCTGGGTCGAGGCTTTATATGCAATTCGGGGATATTAATTATTTCTACACTTCAAATTTATAAAAGTTCTTGATGTATTTAAGTCAAAAAGTAAACCCATTTTTTAATATATAGGTTCATTTTCTCTATAAAACCGATAATATTTTACCTGTCAGGCAAGCCACAGACAGCAGTTTTAAATAATAGCTTGATATGGTATGCATTTTGCTCCAGTGCATAAATTAAGGGCATGTAGATATATAAACTTTTCTTTTATGAATGAATCCTAAACGGTAAACCCCATTCCACTTTTTGACACTTTTTTATCACTAATGTATTCACATTCAAAATTAACAAAAAATCACAATTTTTCGGATATTCCTGAGAATTCATTTAATTAACTTTACTAATTAATTCACATCACTGTTATGACTTACGATAATTTAAAGTTGAGACATAACGTCTTTTTCTTTTCTGTTAGCGCAAACCTCTTACCCACGACTAACTGCGCTTCGACTAAAACAAAATTAGCATGTTCATCATTGTTCCCACGTTTTATTAAGAAATGCTACATTGCACATTTATACCTTTTTGATGATATAGTTGATTTCTACAATATCAACAAGATATCGACAACACATGTACATAGATACACGTATATTTGCAAGAGGTGGAAATGGCAACGCAATGCTAAAACGAAGACTTGATAAGAGTCCGATAAATGATTACATAAGAAGGCTTAGAAAATAGCTAAGTGATATTTCTTCCAAATATTAGCAAATCATCTTCTTGAACTCCCACAAACCCATAATTAAGTGGCTTGCATTGTCTCACATTGAATTTGTTTCTCATAGTTGAGCTATAGCTCAGATATGTGCATAACATGTGCAAGTAGTTTGGTGTACCCCGTGGGAAAATAAGTGAGCAGTATTAAAAATTTTATACTTGTACTTGGTTTTGTTGAGGCATACATACATAAATACGCCAAAATGCCTGTAGACAAACGTTTGAAATGACAATTTTTCGATGTATGTATGTGTCTTACTGTAATTCCTACTTAATGACATCGCAGCTAAATGAATATGTAGCAAAGTCTTTGCACTGAAATTGTTAATTGGATCATATCGAATATCAATATCATCTACAGTATTTTTGCAGAAATATTTTCTTCCGTTTACCTTACGCACAACTGGCTAAACTTATTTAGCGTTGTATTCCTCAGTTCAGCAGATGACGTTCGAGTTTTAGTGCTACATATTTAGGTACTTATTTTGCCTCACCAAGCTATCCGGGAAAGATTACATATTTTATGGTCACTGGCTGCGATATTAGCTCCAGACCACCGGCTGTACCTTGCATATAATAATCGATTTTGCGCCACTCTTGATTTTCTGTTCCTCATTTAATAGAGCTTTAATAAAGCAAATGGGGACAATGGAGCATTGTTTCTTGTCAAATACAACAAAGCGTCAATTTAGTTTACAAACTTTGGTTAGTTCCAAAAACATGTTTACTTTCCATCCAACTACAATTAAGTGATTAATTAACGCATCCTCTAATCAATTAATGGGCTGATGTCCACGTGTGATTAATTACTCTGGGTCCAAATTGCAGTGTCAGCAGCAGAGATTCCGGATGGCTCGATTCCACCCCATTACACAGGCGAGGAGGGTTTATGGATTGACCAGAAGACGCAGTTGACCCTCAAATCAGTCGGTATGGGGCTCAAGATGTGTGGAGAAAATGAATACGAAAATGCAAACAATTATGCCGTGGTGGAAGACCGACATTCTCCCATTGCGTATGCCACCACAACGCTGGTGAATCCTCAAAAACATGTAAGCTTACTTTTATTTGTGAGTTTAGCAAGTTTAAAAGATATTTATAAATCTAATATTTATTATTATTTCAATGTCTTTGCACTTGACTAGCAACGTGTATTTCAAGGTGTATATATAGTACACGTATGCATTTGTGGTAATGTTGATGTGTCATGCGAACGACTGCAATTTAATTGCATTTGTCCCTGGCGTTAGTTGTTGTGGGCGTCACCACCCCGGTACTGCTGGCAGTTACCATTACATGGATACTGTGCGTATGTATATGTTCATACATACATACATACACATGCAGCTAAACCTAAGGATTGCTTTAATCGCTCCAAGTTGTGGACATTCGTTTATTTCTTCATATCATGAAATATGCAGCATAACAGCAGAGCGAGTATTAATTGCGACGATGGAGTCGAATCAATTCGCTTCCTCTTTATTCTCATTAATTTACTTAATGTTCTTTTTACTCCATTCCTTTAATTGCCTTTCTTAATTTAAGTGTAAATACAGAAATGCAATGCGTTCCCTGATAATATCTTAATTTCATAACACGCGTAGATTTCTAGATTAAATATTCACATTTTCACATTGTTAGTTCTAGATTGCATTTAAACGACTTTGGAAGCTACATATTTAAATACTTGGCTAGTTCTATCGTCTGATGGACTAGAATAATATTCCCAATAAAAGTATAATCCTTCCCGTGCTAGAATTTTGCGACACTGAATCAGCAGTCCGAGAATTCGAGATAACCATATTATGCACGGAAGCGTATAAACTGTAGTAATTTGCCTCTCCCTTTTCATTCGTTCGGTTCGTGTTTTAGTTAATCAAGGAAGAAAACACGGCTGCATGGAGTGAAACACAGAGAGAACCGGATGAATGCCAAACATTTTATCCGGCATGCATCATTTCATATCATCATATTATCATCCTTGCTTGACGTGCCCAAACCAGCGACACAAACTGACACAAGACGAGATGTGATTGTGATGTGCTGATGATGAGCCCGATTTTATGGAATTGCTCGCTTCATAAATTTTCTGAATCAAAACCTATCCATTTTGGGACAGAGCTTCCCTCTCAGTTTATGACCCACATAAAACTTTACTCTGCACGAAATCTTCCTCACCAACTACAGGAAAACCTTATCAAAAACTTTATGATTTTGATATTTTGTGGGTTTGATGGTGGAAAGCAGAAAATATTTTGGGTTGGGTTTAAGAGAACGTATAAAAATCGGAATACGATAAATTTCCAAATAAGTTTTTGCTTCAGTTGCAAGATGACCAAAAGTTCGTTACATACTTTTTCAGACATGAGCACGACGCGTGTAACTGAAATTGACCACTAATTCCTATTTGATTTATTTTATTTGACAGAAGTCATCGTTTAGCGTATTTGGTGGGGACTCGCTTACCTCAAAAAGTGGCCTTGGCCGTGAATACATTGGAGGTTACAACAAAATTGGTGGTGGAGGTGGATGGATCTCATCGTCAGCCATTAATCCCAGTAAATCTTCTTCTCTAAATCATAGCTCTGGAGACATGAAGAAGGTATAAAAAATTATGTATTATTTTAAAAGCTTCAGGTTTCTGTCGGAATTAGAAAACAGTCAGAGGTCTGCATTTTTCATTGGATGAGTAGTTGTTATATTGACGGAGAAGGATGTCCATCCATAATGCACGTGTATACTGGCGCCTCGAAACCAAATGAATTTTCAATCCTATCCATGTACATACATATGTAGCCATATTGTAGCCTCCCAAAAACCTTAATTTTATTGTTATGCTAACCTCGGAGAGTTCTCGGTAACAATTTTGGCAAAACCACTGCAAATGTTTTATACCAGTAAACTAACCCACAAATAAATGTTCTTTCGTCATCGTCAGTCGGACGTTTAGCTTTTCTATTCCAAAATCCCATGTTCCTGTCCATCTCACAAGCAGACACGATGAAGCATGTAAACCCTCTCTCTAGTAGCTATTTCTCTTCCACATTTACTGGAACTGGTACTGGTACTATAAATCTACCAGGGTATCACATGCTGTCAGTCCAAGATTACATAAATATTAGCACTACGATGATGTCATATTGCTCATTAATTATGAATTAATATGTCATGTGGACGTTTATAAATTGTATGCAATATCATTTTATTTTTACCTTTAGCCACCTCAATGGCTGTTAAACTCAAACGCAAGTCCAGTGGGGAATGGGATAGTCTTTAACAATGGTGCTGTTGTTGGAAATAATGGACCCTGCTCCTCCTCTCAGTCCTCCTCGTCGCACTCGTCTGCTTCCTCCGAAGCCCTCATGAAGGGACATCACATTAAACAAAGTACTAAAATGTCCCTCAAATCAAATTCTGGTGATAGCAAGAATGGTAGTGGTGGACACAACCATGTTAAAGGTCGTGGTGGAGGTGGTAGTCGACCCTCATCCCGTGGTCAAGGAAGGGAAGATGAGTACGTTATCAAAAAACATATTTAAATACTGTATTTTTGAAATTTGCTTCCACTGATTTGACATTTTCTTTCCAACTTCAGTCACAACGAGTACATGGATATGGAAAATCATCCGGAGCATTATTTCTCTGAGGAGTTCAAGCCATCTCCGATGACCATGGGTGGACATGTGCTAAGTACTTTCCAAACACCTCTGCCATCCAGAAAACTTTTGGTTGTGGACTTCTCCTCTGGGTCACCAATTACTTCGTCCACTGCATCCTCGATGCAACAAAGACTGAATGAGTACGAGTATCATCAACAGCGACAACAACAACCAGCAGAAGGTGCCAGCCTTCCCCAGTATGCACACCCATCCCACCTCAGAAATCATAATCATCACAATAGTAGTCATCATCCTTACCAATAATCAGTAGGAGACGGTATAAATAGATCTTATGAGTCATAAGCTATGACATGACATGCTGAGAAAAACAAATTAATTTAACAAGGCAGTATAATAAACTCTCTGGAACTTACATAAGTAATGAATGTATACTGCATTATAACAAACGAATGACGGTTTGATATAACTGAATTGCTTCACCATGGATTGTTTGATACAATGATAATTTGTACTTTATGTGTATCATAGTAATTAAGTAGTCAGTTATGTTTTATGTGTGTACGCGTGAATTGGATATCGACAACTTAAATTAAAAATGTGTAATATGAACTCAGGTACAAATGTACAAATTTAGCTACAGATTTAAATAATATTGACCCCGGTAATTACTAAGAGCTTAAATTATGTCTTTGCATGATGTCATCAGTCTTATACACATACATATTTACGTATTTTTGTAAAATATTTTTTTATTCTTCTGGAAAGGTGCTTTATTAAATTGTATGCGAAGCAAACTTTTTATTTTATTCGTTGGTTCTTAGAATTGTTTACTTTTGCTAGCACTTTAATTTTCTGAGTAGATTTATGTGCCAAGTTTCGTCTGACGCATATGCATTGAACATGCATAATTTGTTTTAATGCATGCGACCTCTCACAAATTATTATGAATCTCATTGCTGCTAAAAGTGCTAATAACTAACTTGTAACATATTTTGGGTCATTTTTGTACGAAATTGTTTATTTATTAATCTGTATAGTTAAGGAATATCTGCATTTAAATATAATATTATTACACGAAGTATGTACGCCATGTCACAAACGCAAGATTCTTAAACGCTGTGTTCGTAGTAGAACAACTATTAAATTAAATCACAAAAACCTACGTAAGTATTTTATACGTACCTTAATCTTCAATACTTGAAAGCAAATATTGGAATATTATGTATTGTAGGTACAAACGGAATTGTACATATCAGAGACATAAAAATAAAATCATGACAGATGCAAAAGTTGTCCTTAAAAACTTTACTTTTATTTCTCGCTGGCAGAATAAAATGCACACTTAACCAAAGGTGTCAAATATGAACAAGTGAATATACTAAATGCATAATTTCAAATGTTAATAATCATAAATTATCAGATTCGCTTTTATTAAAACCAGTCTCTTAATTTTATATATTTTTCCATTTGTATTTTTCATGCTAAATGTCACACAATTAAGTCAACAAAAAATTGCATCATCACCTTTAAATAATTCTTTGTACAAATTATCCAATGCGAGTTTACTAATGACATCATGAGTAAATATAAGAAAAGTTGTTTTCAAGAACAAATCAGATACAATCATTTTTTGCTCCAGTGCCTGCATAATTTTGGCATTAAGATTTTGTTTTAGGCTGGAGTTATAGTTAGTGTCGCCTTGTTTTTCGGGTCAGTGGACAATTTTTTATTTTGTGCAGCTCTTTTCAAGACGAATGGATCTACCTCGACAAGGGCTTCCCCCACAAAGTCATTCCCAGAGACGGAGTCTTGGTCATGTACTTTAAAATGCCACCACTAAAACACGAATTTGATTGGATTAAGAATCTTTCTTGATCATTTACTACTTTTAAAAGCAATATTTATGTACCATGTCCTTTCCTTTTTGATAGTTTTTGAACTCAATGGTTTCATTCCAGTCTGGGTTTTCCGAGTCTTCAACCACCTTTGTTGTGTAGAAAAGCGTGTCATTTCCTTTGTTTCCAAACCTCCAGAAACCTAATAATAATTAGCAATGTTACAATTCAATTGAGGCAGGCATCGGAGAGTTACGAAACAATAAATAGCTGCAGATAAATAATGGTTTTAAAATGTTGTGTATCTCACATTCTACGAAGGGGTCACTTGCACCATTAAAAGCGTCCATTTTCGGGACCATTCTTAATTTTGGTTTATAAATGAGTTCAGCTTATACATACATATTAATGGAAAAAGTTATAATTTACTTATAAACAAGTACCTGGCAAAGAGCCGGAAAGTAACTGGTTGGACTTTTTTAACAATTAGGGAACCCCCATTACTCAATGGGATGGTCATCTCCTGGTTCTTTTGCAAAACATACTCATCAATTTTGATATCTGCGGTGCCTAACGCTTCATCTTTAGTGATGGTGTGCTTCCCTTTAACTTCAAAATGCCATTGCTAAAAGTAACGATAAGAATGTGTTAAAAAAAGTGTAAAAACATGATGATAAGACAGTACACGAAAATACTTGTGCATGCATTTAATTACCTGATTTTTTCCCTTGGTCCATTCAAAAGTGAAAACTTTAAGGAAATCTGGGCTGTTGTTCTCCTTAAGTGTCTCCGTCTGTCCGATCGGGGCCCAATCTTTTGCCTCTTGAAGTGTGCCAGTTCGGTGAGACACTTTGATATAGGGATCTACCTTAGCTCCCTTCTTTTTTACGGGAAGGTCTCGAGCAGCAACGACGAAAGTAAGGTTGAAAGGATTGGCTGGTCCGGTGGGGGCAGTTGGCGTGGGGGACGTCAATGCTCCCTTTTTCCCGGTGGTCGGAGTTATGCCATACGACGGGGTGACAGAAGCACCCTTGTTGGAAAACGATGGTTGGGTGTAAAGTCGTTCCCCAAAGGATACGGAGACCAGGAGGACAAGACCCAGACACAAGGAATAAGACAACATCTTAGCCTATGATTCTAGTGGACTATGGTCGAAGCAGCAACTAATTGTGACTGAGATGATGATGAGTAAGATTATGAGTTTTATGGAGGTTGAGTCAGTTGGTGCTTGGTAAAATGATTTACATGCAAAGTAGAAAACATAATAACGAACAATATGAGAAAAAAACAATACACTCATTAAGTAACAAAATATCCCTGTGAGAAAAATTTGCATAGAACAAGAAAATACGAGCAAACAGAATGTTCTACCTTATGTAATTTATTTACCAGTAATCAATTCAGCTTCTTTAACCTCATGACAATGTTGCAAAAATACAATCACACTACTGGTAAGTTTTAGCAAAATTTTAATTGCACATTATAGACTCGAGAATTTTAGTTATTGTCAGTACATTTGCAAGATTATATTTAGTCAGTTCAATCTCATATGGCATATTCCCTTACATCGTACCAATATTATTGCCCACTGAACCAAAATAGTCCATTATAGACCATGGACCAATTTATTGCGAGCTACGCTCCGTTGACTGCTTATCAAAATTTACAAAGAAACATTAGCTTAATGCAATACAGTGAAGCATTTTTATTATAGTTAAATAATGTAAATAAGAATTTTTGTTTCCTATGTCGCATCGACCAAATTATGATTAACTTTAAGAGTTAGGTAGATATTTGCATATGCATAAAATGAGGACATTATTAATATAGTAAACATCACAAAGACGCTTTCAAACACTAATTGAACCTAAAATCTTTAAACGCTTGACGAGTGTCACATTCATAAGAATTACGGTTAACTGAAACATCAGTTTAGGAACAAATCTCATTTTTTCTTGGTTACAATAAGTCTGACATATTTCAAATCCCTTGAGATGAAGTATCTCATGAATAGGTATAAGGTTTTCAAAAAGTTTTAATGCGCATACAGATGATCATATTTTGACTGTCTCCACATCAAAGAGAAAGGCTTCGCTTGCCTGCAATAAAATACATACACGTTTAACGTTATACTTAATAATTCATTAAAAATAAGTATATTTAGAAATAGTCATGTATGATTTACTCTGGATCTACCACAACAGGTCGCACGGCAAAATTGAATACTAACGAAAACGCACGTTATGAAAACAACCATCGAGCTGAATATCATAAACGAACAAATTATGCGTCCACCAACTGCAGATAAACATAAATAAAGAAAAAAAGTTCATACAAACCAAACCATTTTACAAATGTTCGAATCTGTATAATAAAAATACCTTCTGGATCATACACATCATCATGATAATCCCATCTACCATGCGTTAAGAGTGAAATACTCGCTAAAAGGGTAAGTATAACTGCAAACGAAGCCGAAGCTATCTGGAAACCCATTGCAGTGCCAAGGCTAAAAATAATAAGAACATTGTATATGTATGTAAACGTGTACATTTTCAGTCCACTTATGTATTTGAGCACTCACATACAACCAGCCGGAGACTTGACAGCCATAAGGGCCAATCCCGACCCCACCGAAAATATGAACAGAGGAGCCCATATGCCAATTCCAGTGTAGTCAACAACTTTAAAATATCCATTTGATGCAATCGCATATAAAAGTACCTAAAAAAAGAACACGTAAAATGACACTAGTCATTCGCACCAATGTGAAATATCTGTGAAAATTTAATTCATACTTGTGTCACAAGAATTACGCAGCAAGCCGTCATCTGAGCCCAGAGTAAGCGTTTTATGGTGGTCACATTTAGAAGCCGAAGAAAATATTCCGTCTCTGTCTCGAGAGCTCGAAGTCTGAGTCGCTGCTTCGGCATTGACGTTTGGTTCTGGTCATTGTTCAGCTTCGCTTGAGGTGTGGTTGCAGGTCGTACAATAATATTTTCAGGAACTGTGGGCACAAAATAATTCGGGTCGGAAGAAGCTTCAAACTGAAGTGGATCTGCCCCATTCGGGATTTTATGAGAAGTTGCTCCTTCTTCGTCCCCGATATTGTTAAACCTTCTGTACGAGCTATCCATAGTAATTCAGGAAAATGTTCAAATCCTTTGATGAAGTGTGGGTTTAATTCACATGGTTTTAACAGCCAACCAGCATTTGAATGTTTATATTTCGTTTTTCTCGTCTTATTTAGTTGTGTTGTGGATTCCTTATCAGAACAATTACATATTTACACAGTTTTGATAAAGAATGTATTGGTAAATATTTTTGAACTAAACTTCACCCACCTTGGTCTGGTTCTGTAACAGGCTCCAAGTAAAGCCAAGATCTTGACTTGTATTCAGCTGGAGGAGAAAAAAATCTTTAAACTCTGTATGCAAATACCAGCTCAAACTACATTACATAAACGTAATGACGTGCATAGTTTGAAATGTGCAAAAGTGGACGTGCTATAATGCATTTAATATTTGGTCTTAAAGATTCGCAGGATCTATAGCTAGCTAGAGGAAGATGCATGTTATATTTAACGGAGGATATGTACAAAGTTCAGTCTGAATAAAAAACAAGCCAGTGGTTTATTTATTTATTTAATGACGAGTTAAGTATATAGCATGTCTCTAAACACTGCACTGATTTTTATTTTTAATGGGCAATTTCATTTGTTTGGTGCATGCAAGTATATGCTACTGCATTAAATCGCTTTGGTTTACTCGCTGTACCAGGTTAAATTACGTGACCTATTATGTTCCTCAAATCACCAATTCCACAGAGATCGGTTTAGTCAATGTTGGAATTTTATATACAAAAAACTTCAAAAAAGTAAATAAAAGGGATGATTCGAAAAATAATGACACATAATGAGCTTAAATCTAGAGAGATTAGAGATTTCAATAGAGATTTGAGCCCAAACTTTAAATAGTGTATTTTAAGGCTTAATGTGCATTCAAAATTATGTTGCACATATGTACATACAATGCACATACATGAATAAATTATCATATGAGCAAACAAGTAACGTAGAGGTTAGGTAATCAATTAAATTATATTATTATTACTGCTAAATGAATGCTGCCTAATATTTACGAAATTGATGATGTACGCAGCATATTTAAGTTTGGCATCTTGGTCATGAATTGAAAGACCCTTAAGAAGAAGACTTTTCGCCGTCATCGCAATTTATTATCAACGATGTCCTGCGCTTTTCGAGGCTGCCCAACCAGTACTTGCAAAAGTGACATAGTTATTATGCATCAATTTTCCAGTATGCATATCCCCAAAAAAAAATCTTCAGATCAATTTCAAAAAGCAGTGCTCGGTCCCTCCTGACAAAAGTAATGTGAATCTAAGGTGAATCTAACTTCATATTAAGTACTTGCTCTATTTACATACAGCTACTTTCATGCAAAATTTCTGGTTTCTAAAACAATTTACAAAATTTAGTGCTGTTTGCCCCACCACTTAAATGACCCCTACAGGTCACCAAATACCGTGCCCATCTTTGAACTCATCTAGCACCTTGTCGAGAAACGCTTTTAAGACAAAATCGTAATAAACCCGTATGCGTCTGTTATTTTCTACAAAATTATATGCAAGTATTTCCACTTTGCATTAAGCGTTAAGCTTCAATACTTCGTATTACTTGACACAAAACTGTCCAAGTATTCACTAATCTTTCCCATTAACTAACCAGAGCAGGACCGTAGGAGGAGGAGTTCCTAGAAAAATTTTAAAATTTCAAACTTCATAGATACTAATGTTAATTTATTGTCCCACAAACTTGTAACACGTGTTTTTTGATAATTTCCCAGAGGAATATTGGTGGTTTCTAGTTGTTTACTCATCTGAATATTCATGTGAAACCGGTTCAATCTGCGATTAAAATTATGATCCGACAAATGACAACAACTCCTTAAAACATATATTAAGGTCAGCACCTGGAGACTGATTTGGCTTGCCCATTACTCAGGAGGAAAGCTTCAATGCTGCCTCTCCAGATTTAGATGTTCTTTGGATATGTTGTGATACCCGTTGAGGGAACAATGATTTCCAAGTGGTTAGATGCCATTCCACATTTTGTCCGCCACACCCACTCCACTCCAGGGTGCAAACATTATGAAAATCAAGCGCTCTTCAAAAATTAAATACCTAAATAAATAAATTAAAATTAAATAAATCACCAATCTTCAAGCGCTAATCTAATTGCATATGTTCTGATCTTGAAAATTCTTGCACTTTAGCCCAACGTAGTTATTTGATCAGATCCATTATCAAACTCGACAATTATAGTTTTGAAAATATTTTTGAAAATTTCCTGACCTTCCGAGAAATCAAAAGTTCAACCAAGTTGAGTTCCAGAAAACAAAACGAGTGTCTGGGAATGGTGCAAGAATTTTCAAAATCCGAGTAAAGTTGCTAATTTTAAATTGGATTATTGGCGACGGTTTGAACGAGTGAAAAGGAGGGTTTCTTCGTGTTTTTGCACATATGTTGAGTGGGTGTGGAGGGCACAATTGTAGCCATAGCATCAAAACACTTGGGGTTCTTGTTCACTCACATATCCAAAGGGCATCTAAATCTGTGAGGGGCAAGTAGGGAAGCTTTCCTCCTTAGAATTTTCATTAACTAGAATCTAGTGGGAACATTGGTTTTCAAGTGGGGGTGAAAGTTTTAATTACAAGAAGATTAATGTATTTGAAACAATAAAAATTTAATTGTGTGTCGTGTAATACGTTCCTAATTAATTAATCAGGTCGGCGTTAAAAATGGATTTGATACGCTATGAGCAACTTTTCAGGACAAAATAAATGTGTTAGTTTGGTTCCTCAAACTTGCCAAACCTGATATGTATCTACTATCAATAACCTGTTCATGAATACAACTTTCTAACGTGTTTTTTTATTTATCTCATGCAAACTTGTTATTATTGGAAAAGTTTAAAAACTTGTCGATAGAATTGCTCTGCAATATGTAGAACAATAATGGCGCATATCATTTGGCTCCTGATTCCATAAATACATAATATTGTAAAACATGAGTGTGCACAGTCTACAGTATATATGTACTGGTACGTATTTACAAACACAACTATGCAAAAATGGACTAATAATCAAATAATCAAATCCAATGCATGCTTATCTTATGCATATCTAAATAAACCAGTGTCGTCTCAAATCAGGGGCAATTGTGTCAATAATGTATTGCAAAGGGTTTGCATATACATTAAAAATGTATTCACTGTATAGAAAGGTTGCTAAGCGTATGAAGTATGTACATATGCATATGGATATACATATTAAATGACAATTTCCTTTGGGACTTACAAATTGAGACATAGTAAGTTCAACGTCTAATGCCGTTCTGTAGTTGTTCAGATTGATTCATTCAGAGGAAAGGAACCTGCCCTTACTTTTCCTTGTTAGAACTAACGAGTGGTTAAATTTGGCAGTGCATTTCATTAGAATATTGTTCGTTCTACGTAAGAAGTGGAGAATAAATTAGTGGTGCCAAGTACAGGAAAGTACAGCTCGATGCCTTGGGATTGGTTTATTGGAGTAAAAGTAAGTACTTATATTAAACGTAAAATAGTTTTATTGTCACATTCTTTTTAATAGTGACATTAGTTTAAAGTCTTCTTCTAAATTAGGCATAATTCACTCATGCAATTTGTATTTTATTCATTAGTTTAAAAGTTGCACTTTAGCTGTACTTGAATATCGAGTTTCGATTTAGCCTCAATAACTATGTTCAAATTTTGGAAAAGTTGCAGCAAAATTTACTCTGGAAAAGTTATTTAGCCCATAATTTAATTCAGTAATAACGAATGTCGATGGAATTAATAATCCTTTAAATTTCGTAGTGATAGAAAAGTGCGTATATGGGAACATATATGTACATAAGAATATGTACGCCTAATTGCTCAAAAAATATGTCCAAAAAACTTTGAGAAAGATTGTTGCCATAACCACACCAACTGAAATAGGAGAAATTTGTACTTTTCGACAGATTAAAAAAAATCAGTATGCAATTTGCAAAGATAGTTGCTAAATGACGTATTTTAGTATTTTTCATTTCCATACTTAAACCTAATAAACCGTTGCAAACGAAATGTAGCAAAGGGGTGAAAACACACGGAATTGTCTTTGTGGCACGCCCACAACGTCTTTCAGCACTTTCCCGTCATTGTCTCACATTACCCCACGTCTCATTTTGCCCCGTTTTGACACCCCCACCCGCGTAGTTCAAACGTACACGACAATACCTTTCAATAGGCACCCCACATGACAAAAGTCATTTTTTCGACATTCGACACCTCCCACACGGTCATGGAGTCGTCGCACGTCGAAATGATGGCGATTTCTGAAATCCCCGTCCAAAAATACGTCTAAAACGGTGGAAACAAAAAATTCGACACCTTTGACCGTTGGAGTCGTCATCGTGACGCCGTGACCTTACGACCTACAACGCCCATCTTCGAACTCATCCCGTCCCCAAAAATTAGAAACACGTTGGCGAAAACCGGATGTCGAAATTCGAATCCGTTCTAAAGTTATCGTGGATACGGACAGACAGACGGACAGACAGACAGACAGACAGACAGACGGACAGACAGACAGACAAGACATTTCCATAAAGGGGTTTTCACCCCTTAATAACCTATGCAATATAGCGTTACAGACTTTAAGGCTATCTTTGCGGATTATATTCGGTATGCCAAATTCAATAATTTGCCAAGCATAAAAGACTCCAAAAAACAAGCAAAGTCAAATTAACGAAAATAAGTACGTATATAGCTGTACTGTTTGGAACATTTTTTTTTACTTTCAAACCTGTTTTCAATGTCATGTTATCGTTTTGGGAAATGATTAAAATCATAAGAATGCAAAAAAAACATCTCATAAAAAACACTAGACTTCAACCAGTTTATTTAGTCTGACGCAAAATGTATGCTTTCATCATAAATAAGTATGTATGTACTAATAACTTTTTTAATACATGTTGATAGTTGAATTTCGCTACAAATTTGGTTAAAAAATAGAACCGTTCTTATGGCGCCGTTCCTAAATTACGTTACAGATTATCGCACCTTTTAGAAGTGGATATGCGTAACGCACAACCTAATTTTTGAACGATCTGTAACTTTCAAGATTTTCTATACGTTGTTTTAAAATAAAATGCACTTATTGTTTGCTAATGTGCATATGCTTGAGTTACGTAAAGATTTATGAAAGGCTGATAAATTTTGGTATATTTTAATATAATTTCAGCACATTTAGGAGCATGTTATTTTTGTAGGTCGATCAATGAAGAATTGGAAGCTAATCCACAAAAATTTACCCAGACGGAAAAATTTCAATTTTCAAAATATAATATTTAGGTGTCATTGAATTTTTAATTCTTGGGAGGCAAGCAATCGATAGCACAAATTCGATACATACTCACCATTTATGGTGAACAATATCCGTTAAAATATATACTATTCATCCTTCGGAGATATGTATACACATGAAGATTTTCATGCTTTTTAGATGCTTTACGAACCACACTACTTAAACACCGGGCCCTTCGTCATCGAAAGATTCGAAGGATTTCTGTTTGCTGAGAGCTTTAGAAAATTGCCACTATACTTGGAATCTTGGCAACATGATTGGCGTATCATCTGGTTTCGTTCAAGAGACAAAAGCGTGACAAATATTGAAAAATTATCTGAATTGAAGATCAGCTCTAACAGCTTACACACGTCCCAGTTCAGTCATCGTTATGATGCTAAACAAGAAAATTCTATTCTTTCCTCAGAAATCATGGACGAACTCCGTAGCGAATCGAATTCTTTTAGCAACATCGGCGAATTTATGCATTATGCGTAAGACACAGCGACCAATTCTATAATTCATATAGTGAGAAGCCCTTTGTAACCAATTTTTTCTCGATTTGCGTAGGAAAACTCGTAGTAATGAAATTGAGATGCAGAATAGAGACATTATTGGACTAAAATCTCTTATGAACTTTGTAGTAGACAATAAATCTCGTCAGCTTTATCTCACCCAACCTTTAACAAGTCCAGATTTGGAAGACCCTTTGCAGTTATTTGACAACCCGTTATGTCGCTTTGACGATGGTATAGCTTTCATTGAATTATATGCATAATTAATCATGTTTGTTAAATCCTCTATTTTTGAGAAGTTGATAACAATGATGTGAAATTACCAAAAATTCATGTTGGCCAATCTGGAGTAATTCTTCCTTTTCAATCCGAAGTTCACAACCTTGCCAGCATCAATATTTGTCATGCTGGATGCAAATCCTGGTTCGAGAAACTAGAGACAAATCATCACATTTTTAATATCAACTAAAATTTTTAATTTTATTCAGGATTATTATCCATCCGTCCTCTGCTCAAGAGTTTGTGAGAAGGGTTGCCCACTGCGTGTATCTAGATGGCGTTCCCCCAGAAGCATTTGATTGTTTCGTTAGAAATAAAAAGTATGCTGTGACATTACAACAATTAGACTTATGGAGAGTTCACTATACGTTGGTAAAATTATTAGTACAAATAACACTTTCATCTGCACGTTAGCTATTTCTCATTTGCATATGAGATGATATTTACTTTTACATACATAGATCTTCCAGGAAGAAGGTGATGTTGTAATAACGTTACCAGGTTTGCTTAAGAATAATTGTAGTGCTTATTTTGATGAATGCGAAAAAATAGTTAATTTAAAGGACACCAATTGTTCTTGGAATTCCAGGAGTAATACATGCATCATGTAATTTAACATTCTGCATTAGTAGCTGTAAGTCACAAAATTACAAACATATAGCATTTATACTCTCAATTTTTAACTTGATTTTAAAAATTACATCATGTTTCGTAGCAATGAATTTTCTTACGCTTGTTCGAGAAGATGCAGAAATTATACAGGAATCATACCAGAAGTGCATGTGTCACGAGAGGTACATAAGTTAAGACGAAACAATGGACGAATTTCTTACATCTTCTATGCAACGAGTATTGGTTTTCGCCAATACACGTTTGAACTTTTCCTGGAGAATCGAAATCTTTTGCCTAATTATTTTTAATGACTTGGTATTGCAGGCACGGTACTTGGATTAATGACATTCCTTCAAAAAGTAACCAAATGATTTGGGAGTGGATGTATTACGAATTAATCACAAAATCTCAAAATCATCCAAATACTAGTTCAAATATATCAAGCAAATCTCATGGCAATCCCATGCACAAAAATGTATCAATTCAAGAGTTAGAAGACCCCAACTGCACAACTTCACCATTAAATTCAATGTCCTCATGTCCCTCCAACTATTTTAGTGGTGACAAAATACCAGGTCATTGCCACAACACGGCATGGACAAAATGGAGTAGTAAACTCTGTTCGATAGGAGACGATTTATGCGAGAGAAGTGACCTTCAGCAAGAATACCAGAAAATATGCGCAGAAATCCAAGAGTTTTGTATTCAAGTGGATAATTTTGCGGTGAAACGCTCTGAACCAGACATGGTCGAAATAGAACCTGCAATACACCTGACCGAAATAGGTCAGATGAGTAGTGCCCAAAATTCTGTCCGAAATAATAATAACGATACAGTTGTATTCAAATCTTCACAACATGAACCCTTTCCAATCTCCGAGGAAAATGCAACACCACGACATGAAGAAATTGTAACGATTGAGACGGCAGAAATTTCTCCATTAGCGATAAAACATGAATTGAGGCCGCATGAAATTTATCAGAATCAGAATCTCAAACCAGAAACAACTGCGAAGCAGATCTCAATGCAACGCTTAACAAAGTACAACTGTCCCCAATGCTCTAGGCAATTAAGCAGCAAAGCTCACCTTCAACGGCATATGTACCTCAAACAGTTCAGTTCAAATCAAATAAAGTGTAAAAACTTAAAATCTGAAAATTTGTTTCACCATAAAATTTCAAATTTTTCAGCTCCCCAGAAGACATATCCGTGCAATGTCCAATTTGCTTGAAAATGTATAACTGAATTGTAATGTGAGTATAATTCATGACTCATTTTAATTCAAATACTTATGCATAATCCTTAGATTTAAAAACGACGTGAGCCTCCAGCGGCACCGGCGCCCAATGTCTACTCGTCCATCTCGAAGAAGGAACTTGTGCAGAGGACTCACTGAACGAATCAAAGATGACAATCGATTACGGTGCCCGATTTGCGGACAATTGTTCGTGCAAAAAAGTGGGTATAACAGACACTTTAAAAATAAGCACAAGCAGGGTACAAAAGTTGAGTCTAAAATTGATTAGGACTCAATTTTGAAACTTAAATTTAAAAATCCTGTAAAATAAAATTGTAGATAATAAATTAGTAAGACTGTTGTATGCAGTATTCATAAGCCATCTTTGATTCGGAGAATTTGTTTATCATTCATCAAATAGTTGCTTATTCGTGGTACAGATCCGGGAAATTTGTATACGTTATCTACGAAATAAAATGATTTCGCAGAATACCGAATTACTTATATAGAGGTTTGTACATATGTATGTATCAATGATTTACTCATTAAATGTTTTTGCACGACCACTGTTTTATTATTTTGAACATGTGCGTAAGCAAAATACATATGGCTGTTTGTCCAAAATATGGTCATCTGTCAAGTATTTAATTTATTTTTATAGCTTGTTTTTAGAAACTCCTGCACATATATGTGCAATGTAATCTATGTACATACACACACATACATACATATGTACATATGTACACATTTAGAACTTTATATTGAGCTTTTACTCCATAGTTGAGTACGGCAATATTGACTATTTCTTGGTAAGCCATTAATGTCATTATTAATGATACTTTTGTCAGTTAGTCATGCATACTTACATATTTACAGATAAATTTTGTTTGAAAACATTTTACCTCACCTTTATAAAGACCAATTTTGATGAATAATTTGTAGAATCTGCAGAATTTGCAACTTAGGAACTTACTAAACTTAACTCCTTAACATATTTCCCAAATATATGACACACAAACCATGGGTATCTTTACATTCACAGTACTATTAGTGGTAGCTCTTACAGATATATTTTCCATACAATTGACCACTGCTCAAAGTATTAATTACTTCGGCGTAGCATTTTCCCCTTATGTGAAGAAAGGACCTCCGTATCCCTACTGGGATAGCTATACATTGGCAGAAATTAAGCAAATGTTGCGCATCATCCTTACAAAACACAACTCCATAAGTACATACGGAATGGGTGTAGCAAGTAACGAGAAAAATCTTAATTGGTCGAGTGTGCATAATGTAAAACAATAATAATCTGTGTCTTTAACTACTTTACAGGTTATAACAATGGCAAGCCATGGGACAAATGCGATAGCAATGCTCTCATAGCTTGAGCAGCTTCAGAAATCAATCGTGACTACAACTCGGTGGTTATCTCGGTTTCTCAGGGTATCAACCAGCTTGAAGATGCCAACTTAATGAATCGGGAAATCAACAATGCATTTTCGGCAGCTCAAGAAGCCAACTCGGTGAAGCCTGGGACTGTGTGGGGTCTCACCTTTACAAATGAATACGTAACAAATGCACAAACTGGGAATAGGGTTTTGAAAATGATTCAAGACAACAAGGCTCGGGCACAAGGTTTAAGGCTCAGTGTGGGCACCAGAGTCAATATCTGTCGCCAAATATGGGGCGGAGAAAACCAAGCTGTTTTGATAAATATTGCGAAATCATCGGATTTTATCATGTGCAATCTCTATCCTGGGCCTGGAGCCAATAATCCGGATCGAGCAGTGCAGGAAATATCCGACGCTTATTACTCCGCAAGAGATGGATTCTGGCGTTACAACAAGAACATTGAGGTAATTATTGGCGAAACAGGATGGGCGTCTGAAGGTGCAACTTTTAACAATGCGGTTAACACGATTGAAAATGAACGAAAATTTTGGGAAGGGATGAAAAACTGGGCGCAAACCAATCGTGTCAAAGTTCAAATGTTTGAAGCCTTCGATGAACCATGGAAAACAAATGGAGAAGGAGAAAAACACTTTGGGTGGTGGAATCGACCCAACAATAATGAGGGAAGGTATATCGAAAAGGCTACTGGGAAAGTGTTTACCTGACAAGTTAAAATTATATCTACAATACGTGGTAATATGTATGTACATAGCTGCATAATTTTTAAATAAAATTCTCTATTTGCAAGTAAAATTACATAACATGTACAGAATAAAGAAGAATTTAGAAGTATAAACAATTGTTGCTCGCTTCTTTATTTCTTGAAATATTTCAGAGATAAGTTACATACTTTCATATTGCATCGTCTTAGGATTAACCCTACATATTCCGTTAGTATTGACGGTATGAGCTGATCCATATTATATTAACAATTTTGTCTGGCCCAGGTCATCATGTTATAAAGTATTTATGTAGTAAGCAAGCTCAATGTCTTCTTCGACCATATTCTTATATGCGTAGCAAAATGATGCATACATACATACTTAATTTGATCCTAGATATTATGCTTAGCATGAAAATGAGTTGCGTTGGCGGAAGTATTATTGTTGTGATTTCATGAATTGTTTGCTTTATTCATTTTTTGCATAGTAGAGAAAATTATACATTGTCTGAAATTACTTAGTGATGCAATTGGATTTTGTTATCAATGAACGTTCCAATGATTGCAATAGTGCAAATCGTACGTGTTTCATGAAAGCACGTAATACGCATATATACATAATCGTAAAAATACTAACCAAGCATGAATCAATATCTTGAGTCATACATATTAAGGTTTATGGTCATTCATTCATGAAAAATCGGATATCAAGACAAACAAACGAAAAATTGTGCCCAGTCCAAGCGTTTGTCTGACGCAGAAACTGGTAAATATTTTTCCGTTATGATGGAAGATACTCATCATTACTTTCACGTGCATCATAATTCAACATTTGGGAAAGGTTTGATAAGATCTAATTATTTTAAAAGTTAAAATACATTTGTCATATCCCGAAAATTTAGAACGTCAATACCCACTGGACTTTGGAAATGAAGGTTTGTTTGTTTGTTTGTTTTGCCTTTATTTCACGTGCCATTCAACCTATCAGTACAAAATTAGACTGATCTCCCTAGGGTGACACGACTGACGAAATTATTATAAATTCATAATTGCAATAAATAGTAATCTTATTAAGTAATTAAATTGATAAGATTAAATTAAATTATAGGATTCATGGTTTTTGGCTCTTCATTGCTTTGGTTTATGATTCCTGGGTGTGGATTATTTTACAGTGGAATGGCGAAAAGTACAAGTACGGTCAAGAGTTCATCACTGATTAGATATTCAGTCTTTTCTACGTTAAGATATTTAATTCCAGTCCATTATTGCAGGTGCATTGTCTATGATGACTCTATCACTTTGGTCGATCGCGATAGCTTCCATTCAATGGTTCTTATTTGGTTACTCACTTTCATTTTCTTTGACAAGGTGAAATCCGCACACTTAAATCGTTATTAGTAATATGTATGTAGCACTTTTTCTAGAACATAAATATTCTCATTCGCAATTTCGATTTCAGCCACAATTCTTTCATTGGGGATTTCAACAAGGCATTTTATATTGGAGTCCGGGAAGAGGTGACGTCCATCCATATTAAGTATACTAATGGAAATTAGCGTAATACTTCGTCACATTCTATTCCAGGCGTATCCAACTGCAGTACGAATAAGCGAAATTTCCTTTTGCTTCTACCAAGGCGTTACTTCCACACTGCCGGCAGCACTATTATCTGGAGCCTTAGCCGAAAGGGCACGTATCCTGCCTGCCCTTGTTTTCATATTCTTGTAAATTTAAAAATGAATAATTGATTATTTTAAAAATTGCAACTTGAGCGGCTTTAATTTTTAGATCTTTTCTTTGTTTTCTTGTAAATAAATTTAAAGGTGGAACACCTTTGTATACTGCCCCTGCGCTTTCTGGTCTCTCAACCCAAATGGTTGGTCATTCCAAACAGGAGGTGAGCCCTTAAATTTTAACGCTAATTGTACATTGTATTTCAGAAAATAAATGTCTGAATTTTGTAGTGCTAGACTTTGGGGGCGGTGCCCCAGTGCATGTACCAGCTTCAGCAGCCGCAATTGCTTACTGCTACCATCTTGGTCCAAGAACTCAAGAACAAAAGGAAGCCAAACCACATAATATGGTTTGTTTTGTTATCCTTTCTTTTCAAAATCCCTGTGTTAACTTGCTAAATTACACCCAACATGAGGAGTGAGTTAATCAGTACATAAATATTTTTCTGTTCAGGCGATTCTTGTTCTGGGCACGATCTTTATTTGGTTTGGGTCTTTTGGATATAATTCGGGATCAGGTATATACATAGTTTATACAGGTTGTTTTTAAAAAAACTTGATACAACGTTATGCAACACATTATTTAATATGTTGCAGCCTTCGGAGCGACACTTCAGGTAATTAAGGAAAAGGTTCTCGAAAGATTTTTTTTATAAATACGTTTATATATATTTTGGCATTCAGGCTGTTTTTTCTTGTGTGGTCACCAATCTGTCTGGGTCCATTGGTTCCATCACGTGGGCGTTTCAAGGTCAGTTCGCTTTAAAATTTTTGTCAGATAATCCAATTTATCTTATCACAAAAGTCTCTTTATTCGCCTCTAGACTACCTCAGCAACGGAAAATGTACCGCTTTTGGATTTTGTGCGGGTGCCGTAATCGGGCTCATCGTGATCACCCCTGCCTCTGGATTCGTCCATCCTGCTGCGGCCTTTCCAATCGCTATTATAGGAACGGTCGTTTGTCGCTGGGGTCACTTGGCTAAGACGAATTGGAAATTCGATGACACATTAGTACGATTGACATATAAGTACTCCACTTAACTGAATGCCTCTAAAATATATATTTATTTGGTTTTTGCTTTAATTATAGGATGTATTCGCAATGCATGGTCTCGCAGGAATCGTTGGAATTTTGCTAACAGTAAACAAAATCTCTAGAAACACGTGGATATGAAAATAATTGTCTAAACAAAATCAGAGTACTTTAATTCCATTTACAGGGAGTGTTTGCCCACACGGCGTATGGTGGAGAAGAAATTGGTCTTGGAGGAATGGTTGAAGGTCATTATATGCAAATTTTGTATCAGCTTGCAGATACTTGTGCTGGTAAGGGGCGTGACATAACCGAAGATCACATATCAAATATTGACAGATATTTCGTTGATAGGCGTCTAGCCATAATCTGAGAATATTGTATGCTCATTGATTGCAGGCTTCACTTGGAGCATTTCAGTATCATTTTTCTTACTTTTTATCATGAATAAAATTCCATTTCTTCGGCTGCGGATGGAACCTGAGCATGCTCGAGAAGGAATGGATCTCGATCAAATGGGAATTGCATGTTATGAGCACATTGAGGAAATAAAGGTAAGTAAATATTATATTTTAATTAACTTTAATTCCTGACAGCATATGCCCCTAAAAGGTTGATATTTCTTTGTACATACATATATATATTACCAATATAATTTATTGTATGCACATATGCACTTGATATATGTAGATACAAGTTGATACAGCTACGTGGAAAATCGATCCTACTGATTTCGTAGACAAGAAGCAACATAAACAAGACTTAATCATTCTGAATCCTCAGACAATTCATCAACCAGTACATCAGATAACCAATAATCATAACTACAAAGAAGCGCAGATTTACACCGACCAAATGAATGAGGAGGAGAAGGATTTCGTGCCACCAAACAATTGGCGTAATTATTGGTACTAATCAAGAGAACTTGATACGCATAATATGCATGTTTTTTCAATTATTGGTTAATTAGGTAATCATAATTTATTTTGTTAGACATACGTTTTGTGTTTACATAAATTGTTTCAATAATCACAAAAATTTAAATAACTAAAAATATTTCAACTTGATTTTTTGGGTAGGATTTTTGAGTTTAAACCAAATCAATTACGTTATATTTTCTGATCAAAACATACATTCTTACTTGTTTTTAAAATTATTTAAGTTACTTATTAATATACGGTTAAAAATTGTTAGTCTGTATTTACTGTGAATTTTTCTGGCAAAGATTATAAATAAAATACGATTTCCCTGTAGATATATAACCATTGAATCAGTGGTATGCACCGACAGGGAAATAAATAGAAAGTCTCTAGACATTGATTATTTGGATTAAAATTTGTGTTGTATGAAAAATAGGTGGTCATGGAAGGCATGACTGACGACCACCTTACAATCCAGGATAATGAACGGGATGTTACGTTGTTGTACGTATGCGATGCGAATATTGAATAGTTGGGCTTCATTGTCCAAGTTTTTATGCTTCCACATTTCCTGTTCATTAAAAAGCTACATTAATGTTTATACTGCACTTGTATTATTATATTAAAGTCAACATATATTTTACCTTTAATTATGTCGCCGGATTGCTTCAATTGATCTGAAACGTTTAATTAATTGTTCCGCAGGTTAATTGTAAATAAAATAAGTGCACATGGCAGAAAAAATCATTTACACCCGATAATTATTATTTGCAAACTATAAATAAAAACAAATTTATATAATTTACTTTTCTGTGGTCCCTTGGTCCATTTCTTGGTAAATATTTTCGACTTGCGACTTTTTCTATTTTTTATGAGAACTAGAGCCATTGAAAGAAGAATGCAGACAGAGAAGGTAATGCATAAAATTATAATCGTCAGGTCGCTTTTTTCCAAATGCAAATCACAAAATACAATATTTTCAAATTTTTTATACACGCTTTTCTCCTCTTTAGTAGCGTTGCAATTGAACTTTGCGATATTTACTGGCATGATATGAACTTGGAATACTTAGAAATATCCGAATTAGTGGGTAACTAACTACTGAATGTGAACTAAATAAGAAGTCGCAAAGATCAACTATTTTGTACAATCGTAAATGTCAGTTCGCGACGTTGAAATGAATATCCTTTCTATTGGTGTGTTTCGAAAATGATGACGCCAACCCTATGAGTAAGTTATAGATTTTGCAACCATGCAACGAAAGCATAATATGCAAGCCAATGTGCTCCAGTGATTGACATTTGTGCAAAGCAAACACTGTACTGTTTTTAAACCTGAAAGACGATACCTCAGCTCCCATATTAGTAACACGCAATCCTTAAAATAATGCATTAGGATGAAACAATAGAAATCCAGAGTTTATCATTTTGTGTACCCAGCAACGCCTCTACTTACCAATAATAAGACATACATATGTATGTAGCACCACATTATACCTAATAAATGTTATTGTAGTAATGTAGCTTCCCCAAAATATTTATAAGCATGTAAGGGGAATCGCTTAGGCGATGATGCTGATGGGGAACTGACACACGGGGGAAACGTGGAATAACACTATTTTCTTAAAGACAATTTCAATACCGACAATTTGATATAAGTCAATAGCTGATAGCTCGAAACCTACTCAAGCTCAAGTTAGTATTAACACCAAAACACCTAAGGTTGTCACCCAACAAATTACACCCAAATTCGAATTTATTTTTAACCATAAAATGTTTTGTGAATACAATAACTTGTTTACATGGAACAGTGTCGGCCATCTTCAGAAATGTGGGATTTAATCCATGGGAGAAACTCTGCAACCGTTTACCAATTTAAAAATGCGTCGATTATGTTTTACATAATCAGAATTAAGAATGATAATTATAAACCTGAAACACGCGTGAATAGTCCTACGCCACTAGGTTTAGAATAACACGCTGTCCATGAATCTATCCCTTCATTCAAATCGTACACCACAGTTATTTTTTTGAACACTTGTAAAGGTTTGATTTGGGTTTACCTATTTGTACTTTCTGATACCCGGACGTTATGACCAACGGACCACCAGCGTCGCCTGGACAATCGTAAGTAAGATGGAATGGGTGGTCAGCAGCAGGCTCATCCGTTTTGGCACACAACATGGTCTCTGGCATCTTGGTCCACTGATCGTTATAATCCAGATTGCGACATTCTTGCTGCCCTAATACAACCCAATCTACTTCCGATCGATGTCGGGGTACGATGGCCCCACCTAAATATTACATCCGTAGTAATTGTAAATTGTATGCTCCTCATTAGGTGCGTAATTTATGCAAATTATTTGCACCGTATTCGTCGAAACGCCAAAGTAGTGAAGATGCATTCATTCCCTGTACCAAATCTGACTCTTCAGGATTTGGCAGACACACAGGAGTCACTGCACCTCGTGTCCCAAAAGTAGGAACAGGTCCCTTGAGTCGCAGTAGCGCAATGTTGTAGTCTATGCAAAAGTGACAAGATAATCTGTACTTATTCTGACATTACAGGTATTGTATATTATAAGTAAGTATAAATACATAGCCTACAAGACCCAATTGATTTTCATACCTAAATGGCCATCTGCGTAAAGGGGGTGAATAATTACACGGACGACTGCTTTCCTAAACAGGTTTGTCGTGTTCAACGAGTCGTCTTCAGATAAATGTGCCGCTGGCCATGTGCCAATCAGCGCTTCCACCCCTTCTGCATTAGATCTGCAAATGTCTTAAATGTTACATGCAAAAATACGCTGCACAAAATCAAGTCGGTCATAAATATACATTTGTCATACCCGTCCACACAGGCCGCTTGGATATACATAAATCATGAAATATGTATATTAAGGAGACTTCAATTGCATTCAGTATTTTTCACAATAAACCAATAAGTATGTTATATTATGTGTATACCTGAAGTTAAAACGTATCTATCATTGATAAGTGAGCCCCCACAAAATGCAAACATTCCACCAGGCGCTACTAAACTCACTGACCATGGATAAACATTGAGAAAAGACACTTTTTCGTTTTCCCATCGTGTTAAGTCGTCATCTTTTCGACTAAAAACTCCGCATTCTGTCCAAGCAATATGCAGTTGTACAATTTTTCATACATATACCAATTGCATAATATTTATTTAAGTATGACTACTTTGACGCACCACATTTTAAGACGTTGGTACTTGAGGGTAGCATGATATCATCATTTGCGTTTGTTGTCGAGATGTCTTGGAGTACCTTGCCGGAGAGCTCACCCCTCAGTTCAGTTCCATAAGGTATGTTCTCCCTTACGACCTATTACAGGACAAATAACTGCGTTTCTTATAAAAGCACTACATGAGACTAAATTCAATAAAATTCTGACCCACCTGAAACCCCTCACTTGACACGGTCGAAACGGCAATTAAGGAAATTATAGATAGCATTATTTCCGGAACGATGGAATGATTGGACACACCTGTCATTCGGCCTTTTCATATAGGTCCTAAACTCTAACGGTATAACCTTATATCGATTCGATTGTTTGTTAATTATCATTGACAACTGCTCATTAATATGCATTAGTGCTTGTAGTAAATACAATGTATATGCATTAGTGGCATTATGTCGTACTTGATAATATGTAAGCTTAAACAAGGATTCACATTTTCGAAGAAAAAATCCAAAATAATCAGCACCAAGTTGTGCCCACTTGGTTTGTTGCAATTTAAATCATGCCTTAATTGTAATCATAATTCATGGTGAACTATATGAATAAATAAAATTTGGAACTGCAGACACTTTTTTTTCAAATGCCAACTTTTTTATTTTTTACTTTTTCAATCTATGTGCACCCGATTGTAATTTATAAAAAATACAACGAGAAAATGATTGAGAAACTCTACATATAATTAACCACATTTTAACATGATTTTTCACCCTCTTTCTCCACTGTACAGATGTATCACAAGGAAAAAGGGAACACAATTTTAAAATCAGTTCATGATTTTAAAAAAATTTGAAATAGTTGGACGACTAACGATGTGATATACAGTACGAAACTACAATTATTTATTATTATTACTCGATCTACTTATCTATTACTTAATCACTACTTATACCACTACCACATACAAATAAAAACTAAAAAAATACTAAGCACTATAAACCCCCAAAAACGTAATGAATTTCGTTTGATTTCATGATGACGATGATATGGCACAAATCTTTAATACCGTATTTCAATTGCAGTACTTTTTAAGTAAAAATGGGCACTTTTTACAAACACATAATTTTCGTTCTTGTGCTCACACGGCACTATTAAAAAAAATTATCTTACAATCACAATCCAGTCAACTACTAAAACTTGTTTGCATTGCACAGTAAAAACAAAAGACCTCTAGTTCTTGAGACCCTCATGCATTGACAACTATGGTCACATTTTAAGAAAATATATAAGTACATAAATAAATAAAAAAGGAATGAAATATAGGAATGATTGATTGTAATCGCTATTTTACAAACAGCAGTTAAAATATGCATTTATGTACAAGTAAAACTTACAAACTAAAGAAATAAATACTCTTGAGCAAATATTTGTATATATAAAAATACAAAAAACTCGGAACACTTCCGGTTGAGCAGAGCTTGTCAAGGAAGATTGCGGACAGATGAATGAGTTGGTCTGTTTTTCTTTTCATGTAACATTGAAGTATTTATAAGAACAACATTTGGTCTCATTTACCACACTAAATGTAAAAATTTCATTAAATAAAAAAAGACATACGCAGCCATACAAAAAATCAATGCATTGTAAAAAAACATGATAATATGGCAAATATATATAGTCATTTGTTTGAATGTTTTAAAAAGTAAGCGAAAAGGCAGAGCACAGAATAGGACACTTATTGCTTTACATGAGAGATCAATACACAATTGTTTTTCCAACAAAATGCACTTTGCCTACAATTGATAACGTTAAATAAAGTATGACAACATTTTTTGCAATACACAAGAATTCTTTCCTGGTTTTTGTACTTTGCGATCAAGAAAGAGTTTAAACAGATTGCAATAAAACCTCATTGTATAAACACTATTGTATAAACACCACGATCATTATATTGCTAAATTTATACTTAATTAGTCTCACTAGCTTGTCGACGCCGTGTACTTAACATGTGTGTGGAGATAGTTACAAATAATAATCACAAAAACAACTTAGGCTGCAACAATGGCAAACTAAAAGGAACTCGTACCACAAATCCAAGTCCAACACAACTACTACGTTCGTCTCGTTTTACTTGTGGGTGCGGTTGGAGCTTGATTGTGGTACTGTTGCTGTCTTTGTTGTGACGATCCTCCCTGTTGAGCCTGGGTCTGATTCTGTTGTTGGCGCATGAGGGCGCGGTTAATTTTGACGGGGGGTGTGATATTGATCGTCGTTTGACCTCGGCACAACATTGTGACCGAAGTATTCCCGATCGAGGAATCGTCATCGTCTCCGCCTTGGAGACCGTTGTGCGGCGTGGATGTTGGTGAGATTTCGTCATCGCAGTCATTGGTCCCACATGCAGAATATGTGGGAAGGGAGGGTGGGTGGTAGGGATGATGGATGAATCCAATTGGGGGAGGTGCAGGGGTCGAGGTGAGTGAGGGTCCCTTTCCATCAACATCGTCCACGCTTAGGTTAAACTCGCCCTTCTTTCCTCCCTTGTCCCCAGTTGAAGATCGGTCATCATGATCAATGACGACGGATGGCATGGGTTTCAGTTGCAATGCGGTGTTCTCTGTGACGACCAATTTCTTGATAAACTCACGGAACTGCCAGTCTGCCAAATTTCGCTTGAGGAAAGAAAGTACGAGCCAATCGCCAAATGAAAGTTGGACCATTACAATGTCACTTTTCCTGAAAAAAATAGCCAGAAAATAAATTAAAATGTATACATTTATGAAACAGAACCAATAATAATACACGTATGCATTTACGTATTTTAAAAATATTTATATGTGTAAAACTTGTATGTACATACCTGTATCGCCTTTGAAGAAATTGACCTCCAATTGTATGAACAGTGTAAGTTCTGGCTTTCTCCACATCCTGACGACACGCCTTGTGCACAAAGCTCCTGTACTGGATGGTCCTGTAGGGTCGGCACATCCACAACAAGAGGAGTCGAATGCAAGAGATCATGTTGACCACCAAGACCACAATGCTCCACCACCAAAACAAGAAAAATGACCACTGGGTGAGGTTGTTCATTGGAAGCTGACCTGAAATTATAATATTCACGTTGCATTAATAACTCAAGTCATATAACTTATACAAAATCAGGATAAATTTAAGGATTTAAAAGTATTTTTAAATCTTACATTGTGCAGATTTTACTTCAACATCACCTCCATGACCGTAACGGGCCCATTCGCACTTGGCCATTTTCGGGAACAGAGAATCCATAGGATTCGGCCAGTTGTCTCCTTCGTCCATAAAATGTGTCTAAAAATAACATAAATAATCAGAGTCAACATTTACCCATTTCACCCTTCTTAATTAATCACAACTCGTAATACGTATGTAATTTGAGCTTTCTCCTTCCTTACCAAGACATCCCATCCGTAAACTTTATATGTCCTTCCCATAAACCCAGTGAGGTAGACCCAGGTCAAAATAGGCGTTATTCCAGCCAACATTTTGCATGCCAGGTAGTAAAGGGCAAATCCTTCATTGAAACCGAGCGTCTCGAGAAAGTAAGTGACCCTCACTTCGTCCTCGGTATTCTCGTCCGTCTGTATAAATAAATAAATAAAATAAGTACAACAAGTCAGGCACATTGTTCATAATTACACGCGATTATCAAATAACTTTATACGTACCTCCATTACGTCGATTAAGCTGCGCATCTTCTCGGCTCCTCGCAACTGTAAAAACAGATATACATGTAGAGTTAAATATTTGGTGTCCGAATTTCTAAACGCTTAACAGGTTTTACCGCTAATTACCACCATTTTAAATATTGTTATCGTCTTACCTTCCATAAAAAGTAGGGAAGAAATGCGAGAATTGCGATTTTTCCCAGAATGAGCCAGACTTGTTTATAATATCTTTGTCGGATAATCTGATCTTTTCCACGGTCGTATCCACTAACTCCCGGGTATGTGACGAGTCCACGCATCGCGGGTTGTAATGCTAAAATTTAATAAATTTTCTTATATAGTAAACAATTAAATCAAAAATGTCGCAGCTTCAAATCCCAAAGAAATTTGAATTACTTAGAGCTAATTGGGCGAAAAAAGATTAGTATGCACCACTGAGCTGAATTAATTAACGTTAACGTTAACTTGTATATTCTATAAAAGTCGGGATCTTTAAACTTTAATCTTACAACCCATATATCCTATAATATATGGGGCAGGTTCAACGAAGAATTTTTTAGGATAAGTGCAATTTGTGTTTTAAAATAGAATTTTAAAAAATTTACTGAAAAAATTATTCCTTCATAGGCAAAAATAGTGCCATATGGCCTCATTTTCATTTTAAACTTTTGGAAAAGATACGTTGCTGGAAAAATTAAAATATATCCCTCATTCAAAGTTAAAATAGAAAATGACCTGTCTAATAATTATAGAAAACGTAACTTTTCCAAAATTTATGCATGAAATAATATGCGATATGCAATTTATTTAGATAAGTGAATCAACTCACCTTTTGCCACGAGAAAAGTGTCATGATTCCAGCAAAAGTCGTTCAGTTCCGTATCACCTCCGGCCTGTTGTCCACCGTAGCCTCCTCCCCCCCTCGTTTGTGCCCCTGTACTCCCTCCGTAGCTACAATCAATTTCGATGTTGCGCACAAACTGATTGGCGAACGAGAGACACATCATGACGACGAGCAGTGCGGGGGTGTATTTTGTTGAGAGCTTTAAAAAATGATTAAAAAAACATTATTAACTTGGACAATAAGTTGGAATAAAAATGTATTTAAATAGGAAGGTACAAACCTTGAAGGGTACATCGAATACGATGAGGGTGTCCCGAGTGACAAATTTTTTCAGCTGTCGCCACAAATTTGTGGGGATGAAGCTGAGGACGGAGGCGATGTTGAGCGGCATTTTATTTTGAGACGCAATCTTGTTTCCTTATTCGGGGAAGCGATGATTGCCTTGCCTGCAGCGTTTTGTGATGTTCTTTGCTTGCAGCAAAGTCCTGAGAGTACAAGTGGTTTGGGAAGATTCTCAATCAAGATTCTCAATCTGTAACACACCATGAGACAAATATGGCTTAATTGCATTAACAAAGCACCACAACTTCATTCATAAATTCACACCAACCAACACCACGTCAAACTATTACAATTTAAGTAGACAAGTAAACACGTGCTAGTGCTGCTAGCAAGTCGTTGTCCACTACTGTGTCCACTATATTATAAATACAACAATTGCTACGCTTCTGTTGATGTATCATCAACAGGAATGATGATTTATGTGAACTTGAACTTATGCCCAAAAGGGACTTATTTATGAATTTAATCACCACTATCACTCAAAAATCTGTAATGAATATGTGTACCGGACAGCTAAATTACAACTTTTACTCGTCACCTTACTCATTCAGCCTAAAGTAGTGTGTGGGAAAATATTGCAAACCAGTAGTTCTTGTCGAATAGTAGTGCAATTTAATGCAAACTAAACGGTTAATTTGCACTAATCGGTACGAGTAATAAAATGAAAGCTTCAATTACTCTACTTCTCAGATTTCACTATGTGCTTCTGTTTCACTGTCTGTCTCACAATGTTTATTCTACGATAATTTTCCAGTTTTCTTTTTTTATACCACAATAGATTCTTCAATTTGGTAATCGTCGTATTATAATTGGCAACTTTTTACGACACACACACACACACACACACATAAAGAAAATTAAATAATGCAACTTTTTTTTAGAACTCACCGATTTATTGCCGATTTTTGTTTAGCAAGATTTTTTCCTTCTTTTTTTCTCGTACAAATTTCACTTTCTGAATGGACGGATGTATAAGTTTTTATAGCTTCTGTTGTGGCAAAATTATATTTTTCTTCAAATATATCAGTCTTGAATCAGTCGGAAAGGTTTTCCACGCTCCTTCTTCTTCTCTTATTATTCTTGTTCACTTTCGTCTCTCGTTTCGTTTGTTTAAAAAAAATAACAGCGTCGTCTTCTCGTGTCAAGACCGTATTCTACAATGAGCGTCCATTGTTCCAAACTCCAAATCTTATTCGTTAACTTGATTCACTGTAACACAATGTGTCCTTTGATCTAGAACTTTCTTCGGAGAGACGTTTTTGATAACTGACCTACGGAATTTCAAGGCACATTATTAATATATTTATTGCATCATCATCAACTAACGTTAGAAAACGAATGACAGTACTGCAACAAAAAATCTCAGCGTCCAACCCCATACACCAACGTTTTTTGCTGTCAACGTACTAATACTTGATTGCACCCATCCACCCACCCACACCATGAAGCAAAACTGCTCCGCCACTTTTACTACCGCAGTTATAATAGAATAGTTACCAACTTATTGTACAGGGCAGACTTACTTAAATGTGAGTCACACATCCTATGAGAATTTTGATGAGATGTTAATATAATGGAGCACTCTCATAATATGTCCATTGTTTTATTTATTCGCTTAAGAGCAATAGAGGTTAATCAACGCGTATTATTAATAAGAGTTCTGCTCCACTGGGATCACACGCTACTTTTGTGGGTAATATCTGCAGTCGTGTGGTAGCAGTGGGTAAAAATGCTTTAAACGAGCCCGAATTATTGCAATATTTTGTGTTTTTAGCTTGTTTAGAGGGAATTTTTTAGTAGAAATGGCACTCTGAGGATTTAGTTTGCTTTTTTATAGGATTATTATTTTAATTTATAGAAAAGTTATTAACTTTGGGTCGAACTGGAATGGAGGAGAGTGAGTTATTTCTTGTTGTTAACTATCTATTTTAAGAAGGGGTTGTTAAATCTTATGCACGTAACGCAGCTTCCTCGTCAAAGGAGGACAATCGAACAACATAATATACTTATTTATCTCATTTCCTGTCGCAAAATCTCGGAAAATTCTGAGAAAATTTTGGCTCTTTCTCTCTCTCAACTAAACATATTGGATTGGTAATGGATTGGTAATGTAGAGCGTCAATTGTGAAATTGCTTTGTGGGGTGATGGTGACGACGATGACGACTACGACGACGACGAATGAATTGAATGAATCAAGTTACTTGTTACTCACCTCTTACAAAATAAATGCAAATGTGTCCACTCACAGAACCAGTTGGTTGATTTGGAGGTGGTTGTTGGTAGTGGTGATGATGCTTATACAATCTTCATCTTAAATGATACAAGAAGATCAAGCAGCTTTTGAGATCGACGTCGACGACGACGACGACGTTTATTCAAGAATTGCCGGAGGTGAGGTGCAGTTTTTTTGCGAGTGGACTACTCCACGACCGGTGAGCAGTTCTGAAGTTAAATGCCAACTAAGTGGCTGGTAAGTTCGTGAAGGCAAAATGGCTCAGAATAAACTACCCTTTAGCTTATTTTTGGAAATTATTTCTGGAAAGGAAGCACACACTCTGCGACCAAAGTTCCCGGGACCCTTTAGGGAAGCCCTGAAGGAAGGAAGTTGGAGTCCCTGAGAGACAACAATGAAAATGAGTCCTAACCTGATCACTTGTTCCCATCACTTTTCAATCCTCCCAGTGCTTTCATGAGGGATACATTCAACGCTACGTTCGTGGTTGGTGGGGTTGTTGTATGGAGGAGAACCATTCCATTTGCCATGTTACGTCGACTTGTGCATAGTTTTTGGTATGTGCACAGAAAGAGAATCGCAGGCATCCACCAAAATCCCAGAGTTTGTAAAGGGATGATGAAGCCAAGCTCTTCCACTTGTGCAAGCAGCTCCTTTCTTTGTTCGTCGTCGGGAAAGGGTAACTTTCCAAATGTTGTATACACCATTGCTGCTTTTTGTCTTTAAACAAAATGGCGAGCAGTCCCAGTGTTTGAATTTAAATCAGAGCGCAGGGATAAAGGAAAATATAAACGGTTTCAACTTCACTCTACATACATATGCATGTACATTTGTATCTACGCATTTATTATGGGGCATTCTATACATGCATTGGGAATAATTGGGGTAGATTTTTTTTACAGCATGCGCTCTTATCTTAATTTTAACAGAAATTGTCAATTATTGACTATTGCATTAAATCATCGGAAAATTTGGACTGTCCAAACTTCAAAATACTACCAATTTATATGCACAAGTGTACGCGTACATATAACGTATACGAAAAGCCATCGTGAAACTGTAAAATAACCTCCAAAAAGTAAAGCATTCACCATGAATCATATCAAATAAGACAAATCTACTACTAATCCCCAAACAAAACCCAAATATAAATATAGACCTCTGCTGGTCATTTACTCAAAAGGCATTGTGTCAGGCGCCCGGCCGACAAGTGTTCATACTTATTTACGCACCTCAACCTTTCTTCTTTCCATTTAATCATTCTGCCTGAACCCAAATTCTTGGGAAGGATCAAAAAGGAGAAATCTGGACCCATCCGATACGAAAACCAATCAACACTTCGACTAACTGACTGGCTGACTAACGTACTTTTGAATATTACAGCCCTCCAAGCTAGAGAAACCTCACACATCCATAGCGATGAAATAAATCCCCCTCCATCACCTGACAAAATTCCCTTCTGACGCTACAACAACCACCAAAGCCGCCGCATGGCATGGCTCATAGGACAATGCATAATAGCGAGCATATCTTTACAGGGGAGTCAAAAACCCAGCCATGTACGACGAGCAGCTCTGGGAGCGTTAGCAGGGACAAAAAACATTGATTTGAGAAAGAGCAGTCCAAACCAAAGCCAGCACCACCAGCCATCCACGCAGCAAGCATTATTATGTCTTGTTCTTCTTCCCTTCTTCTCTAATTACTTGCACCCCATTTCATTTCTCACCAAGTCTTGCATACAACCAGCGAGCTCATCCCCCTCTCAAACTTCCTTTCGCCAACCCCCCTGCTCTCCTCCTATATTCGATATACACAAGTGTCGACTATGCTGCATGCATATAACGTCCACGATGAGTGTCTAAAGAACATAATAAAATAAATACCTTTTATTTATTGGCTGCCTATTGACGAGGCTAGTCAGGCATGCATACCTGTCTCTATATCGTCCTTATGCCTATCCTTCATGAATCTCGTATTTTTTATGCTTTTCATCTATCTCACTCATTCCGGGTCCGGCCGATGGACCACTTTTACAAACAGTTAAACTATTTATCAGACTTGAGTTGGTCTACCTGAAGCCAAAAATCTGAACCCAACCATTTTTTTTACCTCAAGTCAACCTCTCTCGCACACGAAGAAACAATGCAACGTGTTCTTAAGTTGACTGAGGAGAGCATAAAATTCACTGTACATAATATGTGCAGTGCAATGGAAGGTTAGGCTTTGCCTTGCTGTTGAATTCTTAGCAAAAATTCTTGGAAAAAGGGATGGAATTTGGGGTCTTTTTTAACCAAGTAATAATAATGCGACAGACAAGGGCAGCTTAAACTTGAGCAAACTTGGATACATATACTTATTCCAAAAGTATGTATGTATGTGTATGAGTCAATTGTGTTAAGAAGGATGTACATTCTTTCATAAATGAAACTATTTATATAATTGTTTTTTTTACCAAGCTAATTTATTAGGAAAATGCATACTCTCTAAATACACAGGAGGACACACCCGCTGTGCGAAAACTGTACGGAAATTGGCCATGTCACAATTTCACAAAACACCAAAAACCAATTGGGAACGGCAAACAATATAAATGTGTTTGAGTTAAGACGACAGTTGTTGCTTCTGTGTTTTTGTGACATTGTAAAAAAACGAAGGGAGCCTTTTCCATTCTTTTTGTGTGCATATGTACATAGAAATGCAGAGATATGTAACTCTTAGCACCACCACCGACGTATGTACCATACCATTCTCTGATGATAAGAATCAAAATGTCTTTATTTTATTTAAGGGTTTGAAAATTGTAAAAGGGCTGAGAGACACCACTATACCTACCACTTCCTTCAAGAAAAAGAGACCATGTAAACCATTTGTAGAATAATGAGTGAAGCTGGGTGGCTTTTGCGTTCTGTTTGTTTCTTTGCTTAGAAAATTCTGATCTGAAGACAGACTTTTTTAACTCGGAGAGAAATCACTCACATCGCATTAACATCACACCACACCATCCCATGAATAAAACATTAATTAGTTGTTCAATAATCAATACTGTACATACATGCATGCATACGAACAGCTATTTTAAACAAGAGGAAACTAAACTCAAGTATTATTACATACGAGTACATGCAGAAACGGATTGTTTTTGCCAATGATCATCCATTACATATGCTTACTGATAATAATAATTATTAATAATGGCACAAGGACAGAATGATGGGCAAAGTTTTGCAAATTACAAAAGAGAATTAAGAATGATGCTGATTATACATGACGGGGTCTCAAGTTCTGATTTGATATGTTAAGTCTGCCCTTTGAGTGCAATTTGAGAAGATGATACACGCAGGCATTGGATTACTGGTGAGAATGAGAATTAGAATAGGGAAGTGAGTTATGTGCGGACGATGGCGACGACGACGACGACGACGAAGAGGGTTAATTTTTAGCGTTGTGTTACAGACAGGATGTTTATAACTCTTTAAGATTATATTACATGCATGACGTGATCATTAAAAGAAAGGATTGTGCTGATGGATGATGAAGAGGAGCCAGCTCATTCCTCTGGTCATACACACATATGAAACTGCCCAGAGTGAGACATGTCTGATAAAATATTGCACGTGGTGGACCTCTGCATGCACATATTCGCATACATACGTTGTGTAAATTCAGGAATAAAACTAAATATGCTAAGATGGAAACAACAGGTTGAACTCACCTTAATATTATCTGTGTGGTTTTCTCAATGGGAATCAGCTACAATATAAATATATAAATATGTATATGTGTCTGTATGTCTGTCCTTGCTTCTTGCTGTGATTAGAATTGGTAATTTATTTTTTGTAATACATACTCACCAATACTCAGAACTGCTCTTGTCTATGTACTATATGCACATATACTAATTCCAGAAGTCGTGTGCTTATAATAATAAGATGGCGTATGTCTTTTTTGTGCCAACTAAATACTTTGTGAATATAGTATACACTACTATGATTATTACGAACAGAATAAGGCGATGGTGACAAGTTGAGACGAGAAGACCAATAAATTGAGATGGAATGAAACCGTTTTTTCTACTACATGTACATATTTATTTATAATTGAGCTTTTCTTGCACCACGAGTCAAGCCAAGTTTGGAAAGAAAGAAAGCAAAGCAAAGCATGATTGTGTAAAAGTAAATTGGATTCGGATCCACAATCGACACTTAACTGTTTATTTTATGTGCAAACATGCCCAGTTTAAATTGAATTGTGGTCGTCTTCATGATAAAAAGGATGTGTGGGGAATAAAGGGTTGTAAATAGAATGGCAGTACATAGAGCAACAACATGTGCATAGGGCTGCTTCTGCAAACCACCATTATTATTATGCACTCAAATCTTTGGGATGCTGGGTCTACTATCATCATGTCAATTGAAGCAGTCAATCATCAACATTCTTAACACCACCTCTACATACACACGCAGCAGCTTGTTGCATGCACCTACATGCCCACATCTTTCTTTCACTTATCGATTTACTTACTGTACTTTTGTGACTCTTTGTGCAATAAATGCTTTCAACTTTAATCTCTTTTTCGACTGTGATGTGTGTGAAAGGTGAGGAAGGTAGTTTTTAAAATCAATTCATAGTAAAACAAACAAGTCTGAGGACATCTGCCTTAGATTTTTGCGGACTAGTTTGCATCAATTTGAGAGCATGAAAACTGACAAAATGTAGGATGCATGCATGCATGCATATGATTGCTAACTTTATTTAAAATGTATGCATTTACTACATGCCTACTTTTTAGCTATGCGGATATGACACGGAATACACATGTACATAGAAGAAGAAGACAACGACTCATAGTTTGGGTTGACTCATCGAATAAACTTCTTGAACAATACATCTAATATGTACACAGTTTGGTTTACACATAGATACGTACGTATTTATGTACTGCATGGATGCCGGCATGAATAATCCCAAGTGATAAGATATTTTGCATGATGGGTTGTGTGTGTGTGGGTATAAAATGACTAATTTAATTAGGCACTGACTTATCTACTTACTTACCTCTTGGAAAGTGTGACTTAACGGGGTCGATGACGATGACTTGAATATGAAATTTCTAGCAGGGTATAGATTATTTATTGTCGGGATTTCAGAGTAAATCTGTCAGAAATAAATTATTCTTCCACTTGTTCCCTTCCTTCCAGAATTTCTTAACTGTATTTATGACAGCAAAACTGCACCGTGTGTGAAGTGTGACGCACAAGAACTGCACAGCAGAAAGTAACAAGTTATGCGGTAAAACCGCGGAAAAGAACTATTTTTAACACTAAGTACGTTATATCCCACGATTATGCCCATTAAAAGTCGAATTTTGGATATCCCGCCATAGCTCAAAAACCAGGTCGATTTCGAATAAGTTGTAAATAGGAGAAATCTAAGGTGGGCCATTCCAAAGACGGTCCCACTTTGCTTCGGTCGCTAGAATGTAACATCTTGGCTGTAGTATTGGTAAGAAATTTGCAGCCGAAATTGCGAAAATTTTCAAAGCTTTGAACTTAGCGCCAGACACAAGCTGCATTTCGAAAAATGGTTTATGAGAGGAAATACCACATAGCTCTGAGGAATAATTATCTAGTTGCAATATCTTCAAAAAGTCAATCTTGTTCATGCTACCCTTGTCAGAATGACACGACCCGAAAATCGACATTTTGAATTTTCGCGCCAAAAGGAGGCATGATATGAAAAAAATTTCCGACTAAAATTTGTAGCTATTCCACCTGTGGATATAACCCTGTCGCTGGTTTTTTTTAATCTTTGGCCTAAATCATTTACGGTGGTATTTAGTGTTATTTTGTAAAACAAAACGTTTTGGTGCATATTTCAAAAACGTTTCAAAATTTCGAAAAACGGTATGCGTGCCCTATACCTAGATTTGGGAGACGGTCATAAAGTTCTTTTACCTTATCTTTCTATCTTGTAAGGTTTCGCCACACGAGCATTTTTATTTAACATTGGAGTGTCTGCTGACATACTATACCTTTCATATACACATCCAGCAAGTGAACGTGGATAGAAAAAATAGAAAAATTAATGTAGGAATTTATTTTGACTCCGACTAGTTCAAAAGGCGAAACTAAATTCAATAAGCCATAAAACAGCAAAACTCTGTACTTAGAATCAGACACCATACATGCATTCGTATTTTTATGTCTGCAAAATGAAATATAACTCCAAACAGCATTGTCTTTTAATTCCTGGTGGAACAAGGTACATGGACATATTTACATTTTAAACAATAATTATTATTATGTGGTCCCCTATTGTCCTCCCTCCCTTCTTTTTATATTCTTGGATCTGCTCCAAATAATTCCAGCCGGGTAGTTGGGTAGGATAATGGGTGCGGTTATTAATAATTACAACTTATGCATATCTGTGCACATGCCGGTCATTCATTGTGTTTTTATCATAATGACACAAGTAATCAGCGTCCATGAAATACTTGTGTCAACAAAAATGTCTCGAGTTAAGACCATTATGTTTATTGGTTCACTAACATTTTATATGGTCAAGTAAACAAATGAAGTAAATCCAGAGTTGGACTGTGTATGTACATACTTGTGTAAATATGATTTGCACGTTTGAGACACCATTTCATGAACTCTGCCTCATTATTATCACAGATAAGAAAATAATACATCGTCGTGTCCAAGAGTCACACCATGTCAAACAAAAGCATAATTGGGTCATATTAAATTTACAAACGTTTGTTGGTTGTTACCGATTATTATTACTGTCGTAAAAAAATTCGATAGAGACACTTTATAAATAAAGCCAATCTCCAGTTTCGTTTCATTTAAAATTTCCTACGAGAGTTGAAAGTAAATATGGATGTATCTCCGAGAGAGAGGTTTCTGCATGTGGCTTTGTTTAAATATCCACTTCACTCAAAATATGTATTTGTTGCAAAAAATGATTTGACACTGCAATATTGTATAAATCGTTTATACTTTTCTAGTATTTTATTTTTCATTTTAAAAGACTTTTGCATAACTATATTAAAATTCGACTAGCCGGTAACATTCCTATACAGAAGATGAGTATTTGATCATTGTGATATCTATACAGAAATTACTTAATAATTTCCAATATTCATGGAGGCATTTATCTACTATGCATGTATGTATGAGGAAAGTTTTAAATATGTAAAATGTTATTATCAATCAATATTGTTCAATTCTAGCATAAAATGGAAGACTCTGATTTTCAGGTCAAATAGATTGGTCAAACAGCATTATTGTATGTAAATTATCAGCATATATCACAGAGCATATCATATCTACACGGGATCTCGAATTAAAATATACATAAGGTCAAAGGCTCTATATTGGCTATATCGCCAAATTATCAAATCGTTAAACAAAAATGCAAACGTTTAAAGCTTTGATTGCATACTAGCCATGATGCCAACTTTCTCCATCTCTAACAAAGTTTCCTGTAATGAAGTTTTGAATTTGTTGGCATCTGTCTCTGAGTTGGAATTGAATGCCGAGATACCAAAAACGATTGAATTTTTTAAGGGGTTGTAGCAGCAACCGTATCCATCTTGGGTGAGAGGTCCGTAGCACATAAACGCCTCAAACAGCGATGGCACCTAATACCAACAGTTTCCTATTAATTGTGGAAAATTAATTTATGATTAATTGCTCAAATACCCACCTGGCTTGTAGACAGTCGAAAGGATGATGATTTGATATAGCCTTCGTCTGAGAAGAGATCAGGAACATCAATTCCATTTTCAAGAGCAATTTTCTTTAAACCAAGCAAATGACGGTCAACGCCTTGAGCTTTTACGGCATCAGCTGCAAAGCGTTTATGACTTTCCACTGCGTTCTTCAACAACTTGAATTTATCCTGAATAAAAATTATATTTACACTCGTCAATTATATTATTAGGTTCATTATATGTTATCATACTTTTATCTTATACACACCTGGAGTGACAATGACGAGTCTAAAAGTGCTCGAGAAAATTCTAAAGATTCAACGGAACAAGACCTAATACATTCAGTCCTTCCTCCAGTGAACATTCTCACACTCGCAGATTCATAATGGGCAGCAGGATCTTTATGGATCCTGTAGAATGCCGCTTGTATCGCAGTCTGAATAAAACTATCTGGGCTGAGAGAACAAGTTTTGATAAACTCTCGTCCGTACTTTTTAAATGTAAATGCAGACATTTGAACATCCTGAATCAACCTAACAATAATGCAATAATACATTAAAATTGCAAGTAAAATGCAATCAATCAGTCAGATACTGCATTCACCAATCAATAGATTACCAATGCCATTAAATTACGTACTTATCAAGATTGTCCTTTGCATCTGCAATGGCTTTGCCAATATGTTTATCCTTCAAATTGAACTCCAATAACGTAGGCGTCCCTGTGCTTCCCTTCTTGGCTACCAGTACGTCACTCTTCAATGTTTCATCCTTAGTGTGGTCCATATATTGTACAATGAAGTCCATCATATTTGCTAAGAATAATTTCGTAATATTTTAGGAATCAGGCAGTACCAATTGTTAAATTAAGATGTAATTAAGATGGGGTATAAATAAATAGATAAATGGGATTAACTTTGACCATGAGGTTTGAGATTGATTCAGAAAATGAGAAATGCTTCAGATTTTTTAGGTAATGAAATAAAATCCCAGCCAATATAAATTCCATTTATACTGAAAAACCATTATAATTAGTAATTACCAATGGGCGGTCCTTCTGCTGGACTGTGTTCATACGTAAGCCCTGCTTTTCCTTCTGTCCCTACAATGAAGCTAATTGTTTTGTCGAACCTAAGCACAAAAATTTTGTATCAAATATACAGAGCTGACTAATCATGTAAATGTCTGGGCTTACCATCGGTTCCCAGAATTGGTAGTATTTCCATGAAGCATTTGCAATGCAGCCTTGCAAATATTGAAATAACAATAATTTTAGGTATAAATGGTAAAGTTTGTCACCCATTAAAATGCCTACCATTGTTTGTCTTTCACTAAGGGACACATCCTCAACTTCTGCAGAAACCGATTTTCCTGACGGTAAGTCAGACATGGCTCGATTTGGTCTGTCCAACGAAAGGACAAAAAGAGCTTCCTCAATAGATTGAAGAGATTTTGCATTCTGCGGATCTTGTTTTAATCTGAAAATTAATCCAGAATATATTGGCTCAAGATTATTATTGATCGTAGATTTTATTTCCATTACCGTTCATAAATATCTGCCCACGAGTCTCGATGTTCCGCGGTCAAAATTCCGATAGGAATACCATGAAGACCAGAGGTATCCTCGACAATTTTATTCAAATCTCCAAAAAATTCGAGTGGTTCCTTTAGCTTGCCATTACCATTGCTAATCTCCACTTTGAAAAAGTAATTTTTATATGCTAAAACATAAGATGTGAAATTTAATTATATGTGTATGATTGTAGACATAACTTAATTCAAGTATTATATATGTAAATAAACTCCTACCGACTACAAAATGCTTGGATCCTGGATGATAGGCTAATTGGTCTCTAGGTTTTTTGGGGTTTCTTGTAGTTCCAAATATTTTCTGATACTGGGACATGTCAAGTGGGATTTTTCCCATGTAATCTGGTTTGATTTTCCCATTGTCAATCATTTCTTTATAGGACAGAGCCCCATAAATCATTTTAGCAGCGTATGATAGCTGATCATCTAACGAGTCAAACTTGTGCAACGGGAATACTAAACCTAAATAAGAGAAACTAAATTAAGAGAAATTAAGAGAAATTAAGAGAAATTACCAGGGGATGAGAAGACGACCACTGATTGACGAAATTCCAAATAAGCTGTTTGCAACCACCATTCTGCCATCTGACATTAAATAATTTTTTATCATATATGCATCAATTTTTGTAATCATTAGAAATTCGGGAATCGTATTTCATAGAAACATTATAAATAAATACATATGCATTATATAAACTTACCCAATTATCCATCGAGTTTGCTTTATTCTCAAGAAGATTCTGCAGTTTTGGGCCGATTCCTGACTCGGTACCAAATTTTTTCACAATTTGGGTAGTTTTCTGAAAATCTTCAGCCGAAAGCAAAGGCTTTACCGTCCTGCATAGCAAAACAAAATCAAGCATCATAAAACAGTGCTTAATTAACTGATGCAAAAATCTAAAATAACTAAAATTTCCATAATATGAACTACCGTAAATATTTTCCCAATGTGTCGTTTAATGCTGGAACAGGTAAACGAGGAAGAATAGTCGTTTTGGGTTCTTTTTTTGCTCCCACAGATAATCGACTAGCCGACGATGTCGCCAAATGCTTCGGTAATTGCGACATTATCAAAGTAGTCCCCTGTTGTTGAGTTATTGAAGAAGTTTTCCTCAAGAACAGTTGAAGAGATGACATGTAATTTGTGTTGAGATACATTTTCCAACTTCTGTTGTGCGAATAATGCGATTGGTTAAATCAACAAATCCTTATCGAACGAATGTCGGGGTCGAAGTTAAACTATATAGTGAATTGAATGTGTATGAAGTAAAGTAATGTTGTCTGCAAATCTATGCGCTATATAAATGAGTCATGTACAGATCATTCAATAGCTGCACAAGCCTTTCAAAGTCTCAATCTTTAGAAAATCAACGATAAAACCAAATTCTTATCTTTAACAAGAATTCTATTCAACCCAACATGCAGAGTGGAAAGGAAAAGTGAGACAGACTTGTATAAAGTTTTCAGAGCAGCTGATGATCCATACATAATATTTTGTATGTATGGATTTTCTATAAAGTTTATTGTCTAAAATATTATTCATACAACTCACAAATTGCATTTTAGTTATTTTAGACAGGGTAATGAAATTAAATATCAAATGTGCATCTGTAGTATCGAGATTGACTGGAATTTTGTGTTCATTTCAATTTAAGGAAAGATCCTAATCCTACTTAAAGTTTGGCAGTTCTTGGCTTTAATTGGTGATGATGACGTCGTCAAAGGGGAGGGCCAGGGCTACATCCCCTCCACCTTATCATCCCAAAGAAGAGGAAGAAGAGAGAAATGAGGTTGTTGCAGCAGCAGCCGATGCAGTCCTCTCATCTCCCCCGTTGACCCAGATAAGTGACCTGCCGGACGAACTACTCGAAAACATCTTTTGCAGATTATCCCCCTATAACGATTTAGAACATGTCAAAATGACTTGCAAGCGGTGGTATGACATTGCTCAAAGTACGTCGATATGCATACTAATTTAATTATCAGATGGAAATTATGGATTATTATTTTCAATATAAAGCCAATGTCGTTCATGTGTTTGCAGAAGTTGTATTATTTCTCCAGACCAATTTTGAAGATGCTGTGATCAAAGGACGAGTTACAACTGCAAGGTTATCCGCAGGGATTAACCACCTTGGCCAAATTGTTCCTCCAGGTTCATGGGCAACAGAAAGATTTGGCCATATGGCGTGCTATTATGGTAAGATGTGAATAGAGAAAGTTTGTTTTGTAGCGTTCATGACATAAATTGGTCTATATCATTAGATAAGTGCCTCTACATTGTGGGGGGGACAACCCACACGCCAACTACTTTTAACGATATGTGGCGATTTGATCTCGGTGCTGGAAAATGGTCTCGATGTCTAGGTATTATTTAGATTTGAAAAACAATGTAGTACATGGATTCACGTGTAAACTTTATATGTGCATTACTGCATTGAAGCTGGTTGCATTATTATTGTGTTTTAAGGACAAGGACAATATCCTACCCCAAAGGCGTTAGCGTCTGCTACCGTAATCAAGGATAACCTCGTAATTTTTGGAGGATGGTCGCACCCGTCCGGTAAAGTCCCTAATTTTTAGGTTATACTTTATTTAGCCTTCAATACATTACATATGTATGACCAACATTGAGAATTTAAATGATGACAAGTACGTTTTTTTATTTTGTCAGCATATCCTTTGATGCAGGTAAGATATGATACACATACTTCTATGAATGAATATCTTTCATAAGCAAACTGAAAATAAGTAGAATGCAAAAGCTTGATAATATACTTGTTTACAGCCCTGGAGGATATTTGACGAGCTTCACATTTACAATTTTACCTCGAATAGATGGACACTTGTGATAGGATCGGTGAAAAGTCCTTTCCCAACCGCAGGGCATTCAGCTTCTATTGTGGGGGATAAGATGGTGATTTTTGGTGGGAGGATATTCAACCAAGCAGAACAGTCTTATCCACTCTCGAATTCTGTGTGGGTGTTTGACTTTGGTAAGAAACTTTTTTGTACAATATAAAGAAATACGAAAATATGAACCAAGTCTACCAAGTTAATTGAGATTGCTAAATAGATATATGTGTACTTAAGATAAAGAATATAGCAGTATAGTTTTACTATATTGCTCATATATTTACATATTATAGACAGTCAGGAATGGAGTGAACTTGGAATTATAGGAATGAGTCAGACACCTTCTGCAAGATACGGACCAACTCAAGTGACGCTGGATGACACACACATTCTTATTGTTGGTGGTTGCGGTGGTCCCAACCAAATATTTTCGGATGTGTGGCTTCTAACACTAATCTTTGGTACTGGACGAAATGCCCTCAAAGGAAAATGGGATAAGGTGGAAATTGCTAATTCTGAGATGTTCACTACCAATGATTTCCACTACCACGGATGCAAGGTATGCATAAGCCTTTATTAAACAAATGCCGACAATCCCAACAATAAACTAGTATTATTTTAATTCTATTTTAACAACTGCGGATAGGTTGGAAACAGTGTCGTGTTTCTGGAAAGAGCATCACCAATGTCTCCATTTTTAGCATTTTTGCAATATGACGTACAGCATAACCCTCCCGGTGGTGACCAGCAACAACGCGGTGCAAATTTCGATCCCGTAGGACAGCGCTACTTTCATTCCAGACGCCCCTCTGGAGCTAGAGGAAGCAACTCTCAAGCTACAATGTCCATCTACTCTCTAGATATTTCAAATGTATGAAAATCACGAAACCAAGATATACCTTACAATTTGGTAACAAGGATCTAAATAATTTATTATTATTTTCATTTTTTATCATGAATACATAGGTAATAGCCTCTCAAACTGCTGCCTGGGCAAAGGAGTTGGCTTCAAACTCATTATTAACAAGACCTGATGAGCGTCTTCTCTACTCAATGGTGCAAGGACGAGCGCAACTGGTGCTCTTTGGTGGATTTTATAAGGATACAACTAGCCCACGTTGTCGTGTTTCAAGCGATGTTTTTGTCATTAATCAATTACATAAGAGTTATTGAGCTTATTGTTAATTAAACTATTGTTGAATTCCATAAGGTATTCATTTCCTGTTTTTGTTACTTTCCCATTTTCATTTACACAATAAAAGCAGCAAGAAATATTAGTCAAAAGTTCTAAACATAAATGAAGATAAAATAAAAATTTTAGAATTCCACACGTTGAACGTATAAAAATAAATAGTACTAACATGAGTTCCCCCTGTGTTGAAACCCACGATTGAAACGACCTGGTCGTCGTCCACCACCATATCCCCGAGGGCTCCAACCACGATGCGGAGATGCATTCCGGTATCCAAATCTTTGCCCAGAGCCAAATTCGTGAGCTCCTCTTCCTTGTGGAAAGTTATTTCCTCTATACTGGGGGAACCGTTGTTGCCCACCTCCAAATCGAGGCGGTGGTGCTCTTGGATAAGGAAGGGCTGATGTAGCTCCTGCAAAACGGGGGTTACTGTAGGTCTGCTGCCCTTGGACTGTATTAGGACTGTCGCCATTATCTAAAATGCAGTCATTAATACATAAATTATATCACAATCATGTGGTGTGAATTGTGATAAACTTACTGTTAGGTCTTTTAAGGGGAATGAAACTGTCCCCCACGCCAGCTTCTTCTTCAAGACCACGCTTAAGTCCTCTGTTTGCATTGCCAATTTCATCTTGGGACCTTTTTCACAATAGAGCAGTTTACAATGAAGCAGAAAAAGAGACAGAGACAGTAATTGAGCTTACGCTGCACTATCAAAACTATCATTCATTTCATCTCCTCTCCAAGCAGGACCAGCGATATTAGTTCTTTGGTAGCCTTCACCTTCTCCCCCTTCAATATCTTGATTCATTCTGCTCAGTTCTGTCACCAAATTTATCAAACGTTGATCGAGATCTGGAAGGGGAAAATATGCGTCTGGATTTTCCGCCAATTTTCCAACCAGCTTCTCAATTTCAGGACGCAGTGCCACAATAGCGGATGCATCATTAGGATTCATTTTGAGATTGATCCTACAAACAAGGACGAATAATGTATCAAACTATCATCCAATGCTTTATAACGGATCGTAATGTAGATAAGTTTTCTACGTTTTTGCCATTTTTTTATTACCAATTATCCAATCGAACCATTCCATGGATGAATTCTACTTTCCTAGATCCGAACAACAACCTGTACACCGACAGGATAAAAATAAACATTATGCATAATGCTTTTATACTGATAGGTCAAAGTCCTGTAACAAGACTCTTGTTTGATATTGATATCATCACATTGAACATATTTTACTCACAAGTGGTTGGGGGAGACCATTGTCATCTGCTTACAAGAAATAGCTCGTGTTCGAATCTACACATATATCATATGTAAGAAATCGTGAGTATTTGTAAATAAAGACAAAATCGTAATGAATGAAGAAAAGGAAAATTACACACCTTTTCTCCAAAAATAAAGAACGGATACGGGAATACAATCTCAAATCTCGAACAGTTAACTGACGCTTTGTGAACCAATGCTGGCTTAGATTCGGTCGTCAAAACTTTTCGCTTTTCCTTGTGATAGCAGACGTTCGGATATAGACCGGAACATAGAAGAGCTCTAATAATATTATTAGATGAGATTATGTCCTTATTATATCCTTACATGCTATAGTATTACATAATATAGTATTACATATACCTTATTATATCCAAAACTGGAGCCTGTTCTCGAAATTTAATTTGGCATGGAAGGACTTGCTCTTCTGGGAAACCACATTGTACTAAAACTTGAAGGAGCTGATTCTGTTGGGATTTGACAAGTACAATAAAATCGTTGAGTATAAAATTTATTTGTTTAATTTATTAAGTAAATTAAGACACTATCTACAAATACCTTGGCATCAGATGTGACGCGAAGAGAAGGTTGAGACAGCATACGCTGGGCACAAAACTCCAACTCTTGTCGTTCACCTCCTTTTTCTTTGTGATACTCCCATTGTTGGAATGCATTCAATGTCGCTAAATGATCCGAGTGCTTGTGGCACGCAAATGCCCTTTGAGTTGGAGTCAATCTTTTGTTCTCTGGGCCTGTTAAATACACAACAAAATAAATTTTAAGTAACAAAGGGTAACACTATCATTGTACATACAGATATAACATAAACTCAACGTCTTCGTACCTAGTGTGAACACTTCGCTGAGATTTGACGACTGGGCGGAAATGATAGCTAATGGATCTGCACAATTGAACATTGTTCCCAGAATCAGCATTTTTCCTAATGTTGGACTGATTGGTAATTTTGCCAATATTTTTCCAAGAGGAGTCAACTCAGAGTTGGAATCCAAACAATTGAGTTCTAAATATGTAGAAACCAAACTTATCAACAATATTTACTAGCGTTTTCTGCACACAGATTTGATAAATATGTATTATTCTTTTTTTACCCGTAAGCAGGACTTGTGCTTCAATAACCGTGTCGATTGAAGGTGGAGCTGGTGCTTTACTGAGGAAATGACCAATTCCTCCAAGACGAAGCAGCTTGATAGCTAGTGCAATTTCATGGAGAGGGGTTCTCAGCATTTCGGGGGTCATATTTGCATCCAAACTTTCATATCGAGCCTATCGTTGTTAAAACATATTAATCAAAAATATTATACATCTCATAAGTACTGATTCACATTTACCTTGCTGCATAAACAAAAACAATATCCCGGTTGAACTCGACCTGCTCTGCCTCTTCTTTGCATTAAATTGCTCTTGGACGCCCAAACTATCCCAAATGGGTAAAATTTTAAAATATGTGGAAAATTTCAGCTTTATCTGTGGTGTATTAAATTTTACCCGTAGCAAATGACATCAAATTGTTGTGTGATGTGAACAGTTTGAGCTTCGCTTTGCATGAATCCACCACAAACACGACATCATCAATAGTTATGCTAGTTTCTGCAATATTTGTGGCCAGTATAATCTGAATTAAACAAGAAAATGTTTATTGAAGATAGTTCAGAATGCTAAATAATGCTTATTATTACATAAACCTGAACTACACTTACCTTAGTCAGGTGGCCTGCAGGCTGGAATACTCTGTGCTGATCTTCACGGGGTAATTGTGAATGAAGGGGCAGCAACAGATAGCTTGATCCCGATCCTAAAATATGTGTATTATAACTTTATACACAAGCCAACCGTTACAAAATCAAGAGATGAAACAAATTATTTTGTGCGTCGTGATCACTCTAGATTACGAGAGGGGACAGCAAGTAAAGATCTTATAAATGGGTTTCGACCGTTAATAATTATTGACACCACTAAGCACTAAATATAATGGACTTTACCAAAGATAGGGTGCTCTTGCAAATATTTTAGCACTCCAAAGATGCTATTCCACCCGTCAAGAAATATAAGAATGGAACCACGAGCCTCCAAACTTCGAATGTGCTCCAAGAGTGCCACGAGTAACTCAGGATTCACAAATTGTTCAGATATTTGTGCCATAGATCTTTCAGTGTTGACAGAATACCCTGAACCTGGGGGAAGAATATTCATGTTTCCTTCAGACTTTAATAATTCATCTTCTCCTTCTTCTTGCTTCTTCTTTTTGGCTCGCCTATCATGTACACACAAAACAAACATAACATTGCTATCATAATTTTTAGCATTAAAGTAAAGAAAGTATAAAGAACGCAGTAAACTAATTAGACGTATATATGCATGGTGTTGTTGGTCGTGCTCGAACCTTATGGAATCCATAGAAGGTTTAAACTGAAGTTTTTCAACAATATCTTCAAGATAAAATGTCTGAACCGGGAATGTTCTGCCTTCAATTTCTAATACTGGACAAGAATTGAAGTACTCGGTGAACAAATTCGTGTCAATTGTAGCAGACATTAGAATCACGCGGAGATCAGGATAGATAGATAGCATATCGCGAAGCACGATTAAAATAAAGTCGCTATTTACATCCCGTTCGTGAATTTCATCCACAATTACATGCGAAACACCTACAAAAAATATTAATTTAATTAATTTTAACCCTTTAGTATGTCATCAAAATATAAAAACAATACCTCTTAAACCTCCTTCTAGCTTCCGCAACAAAACTCCTACGGTGCAGAACAAAATGGATGCATACGGGCGAGGCAAGCATGACTCGAATCTTACCTTAGAGTATTTAATAATAATATCATTATTATTAAATATTATTAAATACTATATTATTAAAATTATTATATATTATTATTATTGTAGTACCGAATAGCCAGTACTCTCTCCCAAATCTTCGCCCCTTTCAGAAGCTACTCGTTCCGACACACTAATGGCAGAAATTCGCCTTGGTTGTGTACAAACGACAGAACAATATGCTCCCTGTTCACTTAATAGATAATCATCGAGGATGTATTGGCAAATCTGGGCATTCATAATTAATTAGTAATTAAGTTTAGGTACGTAATTCGAAGATCTCAAAAGTATACCTGTGTGGTCTTCCCAGATCCCGTTTCACCCTATGTTTATACAGTATTAATTACTAACACTTTTGTCATTATTATTTGCAACAGGTGATTCTACTGATTTGTAAAGTTAATACCTTAATTAGTATGACCTGATTTTCTGAAATTGCATCCATAATCATAGACCGGTACTTATACACGGGAAGTGAGTTCCGAACTTCGAGCATCTTTTGCACATGCTCATTTGTCTGTTGTTGTAATCGAAAACTTTCAAGAAATTCGCTGCTAAGTTGTTCCAAGTTCGTCTGTCAATGTAATCAAGGCGACATTTCAAGTATCGTACATTACAATTATTTTCAGGAATTGAACAAAAATTTACAGTGGCAAGATGTCCCAAATCGATATTTGAGTTAGTCCATGGATTCCAGTTAGGAAGAGGTGGGGACCATGAAACTACTCCCTGATGTTTTCCAGCATCTGATACATCGTACTTGACATCAGGTTTGGACGAATCTGCCAACAGAGAGATGCCTACAGGATTCCCTTCCGCATCTTGGGAGGAAGTTTGGTTTAGGTCAACTTGCTATTTTAAATGTGTTTCACAGACAACAAGGATTACAGATTTAGTATATGGTATCATGTATAACTCAATATACCTTCGGTATCACTCCTAGCTCTCCTAGAATGGAATGTACATTTTGCATTAGAGCCGGATCTATTGACGCTTCAAATGACTTCATGGTCTCGGATTCCTTTGTCTTCTTTGTTAATCCAGAATATGCTTCAATGACGCCCAAATGATACAGCTGTCGAACGAGTGACAAAGCACAACTTTTTGAAGCTGTCTGTTTGTTCGATCCAGTTTCAGATGCGCGTAGTTTCCTTCCAAGTTCTCTTACATAAAATTCCATATCTGCACGAAAACTCCTACGCCATAAACAACAGATAAAGTGAATTAAATTCAGCAGCAAAGCGAATTTAAGAATTTCAATATGAGTAATGCTTTTTAAAATAATTGTTTTTTTAAATTAAAAGCATGCAGTGAATTACCTTTGGATCTGAGATAACAAACACAACCTCAGCCACATCTCCTTCAATCAAATAACAAATATGGATACATAAATAACTTTTGAAGGAGACATGGCTGTAGCTTGTGTCAAAGGATATACATTCATATATATACATAATTGCACAGAAAAATTGAAATCTTGTAACAATAATTTTGTATGTTACTATTTTTGGGATGAGGAGCTTTAACTTTAATTCTGCAGGTGAAAATTAAGTCTCCTCATGCTTAAATCAAATGAAACATCATCCATATCTGGAGAACTTTCTCCTTTCTAGGAAAAAGAACTCCAGCCCGATTAATTAAAACTACATCTCTTCTTCACACTGTTATTTCTACCTCTGGTGATCTGGTCCAACCGTACTATAGACATAGTCCATATTGTGAATTCTATTTGTCTGGAGGAATTGATGCAGTCGACCTTTAGCATTTTCCAGTGTCCAGTTTCCATGAATCGCTGCATTAAAATCAAGTTCCTCTGCATCTGCCACGTTTTTTGCGTTCATCATTTGGAATGGGATTTGCCCATCGTACCGCCTTGTAAAGTAAACCACCCCAGTAAATTAATTTTGTAAATCTAAATCTACCACGATTTGAGGTCATTCTTGCATATAAATTTGAAATTATTATTTTTTACCTATAAGCCTTCCCAAATTCCGAGGGCCCTTGTCCATCGCTAAACACTGGTCGCATAGTTGACTTGTCTCTAGCCTCGCTAACCCCTGGTTGAAATATTTGAGGGGCCGGCGCTGAAGGTACGAATGACAACGCCTAACCAATAACAAACAAAGTATGTCATTATTCAAACTTCTCGTCCAGTATTATCACAATATAGTATACTGACATGTTCCGGAACTTCACTAGGGTTAATTTGTGCAGTTCGTATAAGATATTCGATAAAGTCTCGAGCCGCATTGGTGGACGCATCTTTTTTGCTTATAGAATTGCCGACCCCAGTGTAGTTGAAGCCATCCACACGTAGCTCACAAATGAAACGAGGTCTGGCTTTATTTCCTAAAGACCAAAACGTCACATAAATTATGATACGCTATTCAATATGATAAAATAATGTGGCTATTTTTTATTTATTTACTTACCAGGAGCACCACGAATATTATAGTCTGGTGTCACTTTTCTAGCCCCAAGCCAAGCATAGAGGAAACTTTTAGGATTTTCTGAGGATGTTTCCTCCATTTCTCAAGATTATTTAATATTTTATTTTAATGCAATCAAGTAAATTAAATTTTTGATAATCAAATGCTTTCCGCAAGTTCGTGTTCTGTGGAAGGGAAGAGCCGATTGTCATTTTCCAATACACTAAAATCTAGGTTCGCTCCTGCAAGTCGGGGTGTGCTAAGATTATGGATCCTCATCCATAAATATGTAAATAGTAAAATTCTTGATTATAAATTACAAAATATTTTAAGTGCAAAATTTACTTTACACTCCAAATGCTGTATATCGAAAGTAAACGTTGAGTAAAGTCCTCTTTAAAATGATGCGAGCATGTTTACGATGATCGGTTTCGTCTCCATTATTGCGTCCGAAGCATGGATGTACTATATGTATACGTAAGAAGTCCGAAGTGACTTCGGCGAAGTCAATGTTTCAAACATTTCATGGGAGTAAACCTTTCTTTCTATTCTATGGAATAAACTTCTTGTGTTTTTTCTCATTTGTCAACTTTATTCATAAATGTTTTGTAAAACGTGATTATTATAACTAAATATGCACATAATTGTACTTTGAACATTTTGTTGGCACAATTTTACATATCACATGAAAATAAAAACTATCTTGCTTAATTTATACATGTGCTTTCTCCAATAGTTAAGAGCATTCGAAGAAGTTGTGGTTGAGCTGAGATTTGAGTTTTCGTCTAGAAAAAGGTGCATTTTCATTTACAATCTTATTGTCCAACTCCATGTCTAAACTCTGCAAACTACTTGATTTGACCACGAGGCGTGGTGGTGAACCTTTAGAAGGCGACACCTTGACTCTACTGGTGGTGACCCGTTTAATTTTGCAATTCTGGACCATAGTTTTGCTAGCGACACTTCCAAACTCGTTATCGTTGCCCTTGTTATCTTTTTTCAACTGTTTGGGAACAATGGGACACCTTGTTCTCTTCTTACAATCAAAGTGCTTCTTCACGTTGTATGGATGTTTAATACAAATGAGAGCTTCGGATGGGGTTAGGAACCAGCGGAGAGATTCTTTGCGAAAATATGGCAATATGTCATCATTGTGAGTTATCTCGTTGTGCTGAGTTATCTTAATTATAGGAAACATGAGATATGTATTTATTTAAATCAAGTCAAATTCTATTTTTCACCAATTATTTACTCACCATTTCAATACTGTCAATTAGATTTTGTGCGTATCTCAAACATTCTTCGTATCGATAATTAACGGTGGCATTTTTACTACCGTTATCATCATGTCCAGAGCAGTTGAGATGAGCTCTGTTGAATGAATGAATGTCGAAAGATTTTATGGTTACGTTTGAAGGGTTTCCCAGCTCCTTAATAATTCAGCAAAATTCACAGAATGTATAAAACGAATAGAATAACAGTGTTGAATATTGAATATATGTATAATTTAATCAAATGTGAACTTACCATTTTACCCGAAAATCTAAATATTCCAGTTTTTCGGTCCATTTCATAAAATGGGAGAAGTTTCCACCCTTGATTTGCACAGAGTTTGATGGCTTGTATGATAAAAGTTACTTCCGTTTGGGTGGTAGCATAAGAAAGGGAAATGGTCGTAAATCCTGGTGTAAGTTGTTGGTCATACTTCTTGGCTAATTTAGCATCAATTCCAAGCAGTTCTTGAGAATGTAAAGAATCCCCCATGCAAGCAGTGCTGGATTGGATTCCAAAAAGGTCAGTAAGTAAGGTAGCAACAAAACCGTGGTGCAAAAAGTATCCCTGCAAATAGGTACAATTCCTTATAAATAATTAATTCTAGTAAGTAATATTTACACAAATGGTTGTTTAGAATTAGATAATTACCGTTTCTACGTGTTTAATCATAAAGGATACCAGAGGCAGGCGTGCAGACTGTGCTATCCCCAGAACCACAAGCTCAGGTATTGTGATCCACGCATCCAAAACTTGTCTGCATACATAAGATTTTGTTACTATTTTAATACAAGTCACGAATTCCCTGGACAGTGAAATGTAAAATTAAATTAATTTACTTACCTTGTGAAATCTGTTTCTTTCGGCTTAATTAGAGTATTAAGATCAGTGGAACAATGCACTTTCAAGACCAATCCTAATCGTATTTCTGCAATACCATTTGTACTTGGCGTCTTACTATTTATTTTCCGTTCTTCTAGTGCTCTGTTAGTTTTATTGAAGAGGAATGAACTTTTTGAAATCAGTACATTTGATGTTTGTGCTCCACCAAGGAACTTGTGTCCAGTGATGAAAATTGCATCCTTTCTGGCCAACTTGTCTAATTCTTCTTGACCAGTTTTTGGATTTACTTGGATTTTCACGTGAGGTCCAGCAGCATAATAATCCCACACCACGTGGGCAGAATATTTATGAAGTAACGTTGTGATTGCAATTTCGTCATTCAAGGCCCCCGTTACATTCGAGCTAATGGAGAAGGAGCCAATAACCAACCTAGATTTGAACACTTTTTTGGATTTGAGTCGTTTTAGGACGCGTTCTAGGTATTGAAAGTCCAAGCTTCCGCTTATATTTCCAGGAATTTTGATGACCTCATGAGAAACCTGCGCCCAAGCGGACAAGTTGGAGAATGACTGAAAGGGTCCGAGAATGACGATAGGCCGCGACGAGTCTTTCTTCAAGTTTAATGCCAGTAAATTGACCAAGGTTTGAATTGGTTCACAATCTCCACAAAATATGACTTCATCTTCGTCTCCACCTCCGCATATTTCAAGAACAATCTGCTTCGTTTCTTCCCTGAAGATATATAGATATTAATTAAAAAGTTTGAAACTCATTCAGTTTCTCATTCGTCATTGTTTTAATAAGTATTTGTCTCACTTTACCTCATTTCAATTAGTTTGGAATTTGTCGTGTTACAAGAATAATGTGGCAGCACATTTTTGGCAATGAATTGTTCAATCCCTCCGACGGGTCTACCTTGGTCGAGATACACGCCTGAAATGTGTATTGCATATAATTAGTGAAAATTATGTACACTAAAATTTGAGAGCAATATAAAAATTTAGTGGCATCAGTCACATTTACATACATTTTCTAGGTCCAAATGGTCCATCTATTTCCTTATTGCTACCAATGATCCCCAGATTGTCAATTTTTCCACCACTATTTACAACGGTTACATTTGGGTGTCCGGAATTATATGAAACGTAACTGTATCCATCCTCATCTTCTTCTTCTGTGAAACTGACACTGCGAAATCGTGCTGATTGTGTGGAAGTAGGAACAACGAGTTCATTTCTCCTAGTTTTGAAAGATGTGGTATGAACACTGCCAAACCAACTCTGATGACCAGAATCACAATCGGAAATGCTGGCATAGTCATAATCGAAATCAGGAACATCTTCTTCTGATGAATCACTGCTACTAGCCCCCTCAACTTTTATACAAATTGGGGCTGATCCATTTTTTGGGGGGATTAATAATAACCCATCACTATGAATCTTTACATTTTTCCTTGAAAGTCTTGGTCTTGGCAAATTTGAAGATTTTCTTAGTTTCATATCTCCATAATTTGAGCCTAAAGTCGAAAACTTGTTAAGGTCAAGTTCAAACATTGTCTTGCAAGTAAGCTAAAGTTCCAAACTTTGTATTTTCCTAATCTCAATTGTTTATTCGTATAATAAAATGTTGGACAATTTATTTTTCAAGGTTTCTTTGTTTATTCTAACACAAAGTAATGCATACAACACGTGCTAAGTAACAAGTTGTAAATGAACTAAACGAGTTTGTGGCATCTTACTTGTGATTTATAAAGAATGGTATGAATCTACTACGAGCAGCAAACAACGTGGTCACAAAAACAACTATTTATTAATACAAATATATTTCGCATCGCTAAAGAAATTGCAACAATATACAGATACGTATGCACGTATACTTATTTGTGCACAATAGTGCAATTAGTCCATCACATATCTTAATACGTATATTATCGCATTCGCAGTACAATTATTTATCGTCTACCAAAGTTCTGCGGAATAGATCTGGGTGGAGACAAAACAACTTTAAGCAAATAACAAATATGCACGCTTAAAAGCATTGCAATGATTTCTGAGTATGCATATCTTCGGCTAAGAAGAAATCATTAAGTAATTGGGCTGCTGAGATTGAATGCAGAAAGAATTGTCTCACCTTGCGAATCCAACCAACCCTTCATAGTTGATCTGTTCATAATGCAGACTGTTAGCATGTGTTGTTTTTGCCATGCATATGTAGTACATAAAGGCGAAGAATGATGGACAAAAAGATGCATATAGTTAACTAAGGATGACCACTGGTCATTCCTAGATAACTGAGCAAGTGGCCTTCAACCTTGCGTCACGAAGTGCAGAAATTTCCCGTCCTTAATTTGTTGTTAATTGAACTTGAGGTGTTGCCTGTTTGTGAGGGTAAATCAGCCAGAAGAACTATCTGAGCATTTAATAGCATTTTGTAGTCTGTTTTACATATTCGTAAAGAATTTTGGGAAATTGATGAATTGCTTACAATTTTCTTATAAGTATAAAACCTGCACACGGATATTCGTAACTGATAAAAGTTTTATCATAAAACTAAAACTATGTATGCGATGCATAAACTATGCATTGCTGATCTAATAGTAATTAATTATTGCGACGCGACAAAACTTCATTGCCCATTTAATTGCGCGATATAATTGCAACAGGGCAACTCCCTTATTCCAGTTTTCGATTAAGACGTGCAATTGACGAACATCAATATCATTGGTTGATAATATAGGCGTAACCTGCATATGCAAAACGTATCTCATGTAATGAAAAGTTCACTGGAATTAATTTAGAAGTCCGATTGAAAACCACTTTGACTACGCATTAGTGTGACACTACTAATTTATTAACGTCAACCTGAATTGTTAAACAACAATAATAATAACTTTGCATACTTGGTAATTTGCACTGATGAATGACACGCTATTTCTACGCCGTATGTATATTTATTCAGAAAGCCAGTCGACCGATTTCAGTTATACTGATAAACCATCAGAGTTTAGAAGATTATGTATGTTCATGCAGACAGTATATTGATTAATATTTAAAATCATGTGACAATGCATTTTTTATGATTGGAAACATAAATGAACTAAATGAAGCATAAAAGTAATGATTTCCTTCCTCGTAATTACAATGGCAACAATGAGTACACGTGATTGTAATCACTTGCTGTCATATTTAATAATGTCAGTTTTATTTGGGCTGGGCCCTTGGATGTACCTGATGAACATGCATGGATAATAATAACGAGATAATTTTATTTGATACTTATTTATTTACTTTCCAGACTGAAACGACACCATCTTTCTGTTGCATTACTAATCATCTTAAGTGCATCTTGCTGGCTATGTTCAATACTTTAATCAATTTAAAATACGTTTGCATTTAAAAATATTTACAAAGGCCGAAATGGGCGAATGGGACTGCTACTATAGCAGTGCTACTGCCTATGAATATGTACTTATGTATGCACAAGTGAGAAAGTGAGATCTATAAAACCCGGCACGCAATAACCGGCGGCTTTCACCTTTTCATCTTTGTTTTGTTGTACATGAACATGATACGTACATTCCTCGATTTATTCAATTTGAAGCATTTTTAGTTTAAAGATTTACAACATTGTATTTTCTGGTAAGTTTGTTTTTGTTTAATTGTGAAATTTTACATTCTTACGTTGCCTATAATTAATTACAGATAATGTTCGTAATTCAACACGTTTTTTAAACTGTCATTTATGTATACGAATCGTATAATACGATACGTAAATATATGTCAAAGTAAAAATGTGAATTTGTTTTTTAAAATAGGTTTTCCGAACAGAGTTGCTTTAAATAATGAACGAATTATTTAAATATTAAATAATAAATAATTTTCGTTCCCAAAATTATTTAATTAATAAATAATAAATAACCACGAAATTTTTTATTTCATTTAAATAATAAATAATAAATAAAACTTTGGGTTATTTAGAATTAAATAATTAAATAAATAAATTATTTAAATAATTATTTAAATTTTAAATAATTATTTAGTATTGAGAAGATGCAGCCATTGGGGAATTTACCGAAACAGAAAAATAATTATCAAATATAATAATGCGATTTGAATCTTATCGTTAAAAAAATTCAATTCAAGCGCGTTTTTGTCAACATTACGACAAATTTTGAGCTGAAAAATTATTTAAGTAAGGCTATTATTTAAATAATAGAAAAACCGTCAATTGGAAATTATTTAAATAATAAATAATAAATAATGATCATCAATTATTTATTTTTAAATAATAAATAATAAATAATTTCCAAGCGTTATTTAAGCATTATTTAAATAAGAACTTATTTAAATAACGCATCTCTGAAACGCAGATTCCTGCACTCCACCCACCATGGATATCAGCACGTCGGTGGATGTTGATGTTCCGGAATTGGAAAATCGCACAAAAGAACAACCTGAGACCTCCTCTGCAGATCAACTTGTTCAAGAAGGGGAAGAATTGATAAAAGAAGCTGATCTCTCTGAAAGAATAATCTCGGAAGATGCTGAAGGAACACAATTTCCAGATGCCACAGAGACTTCCCAGGGACAAGATAATCACGAAGACTTACTCAATGACGATGAGAACATGGAGCAGCTCCCAGAAGAAGAGGCACATCAAGAAGTGGACAAAAATGCAGAATCGATGGAAATTGTACCTCCAGACGAAAATCATGAAGAACAATTAATAATGGAAGAATCATGTCCTGACACAAATGTCGAAATCGAGGAGGAGGAAGAGGAAGAGAATAACCATGCGACAACTTTACAACTTGGCCGAATTAAGAAAATTATGAAAATTTGTCTGATGACAAATGAAGCAGTTGATGAAAATACTACGTTGGTAAAGAAACCTGTCAAAAAGGGGAGAGGATCTAAGAAGGCTGACGCTTCGACTAAAAATCAAGGAACGTCTAGTTTTATGTTGTCCAAAGAAGCTATATTCCTCACAGCAGTGGCTACGGTATATTTCAAATATTCAAAATGTACTCCATGTAGAAATATTAATTTAATTATTGATTTTCTTTCTGTATTATATTCCAGGAATTATTTGTGGCCGCCGTTGCTCAACAGTCGGGTAGAATTACAGCATCCACAAATAAAAAGACGATGACGAACGAGCATTTAAAGCGAGCTTTGAGCGATTCTGAACAGTATGAATTTCTTTCCGGATGTTTCCAACCTTCCATTCTAATCGAATAGGCTCATCGAACAGTCTAATCTCGTGTTAATTTTTACTATAATAATGGTGGCTATTATTTGATACGAATGACTGTCATATCCACCCTTGGATGGTAAATAAAAAATAAGTACTTTGTAAATCTATTGACATGATTTCAGTCAAATAAGTAAATAAATATTTTATTTTACGCATGTATCTCACGATAACATATCTCGCATAATGAGTGGAAAGACATCATGACAGTTTTGTTCATAAACAAATAACCAAATATATTTATGTAAATATATTTGGGGTGTTCGTGCATGCAGGTTTGACGTATAATACTACAGGAAATAATTCACGTGATGCCACCATAGATCTGTGTATGAAAGACCTACATAGGACGCATGCTTACCTCATAATCTTCATCATACATGGAATGGTGAGCATTATTACGTACAGTTATTATTGCTACATAGATGTTATATTAGATATTGTTGGATCATATGTCTGTCTTCACGTAGATTGTTCATCATACATTACAAAAACGTAATTCTAAAGTCATATTATTTTTCAGTGTACAATTCTTTATATTCTATGACAATTCATTTGAGTTTCAGTGACAATCCAAAGTCCACCTTATATCCACTATAAGAGTCACGAGTTACAAATTTGAGAAAGAAGAAGAAAATCCCTGCAAAATGGGCCAGAAATCTTCTTCTGTGGACTTTTTAGAAATGTTTTTCTGGTCAGTAGTGGGTGGACTATTACTTTTCCACTTGTTCAAAAAACTGCTCTTGTTCCAAAGAATGCCACCAGGTAAGTTCATTTTGTTAACACAAATCCATGAATATTGCCAAATACATGCTGAAAATTAAATGCATGAACCTATGCAAATACATAAAAGAATTTGAATATGTATGTACAAATGAACGTAGGTCCTTATGGATTCCCAGTTATTGGTAGACTTATCCACTTATTGAAAACCGATTCTATCGATGAATTTAAAAAGTACAAGAAACAATACGGTGATATTTTTTCTTTTTCTTGTGGAGATCATTAGTAAGTTTTAAATTATTTATTTATGAAATATATTTATCAAAACATATTTGCATATTAAAATGTAGTTTCCTATAGCGTAATTGTCATAAATGGTTACAAAAATATTCAAGAAGTCTCCAAAAGAGAAGATCTTTCAGGTAAATTTGTCATCTTAATGTATGCACAGTTGACAGTATATTGCAATGAATGTGTGTAATTGATACATCACCGAGCCCGGTTGATAATTGTATGTATCTATGTCTGAGCGATAATTTTAATAGCTATATATGTATGTATGTACCCATGGTATGTACATACATTTATACTTGAATTTCAGGCAGGCCAGATTTTCATGTGTGGGACATTAGAAATTTCGGCAAGCGAAACCGAGGAATTTTGTTTTGCCAAACCAAACTTCAAGCCGAAATCGACAACGTTATTGGAAATCGACCCGCACATAGAGATGATAAGCCAAAGTCAGTTAACATATCTTTTTACCATTTAACTTTTTGTGTCCTCCTTAATTCCAATGTCAGTCTACCACAAGGCCTTGAAAGATACAGGTTAGTGGACGATGGTTTTGCTGTACATATATATGTATAATCAAAGAACACAACTAATTGTAAATGGATTTTATGATTAGAGTTGCATGGCCATTTGATTCCAAAGGGGGCTGTCCTCTTTCTCAATATAAACGATGCCCATCACGATCCTCAAGTTTGGGGCGACCCAGAAACTTTCAGGCCTGAAAGATTTTTAGATTCTTCTGGAGCCAAAATTGTTAAGCATGAAGCTCTCATGCCATTTGGCGCAGGTAAGTACACACAAATTTAGATGAAAAAGCAACAAACATTATTCTTAATTCATAATATTGCATAGGGACATGACAATGTTTGGGAGAACCTTTAGCTCGCGACACGCTGTTTATCGTTTTGTCAGGATTGCTGCAACATTTTAATTTCGAAATTGATCCAGCCATGGCAAATAACGTTAATATCAAAGGAACTCCTACCTTCATTTCATCCCCAAACGCATTTAAGGTGATCATATCTGAGAGGGGGTGAATTTTGTACTTCTGTTGCATTCGTAAATAGGCTTGCTTCATTTTGATGTGGAAACAGGATAGGTTACTTGGTAGAGTTATCTAGTTAGATACGTAATAATTCGATTCGCATTTTGAGCTTCATTAAATATTCACCCTACCCGCATTCGATGCATATTTCTAAAATGGTTCAGTTTCAACTTTTCATACTTTAATAATAAACCTAATAAATTAATAAATACATTTTTCAACGGATTTAAATAAATTAGCCTATGTAGGTAGTAAATTAAATATTAACTAGCAAATATATCACTTAATCAAAATTATGATACTCCCAATGTTTTCTAAAAATTTTTGATAAATAAATTTGATGTTAATATACAACATGCATATTTACATGCCGAAGTCATGAAATCATTAACATGAATCATGGTTGACATTGCTGGGATAATCCGCATGATTTATGACTTTTACGTTTGAGGTTCGCAGTAAACCACAATTAAATCGTAAAACTCGAAAGTGATTGTTGTTATTCTTAGCACAGCTTCAATTTGAAATACTTGGTCAATGAGTAATTACATAAGTGCACCATTATTAACCTCGTCACCTTGAATTTGCATTTATATTTGAACATATGCATAATCTTATCTTATCTATTTCATTTCATCCTTTATTAACATTTTAGTACAGATCAGTTTACAAACCCAAACTGGTATGACACAACAAGCTATAGCTTTAACTTATAATAAGTATTGGCAATCCGGAACATGCATGTATTTATCTGCATTCTGCATTTACACAAATTATCGGAACATTAGCCAGACTATCATGGTCTAAAATACGTTAAGTTCACCAAGTATAAATTAGGCCACTTCACGTCTGGCGAGAGAGACGTTTATCATCGTTGGTCATTGAAAAGCAACTAATTAAATTACAAAAGTTGTATCCTCAAAGTAAGTAAAATGCCGGACTCCTCATCGTCTTCCGATTCTGAAGGCGAGACTCCGAAGGACAATAGTGAAGCATTCTTGAAAGAAATCCAAGACCTGAAAAATGCTTTGGACGAAATCACAAAGGAGAGAGACCAAGCTCGTGATGACAATCATAATTTAAAAGAAGAAATTGAAAAACTGAAAGAGCATATTGAAAAGGTATGGTATTCAGCAAATCCATTGAAATTTATATACTAAAATAAAACTCGAAATTTGTCTAAAGCAATTTATTTTCGTATTTAGCTGAAGGAACTCGAGTCCAAATTGGAGTCAAAAGAGAAAGAAACGGACGAAGCCAAAAAGAATTTGGATGAGCTTAAGGACAAGTGTGAAAAATACGACGAGAAGCGTAAAAAGATGAAGGTATGAGATTCCTTTTTGCACATGAATCATTTAAAATTTTTATTTTTTTTTATCTCGTATTTTTGTGTGCAAAGGATTGTTGTCACAAGCAAAAGGATACAATTAATCGTTTCCTGAAGTTCTTAGAAGAGGAAGAACACCGTTTGGAGTCATTTAGAAAGGTACAAATATGAAACAAACACATTATCCATCGAGCATATGCAAAAATTGTATTTTATGTCAGGATGAAGGCGAAAAGCATGGCGATGGGTGTTGCTCGGACTCTGATTAAATTTTATATATTTATTCACAATAATATTTTTAAAAAAATTAAAATCACATGCAAGTACACACTGCTTTAATATTGTTGAATTGGTTTATTTATAGATTTACAATTATCCTTGCAAGTTTATAACTTGCTGTAAAAATAAATTGATGAAATCACGTACTAAATATATGACTACGTATTTATGGTTCTGTATGGATTATATTTTTACATTTCCGACTACATATATTGCTTTTCATAAGGTTCTCACAAGTTAACAATATTTTACCAAAGGGAATAGAGTGCATGATTCTATATTTAGATGAGATACATAATACATTTAATTAAGTATTATTCCAGAACAGTTAGTATAGTATTTCACCACTCTGTTTAACATAGTATTATATATCATAAGTGATACTTATCTTGTAAACACTTGACCCAGCGCTAAATTGAACTCGTCCATCAATTAAATCCGTGAATATATAAATAATCACAAACTTAACAGGCATACATGTTCAAATATCTACACCCAACGGGCAAAGGCATAGGAATTCCCTACGATTTCGAGATAAAAAAGCCTCTCGATTCTAAGCGAGGGTAGCTCGAAAAGATCTCGAATTTACAGTTAAATGTCCAGCGAGACCTAAGGAAATCCTCTCGATTATTCGGAGATATTGGCGACACGATTTCCAGCATTAATCGACGAGATTTCGTATTTGCCTGAATATCGAATTCCTCTCGAATTTTATGCGATTTCATTGGGATTAAAAAAGTAGCATACAAAATACATTGCATTGTTTGTGTCTTAATTTATTTTACAACAAATAACTACCAATACAATTTGTATCAAAAAATTAATAAGTTAATGATATAATTTATAATTTTATCTTCACTCAGGATTGCCAGGTTGAGCAGCTACATTTCTAAATAATAATAAAATAGTCCATACATTATACAACGATTCAATTTGATATATATTCATAGAAATATATATATTAATTTAATGTTTCTGTACTTACCTCCTTTGTCTAACTCGATCATGGGCTTGCTTCAAAACAGTCGGAAGCACTTCATAATACTTAATCAAGGTTGCTTCTCCAGATGTCCGTGGATTTCTCATCAGTGCATCTAATAATTAATTAAGCAATTCACATAATTAGACGCGCTCATAATTAGCTTTAAATGACCCCGCTCGATAAAAAATTCATACGAAAGGGTCTGATTAATGAACTCAAACCATAATACGATATTTTTATTTTCACTTACCAAAAATCGAATTCACAAGAAGAGCATGATCGGCCAGCGACAATTTTCCCCGCTTCCCTTTGTGACTATAGAGTGAACAAAGTTCATCCGTCATTAAAAAGGACATCATCCCTTTAACGGCTTCTAACAAAGTTGCACCCCCGCAATCTTTCAGCTTACGAATCTATAAAATATACAGCAATTAAAACATCTTTAAACAAAAACATATTCATGGTCTAATTACATACCAATGCATTTTTGGCAGCCTCATCATTTTTTAATTGCTCATCCAGTGACGAAAGAGCTGCAGAATCCCGAAGTGGAAATAATCCGAAAGGAAAGGAGAAAGTTTGCTGACTGGAAGCGAGCGGTTGATTATACTGATTATTCTTTAAAATCTGCACAATTTCATCCAGTTGATCTTGTTGGCGATCGAGTACAATAGTTATTCTTTCTATTTTCTTTAGAATTTCAGGGAGTAATCCTAAAAATTATTGTTTTGTTTTTAAATTAATTAATGTTAAAATATTGCATTTGTGAATAAATGATCTGCATTCACAAATAAATATAAAAATAATCCCTTTATTATCTTGTGTACCTTGATCGCCAACGGTTCTATTCATTTCTTCTACCCTTTGCGGGGGAGCCTGGCTCATTGCATTATTCAGGATTATTTCGCCACGCTCCATTCCTCCAAAGTCGTCGCCCTCATTTCCTGCAAAGTGGTCCCCCTCTTGATTCCTTCCCGTATCGACACCAGCAGCCAGCAACTCTTGAATTGTGTAAATAGTTTGAGAAGTTGAAGCCATTTCTTCAATTTGATGTCGCGGAGGGTTTGGTAGCTGAGTAACGGGTCCAACATTCTTCTTCACGACACGGCGTTTGGCGCTGGATAAATCAGATGTTCCCTCTGCAACTTTGGACTCCTGTCTAGCTTCTTGCAAAGTCCCTTAATATTAAAAAAATATATATATATATATGTAAATAAATGTAAAGAATACATAATAAATCATTTGTAGGTTTTTAAACTCGATCTTATTGTTTAAGGAACAACAAATTATTGTTCAAGATCTCACCAAATTAAAGTTATCGTGCAACTGCTAAATTGTGAGTACAATATACTAGTTATTGACTTCATGGAAATTACTTAATTTTTTCACTCACCATATTGTCCAAGAACTCTTCCTTGATATTGTGTCCAGTCTTCCTTGGGCGATTCACAACGTTTGATTGCTTTTTTTAAAACTTTATGTCCATAATTGTTCGGCCATAAAATGGAACCATTAGATATCCATGAAACTGGAATGGCCTCCACAGTCTCTATGTCTTGATTATCTTTACACTCTTTAAATACGACGACGGCGTATTTTTGCTCCATTTTTTATTCGTTGAAATTATGGAGTTGAGGAATAACGATAATTTTATTTTTTCGTTTTAAAGCCACACACTTAAATTGAACATCACTTATGTTAAAAGTATTTATGGGACTAGTAGCACTATCAACTTCAAAAATGTTAACAATCGATGAATTACACGGATACTCAAAGAAATTGTTTTTTGAAGTAAAAACACGTCCAATTACGTTCCCATCAGTTGCATTTTTAACGAAGTGACTAACTTCTACTACTTCACCGGTTTTAAGCAAAATGATATTATCAGGGGATTTATTACTAATTATAGAGTCCCTAAATACTATTTTTTTAAATGCGCAAGAATTATTTTTTTTAGCATTACTAAAAGTCACTGAATTTTTAGTTGCAGTATGCGGAAGCATGCTCACCTCGTTTTTCTGTTGCTCAATGATGCGGCGGTATACTTGTTGGAGGGGAAGATGAGACCCTTTAATTAAATTTTTAATTTTTCCCAAAAAGTTTTCAAATGGAAATGCACTGAAGGAATTTAAGTCCCCATGTTTTCGTACATCATTGGTCAAATGTATTAGGCCGTGTACATTGTATGATAGATTTTCTTTTCCATATAATTTTTTAAATTGTTCCACGAAATAAAGTAATAAATCTTCAGCGTATTTTAAATTCGGTTCGGTTTGATTAGTGATTGATAACAACCTAACAGCAATTGATAGCACCAAAAAATGTCTATAATATTCTTCACTAATTATTCCTTTTAAGACGATCGGTCCCGTGTAGAGAAGAAACAGGCGGAATTCCGTAGCTTTCCATCTGTCAACTTCAGAGAGAGGGCGACTTTTTCTCACAAAATCACTTGTCACACAAGGTCGACACTTTTCAAGACGAAGTGATATTTTGTCAATTGATTTTTTATTTAGTCTGTAGCTTTTTCGTTTTCCATGTACAAAAATTTTTAGAATTTTTTTTGTCACTCCTAAGCATACAAGATGCATGAACTCGTATGGGATGTCTCCAACTAGATCGAGGGGTAAATTTTCAATCACTGTTCTATAATTATGATGAGGGGGTTGTTGATTAGCACGAAATGAATGATTTGTCCTCAATTCACTGTTCGTTTTTAAATATACTACACGATTCTCTTTATATTTTCCTTTAACGATGCATTTTCCACAACCGTAGTATCCAGTGTGACCCTTGATTCCAGTGACAAATGCACGAGCAGGGGCGTCACATACTATGCTTGACAGTTTAAACTCATATTTTACATTATTAATAACTACACCGTTTTCGATTAAAGCTTTTGTTTCTTGAACAAATTTTTGCAGGTAGTTATCTACGTCACTTGGCTTTTCATTCCCAAAGTAAAGTCCAATAATAAACACTTTTTTCGTTTCAATTACACGTCCTAAAATTGGCCAAAACTGTTTAGATGAACTTTTAAATAGTGGGAGTCCATCAATATTTATTTGAATTTTGATTACTTTAGGGTTTGGTCGAAGTAATTTAATTGACTGCTCAATTATACTTTTATAACCAAAGTGAATATATTGTCCCCCACCGCACTCTTCAACCAGTGATGTTGTCGGGGTTGCTAGTAAAGTTCTGCCATCGACAGGTAATTTTGGTAGGCTTGGTTGTTTATTTAAAATTGTCAGTAATCCATTAAATGCCGATCTTGTTATTTTATTATTCACACCCCATTCTCTTAAATCTTGCTCTAAATTATATGGCACTGAAGCAAATTGGTCTGTACTTAAATTTGTAAACTCATTCACCGACTCAATTACACTATTTTCTAAATTGTCTTCGTTAAAATTGATTTCAATTGTGTTCTGATTTTCGGACTGGGGATTTATTTGTGAACTGCTAAAATTAACTATATCAGTTTGAAAATGTGAAATATTATCTGTTACATTGTTATACATAAATTTGGCTACATTAGCGCTGATTTTCCTAAACTGTGACCTTTTACAAAGACGGAACGTTGGAGTTTTACTTACTCGTCCCATTGTCACAATGGTAGTAATAATATATCAGCTGGATCTGGATATATTTAATTAGTCCTTTTTGTATTCGCTAAAAATTCGCTACGACTTCGAGTTACCATCTTAACAATACTTGTAGATTCGCAGGGATATCGAGAGTAATTCTGACACTAATCGTCCATAATATGTTACATGCTGATTTGCAATTCTCGAATTTTTCTCGAAATCGTATCGATTTCGCACAGAGTGTCACGACGTTTTGTTATGTCTGTTAGTAGCTCAAATATCCCATGGAATTCGATAAGGAAATCTTGTGGATTTCTGAGCGATGTAGACCTCGCTTATATTTCGAGATAATCGTGGGGATTTCGATCAGCGAGGATATCTCGACTTGCCCGTTGGGCATGTACACAAACAGTCATAACAGTCTCGCACTATACCTCATATAAATTCAAAATGGATAATTTATTGAATCTTGTCAACTACAAAGTTGGACCGTTTTTACTTATCGTCTTTCTTACCCCTGCTGCTCAATACTTGGTCCTACTGGGTAACCCTTCGACAAGGTTCGGGTTCGACTCCTTAATAGGCAATTCCTTTTCATGGAAGTTCATTGGAGTCTTCATCGTCTGGGCCTTGATCTGGCTGAAAATACCTTCAAAAAAGTTTGCGGGCCCAGCACATGACAAAGGTGGTGTCATTTTCTATCAGGTTTTACAAATCAAAAGTTTCAACATACTTATGCACGTATGTATGAGGTACTTTGTACATGTGTATACTTTGTTTTTATAGGCCAATGGAGAAATATACTATTTCGCAACTGTCACGTCCTTTGTTCTCATAAATTGTTTTAACCCTTCAATCTCCACGCACATTTATGAGAACATGGGACCCATTCTGGCGACCCTCAACCTGATCGCGTTATTAATCTGCTGTCACCTCATGTTCCAAGCAAAGGCGTCTCACCATGCAAACAAGTCCCTTCAAAATAATAGTTCCCACCCGTTAATTTACCAATTCTATCATGGTTTGGAACTGTCACCTCGCATCTTGGGAGTGGACGTCAAGCAATTAACAAATTGTCGGGTTGGAATGATGTTGTGGCAAATTCTCATTTTGGCATTCCTATTTGCAAGGTGGAATCATCAACTTCTTGGATTCTCAAATGCACATTTTGACAACGTCTTTCTCCAGTCTTTCTACATTTACATGTTCTTCCGGTGGGAAACAGGTTACTTTAATACGTTGGACTTTACAATGGACAAAACAGGTTGGATGTTGGTCTGGGGTTGTTTAGTATGGATTCCATCTCTTTATACTTTCTCGTCTTATTTTCTTGTGTTAAATATTCCCAATCTTGGTCTCTTGGTGGAGGGTGGAATGTTTATTTTGGGATTGTCGGCAATCTGGTGTCACTCGGAGGTAGATTGCCAAAAAGAGTCTTTTAAGAATGCCAATGGCAAGAAAATAAAGGTATGGATTTACAAACGCATGCATGTGCACAAGAGTTGGTATTATGCACAATAAGTAAATTATAAAGTTTTGTTGGCTTTGCAGATTTGGGGCCAACCTGCCAAGACATTGGAAATCAATTATACGAATTCTGAAGGAATTGAGAAGAAAAGTCAGCTCCTAATATCGGGTTGGTGGGGGATCGGAAGGAAAATGAATTATTCATTCGATATCGTATCCACCTTACTTTGGTGCTTGTATGCTGGATTCGGAAATGGAGTTTGGCCGTATGCATGCCTGATTTTTGTGACAATTTTATTAATTCACCGGGTTTTCAGAGGTATGAATTAAACAAATTGTTGGATTAAATATTTCTGCTAAACTTAATGAACTATACATGCATAAGAATAATAATTTGCACATTTTTTATAGACGAGGAGAGATGTCGATCCAAGTATGAAGAGGGCTGGAAGAAATACTGTTCGATTGTGGAGTATAGAATGATTCCTCATATCTTTTAAATTCACTCCGATTTTCAATTTTTAAATAGAATTCAATGATTGAAATATGTTCCATATAAGAATGTACATATGTATCAGACAATTTGGGACGGGACTCGCTAATAAGAAAAATCAAACTCCAAATCGTTACGCTGTAGTTCATTATCATAAAAAGTCATACTCTTGCCATGGAATTGTTCCATGCCAAGACTATAAATTTTTTAATTGCATCCAAACAGATCTTCGTACATGAGGATATAATATTAAACAATGTACCTCAGGAAAACATTGCCGGCCATTAAGTGCCATGATGTGGTCGAAAGAGATTGGAATGTATACTTAATTTGCTGAAATAATTTGCGATAATGATTGAAACTGTTCTGGGAATAAATGAATATTCGATCAACTTGCCATCTAACAAGGGAACCTTAAGTACTGTCACCTCTCGATTTCCTTCAAAATGGCCTTAATCGACGGATAATTTAGTGAAACTTAAACTTTGTCATAGAACATGCGGTGCAAAATCGCGTTTTCGCGAGAAATTTGGCGAGAGCTGCACCAAAACGTGCAATTTTTGCAATTCTTCGCTTATGGCTTTCACTCACCACACGTATCGCACTCAATCCTTTCACATGTGGGTGTGGTCAATGGATGCTGGATTGTTTTCTACACACAATGTGCTCGTCATACCCTAACTTATATTACGGAAACATACTTACATATACACCAGATAAGACATTGTGGTTCCATAAAACTCCTTCAGTAAAAAGTGCAATGCGAAACATCCTTAAAGCGGTTTCCTAGTGTCATCGGTTTTTGTATCAAAGTCGGATGAATAAATTTTGAAACAAGCACGATTATTGCAATGATTTCAAAACAGCAAGCATGCGAAATTAATAGCTCTGTATTAAATTTTATACCACCATTGGACGTATAAACATTACACCATAGTCGCTACCACTTATTATTAAAGCTTAACTATTCTGTGTACATTTACAAATTCAGTACTTCAATTTATATTATCACAATGTATTAATTTTCGGGTTCGGACCAGTTTAACTAAATGTTCCACAACGTGAGCCGGGTTAATCTGATTAATAAATAAATTACGTCGTTTGGTACTAACTTAATTTGATTCACATTAATAATAATGCATACCATTTCAAGGTGTAGCCGTTATAGTTTAGAAAGTAAATTAAAATCTCAGGAACTAACCAAAAAGTTTAATAAAAATAAGTTTTGATAGCCCAAATAAACATTTTACACAATAGACTTACATGCCCGTTTTCCTTTAAAAATTTGCGGATAAAATAATTACAGCCTACTTCAAATCACATTTAGCACTGCAATTTATAGATAAATACTCAACAAATACCGATTTGAGGATTACTTCATGTAGTTTAAATTTTTTATTAAGACAAAATACTTTGTTGATTTGCCAATTCTAGCAGAACATGTACTGATTAAAGTATGCGTTTTTCCCAGATTACGCAGCATAGAGCTGCGAGTTGGTGAGACGAGTGCGTGGGCGGACGGAAAGCCATAAGCGAAGCATTGCAAAAATTGCACGTTTTGGTGCAGCTCTCGCCAAATTTCTCGCGAAAACGCGATTTTGCACCGCATGTTCTATGACAAAGTTTAAGTTTCATTAAATTATCTGTCGATTAAGGCTATTCCGAAGGAAATCGAGAGGTGACAGTACTTAAGGTTCCCTTGTAAGACGCGAGAAATTTGTATATACTCATTTCATGGAAATACGAATAAAAAATGGGAAATTTGTTTCTTATGCAATTTCATGCAACATAAAAAAGTTTCAATAACAATCATTAATTATTTTCAAATCAAATAAAGAAAAGCATCCAAAACACACACGGTGAAATAATTTGTGAAGCGTGTACTCACCACTTCCTTTTAATTTAAACTCGCCGTTAAAAGGAGTGATACGTCGAGTCGAGCATTCTTAAAAACCTTATGCAAACTTATGCATTTTGAGACAAAGACCTTCAAACCGCTTGACCAACAAAACCTGAAACTGACTTCCTTCATTCAGCACAAATAATTAATAATTAAATTAGTCGATTGTTCTTCCCCTGATCTAATCTCGAATTGGATTCACTACACGAGGAAACAGAATTGTAGGTTTTTGGTTGAGTACACCCAAGCAAAAGGACGCTATCCACTTCCAGTTGACCAGTGAAGGCTGGTGAAGCTCAATGTAGTTTACGATTTGGCTTTCCACAGTTTTCAGGTAGTATGTGGAAGTTTTTAAAAATATTTTGGACCCTGTGTTTCGTGGGGGGTGAGGTTTACGCTCAAGGGAAGACTTGGACGCTCCCATTCCCATCAGAAGCATACTCGGAAGGTAAGCACAAGCGTATAACAAAACCATGAGCAAAATTATGCACTATTAATAAACAAAACGCATAGAAGTTCAAGCTATTATTTATTTTAAAGGAGAATGCATTTCACCACAAGTAGTAGACATTGATGTGAATTGGGTAACTTAAATACAAATTTCTCATTGAGGTTTTGTAGCTCAATTATGATTTTAAAAATATATTAAAATCCAATCCTGCAGATTATCCAGCAAAAAACATTTTATATTCCCATCGCTTCGCAATTTGCCCTTCACAGGTATGCTGGAAACCATGTACATATGTTAGGTTAAGTATGAAGATGAGCAAAATCGGTCAAATGGTTGACTGGTGGGGGATCATATAGGTGGGGGTGATATTATGGACCAAAATTTCAAAAGTGTGCAATTCACAGGTATGCTGAAACTCTGCTGAGTCGGCCAGCATCAGACCAAGAGTTGAACTCAATGTGTCTCACTGTTGAATCGTCTCAATCGGGGGCTGCCCTTAATTTGACCGTCGTAGGATTCGAGTTTCGCGAATTTCGACAAAGTTGCACCCCTGGCGCAGGACCTGGACGAATTAACTGTTTCGCTACTGGGAGCTCGGCTGGGGTTAATCCTACCAAAACAAGTAAGCAAATGATGTATACAAATATCGTATCATTACGACAAAGGTTTTGCTAAAATCATAAGAACTGTTTTTATCAGGAGCAACGGAAGATTTCGTCGTTGCTTGGGATGCCCGTTCTTATATGATAATCGTTCGTTGTGTCGACGGATTTTTTAGAGACTTTTCCGTTTTCTCAACCCGACCCACCGTCTCGCACGACGTTTACAGCAGCGTGCTCAACGTAACGAGACATTTAGGCTTTGATGAAAGACGAATTCAAACCATGACATATGACAATTGTCTTCGAACTACGGGTGGACTCAGCACGTCGTCCAATTTCAACGATAGAACAGGTATTTAGATAGAACATTGTCCAATTGATAAATCTTGTTTATCAAAATTGTACTAAAATTTGTCCACTCTTTCATTAAAGGTCCATTCACAAATTATGTGCTGGCAGCACCATTTGCAAATGTGAGGACGGCCGTTGTACAGCCGGTGGTCAGGGTCCAACATCAAGCTGGACCACCTCAGTCGGTCCCATTAGTTCAACGCCCTGCACACGGGGTTTCACATGACCATAATCCACAAGGTCATGGTCACGTTTATGAAGAGGTGCACGGAAACCAAGGCCAAGGTTTGGTGCAAGGTCATGTCCAACAGCAGCAGTTCCCATTTGGACCTGGAGGAGGATTTCCTGGAGGACCACCGGGATATTCCCCATTTGACAATGGTTATGGTCCCGGCCAATTCATTTAAATATGTGTTTTGATTAATATTTGCGTAGTTATTTTAGTGTGGTGAATTTACATGGTATTTTTTGCGCAAGCATTGCATATCTACATTTTCTTGTTTATTTTATTTTATTAAATTAATTTACATATATTTAAATATGGTGATGGTTTATTTTTGATTAAATAGAACGTAATATATGTGAGTAATTATATAGTTCCTGGTTTTGGTTAAGTTGTATAATTCAATCAACGTTGGGACAATTAATTAAATAAATCGTCCTCTATTCTGTACTAAATACTGGTATAAATATATGTACGTATATGTTACATCAAACAATTATTCAGTAAATAATTGCGTGAATAAATATGTATCTACGCATGAAATTAGATAGTGGCATGTACTTAAATGAAAAAATCGTGCTGTCATACTCGAATGATTATAAGTACATACATAATTAGTAATTACATTAAAGGCCGAATTGCAAGTATGTAGACTGGATTTGATCACAAGCTATATGCATATGTACTAACAAATATTTACATACGTATGTATTTACTATACATATGTACTAAATAAAGGTCGACAAACTAAACAGTGAGGGTATTCATTATTTCTTCGTATCCGTAGTATCGTAAAATAGTTTACGAAGATAAAACAAGGGGTCAGCTTTCGTAAAAATCGTAAGCGTAGTAACGCGTTTTTCGATGAGAAAATCTTACGACGCTTACAAAATCTCGTAAGCGTCGTAAGTTATTTTACGATACGAAGAATACTAAGGATACGAAGAAATAATGAATACCCTCAGTGTATCAATCACCTTCACCTTGGCATTGCAAGAAAATGTGATACAATTTTTTGTGATTAAGGGAACTACGTAATGCATTTGCCTTGCCCTGCATTAAAATTTTAGGCATGTGCGTAAAATTCATAGTTCATTAAGTTCATTTCTCCGAGATAAGTTGATTATCAAACAAATTTGTCAAAACTTTCTAGTGCGGAATTGTGTACAGCATGCAAATAGTTAGTACAGTACCAAACATTACGATTTAAAGGATACTGCAGATAATAATTATGAAATATGTATGTATTTATCGCATCACGAGTCTGGGCATAATTCAAATTTCGTTTGACCTCATGGCAAAATCCAAGAAATAAGTACATTGAAAAAATGTATAGACACCAAGTAGATCTTCACCAACACCACAATGCAAGAAATTGCACATACTAATCAACTTTTCGCATTTATGCATGTGCGTCAGCAGATGTGTTCATGATGCAGATCCATAACATTATTATATCTGTAAAGTCGTGCAGTAAATTTGCTAAAAAAAAGTCCAGTTTTACTAATTATCCAGGGTGTCGAACGAGTCAATGATTAGAAAATACGCAATTTTATATTTATTTCACTGCTTTTATTTTTGCGACACAGTGTTCAAATTATTTAATTTTCATGCACATATGCCGGATGGAAAAACCGTTTACCTGGAGTATAATATGGGTGCATAGAAATACAGTAAAATCCCAGAGACACAAGATTATTAATATACAACGCCTATACATATATTTATTATGAATACTATTATACCATTCATCAACAATAAACCTGGAATACTGGTCCAGGAAACAGCAAAATTCATGGCACCTTTCTCACACTTATTTGCTGGCCACTGCCGTATCAAGTCAGATTTTATGTGGTTGTGCTATCATAATTAAAGTAATATCATCATGTATTTTACACTCTTCTGCCTCCGACAGAACCAGAACACACGAATCCTCCATCATAATCCCTTAATTAAGTTTCTTTTCGTTATGGATGGTAGCAGCTAGTTGCATTTTTCAACAGTCCAAGGTGACTGATGGTTTCGATGAGTGACTCAGGAGTTGATGCTTCTCGATTTACGTGAATAGAACAAAAACAAGTTTAGCAAGATTTCGTACCATGTAAAAGTAAATATATGTAAGCGTGTGCTTATACATATTCCTACTGCAGACAGTTGTATTGTTCAGCACAATGCAAATATAAATAAGTGCGAAGCTTTTTATTTATACTATAACCACATCTTCATAGACACATATATACACAAGTACGTCATTGAGATTGAATTGTAGAAATCATACAGAGCAACTTGCTCAAGAACCAAATGATTAATTATTCATCATAAATAAAGACGCAAGTGAACCCACGTTGGTTTTTTGTATTTTGAAACGGTGTGCTAATAAATGGTCTCCTTATGGTAAAGTTACCCGAAAAAGTCTTTGATGCATTTCAAGGCTTGTACATATAAATCGATTTTCTGGGATATTTTGACACAACGATACGGACCTCACTTTTTGTCAAAATACTTAAAAAGCTCTGCTGTAGCTTGATAGTGAACTTTGCGTGCATACATATATAATGTTCAAACGAATTGTGATATCTTCATCCGAGTTACTATTTTTAGGATCATTACTTGTCCTCTGCATTTTGCCATGTTCTGAATCAGGTAATACTCACATACTTCTAGCAACAAATAAAGGAATATCTATGTATATTTATAGTAACTTTTTCGATATTTTTAAAAGTACAATGCCGATCCTACGGGAAACAATTGGGAGAATGTGTTCCTATTACGAATTGTCCTAGACTTCTCGCCATCTTATTGTCTAGTGAAAGGACTGTGCAAGATTTGGTAAAACAATTAATTAAATAAATTTAGACAAAATTTAAATGGTTTTCTTTTGGTGAACATTCAACCTTGTTTATACAACATATGTATAAAATCTTCCATATAGTATAGATTACATATGTCTTACGGGATTGAATTTGATTGTTTGCAGCGCATGTTGCAGAAGTTGACATGTATCACGGAAATCTCAGATCTAGAAAGAGACCCTGTGGTACGTTCAACTCATCCGATCGGCATGCATTACATACATATGCTACTTATGTACATGAAGAAAACCGTCCTATAATATGTACATACATAGGTTTGCTGCCCCATTAAAGAAATAGCCGACTCATTAAAAGACCACCATGATGACCGAAATGAGTCTCTAGCAACAGAAATTCCAGTGTCGATCTCAACGACTACGACTACGACGACCACTCCTCCACCAACACCGCACGCTTCTGGTCAGGCATCCATCCCCCAAAAATTGATTGATGAGAAATTCCATCTCATCCCAGCCTTGATGGATTGTAGTAATGCTATTACTTCCGATCGTATAATTGGCGGAGAGGTCGTTCCCCACGGGTCTCTGCCCTGGATGGTTAGTGTTTAAAATAAAATATTATTTTTTGAAAATCAGAGTTAATTATTCAAACTCAACTTTGTTTCCTTTGTAGGCCAGACTAGGATATCGACGTAATAATTGGACAATTTTTTAAGCATATTAAATATTTGCTCATTTTGTCTCTTATTTCATTGACAGATAAAGGAACAGGGAAATTGGAGTATTATTGCGGTGGATCTGTCATCAATAAAAGGTAATTCTTTTTTATTACTTATCGATAATTATGAATTTTTTAGTCCAACCAAAAATTATTTAAATTGTGTATTTCCACATTTTGTGTATAAGATATATACTGACTGCTGGACACTGCACCCAAGGATTTGATGATAATTTTGTACTGTAAGTATTGCTGAATTTTATGACATACTTAGTCAGAACTTTACAAAACACGATTTATTTTATTGAACCAGGGCTGAAGTCAGACTTGGCGAACACGATACGACAACTGACGTAGATTGCAATCAAGATCTCGGAAACATTTGCTCTCTTGTAGAAGATTTTAAAATAGGTAAAATTTAATGAGATTATCTTAAATCTTCCGGTAAAAATGTGTCTTAGCCACCCTTTCTTCATATAGAACGCATCATTACGCATCCGCAACATAATACTGTCACCAAGCAGAATGACATTGCCCTTCTTCGCCTGAATCAGGACATTTCATTCGGTTCCTGTAAGACTTATGACTCTGATTTTTTTCTTATGGATCAAGTAAAAATGCTTTGAAGTATTTGCATCGCTTTGTTTATTTTATTTTCCAGATTTCGTCCAACCAATCTGCCTACCTTTTACAGCACAGTACAACCTTACGGCTTTAACGCCCACAGAGTTCAACTCACTCACGACCACGGTAGCTGGCTGGGGTCGGGTTTGGTCAGGTTCGTTTGTACATACAGCTACAAATTAAATTAGCAAATTGGACATCAAATGTGAAATTTTGTAGTGAAAACGTGATCTAATGTATTTCTAATTTTATCTCAACGCAGACAAAACCCAGGGAAGCTCTCAACTTTTGCAAGTTGCAATTCCGATTGTGCCTATGCAACAGTGTCAACAGTTATACAGAAGAAGAGTAACCATTACGCCAAAGCAGGTAAACATTAGCATATTTTTGAAATCTTCTAGTTAAAATCATGTCAAACCTACATATTTATATATGTACTATATTACTATTTATCTACTGCAATTTTAATTATTTTATAGATTTGTGCCGGTGGGGTACTAGGGAAGGATAGTTGTTCAGGTACACACGTGTTAAAGTATTGAATAATAACCTACATTGATTTTAGTGCATGCACATTGACATTTTATGTAAAAATTTTTGCTCTTAGGCGACTCGGGTGGAGCTCTAATGGGAACAATGACAATTCCAAATAAATTTTCAAAAACCTTCCAGTTTGGAATTGTTTCATTCGGACAAATTCAATGCGGTTTGTAGACAATTTTATTTAAAGTCGGTCACGTGTCTATAGCTTTACAATAATACAACCTAAATTTATAGGCGGCCCTCTGCCTGGGGTGTACACGAAAACAGAGGAGTATCTTCCCTGGATACTATCTAATATTGAGGCGTAAAAATTTGGGCGACACTGCAATTTTACAGTTTAACTTTGAAATACTTATTTTATCAGTACGTATAATTTTGTTTTATCTGCAATAAAGCTCTATTTATTTTACCTACATGTACATTTATCGTTATACTGTATTATCGTAACTCGTTGGTGGTGGTGCGTTATCTCCCATTTGCTAAACATTGCTTAACCTACACCGACGCATGTAAATATGTGCATCCATAAACCACCGCAAAGTTCTCTCTGAGATTATTATGTGAGTTAATTATTCACAACCTACAACAATTTTGGTATCAGAGAACTATAGCGGATACACCGGTGTCATAAAATGGCAGAGTGTTTCAAAGGGTAAGTTACACATTTTTTAAACTCATTTAGTCCCGTGTTTAAGAAACTTAAACTCGGTCTAATCAGGATGAAAGCATTGCTCATCCCAAGTTATAAGAAAACGTGGATACCCTCCCATAATGAAATTTTAGTTGGAAAATACCAATTACAAACTGAGAAATATCAGCGCTCCAAACAAGAATTCACAATTGACGCATATCCAAAATCTGCCACAGTTAGAACCGAAGAAATAAATCCCACGCAACTGCCCTTGAAACCCCCACAAGCACAGGATGTGCTTACTATTCAATGCAACTTTCTCTTTATGGGACTTGCTTCAAGTGACATTTCATTAATGGTAACTTGCAATCAATTAAAATCACATATGAGGACCTTGTGTATTTAAATGCATGCAAATACAAAAATATATATATTGTGTATGCATAGATATCAACGCTTTTGGATACAAAACTACCTCAAACTACTCACAACACAAAAAATGATTCGAACATCATCACCCGGACATCGTTTGATGATGGAAACATTAATTTGAATATTTTCAACATTCCAGAATTCCTCAGAGGTAGTTACACCGAGGAAGATGCAGAACTGGTGCTTGCTGTAAAAGCCATTACAAAAAAATATCTGCCCAACAAACTTCCCAACGTTTGTTTCCTCGTGAGCCGATTTGATGACAATCGGTTCCAAGGGGAGGGGTCCGACTTCTCCAAAATGTTAATTGCTCTCAGTCATTGCAGAGACTCATGGACAGATGGCAAACTTTCGAATGTGATTCTTGTCCTCACGCACTCTTCCAACGTTCAGATACTAGACATTCCCAACAGGATTTCGAAATTCCAGGAAACGTTCCATGCCGTATTCCCACAAGAAAATGATACAATCACATGCGTGCTAGTGGATAATGCTATGCAAGGATTATCCGACAGAGAAAAACTAATCGAAGCTATTACAAATATTGCTAAACGTAGAAATGATACCATGCTTTATCCAAAACTGGCAAATCAATTGCAACCTCTGAATATTGAAGAGTGCAAAACCATATCAACAATTCATCCGGTTTCTGAATTGCTTCCCTCGACAAGACGAGAAGTCAATGAATTATTGGATCAAATTCTTCAAAGTAAACCTGGATCACAAAAAATTTCAAATTTGATGGATGACGAATTTTCTACAATTTTTGTTCCGTATCATAGTAGCAGTAGTACTAGTGTAGATAAGTCCATTTTAATAAACCCGAACTCATATGTAAATCAATTTTTGGATGATAGGACGACAAAATTGCTTCCAAATGTAAAACTGTTAATGGCCGACTTTATTACAACTGTTCCCATTTGCAAGTTACAAGTTGGAGACAAATTGCTAAACCAAAAACTACTTCCCGTTATTGTAATTAGTGTGAGAAACCAGAGAGTAAATATAAATTGTAGCAATGTTGGGAGAAATTTTGTTGCATGTGAGGAGTCCTTTGAGACGCCTCAGCTTCTGAAGTACTTCGAGAGAAACAAAAAACTTAAGAGGGTAGATTTTCCAGAGCATATTTTTAATTATTCCGTAATCGACAATAATTCTCAAGTCTTTTATGAACTTGAGCTAGATAGTGACCCCTACAATACGGGTGATGATTCATACATTGCTGATGGATTCGTCATGTGTTCAAATCCTCCAGGTATTTACATAACGAAACTATAATGTGTCATATGTATTAAATAAAGAGATTAGAAGATACTTACGTATTTAATATATATTAAATCATGACTTATTTGTGTAACTTGGAATTTCATAAACCTCAAGCGTGTGCGATAAATTTCGCACTATTGCACACAAGCGTATGTATTTTTATAAGTGACTAATCATTGGTTGAATGAGTCCTCGATGTTTGGTGAAGTTGTAAAGATAAGGTTTTATCATTAGTAATCAGATACTACGTACAGATGAGTACGTGTGTGCACCTCTTTACCATAATTATTTGACCTATAACTCAATTTTAATGGTCTTATTCTTTATTGCAACATTGTAAAGTCGTGGTGATATTTTATTTCTTTCGAACGTAAACAGTGGGGTCAGAAATTTTTCGAGTCAACTAAAAATAAAAATGGAGGCAATCATGGGAAGTCGGAATAACCCAATACCATCTGGAAAAAGGAGTGATGACAAAGCAATCATTGTTTTACTTGGATTAACAGGTTCGGCTCATCTAATTTGCTAAAGTTGCCTATTTAAAGTTACCTATTTTGCTGATGCATTAGAGGTCTGAAATGAAGTTGCCTATTTAATATCAAAGTATTAGCTGCAGTTTCAATAAAAATGCTTGATTTTTTTCCATTAAAGAATTTACGTCTCACTTGGTTTATGTATTTTAAATATGTATTGGTTCAATAGGCGCTGGGAAATCGACAACTGTAAGTTAACTAATAAAATTGTAATAAAGAAGTACTTATTTCTTATTCACCCTGTTTGATGATTGAAAATTAACCCGATAGCTCAATTTTCTATTTGATCGAGAGAACATGATCAAAACTGAAAGTTACACTTCTCAAACTGAAAAAATCATGGAATACAACACTAAAATTCGTGTAAATGAGGAAGACTACGATTTGAAGATTTTTGGTACGCAGAATGTACACACATTTTCACCAATTAATTCGTAATAAATACATATGCCACTAAATCGGTAGTGTAAAATAATTAGCAACAATAAAAATATAATCATGACAAAAAATAGATACTCCTGGATTTGGAGATACTCGTCAACAGCCACAAGTCCGAGACGCTAGATTTGTAGCTACATTTGACGGCCTACTTAAAACTCATGAAGATATTCGAGCATGTTATCCAACCACTGTACTTCTTGTCGCAAAGTTCAACGATGACAGAATAGATGGAAAAACGTCCCATTTCATCCAAATGTTAAAAGCAGTGGACGCTTTACTGGCTAACTGGAGGTACGGAATTCTAGAATGCTACACTTTGTACAAATCAGTAGAAATATGCACATACGTAGATGTTTGAATTTCATTTGTGTGAATAGATTAATTGACAAGAAGCCAGAAAATACGAACCTTGTGTTTGTCTTAACACATACAATGTCGGAGGACAATAAACGTTTGAGAACGGACCCCAAACAAAAAATTCAACTAATAGAATGCCTGGTCAAAACGTTTACTCAAATCCCGACGCCAATTCAAGTAGTTATGGCAGAAAATAAGCCAGAGCTCTACAATCTACCAAAAGTGAATGACTTTTATCGACTTCCTAATAACCAATTTTATCCTAGTAATCTTTTCAAAAAGATTCAAGCCATGACCGTTAAATGCAGTGACGTTGTGGGCGAAACAATCGTTCGAGAAGCATTCAGAAATCCAAAGCAGATCAATATTGAGCTCCTTAAAGAATACGAACTCCTCCCAGAAAACAATATGGTCGTCAGAAATATATTAAGAACTTTGAAAAGCGCCCAATTTAATATTGAAAATACTCAAATTTCCTCTGAAATTCGGAAACGTTGGGATGCAATTGATGAAATTTCAAAAAAACCATACGTTAACTCGCTACAAATTACACAATCTACTTTCCATAAACATGGAATTTTTGGAGAGGACAATATCCCACAAAGTATTGAAGCTGCATTAAAATTGTTGATGGACTTGCCTCTTAATCCTCCAGTCTGCACAATCTTGGACGGCATGGGAATAGTCGGTCCTGAACTGCCAAAGTCTTTGAGTGTTGGAAAATTTTACAACCTTTTTGCAGGTATTTATGTACTAATACTTGTCAAACTTGATTTTACTCACTCTAAATCTAAATAAATTTGCATGGTTTTTTACTATATAACTTCCCCAGACTGTCCAATCTCAAATTCTCCATTTTCCATGGACATTTTGGATTACACTGATATTGGTTTCCGTGCGCCTATTGGAATTGAAGCACGCAGAGTAACAGAGTCCCTCATATTGAACTCATTTTTTGATAGTTCTACCCATTACTACCAAGAAAGACTTAAACAGCTCAACGTCAGTGGTACTTTCAAGATGGAAAACTTTCACTCTGAACCGAAAGAGGGGTATAATATTATCGTACCAAGAACAAACGTTGTCAGATTGACAGGGGTGCGCGAGAAGCGTGTTTTCCAAGTCAACCTCAAGCAACCAACATTATCACCAGGTTATCGTGCTGCAGTTGGTAACCTGCCACCGAAATTTGACCCTGCACAAGCTGAAATCTGGAGAGCATTCTTCACGGCGAATGGAACCCACGTGGTAGAATCCATTTATGCGGGAGGGGCCATTGAAGTCATTGCAACTAAAAAGGAAAATTCTGAAACTAAAGTTGAAACTACAGCTCAAAACGTTCTCCTCATAATAGCAAACATTTTGAAAAATGTTGGAAGTTTCTGGTATAACTTTTCTCTTTAATTAATCCCTTCCCCTACCACTTTTGAAAATGACAATCATTTGTGTATATAAATTTAAAAATTTTCAGTCCCATGGATTTGGAGGCAATGACAGAATCTTGGGATTTCAAAATAAACTTCGTTGGGGGCAATCCTAATCTTGTGCGTCCCACCTTAAAAAATTTGTTTCGACCCGTGGGTGTCGAGTTTTTTAAATCATGGTGCGATTCACTGTATGCTCATCCTGCCATGCTACACTCTGAAATCGATCTGGAAGCTGTGACCCATTATATTAAGAAAACAAATGCAGCTCAAGCTAAAGAAATTAATTCCGCTATGGTTTATCTTTATTCGCCTACACCACCACCACCACAATCACCACCAGAAATTGTACACCAGCAGCGTCCAGATGACCGAGTCAAGTCAAATTTTGGTCATCTAAAGGAACTAAAAAACCCAACCAGGACACCATCTTTTAGCAGCTCTGATTCATCTGACTCGGAAAGTACATCATCGTGGGTAGCTGCACAAAGGACCCAAAGGGAAAATACTCCAGCACCTAATAATAAAATAAAAAATGAAACTTGGAGCAACTGGTTTAAAAGAAAAATTGGAAACCGATTGTAAATTTAGCTATTTATATGTACGTATATTAACAGAGGAAGGCAGTTTTTATGGCATAAAATTAAATAAAACGTGAACCTATATATATATATTCAATTTGATTACCTAATTTGTAGCTTTTCTTTGATGGCATAGTATAGTTTGCACATATTCGCTAAGCAAGAATATTTTGGCCCACTACGCATGCCTAACCTTCCGTCATGGCAATTACATCAATACAAATTGTTTTATCAGTCTGGTTGATATAAATTTCATGATAAGAAACGAGTAGTGGTATGTAGATATACAAGCGGTGAATGTTGATTATTTTAAATATACGCATTTGCATAAATACACTCAGCTAATAAATAAATAATTCAAGCCCGAATTTTGTTTTCTAACAAAAGTTTCACTACATATTATGGCAGGGAATGCACCACGTAGACCAGGTATTTTTTATTAATAAGCATGCATGTACCAATTGGCAATTTCGATACAAAAGCATAAAATTTATTTAATTTGTAGCCGCGAGGACGAGTTCCCGACTTTTGGAAAACTATGAAATCCATCGACTGCTTGGCAGCGGATCATTTGGTGCTGTATTTGACTGCATGAATAAATTTGAGAAAAAGAATTATGCAATCAAAATCATGAAGTTTGACACAGTTTTTACTGAAAGGGAAATAGCAAATCTTATAAAAATTCCAAATCATTCGAATATTGTTCAATATTTTACATGTTGGAAGGATTCAATGGGGATTGAGGATGTCGCAGCAGTTCGGAAACGCTTTGCTGAGGATGAAGATTTTGGCTGCGATAATTTTGTGTACAGTTTTAAAACTCTTTAATTAGTAACCGTTATTATTAGTAATAAAAAATTATTAATTCTTTAATATTTAAATATTAGAATTCCTCCAGGACAAATAACTTTTGATGCCATTTGCATCTTAATGGAACTTTGTGGAGAGGATCTTCGAACATGGCTTTCCTCCAGAGAGACAGTGCAGGAATCCACGTGCATCAACATATTTACACAAATTTCTAATGGAGTCGAACATTTACACAAGAATGGGCTAATTCATCGAGATCTAAAGCCAGAAAATATTTTATTTTCAAAACAGGACAAGCTGACCGTTAAAATTGGAGACTTGGGGATTGCCACAAATATAAATAGGTCAAGATATACTACTGGTTTGGGTACACGGACTTATTTGGCACCTGAACAAGAAGGTAACTCGTATGGCCCACAGGTTGACATATTTGCATTAGGAATAATTTTCCTTGAGCTGTTACACCCCCAAATGCAACCCAACTCTGATGATGAAGAAGGAAAGGCAGGAAACCTTACCAAGGTTGCCATTGAGCTTAAATATCTACACAAAGTTCCGGAAGAAGTGTCCAGGCTTTGGCCTGTTGCTGCAGATCTCATTCTTAAAATGGTGTCGATTGATCCAGCACACAGGCCATCCTTTGATGAGATTTATGAAACAATTGAAAAAATCTGCTCATTTGTCCCACCCGAAAGTGTTCAATTTGATGTGCGTGAATCACCTGAAGTTGAAGTCCATAAAAAGGACGACAAAAAAATCCAACTCAACATTACTTCTTGGATTGAACGTTTTTCCCTTTCGTTACCCAGCACTCCTATTGATGACTCAGAGTGGGATGATGAACAGGATGTTCGTCCATTAGAAGAACATGACGGTAAGTAAGTTAAATTTGTTTTATATTAAAAAATTGTACAAGAAACTGATCACACATATATTTTATTAGATAAAGTTGATGCTATGCAAATAACGCTGCCATTACTTCCGAAAATAAATAATATCAGTACCCCAACCGTTCGCACTGCTATTTCTAGCCATCATTTGGAGTCACTTTTACAATCGTCAAGTCCACACGATACGATTCTACTCTTGGAATCCACACGTTATTTTGGCAACTTTGAGATTTCTTCTGAAAATTTGACCATCTCCGGAAACGGAGCAACAATTTGCGGACTTCCTGTTGGCTTGAAACTGCAAGCAAACCAGTGCATAGTAAAAAATCTGAACTTACAATCAGGGACAGGCATGGTCATTTGTGGTCAAGATATCACTGTCGAAGACGTCACTGTGTGTTTACCAATGAATGAAAGCCATGTTCCAAAAAATGATACTTGTGGAATTATTATACAAGGAAACTGTAATTCGATTAAGAATTGTTCCATTCAGGGACACAATAAAGGCATCTTGGGGACAGGCGACAACAATACTTTCGATGCTATTAAAATCTCCAACTGTTCTCAGAAGGCAGTTATTTCCAAAGGTTCAAATTGTACCCTGAACAATTTTGAGTGTTCAGATTGTCCTAATGGTTTGCTTTGGATTGGGGGGAATAACAACATAATTTCAGGAATATCTTACAAAATAAGCCAACAATTTGCAAAGCGTTACAAGTTTGGAGAGATTTCTACGTGTACCGTGATAACGATAGGCAATGGGGAAGATAACTCAATTTCGAATTTCAATAATTTTGCAAATCTTGGCGAATACAAATATGGATTGTATGCATCCATATACACCTCCAGACTTGAAATAGTTGATAGTTCTCTTGGAAAGTTATATTTAGATGGAAATGAGCATAATATCAAAAACACTGCAGCATTGGGTGGGGTGTCAATAATTGGTAACAAGTGCACATTGACAACAGTAAACTGTGGGCCACGATTGGATATAATACAAGGGCGTTCCCATGTATTGACGAAATGCTCCGCAGATCAGTTTACGACGTATGATTGTTGCGATGTTGAAATCACTGAATGTAATTTTGATTAAACAGTAAAGCTAATAAATCCTCATCTCCACTGTGGTTTGACTTTATCTCTACGTTGGTGATAAATGACAAATGGTTGTAAAAAATAAATGTATACTTGTGCATAATACATATCTGTTAATGCACAATACGAGATAAACATATTGTTACTAAATATTAGTCATGAATGGCCCGGGAGGATGTGCATATTCACACATTATCGTGTAAATAAATTACAACAACAATCCGAAACACACAAATTGTAGTTATTTAATCGTTAAAATTGGCATATTAGCAAGTAGATAGTACGAACTAGAAATGAAAGCAAAGAAAAATCAGGCCGTTGCCTTAATTGATGAAGAACCTCGACCTCGAACTTGGTATCAAAGGTAAGTAAATGATGCAGTTAAATTTTGGGTAGTTCCTGCATTATCGATTTTACCCTCTGAAAATGCATACAAGTCTGTTTGCACAGATTTCGGCGATATTTAACTTTGGTGTGGTGCTGGCTAAAAGGGGTTGATCCTCCGCCAAGTGACCTGCCTAATCGGAAAATTGAAAACACCGAACCAATAGATAAGATTGACGACGAGACATTTTCTGCCCTACTTCCGGTCCGAATAAGAGAAACTGAACCAAAGTTTCAATCTCATTCTGCACCATCCCCATCAAGCGAGACTGAGGATGAGAAAGTCGATTTGCTATTTGTGGGACTGAGCCGCACAGGAATTAGCACAACTGTAGAGTACACATTTTCATACATAGTAGTCAATCCTATGGACGATTTTTAAAAGTTATTATTTTTTATGGTCCAGGCAAACAAATTATTTAACATCACAGAGTCGGACGATATGGAAGATGATGACTTGGACATTATTGAAATTGATAATTTCTCTTCAAACAAGAAGGCTGTAGACTTAAGGATCATAGATATTCCTGGATTTTGCAAGGGCCGCACCATAGAAGGAGATGCCGAATTGGTGTTTGGAATCAAATCCTACCTGAAGAGATCATTGCCAAATAAAATTCCAACTTTCGCATTTATAATTACTAGCTTTGAAGATGCCCGTTTCGACGGTGAAAGTTCAGAGTTTTGCAAGATGCTCCTTGCGCTAAGCCACTGTCAAATTCATTGGACGGACTTTCGGCATTCAAACGTTGTTCTGGTTCTTACGCATGCCGGAAAAGTTAAAGAAGACGTCTCAAAGAAAATTGCAATATTTCAAGATGTATTTCATACCATTTTTCAACAAGAAGAAAATCAACCTGTGTGTTGCATTGTGATTGAAAATAGTATTCCGAAAAAGTGCGATACAAAAGATTTTATTGATGCGCTGCTATTGACAAAGAATCTAAACGCGTCAGAAAGTTTCAGGAGGCATTTACAAAAATTAAAATTATCTGAAAAATACGCACCGGATGGGATAAATATTCAGCGGACAAATGTTTCCAGTTTACTCCCACCCACCAAAAGACAAGTATACGAATTAATGGATACTTTGATGCAAGGAAAACGTTATGATGATAATATCCCCAATGACATGGAAAAAAATACATTATTCAAATTTTTTTCATGTTATCCATCTTATCAGCCATGCCATAAAGGTAGAAGCTGTGGGCATGTACATCATACAACCAAACTTTTACCGCACATGAAATTGCTAATGGCAGACGGAGTAACCGAACTACCAGTTTCTGAAATTCGGGTGGGACACAAACTGTTCAGCAGGCTAAAGGAAAACCATGTTACTGTAACGGCGGTTAAAAAGACACCATCCACAAGATCCAGGGTGTGTCCACATGTTGGACTATATTTTTATACCAATTCAGATTTCGATGACGAAACCAATAATGATGACATGATTTTCAAATATACTGGTCGTTCTAAATTGAAAAGGGAATTGATTGATCGCAACAGAATCGCCAATCAAAATTATGAACCACTTTTCGAGATCGAAGTGAACCGAGGCCGTTGCCTGGAGGATACGTTTATGGTAGACGGATACGTTGCATTAGCAGCGATTAGTCCGTCGATATTAAAATTACATTCTTGATATATTAAATAAGGTAGGAAAGATTCGTAATGCTTACTTAATTTCAAAACTTTATTCAGAAAAATAATACCTAATACTTCATTGAATAATAAGCTAACCTAAAAATATTCTCTTAAATACTGCAAAATCCTGAGATTGAATATAAGTAACATATGTACATGCAACTCATTACCTAGTGCATATCTGAAAATTCAGAAGATTTAGTGCTCGCACAAGGAAAATGGCCTTTCAAATAGGGATTCGTTGTTATTTTGTACAAAAAATTTTCTCTCTTGCATCAGCAAATCCCTCGTTTTTTTAGCTTCTTCAAGTCCCACTGGCCATGATAACATACCCACAATTTTATGTACAATAAGGTCTGGCATGCATGTTGCCTCCTTGTCCATCTCTTTTAAGAACCAAGATCTTGATTGTGGAGGTACCCGAGAGCTTGATAGAATTTGCACTGTTGGATCAACTAGAAAGAATACTAGGATTTTCCGATGTCCACTTTCCGTGGGGTTTATGAGCTGTAAAAATACTTTCCATGAATTTTTTGACTGAATAATACGTCTTAATTTTTGTTGAGCTTGAGTTTATTACTCATTCTTCAAGGTGTTACCTGAAATGGAGCTACTTGATGTTGCAGTGTATTTGGAAATCCAATGCATCTCGACTCTTTGGTAACAATCGTACCTAAATTTTGATTGAGAGCCTCTTCATCCCTCAAATCGTACACAACTGCAACCCCCGTGTCGTCATATTGCTCGTAGTCTGGCTCTTGTATAGCTTGTCGAAAGTTTAGACGGGATTCAGTAATGTTTTCTTGTGAATAGTAATAAATTCCAGATGCGATAATCCTCTCATTCGCCATTCCTTCAAGATGCCAAACTCCTCCTGAAAAAAATAATTTATGTGTATTGTTTGTTCTTCACACTATAAAATGTTGGCATACATATGTATGCACAAACCTGGGTACTCTGGTTTATCAGGAGTGAGGTGAATATTTGCCAACTTTACAATGACTTGCAACTTTCTCCAGTTCAATTTGACCTCAGTTGGGGGAATGAGTGGAGCTTCAAATTGGGGGATGACGAAAGGCTTAAATATTTTTTCCAAGCTGTCACTTTCATCATAGTCCGACGCGTCCCCGTCAGGAAGCACCACTTCCTCATACCAATCTGAATCTGGGAGGACTATCCGATTTTTACGCGGATGTCTGAAAAGGGATATAAATATATACATAAATTGCATATGCATTGTGAACTTAAACAATGATTACTTATGTATTGTAGCCAACCTTAAACTTGTCAACACCTTATCAAACATTGGAATAAATTTTCCAAGGATTTTTTCCAATGTGGAATATAATTTAGGGTAATGTTCTGGATGGAGATTATTGATGTAAGAGTCAAATTGGACGGATCCTTGCTCATTCACAGATACGTCTGCAGGAAGCCATTGATAGTTCAAAGACTTTGCATATGGCGGAAATTGATCGACAGGGGCGAGAGCTTGTGCCCCCGCCTCATCCGCAGACAATAGATCAGCTTTGTCAGCAAAGTACATAAGGTGATTGTAGCTCTCTGAAGATGACGCTCCAGCAGAAACCTTTCGCAGAAAATTAGAGTATTCGAATTAAATAAAAATTAAACTAGTAAACGCTGTTGAAATAATTACATTCGCCACCGGTCTCGTCGCTGCATGCGTATTCCTTAGAATAGGAGTCTCTCGAATCACCAATGGAAACAGAGACGGGTGAACTAAGTCCAGAACTTGGTTATTGCTGCCAGGGTGCCAATCTTTTTGCGAATCTGGCACATCCTCCAAAGCCCGAACGCAGGTTATCAATTCTTGTCGAAGCGACTCTTCAATAAGGCGATCAGAGTGATAAGTATTGTCAACGGTGGAGGGTTCAATTCCAGTAACAGAATCCCGATTTGCCAACTGCATGCATAAAAATACATCATTATTAAGCGTACATACATATATCTAAATTGACTGTTTTCTAGCTTGTACAATGCAATGTTAAAAAAATTATTACCACCCATTCCAACTCGGCAAGAACATACTCAAATTTTTCAATAATTTTATTAATTCGGGGTTTCATTGCGATAACTTCATTTTTCCACTTTTCTACAATGGTGGGATCCCTCATTTTCCTTTCCCAGTCGACCTTCTCCCTGATACAGTTGGCCAGTTTGATCAAGTCAAGTTCATCCACGGTTTTGGGCGACCAACCAACCATGTATTCCCCCTCGAGGAAGGCGTGTGGAAATGGGGTGTCAAAATTATCCATTTTATGCGATGTAAAATAAAATTTAACTTAATCTACAACTACAAACTTAAAGAAATAACAGATGATCACGGTTCCAACTTAGCCAATATTTACGAACACGAAGTGTAACATTATGTATCACGTCGAGTTCAGTAGTGTGCAATTATCCATCCATCTGATTTGGTTATTGATCCATTTGCTTGTGTTACTTTGGAAATGTATCAGTAGAATTACGTGTATGTAGTCTGAAAAATGAGCAAAACTTCCATTCGGCACGATGAGGATACGAAATGTAAATAAATACTGCTTCGGTTAGTCCCAAACAGCATGAAAAGCATTATTCAAGTTGATAAAAGACATGATAATTTTGCAGAGTCTGATATAAATAAAAACTTACAAACGCAATACATCTCTTGATGCAAACTTTGGTGGATTTGCAAGTTTGCAACGTGTTGTATGTTATATGCAACTTATGCAAGGTACATATGCATGAATCCATACTATGGATAACATTTTACTATGTATATAATCTATATGTAGTCGCTAAATTGGAAATGACTGGATGAGATGATACTGAAAGTCAACTTCAAGGTTGATTCTTATTTTCATGCAATGTATACGGTTGCACGATCCGTACTTATTATGTTCATCTACAAAATATAATATTTAGTAGGTAGGTAGGTGAGCCACATATTCTGCATGCCAATTTAGTAGAATTCTAAATAGTTGCATGAAATTGCATGAAGCTGATGATACGTAGTATTGTATTTAAGACTAAATTGCCAAAATAAATTTAAACAAAAATATAAATTCGTATCTAAAAGCACTTTTGTACTAAGGATATGCTTACTAAATAACATTCCTACTAAATACTTAATCCAGCCAACAATTATTTTGAAGTTGTTAAATACGCACGGTACAGGCACTCAAATAAATTACTTCGTGATGCGCAAACTTTATTATGGTCTGCTCGACAAGCATTAAAGATTCGACAAATAGGGACAACTCCACCCTGCATCATAAACAATTCCCCATAAATATTTGCAAATTCTGACAAGTTTCTTCCTAAATTGACAAATGTTTCCTAATTGTCAGGCGGTTGGTTTGCATGATCCGTGCCAATTATGAACTGTGTAGCTTGTTCACTGTGAAAACCCATAATTATTTAACAATGATTCATCATAAACTTGTACATAAATTCATTACATCACATGCACACACCCAACTGTTTGTGTGTGTGTGTATTAAAACCGAAAAATAATTAGTTACGAATTACCAAAGTTTTAGTATTGTAACATGCAATGCGGAAATTTAATTCATTAGTAGAAAATTCCAGCCCGTTCCAAAAAAACTTCCCGTTTTCATGATAGTAGAACTTCATAGTCTCATGAAGAATCATCTTACTACAAACATACATAGAATTTTCATAAAATGCTGCTTAATTTACTTGTAGTAAATTTATTCCTCCTTTTACAATCTGGGGGAGCAGTGCGCCTAACTACGTCCATGTTCGACCCGTACTCGACGACAATGGCAGATTATGAGGACGTCAACTCCAAAGGAAAGAAAAGTGAGATTTTCAACCGAATATTTGACGAATCAGGTTACGATACAAAATTACGTCCTCCCGGTTTAAAGAATGGGACCGGACCCACAGTTATCAAAGTCAGTCTTCATATTCGATCAATCGAAAATATTGACGATGTGAGGATGCAGTACTCTGTACAATTGACTTTCCGTCAGGAATGGGTCGATCCAAGGCTGAAGTAAGTATGTGCATACCATATAAAGTATTTGTCCCTGAATATTTAAGATATTAACCGTTTGCAAAGTTCTCATTTTGTAAATGAAGATTGAATGATTCTAGATTCTCTCATATTCAAGGAAACATCAAATATTTGCAGCTCGTCATTGCTAACCGAATTTGGATGCCAGATATTTTCTTTAGCAATGAGAAAGAGGGGCGACTTCACGAACTCATGATTCCAAATCTTTTCACCCGGGTATTTCCAGATGGACAAGTAATGCAAAGTTATCGAATCACTTTGCTTCTTTCGTGTCCCATGAATTTAAGAGCATATCCTCTCGACGTGCAAAAATGCCCGATACAAATGGCCAGTTATGGATGGACCACACAGGATATCGTACTTCAATGGAGAAAGGAGAAACCCGTGGATATGGCAAGGGATTTCAATATGCCGAGGTTAACAGATACTCGAGGAAGTTGTATATTTATTATTATTATGAAGTATTTTTAATTTGGTCACGATCTAATAGTGCATATTCAATTTTACATTCCGTTAACGAAACTACTATATATGAACTGTGCCATAGTTGTCAATAAGGTTATCTTGATATACGATAGTATCCCAAGTGACCATTTACCATCCGATCCTGCATGTGCCTGTACAATATGAGCAGCTGCTAGGAAAAATTCATGCGCACATTAGTTTACAACAAATTGCACCAAATTGATTGAAATTATGCAACTTATATTTTAAAGATCTAACCTGTGCAGACATTCGAGTCGTTGGCACTGGGCAAATAACCAAGGATACATTTACACATTCCAGTCCTACATTCCATGTCAGGTCCAATGCACTCCGATGTAGTGTTGCACTTTCCGCGTAGGCGCACTTTTCCAGTTTCTTCAGGTAAAGCCTTTATTACAGGAAAAACAAGGTAACGGATGAATGGGCATACAAATTATCTGTATTAAAATGTGAAGTATTTAAGTTCATGCCTGGCCTGCATATGCTACTGCAACGATGACGAAGACTAGGAGAATTGATAGTTGGAAACTGATAAGACTCATCTCGGGATTTTTATGTAAATGCATACACCTATTTTAAAACAAGGTTTAGCTAGTCAAACAATTTCCTTGAGTCGAAAAATATGAACTTTAAGGCACAGCTAACTAATTGATACTGAGTTCCACAATTTTGTACCAAAATGCCTTTATGCAAATCCGTACAACGCATATTTCATCCGTGGTTCAGAGGTCATTACATGTTTTAGTTGGAGGATTTATTTTGAATGTAAAACTGAATATAGTGGTCGTGCACATATGTATATTCTCGTGTAACTTTATTTATTTCAAGTTGACAAATCATGATTCGTCAAGTTGCAAGTCTGTGTTAGCGTGTTTCAACAAAATGAGATTTGAACAGTTGATCTCTGTCACGAACAAATAAATTTTAATTCAAATGCATCCTACTTGATGCATTTGATTGCAAATATTCTAAACAGTACTGGTTCATAACATATAATTAAACGTGGAAAGGGATCACAATACAATACGCTTGGATGGAATTAATCAAACGTCCTACGGATGAAACAATTATGTCCTAACTAACCTCCTTCAACTTTATTTGTCTCGAGTAAAATTTCCGTTGGCTACCGAATCATTACATGTGTACAAAAATTTTAGTTAGCCACACCCCTTGGGGACGGAATTTAAAATGATAATGTATAAGGAAATCCCGAAAAATATTTCACCGGACCTTTGAATTCTTATATTACAGTACAATAGGCAAAATTTTCATGTCAAGTTTGTGAAATTTTTCACATATCAATTATTACATATTAATTAACATTTAATTCATTTTTAATCAGGTTTAAAATGCAAGAACATTCTATTTCGGAATGCAGTTCTATCACTGCGACTGGGAATTATTCATGCATCAAGTTGGATATCGCATTCGAACGAGAATTTGGTTATAACCAAATTATATATTATAATAATAATATAATAATATTATATGGGTATAAAATATTTTATTTTACGTAGGTTTTTACCTCATCCAAATTTACGTTCCGTGTTCTATGCTATCTTTGGTGTCCTGGGTCACGTTCTGGTTAGAACCGACCGCTGTAGAGGCGCGTGTATCTCTCGGGGTCACTACAATTCTTGCCATTGTAACTCAGACCTACGGGATTAATCAAAGCGCTCCTCCGGCATCATATGGTAAGTTGCTTATTATCATACTATTTTATTATCAACTGTTTAATTAATGCATCAATTATCTTTTTTTAAAGTTAAAGCCATGGATGTGTGGACTTCGTTTTGTCAGGTGACACGTTTCTGCATTAATTAAGATAACTTACGATTATGTGCATATCTACTTTCCATCAATGACGGTATTCGTTATTTCTTCGCATCCTTCGTATCGTAAAATAGTTTAGTTAGGAGTTTGCGAAGATAAAACAAGGCGTCGGGAAATTGTAAGCGTAGTAATGCGATCCTCGATGAGAAAATATTACGACGCTTGCAAAATCTCGTACCGTCGTAAGTTATTTTACGATACGAATAATACTAATAAGGATACAAAGAAATAATGAGTCCCCTGAATATCACTTTAAAATTTGTATACATGCGTGCAAATATTATAAAATATTTTATTAGTCTTAATATTTTATTTTAAAAAAGGCGATGGTATTCGGAGCACTTCTCGAATTTGCCCTGGTCAACTACATCACCCACTTTCGAGTCGTTGTAAAGAAGAAGCGACTAATGGCGTTTGAGGATTTGGACAACAATACTGACAATGATGCCAAGGAAAAGTTGCGTCGTGAAATACTGGAGGAAGCGGAAGCAAAATTGGTTGCAACTGCATTGGCCAAAGCTAAGCGAATTGATCTCGCAGCACGAGTTTTATTTCCTCTTATTTTTTGCATATTTAATATTTCCTATTGGGGTTATTACCTCAAGTTATATTTTGGATTACTAGACGAGTTCAAAGCAGGTCTGGATCAACTCAGAAACTAAACTTAGCAATTAGAAAAATTTACTTGCTTTCACTTTGCATAAATAATATGGAGCAGGTCTCAAATTCAGAGTAATTCAGACTGCGTGCAATTTTAGTGTACAATAAGTATAAAATATGATGTTTCATATCAATTGTACCGAACAGACAACAGCAAGTACCTCTATCAAGCACTTTATTATGCTCGCAAATTTCTGTGGTAGGACAAAATGTTTTCCAGGAAATCATATGCACATGCTAGATCTTTCAAAATTCGCAGTCTAATGCTATGTTTAAGCTATGTATGCAGAAGAAAATTGTAGTTGAATAAATTTGTTAGCATAAAAATATGTGTACATACATATGTACGCATACATATGTACATGTCTCAACTCCATGAATGTGGAAGTTGGTTCGAATAAAACGTAAAACTGATTTATGATATTGATCACGTAGGTTACGTTAATCAGTGGAACATTTCTTTAAATTTCAACATATTTCTACATCAACAAATAATTTAAAACTATCATAACCCGAAATTAATACTTATATGTAATGATTAAACTAAACGCCTAGCGCAAGCTCCATCCAAAAATTGATGAAATCTTTATTTTTTAATGTGACGAACCTCAATACATGCCAGATTATCGTAGATGGCTAATTGTTACAAAATTTGTACTCATAATTTAGTTTATTCAATGTAAAATGTCTTCACTTTGATGATTTAAACTCTTTCAAAAGCGTAAAAATATATAAATACTGGATAAATACTAAAGAATTTGGTTTAAAGTTCAGAATTTAAAATGTAATTGATACATCAAATGACTACTATTCAAGAGGAATTAAGCATTTTATTTATTATTATTTTTTACTTCGGGACTCATCCTAATTTTTAGTTAGTTGGACAATACAAATGATGATGAAATACTAACAATGCACGTACTCCAAGGACTTGCTTGTTACGTACGTGCATGATGCTGCTCGCAAGCGGTGCAAAAAAATGAAATTGACATTGAAAGGTTGAATCATCAACATGTGACTCATCTGCGTCTTCTGACTTGCGAGCTCGTCGTCGGTGGTCGGTATTATTTTACGAGTTTCAATCTATTCAAGTTCTAAATATATTATTTCTTACGATAACATTTAATTTTGTATTTGCGTACTAAAATACTTAAAAGCCGTTTACTTATAATTATCATAATTAAAAGTGTGACGCTAAAATCCTTGGAAAACATTATATCATTTGACATTTAAAGAAATCGAAAATGAGGAATCCCCCGTGTTGTATCCCGTTGCAGAAAGCTGCCAAATTAATTGCCATCGTTCATACGGTATGGTAAAATAATTGTAACGTATGTAATTGTAATTATACATGCATACTTAGTTTTATTAAATCAAATATTCACATCAATTCGACACTTTGACAATGCGACATCAATATGTAGATATATAATTTCATCACTGATAGCCCCTCCCGTGGTGTGGCGTACCAGAGGACGCGTCCAGGGGCACAGGGTTCACGCATTTAGCCCCATTGCAAAAGTCGAAGCAACAAAGTTGAACCCCTGGACAGTCTGAAAATAGAATTGGACTTAGGAAATAGTGTAATGGTACTATTTTATGCAATTAAATATTCCCAAGGCCTTACCAACATCGGATTTGCAGGATGCTGTAGGACTGTTTGGGCACAATCGGCTATCGTCCAATTTCAGCGCAGAAGTGGGACATTGACCGCTGTCTTTGGCTGCCAAAAATCCGAGACAATTAAATATGGCAGGCTTCCATAAAATAATAATTTCTACTATCTTCCAACTTACTCCTCAGATCACATGATTTTTTGAAGCATTTGGCCGCTTTATAGGGCCGAGGGCACACACACATTCTACAATCTTGATAAAGCATGAGCGAGTCCGGAGTGCATATTAGCGGTGGGGGTGCTACAATTAAATGATTGCGTATTTATAATATATCCTGCCAATTTATTTAGCTACACAACTTATTCATAAAAAAATATTTGTCTTACGACGATTGGCTCCTCCAGGGTGTGGACGGAAATTTCCAGCAGAAATATTAACTAAGACAGCGATTATGAAAAGCGAAACAGGCAGATGATTCATGATGAAGTCATTGAATCCAAATTTAAACAACTGGGTGTAAGATTTAGATATTTAGTTATTTTGACGTATTTGACGCAATACGAATTTATATAATGCATGTCATACATATATGTACAGTAGACGTAAATTTTATTATCGTTTTATGTCTTTTGTCGCCTGTTTATGTGCATGTATTAATACAAGGCTTGCTGGATCCATTGTTATAAAATTGAGCAAGGTTATTACGAAGGGATGACATACATACATTCATAATTTTATAGTGTTTTAATTGTTTTTAGGTGCTAATGTCCCTTGCGTTACTCGTGCTGACCGTGTCACTCGTTGTTGTGTCCATGAACTATTCGGCTACCAACGTTCCGTCTGTACTCTCACTTTCATCAAACACCTTTGACATTTTTGGTCTGAAGAACTTTTCTTCAGTCAACGTTAACACGGACGATCATGGCGTAATCAGCAAAGACAATCTCACGATTGTGCATAACGGCCAACTTTTTTACAATGAGAAGTATGTCGTTGCTCAAGCAGGTTGGAACACATTTTAACCCGTTTTACTTTCAATTGCTTATTAATAATAATTTGAATACAATGTCAATTCGTTTGGTTTTCTTCGCATTCAAGTTAATCAAGCAATGGGCGTCATCATCATGGGAATTGTAATTTGCACAATTTATATTATTTTGGATGTGCAATTGTGGATCGGAGCCAATGACGTTAGTTGCAAATACATACACACATATACGTTTTATATAATGACAAAAAAATGTACTTTGCATATTTTAAATATTTATAATATTTTTCAGCGAAATGTGTGGCGATGCAATGTGTGGTTCCAAGTTCAACTTGCCAACTCTTTGATTTCTTTGATTTTGACACCAGTTGTGATGGTCGTAATGATTCCACATGTCCAATTGGGAATGCTGATTGCGTGCATTGGTCAAGCAATATTGGTATTTTATATCATGTGGGTGATTTATGCATTCATTAAAGAGTTGGAACTGGGAGGATCCGGAAAAGTGGAAGGACCAGAGGAAGCTTTCATCACAAAGTACTAAAGTATTCAAAAGATTGATACTTATGTAAATCGTTGATATTTCTACTCATTTCAGTATTACCTAAATACTCTTGAACTGTGTGTACAGAAACAAGGTTTTGGTACTTGCGGGGTTGGAATTATTACTGTTTGTAAACATCAAATTAATTCCCCAAGCAACGCTAAAACCTTAGACAAATTATGCAATTCTCAGCCTTAATTTCTCGGTATTGTTTCGGGCATTTAAATTCTTTATCGTTGTTAAGTTTTACTTACGCATTTCAATTAAAGTCAAGTAATAATCTAAAAATATGTATATATCGTTATCCTTTTCTCAAAATTTCAGTCAAATCAACCATTATAATATTGTAAACTAAAACTTTACTTACCATGAAAACTATGAATATGTGTGTGATTATAATATTATTATGAAATAAAATTTTGAAGTAAAACAAATAAATACATAGTGTATAACAGCCTATTATTCATTCCCACGGAGCAGCATCAATTTGAAGGCCTAAACTAAACGCTAGAAGAATGAAATTTCAAAAGCACAATGGTCAACTATAAAAAATGTATGTATAGGTATTTATAAAATATACAGATATACACTCTTGTACGAGATATACATATATATCTCCATATATATAGATAGATAAGTGTGTATATTTGTATACGTAATTATAGTTCTAGTTGATTTCCTAATACATAAGGCTCTGCGCATCTCATGTAGACACAGATTTCTATTCATGTAGGATGAATGCCACAAGTAAGATTGAAAGAAAAAAATTCTCATGTCAAGTTACGTAATGTTTATCGATAAATGAAATACAAAAACAGCTCATGTCATGTCAGTTACGAGCTGAAAGTGACCGATAAGTCTTATTGACTGTAGGTAAATTCACTACTCAGCTCTCGTTTGTAAATATTTGGCGGAGGGAACGAAGGTAATTTTAAACCAATTTATTTGAATATTTTGTACTTATTATTCAATATGTATCTGTTATTAGCAAGCCAATTTATCAATTACTGCATTTTAACAAGGCAATTAAACTGCACATTCCATGGTTCGGAGTAGATTTACAAAGTTGATATAACGTAACAAGTTTCCATAAATTATAGTTGTTAAGAAAAACTCCAAAATCATTATTGACCATCAGCATCATGCTCCTCATGGAACTAGCACTCAAATATTGAAACATCATAAATACTCAGAGACTAAGTCACTTTGTATAAATTGCTGAATAATCAAACAAAAAACAGAGGTTTTTACTTGCCCAGATACATTTCATGCCCGGTCGGCGATCACACTACAATGATTGCAATAAGACATGATCTCTGTGTAACCCTTGCATTCAGATCGAAGCTTTATTTAACAAGACTATGCTTAAGAAATGAGTATCCTTTTTTATGTGTTACGGAATTAGATATACGTACGTACTTATAACTAATTCCAGAGGTTCGTCATATCTTATCATGAACAAAGTTTTTTAAGAATATTTGCTTCTTTACTGCACTTTAATGTATGTATGTATTTCGTATGTTAGCCAAGCCAGGAAGCAAACAGTATTTGGCAAGACAAGTTTACCTTATTCCATAAAGAATTAATTTACAGTGAAAATTAACTGACCACTAGAGCCAATCCCTACTCACCTCATTAATATTTGCAAAGTTTTTTACTCAGAGATAAAAGGCTGAATATTTGCATCTTAAACAGTATTTTCTTGCTCTAAGTTTTGTTGCTGCCAAATTTTTACTCAAGGTGTTATCATTACGTAATATTTATTTTCGACTATTTAACAAAACCAGCTAAAGAAGTTGGATCAGTAATCTTTTGAACATACATATATTGAATAGCCTGGATAATAATCAGCACATCCAGCTCATCAAATTTGTGGTCCAACTTTATTGTGAAATGTGAATTTGATACTCCGAAGTAAAACACTGAGGGAGGATGCAATAGAAATAGTTAAAAAAACAATAGAGTACTAGAAAAATGTTCAAAACCAGGGAACACTGTATTATGAGGAATATTATAAGCTTGGGAGCCATAAATCTACTCATTTTCATAGCTATCACAAATGGTGAGTTAACCCAGCACCGTGTATATTCTGGGCTTCAGAATATAAAATATATTATAGCCTTACGTGAATTATGCTGAAAATTGTTTCACAGGGCAATCCCGTAAGATGGATGAATGGGAGACGTGGTCATTGCAAGTGCGTAAATTTTTATATTTTATTTGTAGTACACCAAGTATAGAACTACATATGTACGTAACTGCTAAAAATACGACTGCATACTAAAACTTCAATTTTGTCCAGAAATTGGAAGACGAGGTAAGTCCAAGTCGTTGGAACCCGAGAAAATCTCCCGATGAAGTGATCAAGGAATATGTCGACACTTCAATTCTTGGTACGCATTCCGCCCAAGAAACAATCCCCCACGAACTCAACATTCCGTATGGCGAGAAGCCCTCACAGCAGTACGATTTGTATGGGACCGACCTGTCGCCCGACTCCCATATATACATTTGGATTCATGGTGGTTATTGGCAAGGTGATCCTTCACGTTTATCAGTTCAGTTCGAGACTCTCTATTGAGCAATGAATCATTTCAGAGGGTAGCAAGGATATTTCGGCACTATTTGCATCCACCCTGCATGCCCAAGGAGTTCGAAACATCGTGCTAGGATACACTCTAGCACCTGCCGGTATTTTAATCAGAATAATAAATAATTAAGAAAAGACTATTGAAGTAAAACACAATATTATCTGTAGTAGTTTAATTAAACATAATAATTCTAGCTTCAATTGCGCAAATAGAAGAAGAGGTTGTTCTAGCTTTGAAAGAAATTATATCAAAACACCCAAATTCTCCAATTATAATAGGAGGTTAGAAAATCGCCATTTGATCGGTTTGTTGTAAATAATAAGAGTACTTAATAATTTACTTCAAGGTCACTCTGCCGGTGCACAACTCGCCTCTATGATTCTTCACAATCAAAGCGACCCTGTAATTGTTGAGCATATTAAAGAGTTTCATTTTGTCTCTGGGGTATATGATTTGCGCCCATTGATCCCAACCTATGTAAATAATCCGTTAAAATTAACAAGATCAACTGCTGATGCTTCGAGTCCGCTTCGAATTCGAAAAATTCAGCAAAGATTTTTAGACAAGGGAGCGGACCTTAAAATATCAGTGACTGTTGCGAAGCATGATTCACCACTGTTCCAACAACAGTCTCAAGAATATTATAAACTTTTGCGGAAGGCGTTTTCACACTTTGAATTTTGGAAATCAGATTCGGATGACCATTTCACTTTAATTCAAAATATGGCCAAGTCTAATACAGGAGCTGGTAAACAGTTTCATCAGCAAGTCGTAAGTTTCTCCTTACGAAAATGCCATCCTTAATACACCATGATAATTAAAATGACTTTGAGGTTTTAAACTGTTTTGTTTGTTTTAAGAGTGCGCTAAAGTCGTCAGGGACAACAAGATTGGTTTCAAACCAGGTTACTACTTTAATGTCAATAATTGCAATATTTATGCTCCTTTACACTTAATTTGGTCTAGTTAAATGTTTCAAAAAATGATAATAATACATTTAATCATTTTTATACGGCATTTATTAAAATATAAAGGGGCGAAAGATTTATCATCGATAAACATATTGTCACATAAAAAATATTTCCGACTCGTGTTATTTATTTCTCATTGACGTAACATGAGTTTTTGGTAAAAGTAAAAATAATCTGCAGGTACATAAAACAGGAAGAGACGTCATCAACGCAAAAAGTAGTGTCACCTTCTTGATCACATATTATTGACCTAAATCTTTTTGGTGCATTAGGAAGATCCCATTGATTGATAACCATATCCACCTCGTGCCTTATGAAATTGCTCATAGTCCATCTAGGCCAGTAATTCATAATTAATACTGCAATATAAATATGACTACATGGAAAGCTGCATAAAATAATTATGTATACCATTCCAACAGCTAGTCCAATAACTAATAATTTTTCATTTGGAGAAGCACATTCTTCCAACTTTACTTGCACACTTTGATTGAGGTGAATTTCGCCTACATTCACACTTCCAATTTTAAACCCTCCCAGATGCGATGGTCTTGATATGTCAATCTTTGAACGGAAACAAATTTATTATTATCGAGAATTTTAGGACAAACACAATCTCTACCAAATTTTGTGAGCACCTTCCTCGGGAACAGATAAGCATTCCCGACCAAAAGTGGTTCCCCCGTTGAGCAGCTCTTTATGGAGGCTGTAGCAATAGGTAGACAACAGCAGAGACAAATACAAGGACAAAGCAACCCCATTCCAAACCCATCTCTCTGAAAAACGCCTACACGCCCAGTCGGCGAGGAAAATTCCAGGGTCTACAATTAGGAACATCCGAGCATTATAATAGGCCAATTAATTAGTCACTACGATTTAAGGTAACCAGGACAGACCGAAAATGTAGGTGAGTATAGATAACCGCAGTGAAGTACACTTTTCTCCCCAGGTGGTGGAAGTGTCAACGTAATTCCCCTAATGTTCGGGTCCCCCCTTCTTCCCGAAATGTCAAGACAGTGGAAAATCTCGGCACCATTCTCATGGTCCAGAACTATGTATTTTTTGGTTGGAGGACTATTGCTCGTTTCGTAATCCGAGGAAAGCAATTGTGTGAGTACTGTATTCACGTAAATAGAATAAAGTTTTACTTTATTTTATTTCCACACGTACTTATACAATGAAGCATGTTCATATTATGAGAGATTTTTTGGAACCTGGCACAGTGATCACATCAATGTTTGAAACAAATTTGAGTGCGTTTTCCACATCAAAAAGTAGATCGGTTGTGCTGGTACTATTATTTTCATCGTCATTCCCACCACGCTCACTGTCTGCGGTACTTGTGCAGCTATTTTGAACAACTTCCGGAAACGTCTCGTCATAAGAAGGCGGAGGTTTTTCTGGATATTCCATTTTTAATTGAGAAAGTCCAGGAATGACTGGAAGGTGATTAGTATTTGCAGTCCAAAGTGACTTGTCCTTCAAACTTTTTGACCAACTTTACACGATATGTACAGAAAAAATTAAGTCTTTTTTTTGTAAATGAAAGAAAGTTTTAAGCCAGACAGCCAGCTGTGTCTGCATATGTATGTATGATACAAACAAGTGTATGTATGCAAACGTGAACCACTTTTAGAACTTATGGCATCCCATTCACTGAATAGCATTGTCAATATATGTACATATCTGTAATACAGATTTTGTATTACACGGAGTTAGTACAAATATTGTAGCTGGGAGGGTACATGCATTCGAGATCTGCATAACAACCCTAACATGCAGGGTTCGGAAAAACCCAGGGTTTTAATCAAAAAGTAACGACCCAGGGGTTTTAATGGGTTTTAATGGGTTTTTTGGGTTTTAATGGGTTTTATGGGTTTTATTGGGTTTTATTAGGTTTTACATAAGCAATACATTGAACAACAATTTTCACTACTATTGCAATCCAATTTCAGTTAATATGCAAATCCTCCTTGTCCATGTTAGAATTTTTATCCGTTTCGAAATGGTCCTATTTAACTGATCATAATCTAATACTTTATGTGACCATAATTAATTACATATATTACCTTTTTCTCGAATGCTTCCTCTCATCATAATGAAATCCAAGTTGTTTAAACTTTTAAAAATTTAATATTTCAATGCGATCTTAAAGTGTATTATCAATTCTGGAAAAAATCGAGTACTTATGGAACAATGAAACTTATGGAACAACGAAAGTACGTATGTATTATGATCAGGAATATAATAAGTGATTTTTAGACACATTTCTTTTGCTCATAATACAAAAGGCGATTAGACATGGTTTTCACGACTTTGCGCTTGAATATCTCTGGTGCAAATTCGAATTTTGAGTTGATTTTGATAGACAAGCAAGATAATACTCTCAAAAAGATATCTCTAAATTTTTAAGGCGATAGCTTCACAAATGTCCCCTCCAGAGCCCCCAGAGTTGGAAGGTGTCAAAAACCCACTTTCCAAACTTAATTATTCATGTGGCATGATAACCAAAGAGGTCAGAGGTGAAAAATTATTATTATTATAACCCTAGATAATGATTGTATCTAATAATAAAAGAATCCGTAATGAATAAAATAATGTGGGCCCTCCAGCATCGCTGATACTTTTCCATGAAAAGTGATAAGTCGGACCGTGCACCGGGAAATTGACCTCCTGACCTTAAAAACGGACCGACTGGGTGAAATGAAGATTGAGGGCAAAGCTCTAAGTGTCCTAAGTAATATTAAATTAAGCAGTGATGATTTTGAGTAAACAGTTTTGGAGAAGGACCCGAGCTAATCAGCTGACATGGAATCCTAAAAAACTCTTGAACTTATTTAGAAAATTAATAGTCAAATTTTGTTGAAAACAAATTTTAATAAGTTTTTTGTGTCCCCTGCTGCAGAACTATTTTACCTACAAGGTACAAGTGACAAAATAATAAAATTACTGCGTTTTGATTAGTTAAAAAAATGTTTAAGTTCCGCTTCAATTTCGAGGAGAACTTTTGTAAAAATTTTATAGGGTTTGATGGAAACTCATTTCCTGGGGTGTAACCACTTATCAAAATTTTATCAAAAGTACTTACAGTGCAATATACTATATGTACCTTGGATATAAACAACGTTTGGGATTTTTAGTGTCAAAGCCCTAAAATGTGAGGGCCTTAAAAGTCGAGGAGTTGCGTTCGTGAGAGCATTCCATAGGACAAGTATGAAGTTAAACTACAATACGGGCTTAAAAGATAAGCATGAGATAAAAGTGGTTTTATATAGTGAAAGGCATGCTGAGTCCATTGATAATAGTCGCAAAGACGATTTCTGCACTAGGGCCTCAGAAAAAATCTTTTGTTCGGTGCCATTTTATAAGAACACTGGTTTGGAAAACTAAAAAAGGACACCTCTGCAAATTTGACCTTGCCTCATGCCCCAGAGTGCACAACACCGGAAGCCAAATATATTTACCTATAGTTCGAGACATGGGCTTTCACATAAAAAAAGTTAGAAATCTCTCCAACCAAAAACCATCGCATAATTAAATTATGAATTTGTGCAAACCATCTCTAATCGCCTTTTGTAAAGTACTTCGTTGTCCATAAGTACTCGATTTTTCCAGAGGTGTAATTAAGATCGCCTTGAAACATTTTAAAAAACTTTATAAATTAAAAAAATACTATAGTATTTTGTTTAATTTATTCGCTGAGATGAGAGGAAGTATTCGGGAAAAAAGTATTAATTATGACAGCAAATGTAAATTAAATGTAATTAAATTATGTATGCTCAGTTAAACATACCTCGTTCCGAAATTATTTTTTATTTATTTTTTGTCACTTGAAACCTGTAATTGCACTCGCTGATTTATTCCTGGTTTTGAAAACTTACAGTATTAATCAAATAAACTGCTTAGCTGCCATCAAACAACTTCGTTTAACGTATGACAGCTGTTTTCAGCTTTTAGAATATAGTTTTAAGCTGAAACACAGTTAAAACCCATTAAAACCCAAATAAAACCCATTAAAACCCGAATAAAACCCATTAAAACCCAAATAAAACCCATTTAACATGGTAAAACTCAATGGGTTTTATTCGTTAACAACCCATTAAAACCCATTAAAACCCAAAAAACCCAACCCAATAAAACCCTGGGTCGGAATACCCTGCTAACATGTCATTTGAAATCTGCAAACTTTTCAGAAAAAATCTCATCTTTGCAATCAATGCAATAAAAGGTGCACAGGTGAGAAATTATAAAATCAAACACATTCAACTTGTACATGTACTTGTCCAAAAACTTATAAATGGAAAAAATCATAATTTTTTAGGTACTTTTATTTAAAATTAGTGAGATAAATCCATCATTTCCCATTTTAAGCAATTTTTATCTTTAACACCGCTGTATGTACAGAATGTAGTATGTACATATGTATGTACATATGTACTAGGCACACAAAATTGCATGAATTATCAAACACACTAATATGAAAATTGCATGACAAAAAAGATCCAAAGTTGCTTGTACTTGTATTAATATCGGGATGATTGTTGATGTGCCAGATGAAATTGTTCATAATCCATCTGCGTGTACATCATGCAAAAATAAACCATAATTTTGTCAATTCTAGTACTTCATAAAAAAGCTAGATATATACCATTCCAGCTCCAAGTCCAATCAGTAAAAGTTTTTCGCTAGGATTTGCAAATTGCTCAAATGACAAGGTTATTGTCTGGTTCATTAAAATTCCTCCTAAGTGTATGACCCCTATTTTTCTTCCACCCAAATTTGATGGTCTTGACATGTCAATCTATGTAAAGTAAAATATTGAAATGTTGAAGATGAAATATTACACGTTCGTATATTTTTATATATTTTACTTTTCTCGGTAAAAGATATGCACCCCCTTTCAAAAGTTGGTCCCCAGTTCGGGCGTCCTTGATGGATGCTGTAGCTACTGGGAAACAGCAGCAGAGGCAAAGAAAAGGACACAAAAATCCAAGCAATCCCAGCCCAAGTCCATCTCTGTTAAACACGCCCACTGGGCCAGTTGGAGATGAAAACTCCATCGTCTGTGAAATTTTTTATCAACTAATATGCAAATAATTCAGGTTTGTAATCATATTACACAGCCTACACTGAATGCAGCAGAATACCGGTATCCACAGTGAAGCACACTCTTTTCACTTGGTGAGGGGAAGGTCAAGGTGAATCCTCGCATGTTGGGATCATTTCTATTTCCAGAAATATCAAAACCATTGAAAATTTCCTTCCCGTTTTCCTGATCAAGCACAGCGTACTTTTTTGCTCGAGTGCAACCAGGTTCCGCAGATTCGGATGAAAGTAGCTGAGTTAGCACTGTCAAAAATACATACGCTTTTAACTATTTTGGATATTTATTCTCATTATTAGTCAAAAATTGACCTGGTAGCGAAACAATGTTAACTTTGTACACAGAGTCCAGAACGGTGTCTATTTCTCTTGATTGAAGGAGGTCCATTGTCAGTAAATCAAATTTATGTTAATCTGTAAAATAAAACGTTTAGGTTAATTATGCATGTGGTAAACTATTTGTAGCGATAATTGAAACGGATTTTCTTTAAACGCACCTAGCACTTGATTCTGTGAAATTTTGCAAAACAAAGAAATATTCGTACTATCCACTACTATGAATTTCTTTAGTAGGCTTCTTCATAAAAACTCAATTATACATAGACCACTTTTACACCATGCAACATAACACACTGTTGCATACGTAGTGGTGTAAATGTACATATGCACTCGTATGTACATACTATCTTTCTTCCAATGAATAAACTTCATGTACTTGGTAATCTGCACTGCGTATAAAAATATGTAAGTACATACAAAGTAGATATGTGCAAAATATTTCAAGGACTTGCCATTCTATCCGCAGCTCCACAAGTTTAACTGCATGCAAACATCGATTTTTTTCACTCGCTTCAAGTGATTGTACAAAGAAATATTTTATATTACACTTTGTATGCATATCTACATCTCTTAGGATGGTTTACCACATGCTCAATTTCCATTTCCGTTTCCATTTCAAATAGATTGAATGCGTGTACATACCTAAATTGCGGCGCCGGACATTACGTACTTATATATCGTTTATTCAGTTAAGATCCATGTCGTATGCATACTAATATTTCTATGAGCAAAGCTAGTTTGGTCAATAAAATCTCGATTAGTGGAGTCAGTTTCAATCCGTTCTGAATAATGAAGAAGCGGTTAAGTGTTGCAAAGAGTATGCAAATAAAAAGGTGCTTTCACTCACTAAAAATTCGAAAAATTATATGTAGATATGCAACTCGGATTACATAATCGTATTTATTATCTGTTCACTTACAAATACTGCAAATCATCCCAGAATGCTATATGAGGGGTGGAATACGTCAAAAAGACGGGCATGATTTCCTCTATTTAAATAGTATTCTTGTGCTTTGTTGCTTCCACTTTTTTGCAGCAATAGTTTATTTTACATATGAGATTAGAATTAATCTGAGGAAAAACTTTTATTCATTGGCAAGTTTAACTTGTTACAGTAAATATTTAATTATCTAATGTAAGAAATTATTAGTAAACCGACATAAAGGAGACCATCATACTATACATAAATATATTAAGTAGAAATATTCTTATAACAACACAATCAATGCAATCGTAACCACCATTCCAGTTGCAGCTAATCCCAGCCTGAGTTTTCTCTGTAAATTATTGTGTAAAAATTGCAATATTTACTGTATTTGAGTGCACTATACAGTCCGCATATGATAAATGCATTGATATTTAAATATTACCTTCAAATACTTTCTCTTTTCATGCTTAACTTTCTTCAACTTCTTGGAAGCCTGCGCAGTTCTTGCGTTCGTTTGAGAAACAAAGTCTTCGATCCTGTTAACACTTTGCGCCTGAAGTTTGAACGAAATTTCAGGAATTTGTTTCAAATTCGACTGTTTTATTTCGTGTTGTATATATCATTTAGGTAAATACTTATCCAATACTAACTTGGTTTTCAACGAGTAAAGCCATTTCCAAATACAAATCATGTACTTCTTTTACAGACTTTTCTAGGTTCAGGAAATCTTGATATCTCTCTGTCACATTACAAAGCGATTCCTTCGACTCTTCAGAATAACGCAACAACTACAAATGTACGTACAGACAGAGAAATTAAAATAAGGGAAACAAAAGAAATAATTATGGAAAACATTACATTCTGAGTGAAAATTGAACTAGTGAAGTCAGACTCATTCATCAGGTCAGAGGTAAATCCAGCTAAAAGACAGTCAGATGTATCATATCATAAATTTAGCTTTTAAATATTAGTAAATATTTATTCCTAAAAATTAAATTCACCAATTTCTGTTTCCAAAATAAATTGTCTCTTTCGGTGGTCATAATATTCAGCTTCACCCTTGTGGTAGTCTTGCATAATTAGTAAAAATTCCCTGAGGAGCGAAGCATGTTGCGTTATAGCTGCTTTCGTAACTGCTGTGGACACATGAGGAGGACTTGGACTTGTGTAGTTTTCAAGAATTTCTAGAATGCATATTTTAGAATATTTATAAGTCATTTTCAGTTCGATGTACATATGTATGTACTTTTAATCCTGCTATTGATTGTATGAAAATTCTTGATAATGTTGGCGTTGGCACAAACAAGTTCATTCTTTGTCCCTAAAAAAATAAACCAGATTAAAGCAGATGGAGCCGTGGAGGTATGTTGAGCACAATTATTATCCGTGTAAAGTACCTTGCGTTATCAAGGGGTCCCTTAGACTTGCTGTAAATTTACGCTTCGTAATTACAACGCTCAGCCGTAAATCTTCAAGTGATTTCCATATTTCGTCTACCTTTGAAATATATACGATTTAAAATTACATTATTTCCGAATAAATTTTAAGTTGTAATCGTCAATAAACCTCTGACAGTAAATGGCCCAACTCTGTTTCGACCTTTTCAGATATTTGTTTATCACATTTCGATTTTTTTCCATCTTCAGTCTGTAAAACAAATTTACAAAATTACAAAAATATTCACAAAAAATTTAAGTGGATTATAAAACTTGGGAATATTAGATAATTACCAATTTCTCTTGCAGTTCTTTAAATCTGTCACGCACCATTTTTTAAGAATTGAAACAAATTTTTTTTAACAAAAAGACAACTAGATAAATCCAATCAACAAAATAACAATAATATTCACAGTTGTGATTACGAATATATAATCGCTTGCAGGGATGAGTCATTATGACACCCAGAATGGGATCAACGGAACAAGGCGATTTCTCTTTGCATATGCTGGTTGGTGTACTCGACGGTTATGAGTCATGCATATTTTACATTCAGATATGCAATATAAATTAATGGTTAATGATGGCATTTCAATACGACAGAAACATTGTTTTCAGAATTATTTACACTTTTGTTTAAATTTATAAAAATATTTGCAGATATTTAACGCTGAATAACCATTTTTTAAATATAGGTTCCACTCATTTAATTCATTTTTAGAAGATCATGTCTACTCAAATAATTGGAATTTTGGCTGTGCATGTATACATAAATATGTACATACAAGTCGGTGATATATCGGTGGCTTAATTATGTTTATTTACCTTAGTAATATTGACTAATGATAATACAATATGCATAATTATATTATTTGATAATCAGGGTTCCATGTTTTCTAGTATCCAATTTTTATACGCCGCGATTCTGGTGTACCTACAGAATCAAGAGTTGGTTAATATATACCAAATTATAAGTTTTATAACGATTTTGGTGAAGTGACAAAATATTTCTTACACTCCAGGCAGCCCTCCCACGCCGCAGTGCGTAGGGCCGAATGAAACAACCCCTAGCTGAAAGTATTTTGGTCTGAATTTTGTAGAGAACTTGGCAGAATGTCGACTTTGTATCGAGACTTTCATTGGAATTGGAATTAAAATAGGCGAACCAGAATCTCCTGAAGTTCCGAATTTTTCAAAGGCATTTTAAGTACATATATAAATACATACATACACGTAAATCATTTTGGCTACTTACCACCACAACTATCCTCTGCTACCAGACCACCAGCACACATCTTCATTAAAATGAAAGGGAGATATTATGTCGAATTATCGAATTATATCATTATAAACTGTGTGCATTATTAAATACCTGTTTATCCCACAACTGAATTTTGGTACTATAATTTCTTTGACATTCATTATTGCTCACAATTGGTAATTTAATTTCCTGAAGAATGTCGCTACCATCCACTTTATCTGGAAAGTTGGTATGGTAACGTTAGTAAAAATAAGAATGCGCTATATGTAATTTCAGAGCAAAATATGTCGTTATTATCAGAGACTCACTCCACTTTATCCTTCCCCATCCAGTGACAACGCCTTTCTTTCCAACAAACTGGTCCTTATCTTCAACATCCTCTCGAATGTAGCTGGATTCAATGCCATATTCCGTAACAAATGGGAGGCAGACGGGCTTCACGAAAGGAGTGTCAAAGGGAATAATTCCTTTGAATACGTGATATTAAAGGTTAAATAGGATATTATTAACATTAAATTTAATAATTACCTTTTACACGAATCAACTCGATGTCGTTGGTCTTATTTTCCAAACTATAACCTGGATGATGAATTATCTTTTCAATTGGAAAATCCACAGCTCGAGAACAGTTCACTTCTGGAGCAGAGTCAGGACTGTGAACATTAATAAGATAATGTTCTATTCATGTTATGTCCTGAAAGTAATTACACATCTTTTACCTGCAGTCCAACTCTGAATTGGCGTTATATTCTCCTAAACGTATAACAGCCACTTTGAGCTCCGTTTTATCTACTTCTTCAGAACAATGGGCGGCCTATATTTAAATTATGATTTTAAGTATATCCGTGACTAGTTTTCAGCAAAAACACAATCTTACCGTTAAAATATACTTATTGCTGATAACAGTACCCCCGCAGTAAAATTCAATGTCTCCGGTGTCTAAGCCTGTAGGGATTAAATTAATATTTCTAGTCACGACGATTAGTTACGTGAGTTTTTGAACTTGAGTTAGTTAGCAGCTCTACATACTTTGATAACCAATTCGTGCCATCCATGGATAAGCCCCATGCTCCGCATTTTTGCCCCCAACGATCCTCAAGGACGTGTCAATAGCAGAAAGTCCACACTCGTCCAGTTTAGGAAACAGTAGTTTGAACTTTTTTAGCTCAATGTCTGCATTAGCGTCAATTACTGTTGGTGATGACGACGGTGTTAGCTTTACATCCCCATTATTGATGGAGTTGGGTGAACTAGGTGATGGATATCGGGGTCGGTCGGATGGTGATCCCGGATAAATAATGATATCCTCGATTGATGGAGATTTTGAGGGTTTATTTCCTTGAAGGGAAGGTTCATTATAATTGGTGAGGTCTGGGATGTCTTTTAGCGCACAACAAATCTGCCAATATAATTCAAATAGATATTGTATATATGGAATTTAATTTAATTGCTAATTACTTAATAATTAACCAACCGTTGGAATTTCAGGATGTATGGTACAAGTCAAATTTTGTAGTAATTTTATTTCTGCTGCTGTTAGTGTACTAGATCGAAGGAGACCTTGGATTAACGAAATTTTCAGTTAGACGTACCTTTTAGAGGAGTTCAAATTTACAAAATTTTACCTTTAAGTGGGGGACATTCGTGAAATGTGACACATTTCCCAGGAACATAACCATCCACACCGAGATATATTGCATTGCATTGTGGCTCCACTGATAAAACCAACACAAATTATGCTGTAACTTAATACTGCACTGAAAATATTTATTTCGTACTTACGACAGTATCCAAGCTCCGTAAACCAAATGATTATTAGAAAAATGTTGGTAAAATTACTAATATGCATTATATTCTTTATTGTGGTTGTAGGTAGTTCAAATTAAGAGTTAACAGTCAAGATCAAGGGAATAAATTGCGACTTAAAGACCAGTTCAACAACTAAAATATTGCTCATTATTACAGAAATAAATCAATAAGCTGCGTCCGTCCATTCACACATGAGAATAATTATATGATGGGTATCTAGTAGTGGTTTGGATGAAATCATTCTTTAAATTAAGTGGATTCATCAGTTTACCAAGATTCTGACAAAAGACACGCAAACCAGGTTTTTTTCACGAAACTCGTTAAATCGCGAAAGTGAATGAGAAGTCGGTTATTCTGGCGAATGAGCTATGCAGGTAGCCAAGTCAAGTCACGATTCTCATGAAGTATCTTCTTACCTCAGAATCCAGTAGAACAATGCAGTGCAATTCTAAATTAATTTAGATTTTGTGCAAATATGTAATGTCTAGGAAACTAATGCCAATGATGATTTATTGTGAAATCAGCTATGTACTGATATTATATAAATTCACAATTTCTTGACATTTAGTGCCATTAGTCCCCAAAGTTTAATTCTTTCAGAACTTTTGCTTCAAATCCATAACTGTCAGATCCAAATTCGTCGGTAGTGACGTTAAAGTCCACGCGACCTGTGACACAAAATAAATGCTTACAGATGATGTAAATACAATTAGACTATTTATATGAACACAACACAATGTTTAATGGAAACCACAATTAGGAGATAAGTAAAAATATGATTAGGCTTTTTAGCAGGATAAAGCGACCACAATTCATAAACTTTCCTATAGTGAAACTTTTGTACGTACACACGTATTTATGCATATAAGCTAATTATTTAAAAAAAATATTGTAAATTAGAGTTGAGATAATTCGAAAATTATCATCATGCTACTTAACCCAATGGGGTTGTTTGTTTTCGTATGTATTTGTCAACCACGCGGTACGATGGGTAAGAAAAAAGGCCAACCTGATCTAATTCATCCTTAACTTTTTGTAATCAATGGTTTTTAGCAAAGTCAATTCGCATAAAAGTGGACACCTCACAAGCTGTAGACTTGAAGCATTTTGGGTCTAATGTAGTCAGTATTTTGTATGACTGGTTTCCTTACGTTGAATCACTGCTGCGATCTCCAACCTATCAAGAATCACCGGTCACCCAGTTTGTAATCAAATTTGATCCGACTTATGCAGGCGTGGCAGCAGCATATCCAGGCAAACATCCACCTTTGATACGTGGAAGTGTGAATTTCTACCGAAAAAGAAAGGACGACATTGGCTCCATGATTCATGAGATGGCACATGTTATTCAGAAATATAAAAAATGTGATTTTTGGATTACAGAAGGGATCGCAGATTGGGTTCGGTACTTTCATTATGAACGAAATAGGCCTGTTCGACCTGGGAGGACTAAAAGTTATCGGGATGGATATGCTACATCTGCTTATTTTTTAAATTGGATAGAATCACGGTACAAAGGAATTATTTATTATTTGAACAAGAGCTGCAGAGAAGGAACATACACGGAAAATATTTTTGAAAGATTTACTGGATACAATGTTGATCAACTTTGGGAAATTATGCAGAGTATATAAGCAGAAGAAATTATAAGAAATCGGTAATACGAATGAGCATATTAATGTAGCAATAAATGAGTATATATATGTACATGTACACAAGTATGAGTAATTACGTGCATGGTGATAAATCTTTTGATTCCGATTCTGTAAAGAAAAATTTACCTCGCAAACTTTACATATGTAGCATGAATCCCTTCTCCCAAAGATTGTCCCAGCCTGATGTGGCAATAGCTGCAAATCTTCAAAATTAATATGAATATTCAGAGTCCATTAACTTAATTAACTTTTTGGGTAAAACAATTTTTATCATTTTATTTTCCTTTTTGTGTAGCGAATTGCTGATTTAAAGCATGTATATGACCAACAATGAGCGTGTATTCAAAAAATGTTTTACAATGTGGCCTAATCTGTACTGTAGTACATTATTGAACATTAAATTAAGACGGTTGGTAACAAAGTGCTTGAGATAAATTAGCGGATCTTACTTATATCCTACTACAATTTTTTGAAGGAAAAAATTTCCCATACCCACATCCATCATAATATACATGTATAATATGTATTTTTATTAACAACATTATTGTAATTTTTGTAAGCGGAGGTGGTTATCATGGCCATAAATTATTTTATTAACATTTACTAATCAACCTTATTGCCACTCATTTTTTGTTTGAAGACATTGTATATTTCTATGATGTAAAAACTAACCTGTTTTTGCACTCCCTTTATAACCGTTGTACCCGAAAGGACTGACGAGCATTGGAACAGTGTAGACAGTATTGTTGGCTTCAGGTTTGTCAAACATAATTTCAACGTAAGGGTAAAAGCTGGAAAAATTTTGGGCTTGGTAGTACGGTCTGGTATAGTAAACTAGGCGATAACTGCCAGATCCAAATTCATCGGTAGTGATGTTAAAGTCCACCCGCCCTGTTATTGTCGTTTTCCTGTGACAAAATAAGAGGTTACAGATGATTTAAATATGCTATTTGCAACATACATTTTCTAATGGAAACTACACCAAGGAAAAAAAACGATTCTGAATTTTTGCAGGATAAAGCGTGAATTTCTACCGAAAACAAAACGACGACATTGTCTCAGTGATTCATGAGATGACAAATGTTATTCAACATAGACGGAACATACACGGAAAATATTTTTGAAAGATTTACTGGATACTATGTTGATCAACTTTGGGAAATTATGCAGAGTATATAAGCAGAAGAAATTATAAAAAATGCGGATCCTATACTAATAAATGGGTATAAGTATGAGTAATGACGTGCATGGTGATAAATTCATAAATACTTACGCAGTTCCAATCAAGTCCCATTCCATGATTTCATTATTTTTTGATGCTTCTCGGTATAATTCAGCAGTGATGTTATGGAGTCCCACGCCAGTATTTAAATCGCGAATCCCAAAATTAGTTTTTGCCAGTTCTACTTGCTGAGAAAAGAAACGTACATATGTATTAATATTTTTGTGGTCATAATGTAATAAGTGTGTATCTAGCTAAAGCCAAGCCATAAAATAATATTACCTTCCCAGTGCAAAAAGGAATGATTAAAATCAAAAGTCCAAAACACATGTAAAGCATCTTCTGAAGGTTACACTTTTAGGAATTAATTGCAATTTGATAAAATAGAAATTTTGGAACGAACACGACAATTTTTTTATGGAAATGATAAACAGGTAGCTGTGGTAATAATGCATATACGGAGGGGACGTATTTAGGGTATAATAGTTAATAGCTCTATAAGTAATTACCATCAACCATTGTCGTGTTAATTTTGCAATTATGAAATAAAAATCTCAATTCCCCTCAGGTTTTAGTCTGAGCCAGGACTTACGTAACCATTCTGTTACATAGTCTGTAACTTTGGTTTAATTTATTCAGTCGAACAGAAATTTGGTACACATTTTGACCAAAATCGAATTCATATCACTGATCCTCAGTTCATGGAGTGATTACCATCAATTACAAATTTTTAATTGTCTCACAAAGCTGAAAGAAGATGTAGCAATGCACATTTTCATATAATGGAATGAAATTATAGTATAATCTATTCAGAATTATGAATCAAGGTTTGATGCATTTTGAAACCATCCCGATATTGGACAAGCCGGGGATTACATACATACTTATTAAATTGGCTCGGGCTAGCTGAATGCAGTGGATGTTTTACAAATCCAAACCGAATTCCAGTTTTAACTCAAATCAATCGAGTTATGAAACATTTCGCAATTACACGTGATCCGTAGTAATCTGTACTTTTTGTTAATTTGTATTAGAATAAATCTTATAGTACATAAGTACAATTTTTATTATAACACATGCATGATGAAACATGCATATCTGTTACACATAAATGATAAATACAAATTATTTGCATAAATGTGTTACCTCAATAATATTGAAATTTGTACTGTCGGATCTAAAAAAAATGACAAGTGAATAAAATCCATACGTGCATACATGCAGCATTACTTTTAAAGTCATTGCAGAGATTTCTTAACAATTCATAACTAACATCTCTACCTAAGAGTTTTTCTGCTGGAATTGTTTACTAAAATAAGACAGCACAGAAACTTACTACTAAATACATCCAGCGATGCTAGCCCCCCAAAGACAAAATCATGATTATTATATTCTTGTCACTGGAATGATTCTCCAACATTTCTTTGGGTGTTCTAACGCTCAGTTTCCGGTGCGTACTTGCAAATACCGTAGTAAAGAAAGCACCCACATATTTATTAGGACACGTTATTATAACATTTGCATAATTTGCAGACTGACCCACAACCCCTTTCACTCCATGTTTTGGATAATGAGTTTGGGGGAAACGCAGCCAACATGCCCTGTCGCCTTTATAAATTCTTCAACGAGTCATTTCAACTCATTTCTTCACAGTAAGTGCAACTTGGTAAACTTTAAAAGCTTATCCGTATTTATCTAGTTTCAAAAGTGTATATGACAAACTGTCACAGAAACACGAATGAGGATGGGCGTGTGCTGGAATTCCTGCCCGTGGCATTTTTTGAACCCGGGGTTTATCGGATGTGGTGTGACGTGAAGGATTATTACACCGGAAGAAATTTAACCACATTTTTTCCTGCTCTGCAAATAACTTTTGACCTCGAAGATCCCCGCAAGGATTATCACATTGCACTTCTCCTTAGTCCTTATGGGTTTGTTACCTACAGGGGAATCTAATTTACGAATTATTATTTATGTAAATAACAACCACGTCTCAGAAGCTATGCATTCTTCTTCAAAATAAGTAATTTAGCTATCAAATTTCATGGTTTTCATTGTTTCAAGTTTTTGCATGGATTGAGTGGAAATGAAAGTGGTTGGTATCTTGATTTTATCAGAAAATTGAATTTTGTTGACTGAGAAAGATTGTACTTTATAAAATTAAAAATTAATTAAAAATTTAGCAAATACATTTTCATTAAAGCAAAAAGAATTGATTAATTTTTTATATGTACGTAATGTATAAATATTGTCATGTGGTCGACAGTTTCGAATTTACCATCCTGCAGACATTTGCCTCCAGAAAAGAGGACGATAAAGTGGACTGGGTTTAAGGTCACGTAACCAAGAATCCAGCTTCAAATAAGATACTAGTTTACAAACCGAAAGTACAGTGTGCCTAGATTTAGAGCGTATCATATTTAATTTAAAATTTGTTTCGAGTATAAAAATGCGGAACCCATAAATACATAAATGCCTACATAAGTAAATAATGATGCAAAGTACTACAATCCAAAGTATTTAAATTCGTCAAGACCTACAAATTAATCTGTGCAATTGTTCGTTTAAAAACATTGGAATGTAAATATTGTCATGTTTTTCTGGGGAGGTGATTAAATTGACGGCTAAATTTGTGATAAGCCACATTGATTATAGGAGCTCAAAATAGTTTACAAATGATGCATTTATTCTACTGTATACATATTTATTCCTAATGAAAATTAACTCACAGGTGACAGGGCCCTTATCTAAATTTGATGACGGGTTAACATATTTTTTGTGGCCGCATCACCAAAAATAGAATTTAGAGTTTACATATTACATAAAAGACACAATTTCTACGTAACCATTAAATTGTCCATCAATCACAAAATTTTCCAGATAAACTTGACAATACAATGAAAAACGGCACAATCCTTTTTGTAATGATTATTTATGATATAACGATTGAAAAGCTTGTACGAAGCCTGTTGTACCTTAGATATTTTGATGCACAGACTTTTCAACACGATAAATGCCATCCACGATTAGAAGGTGTGATATGTAAACATATTTGCATGCATTCAAATTCCATGATAATTCCTTGCAAAGCCGGAATTAAGAGTATGCTGGAGCATTTGTACTCATAATTAGTCAATCAATCACTACGCCACAATCCAGATGATGACGATGACGGTAATAATAATGATATCACAATAAATATAATGAGGTATGCCTCCAGCCTAACCCACTTAAATTCCGCGTGATCGAGGTTGATCTATGCTACTGATAAGTTTGCTTATCAATAAATAAATTTTGACTCAAAAAACTGCACACGGACTCATCAAGTGTCAAGCCGGGTATAAATAGGTGGTGTGGCTGGAGTACGAATTTATGTTGGTTAATCCCGTTGGAGAAGGACAGATTTAATCATGAGAACCCTTATAGCTGTAGCATTCCTGTTGGCAGGAGTGGCGATTGTTGCCCATTGCGCAAACGTGGCGAAAAATGTAAGTCAATATTTCATATTTAAAAAATATGTTGTAATTCTAAAAATGAACTATTATTTTTTGTTAAAAAATATCTCGCGAAAATAGAAACATGGCAAAAGTCATTCAAACAAATCGTTTATTTTATTTTATGTAATTGTTTTTTCATAGAATAACATGCAAATTAGGAATAATATTTGCTCTAAAATTTGTCATGTTAATGACAATGCTGCTACTATGCCCAGTTTTTTGCTGGACATAATGCAAACAATGAATAGCATAGCCTAATTTGTAGTGATGTGCAGTTGAACGAATCAAGGTTTTTTCATGAATGACCAATCTGTTAGAGTATATATTAGAGTACCAAATTGAATACTTAGTTTCCTGTATAACAAGGCCAAAGGATGAAACCAAATATACATTTGCTAGCTATTTTGGTCGGGATCGTTTTAGTTTTAACAGTGTTAGCAATAACTGCAATTATTATTGTCAAAGTACACACAATACTTACAACCCATAAAATAACTTAAAAATTAAGAATCTTCACTGGTGACTTGGTTTTTGCAGCACACTCGTCAACAAAATGAGATGTGGATCACTGCCGTCGAGCATGGCAGGTCATCGTTTCATGCCAACCCTGCGGGTTACCAAGTCTACAGGAATGTCATGGATTTCGGTTGCGTCGGAGATGGCGTGGTTGATGACACGGCATGTATTAACACGGCAATCAGTAGTGGAGGCAGGTGTGGCCAGGGGTGTGGTTCTTCCACGATTCTGCCCGCTCTGATCTATTTTCCATCAGGGACGTACTTGGTATCTTCACCAATTATTATGTAAGTTTTTCTCGATACTCATAAAATAAGCGACTACATATTTACGACTATGCTGGTTTTTTGATGAGTAACTTCATCTTGATAAATGCATTCTATCTTTGCGCAAAGGTACTACTTTTCCCAGCTCGTTGGAAATGCAAATAATCCACCCACACTTGTCGCCGCTCCAAATTTTGGTGGAATGGCTGTGATTGATTCTAACCCTTACGGTGATGGTGGGAATAATTGGTATACAATTTTACAAAATTTACTAACTTCCGGAGTTTAAGTTATTTTAGTTTAATAATACTTTAATTATTTTAGGTACACAAATCAGAACAATTTCTTCCGACAAGTTCGAAACTTTGTTATTGACTTGACAAGAACTCCCTCAGCGAGTGCAACCACAGGAATTCATTGGCAAGTTGCACAGGCCACCTCGCTCTTTAATATCCGGTATCGAATTCGATTTTTTGCTTATTTTTTATCGATTTTTTTTGCTTATGCTAGTTTAACGTACTAATCGCGATATCCTTTTTACGCTCCATAGATTTGTCATGAGTAGAACCCTGGGAACGCAGCATCAAGGAATGTAAGGCGACATATTAACACTTCAATCATAATAAATAAAGTAATCTAATGCTGAATGATTCTTTTTGCTTAGCTGGATGGAGAATGGTAGTGGAGGATTCATGTCTGATCTCAGATTTGAAGGTGGAAAGTACGGCATGTGGGTTGGAAATCAGCAATTTCTAAGCAGAGCGTTGGAGTTTGATGGGTGCGATTTCTTTTTGTTATTTTCTTAATATAACATTTTCTTGTTTATTTTTATTTTCAATAATTTATTTTGGAATTTTAAAATCAGGTGCGATACGGCGGTGTACATGAATTGGGTTTGTAGTCTTAAAATTAAATAATGATGAAAACACCGCATGCAATCTCTCTTTTCATGAAAATTATGTCTTTAGAATTGGCAATGGACCTTCAAAGACTTAACAATTTCCAACTGTCGAATCGGTATTGACATGTCTGCCCTAGGTAAAGTCCTAATTTTAGACTAAAACTAAATGCTTAAAGCTATTTAAACTAATGTTTAAAACTATTTGAACATTTAAAAGGAGATCAAGTCACTTCCGGAGTTGGTTCAATTCTCCTCATGGACTCGACGATTAGCAATACTCCAAGCGGTGTGCTTCTAAGAGGTATGTGTACAATTACATGCATGGAAGATTTTCAACTTCACATAATAAAAATTTGCAGTGAAAAATTTCAAAATTCAGCTTTCCCCGCACCCCATGTGGGAGATACGTCAGGAACACTGCTTTTGGACAATGTATAACTTACCTCTGTTTCTATTACTAAATTATGATTGCACATAGTTGTCATATTTTCACTTATGTATGCATTTATTTTCGACAGGTGCGCGTGGACGCTGTACCAAACGTGGTTGTTGATACCTCAGGGCAAGCGCTATTGACCTCATCTGGTCAACAGACAATTCCATCATGGGGAAGGGGTTCCTTCTACCAAGACGATTCTGGTGTCAACACATTTGCTGCAGATTATCTCCCTAATATTGTCAAGGATCCTTCTCTGCTTGATGCTCAAGGAAAATTCTTTGCGAAATCCAGACCACAATATGAAACTTTACCCGCCGATGAGTTTGCTTCTGTAAAGGGTACGTTTACTAAATTCATTAATTAGCAACGCTCGTCAGCTTACCAGCAACCTCAGCTAATCAAGAATTACTTTACAGCCGGAGGAGCTCAAGGTGATGGCAACACTGATGACTCTGACGCCATCCAAGCTGTTATCAATGCCAATGTCAACGGGAAAGTTGTGTACTTCCCAGCTGGATCTTACGTTATCGGAAAGACCGTCAACATTCCACCTGGCACGAGAATTATTGGAGAAACTTGGTCAGTATTGATGGCTGGTGGGGCCGCCTTCCAGGATGCCAATAATCCTCAACCCATGTTCAAAGTTGGAGAACCTGGTCAAACAGGGTCTGTGGAAATTACCGATCTTTTCTTTGCATCGAAGGTAAAAATACGATAAATATTTCAATTTTATTATGTACACTTACAATATTTTTATCGCTTTATATTCACTCTCATATTTTGCAAACACAGGGTGCTCAACCGGGTGCCATTCTTGTACAGTAAGTCGTATTAGTCAATATATACGTATAAGTCGTAGAATTGTGCGGTTCTAAATATAAAATATAACTGTTCTATTTTGTAGATGGAACATTGCTCAATCTTCTCAAGGTAGTGCAGCAATGTGGGATTCGCATTTCAGGTAAGTAGTTCCACTAATTTTTTTAAAACCTGCAGTCATTCCCCTACCTATGATAAAATCAAAACTCTGATTTCAGGGTGGGAGGTTTTCAAGGTTCCGAACTTCAAGTTGCACAATGTCCCAGGTATGTTTTGGAAACACTCTTAGAAATGAATACCAATGATCATACTCTTCAATTATTGTAGAGGTCAGGGAGCTGTCCCCCAGTGTAACGGGGTCCACACGCTACTTCAAGTCGCTGCAACTGGATCTGGCTTATTTGAAAATGTTTGGGCCTGGACGGCAGGTACACATGTCGAAAACCTTCTTGCCATTAGCCGATATCTCCCATACCTTATGCATACTATTTTCCTATGTAGATCATGACTTGGACAATCAGCTTGCACAGGGACAAATTTCTATTTACACTGGAAGGGGTGTGTTAGTAAGTATTTATATTACATGGTTTGCATAAAATTGTTACTTAGTTTGCATTAATTAATTTCTTACGTCTGCCTAGATCGAATCCACTACCGGACCTGTTTGGTTGTATGGAACACAATCGGAACATAACGTGTTTCACCAGTACCAACTCAACAATGCCAGAAACGTGTTCATGACTATGATTCAGTCCGAGGTAATTTATTATTAGAACATCAAGAAGCCCAATGCAAATAATAATTGCTATTCTTCTATATCAGACGCCATACTGGCAGCCTGGTCCACCTGCACCATCACCTTACACTCCAAACCCAACATTTGACGACCCTTCGTATGCACATTGCGCTCCAGGTATATTATTTACGGATTAATATCACTGAATTGAATTTTATCATTGAATTACATGTGTTTCTAAATAGGTGACGTTCGATGCCCCATGAGCTATGCAATTAGGGCCCGTAATTGTCAAAATGTCTATGTCTATGGCGCTGGGATGTACAACTTCTTCAACAACTACGACCAAACCTGTCTCAATACAGAAGATTGTCAGAGTTCCATGGTCGACTTGGACAACAACAGTGGCTTCCATATGTACAATATTAACACGAAAGCTGCAGTGAACATGGTGACTGAAAATAATGGACGCGCATTAGCAAGGGGGGCTGACAATATTAATGGTTTCTGCCAGACTGTTAATGCCTTCTTAACCCAAGCCTAAATGCTGTACAACCAATTAAATTTGAGCAATAATTTGTAAATACGATGGAGAAATTTTGATCCTGTACTATTTGAATAAAAGCTATACCACGGATGGGTTTTTAGTGTTTTATTATCTACTTATTTTACAATATATTAACGCAATTATCTGTCAGCAGTAAAATGCACGAGACCTTGAAAAGCAATATTTTGGCTAAATATTACCTCTGTAAATGCAGTCTTTACATACTTATGTATGTGCATACTTACATACGTACAAATATATACATACATACAGAGGTTTGTTCTTTCATGTAGAAACGTTAACCACTCAAGATTTATTGTGTATTTTTTAATAATATTGATTTAGTATATATGTAGATACATTAAAGTGTCTCCCACAAAATAGAATTTACAATTTTTATACGTATATAATACTTATAAAAGCTGACAGAAATAAGTTTTAAACTATTTCACGACTCTTTTTTCATCATTCTTCATTGGTACACAAAGCTCCACTGAACACAAAAAGCACAAGAGAATATGAAAATTATTATTATACAAATTTTTAAATGATGACAAATGCCATCTACTCAGAATTTGTTTGCGTGCTAATATCACAAGTATGAATTTTTTTGTACATTCCTGTTCAGTCCTTATTGTATAAGATGAGTCGTGATGTCGTGAACAAATGTCAACCTGCATAACAATGCTAGTAAATATACATATGTATATTCATACCTGATATGAATACATAACTTGTTTGAAGCATACTTGTTTGAGGTATATGACGTCAAGAGGTATATGACGAATATATACGGAGGAGAGGTGTGTCATACTTATTCCTTTCATACAAATAGTTATTAGTGAATTTACTTTCTATGGTCAGTTGTCAGTAGTCCTTAGTTGCTTGCACTTATACAAGCACAATTTATCTCGCTGCAAATAACCTTCATACTCTCCAAGAAACTTTCCAAAATGAAAGCAATTCTCCCTCTGATTGCCATTACGGGTAAAAATTCAATTTAAGAAGCAATTCTTTCAGCCATTGTCACTAATTAATTCGTGTTGTACGCCATCTTATGTACTTAGCTCTGATCTTGGCGATGGAAGTCCGTGGGGCTAAAAAATTGTCAATCGGAGAAGCTACATCATTCTGCGAAAAGGAAGTTCCCATTCATTGTGTCGCAACCACGTGTCCGCTCTTCTGCTCTACCATTCGCACCGCAAAACAGAAAGCTAGTTGTGCTGCAGAATGTACGAAAGATAAGAGGTGCAAAATTCGCCCCGCTGTGGGATCCGATGATCCCAAAAACATGATTCTCGACGCTCAAAATAGGAATCAGTTATGGGCTTGCATCGCAGAAATGAGGGACCCGGCAGGAACATCTACTGGCCGCCAAATGACGCCATGGAAGGAATTGGAAACTACCGAATTCAAAAAGGCCACTGGTCGTTCATAATTTTGACAATCTAGATACATGTTTAATTCCGTGGCAAGAAAACCGAGTATTTTATTCCGAAAAGTATTAAACAATTAATAAAATTCTATACCTTTTGCAATGTATTCTTTTGAAAGGTTAATTTAAAATGGTTTGAGTGACAAGGCATGACGGACGTGTCAAAGTTGTATAGATTAATTTTGCATTCAAAATTAAACCCCGTGAGGTACGCGCATACAATTAGGTCGACAACTTGTATTAAATAAGTACGTATAATGGAGTATTAATGAATATTCATATTCATTCCAATTTTGAGATGCTGAATTTATTATCCAGATTTAATTTGTTAAACATTAACTTAACCCAGAGAGATTTTACTTTTGTTTTGATTCGGCACAAGTAGTTTAAGAAATCTTATATAGCACAAATGTAGCATAACAAGAAATAAGTTATAAAATCATTCATACAACATTCATGACATGATATTAAAAAATGTAATGTGCATATATTTATACTTACATACTTGTACATGTGACATGTATGTACTTATTTCGACCTGGACCAGCATTACATCAGTAAATAATCAATCAAGTCGTGCTATTTGGTTAATCACGTAGTCACATTTTTACTCGTTACATTTGGACTCCATACTTGATAGTATTCTTTCAACTGTAACATACATACACAAGGATGTGCTTAATCTTCTGGATAAGCCATACCCATGTACTTAGCTATGGTCCATTGCATTGAAAACTAAAAGAGGTTGACCGTTTACTTATTAATTGACAAGAATCAATTTAATTCATCGTCGGATCTGAACAAAGAGGATAAAGCACTTACAATTATCGAGTACTGCACAATTTAGGAATCTGGATTTCACCACATTACCAGATTCTGAAAGTCTGAAACCACAACTTTATATATATCATTTTTACATATTAGTGCGAGGGTTTGTTAATCAAATTTGGAGATATGTATGATTCGACTGTATGTATGTAGATATTTAGTTGCGAATATCTTTGGATGGAGTGACTGGATTAAAATTAGTAATGAAGTCAATGTAGAAACACGTACGTGTTCCTCTTAATTATCACGGGATTTAGTTAATTGGGCTCATTAGTCTGAGACCAGGCTTGGAGAAAGACGACAAGCTGTATGTTTTTACGAGTGATTATAGTGAAAAAACAATTTTTTAGAGATTTTTAAACCAAAATGTCTTTGAAAATGGAATCTCAATTCGGAGGCGGTAGCCTATCATCGGATTTGGACACAAGCCCGAGACCACTTTTTATTGAGATGGCTCAATTGAGCTTGCGAGAAAATGGTCCTGTGCAATGGCGTCAGGTTGCAAGGTATAGATTTTGCATGACTTTTTACTAAAATTAAAAATTACCAATAACTAATTTCATCTTAAAATTTTGATAAACAAGATGGGTGAAATATGAGGAGGTGATTGAACAGGGTGGGCAACGTTGGTCAAAGGTATCACAATACTTCCGTCCTAATAAGTAGTAGGATTTATTCTATGATTTCGTCTTGTTTATTTATTTCCTATAAACTTTTTCAATAGCCTTTTGTGCCAACGATTCAGTTAAATGCTGTGAAAGAATTGAGGAGTGTGTTGGAGACATCCGTGATTCGTTTAAACTTTGATTGCAACTCTGAGGTAATTGTAATTAATAAGATAATTGCAAATAAGTAATTACCTCACTTGAACTACTTGGTTAACGTTCAAGATTCATACGTTCAAGATTCTTGAACGTATTTATATGAAATCCAAGTAGTTAAAGTGAGGTACATAATTCTGGCATAAATTAACTTTGATTAAATAGGAACGAGCTTGCCGGACACTGGTTGACGTATGGGTCAGCCAAGGCATGATTCAGGAAAGCGAACGGAATAAAGTCCTTCAAGCTTTGCTACGACCCCATATTCATCTTTATGAAACGGTTTGGTCACTTCCGAAGGCCAACAAGCTCTTTAAGAAAAAGAAGGGAAAGCCAAATGCACGAATTTCTCGAGGTATTTATGTCGTTTGTGTTTATTAATAGGCAAAAAATATAATCAATATGACATTACATGCCAGCTCCAGCCCCAGAAGAGACTTCGGACCCCAGAAGATTTAGAAGGAGTAGTATTTGTTCAGTCGTGTATGTGGACCCGTCTAAAGAAGACAAAGAAGTAAAGCGATGATGCATACATGTTTTTTGTATTTGGAAGTAATTGTCACAAGCCTATAAATATTTTATTATTGTTATTATTATCAAGAAAAATGTACAATTCTTACGCAAAATACCAGCAAATGCGGAATCGGCAAACATCATGGTTGGTCAAATTGCAGAACTTAAACGACCCGTTGGAGCATTTCTTCGATTTGAAGATTCTAGAGTTCTTGGAAATCTAACAGAAGTTCCAGTGTAAGTGTTCTAATTGCTAATACATACATATCAAATATATGAATAGCTTTGCTCTCGGTTTAAAATAAATATGTACATACATACATATATACAAATGTACGTACATGTCTATGTACGTACATAGTCTATGTCTATATGTACATATGTCTATGTATGTACATAGACATTGTCAGACTTATATTCTATTGTTACTTTCATTTATATACTTTTGAACTTATCATCAGTGATTTGATTATGATTCTGTTTGTTAACTTACAGCCCAACAAAATTTATTTTCATCCTCTTGACACCCCCGGTATTAAAATTTTGGAGAATTTGTTTTATCATAATGTTATTACGAGCAGTTTGTAACAATAGTTTCCTTTGCAATGTATGTACAAAGGGTTTTGACCACTATGAGATGGGCAGAGCTGTTGGAACCCTGTTTACAGATCCAATTTTCAAAGAGACTGCATATCAAGTGTCCAGCAAAGAAAAACTATTTGAAGGAATCGACAATTTTATGAATAAAGCTGCCATACTTCCACCAGCAACTTGGGACAAGTCTATTCGACTCGAACCACCGCAAGTAATAAAATGCATTTAGTAATTTGATGCAGTTTTTTTATATGCACAAACAGCATTTCAATCAATCTTATCAACCATTAATATTAGAGCGGAGGAGGTGCAGGGCACGGAGAAAGTCATGGAGCAGAACCAGACGCAGATTCTGGACTAGCAAGAACCGGCGTCCTTTTCGGTGGCTTGTGGAAAGATATTCGTCGAAAAGTTCCATGGTTTGTCATAATTCAAGATTAAGTAATCACATGAGTGGAAGAACTTAATGTATTATTTTTATTTTTATTATTTTATAAATGTAGGTATTGGTCCGACGTTAAGGACGCTTTGTCGCTGCAATGTCTTGCCACTTGGATGTTTCTGGTTAGTTGGTTTGTTAATTTTTGCTTAGTTTTGTTCTTAACGTAATTTTAATTACAGTACTTTGCTTGTCTCACACCAATGATCACTTTTGGAGGCTTGATGGGTCTTGCCACCCATAATTCGATGGGTACAATGGAAACGATGGTAGCTGGCTGCGTTTGTGGAATCGGATTTGCTGTGCGTAAATAATTTGTATTTCATAAGATTTTGGAGTTAGCTCTAATATGTACTGATACATTGTGCACATCGCTATAGCTTTTTTCAGGACAGCCATTAATCATTCTGGGCTCTACGGGACCAGTGCTTGTTTTCGAAAAGATCCTAGTAAATTTTTCAGAGTGAGTATTTGTGATTGCAGAAGACTGAACCTTTTGTAGAAAAATACTTTGCTTAATACATGATTTTCAAGTTTTTGAATTTGTTTATAGGTCAAATGGGTGGGACTATCTCGAGTTTCGTTTATGGGTCGGAGTATGGATTGCCGTAATCTTGATAATCCTTGTGGCGACAGATGCATCTGCGCTGGTATCGTACATTACAAGATTCACAGAGGATAACTTTGCAACTCTTATTGCCCTGATCTTCATGGTTGAGGTAATCAAATACGATTATGTACTCAAGTATTCATTGTGTGCATGGAATAAATTATGCACTTATCGATATTTATGAGAAGAAGACGGTGGAGATGAAGTGTCATTGCATTATGGGTTTCAGTTTAAGGCAGTAATTTATTTTTGTTTAATCCCAACAGGCTGTAAAAAACGTAATGTTAATTGGTCATACCCATACTCACGAGTCATCCTCCAACAACTCATCTCTAGTTGAGAATGAAACAATGTGGAACTGGGAGAATGAAGTAGATCACGGAAAGGCGAGTTGTATAAATATTATTTAAAAAGTAATTAATAGATAATCCAATTAGTTGTTAACTATAAATATTTTCAGGTCGAGTCTGACATAACTCTGGCACTACGAGAGGAGTCCAGTCGCTCCATTTTCCTCATGTCCCTCTTGCTATTTGCCGGCACCTTTTTCGTATCCTCCATGCTAAAAGAATTTCGAGTATCACCCTTCTTTCCGACATGGTATTATTTTGTGTTAATTATTAAAGTGCATAATTAACAATAATGATACAATTAAATGGATTATTAGGTTCCGCTACATTGTGTCAGACTTTGCGGTGATCCTGGCAATTGCATCAATGACCTTCATTGACTTTTCTTGTGCCGTTCGGACACCAAAGTTAGCTGTTCCGGAAAAATTTGCACCCACGTCGAGTGAGCGTGGCTGGTTTATCCCTCCATTTGGGAAGAATCCCATTTGGAGCATTTTTGCAGCATCAATTCCTGCACTGCTGGCGACAATTCTAATCTTCATGGATCAACAGATCACGGCTGTCATTGTGAATCGAAAAGATCACAAGCTAAAGGTGTGTGTTAAAAAAACAATGCATTTACATATGTGCTCATAAGTATTATGTACGTAAGTAGATTTGTGAAATATGATTTTTTTGGTCCGTCTAACAGAAAGGATGCGGGTATCACTTGGACCTTTTCGTGCTCGCAATTCTCATCACGCTGGGTTCATTCTTTGGCCTCCCTTGGTTCGTTGCAGCAACGGTGGAAAGCTTAACCAACGTGAGTTCATTGAAAATGGAATCCGAATCGGCTGCTCCAGGAGAAAAACCAACGTTTCTGGGGGTGCGGGAACAACGAGTGTCCAATTTATTGGTCTTTATCACGGTGGGGTTATCTGTTTTTCTGACGCCTGTCCTTTGCCATGTCCCAATGCCTGTCCTCTACGGCGTCTTTCTGTACATGGGATTCTCTGCCTTGCTAAGAATGGATCTTTTCCAACGAATTCTACTTGTTTTCATGCCATTGAAATACCAACCGGATCGAGGTTACCTGCGCAGTGTCCCCTTGAGAAGAGTTCATCTTTTTACACTGATTCAATTATTGTGCTTGGTTTTGTTGTGGATTATCAAGAGCCTGAAACAGACTGCAATTCTTTTTCCACTTATGGTAACATTATTATAATAATGCATGATTTTTTAAGTTTTCGTTCAGTTCTTAAATAAGCATATCTGCGTATTTCATAGTTGGTTGTGATGATGTTGGTACGGAAACTCCTGGACTACGTTTTTACGCAAACGGAACTATTAGCTTTAGACGATGCTCTTCCAGGTAGCGGTAAATGCAGTCAAGGTAGCGACCATGATGAAAAAGATGGTCAAAATTTACAATGCGGAAGTAGAAGTACAAGTACAGAGTTTAATGGATGGTAAGACTTCAAAAATATGTAGACAAACCGAAAGTCTTGTACTATCGCTTATTTATTTTATAATTTTGCTTAATATATTTTACAGCCAATACAAACCTGTGACAAGGGAAGTGGTATGAAAAGTAAGTTCGAGGCATAGAAATTTAAATGTAAATAATATATTCAATAGACATGTTTGAGGCAACATTTTATCATTGATTTTATGTGGGTATAATATGTAGACAAATATATTAAATATGTATGTGTCTGAATAATAAATTGTGTACTCCTTGCTATAACGGTATGTAAGCCAGGATACATACATGCGTTTAACTATCTTTTTAGTAAAAAGTAAAGCATAATTTCATATATAATCCAATTCTCCCATGGGTTTTGGAATCGTCCTATTGAACATCTTACAATAATAGGCGCAACAACTAACCTAACTAACTACATATGTACATTTGTGCAATGTGTGTATTTAGCTTTTCGAATCAATGAGTGTAAAATGATATTCTGCGTGATATTTGCACTTTTAATTCTCTGCGAATACAATACTATACTTGAATGAATAAAAATATTTGCGCAACCCGTCATGATCCAATGGTATCGAAATAAGTGACAGCGATGCGTCACGACGGCAGCACCGTTATAAGTGCATACGATTATAAGTTTGAAAAAGTCCAAAAATTCCACATAAATTAAAAGTCGACTTTTAAACGATGAGAATAAGTAATTTTACGAATGCATGAAGGAATGGGTAAATAAGGTAAAAATATCGTATGGCTTAATTTTTTTTTAAGGTTTACTCATGCATTAGGAAAAATGCAAAAGATGGTTATCTTATTATTTTCTGTTTCGAACAAAATAAAATTGGTCCCACCAAAATCTAGACTAGGTCCGTCTTCTTGGAACGCAGCTCGCGTGGGAGTAAGAGAAATGTTGAACATGGAGTGTTTATTTTTTTATTCCGTTGAACTTTATGCTTGAGTTAACTTGCTAGAGGGTGCTTTAGAATTAACGCAACTTTCTTCGTTTGCATATAAAAAATAAAGTTCTGTATTTATTTAAACGATATTTTGTACAAAGAAAGACAAGGGTTGCAACTAATTATTTTTTGCTTCAAATGGTTCATGCACCCCCTTCCGCCCAATCTATAGAGGATTCTGTCAGACGCTTCCAAAAGTGCTTCGCCACTGTTTTGAGCTACCTTTTTTGCCATTATTGACCCCATTTTATGAAATAAGTTCAAATTTTTGGCCAACGGTTTTCGACTATGATATTCTTTGCTGGACAAACACAAAAATTCTTCAATAGGTCTTGTTTGGGGCAAATTTGGGAACGTTGTTCACCTCTCCCATGTTAATTGTATTTGATCCGTTTTCCGGCGGGGCGGGATAATTTTGCTTAGATATATTTCCAAGTTTTGCTTATATAGTTTTCTTGAAGCTGGGAGAGTTGTACTATTTGGAAATAAAATCATTTTGATGATCTTGGCTGTAAATCGTGTTTTACGGTACGACCAATTTTGATGACTTCAGGTCGAGTCGTTTTTCCGTCATCTGGTTTGTTACTTTTATTTTGCTCTTCACTGTATTTGTAAGCTTATAAAACCGTATAGGATTTAATGGCTAACCTCTAAGCTTTAAAATAATGCATCATGTTAGTTGATAACTTCAAGTACGGAATCGAATTATGCTCCGACAGTGCAGATTTCTATTTTTATGAATTTTATCATTTTGGGTGCTGCCACACTAATGGCCTGACCAGATATTTTTATGCGATTAGCAGTTATTTGTAGCTCATACCTCAGTAGTATATGACAAATTTTCGATTTTCGAATTAGTAAATTTTTAAGGTAACTACAGCTCAATTTCTTGGAGCGCGTAACCACTTTTTCGGGGTAGTGGCGGAGAGCTTTTGCGACTTGCTCGCTGGTTTCTGACCTCATTTTGGAACGGTAAAAGATATCGGCTTCCGGTTTTCGGATTTTAGACGATAGATGTATGTGCTACATGACTACGGTCATTTCGAATTTGGGGCAAACTGATATGATTAGATAAATGTACATGAAAAAAGTTGCGTTAATTCTAAAGCACCCTCTATTAATTGAAGGTCCCAAGAAGGTATAACATAAGCTGGCAAAATTAAGAACGAGGCAAAAATGGATGGATACACACTGTTGCAACATATGCACGTAATAAATAGGTTTCAAATGTGATAGAATAAATACATGGGGTAAAATTTGACTTTATTCTGTAATTTTACGTGTGAAACAATGACATATCTTGAGAGTAATGGTGTGTATCACTATATCCTGATAAACTTAGGAGGAGAGTACGCCAACCTGATAATGACAGATCTTGATGTCCTTTGGATATATGGTAGTACCCCCTCTGAAAGTAAAAAGTGTGAAGCGGTTTGATGCCATGGCCCAATTTACGCCCGTCACACCCCTTTGAAGGCGCGCCCGATGCCAAACTAGCTGCACTAAAAAATTCGCCAAAAATCCAATTTTGTTCGGATTTTCATAATAATTATATATTTGTGATCCCAGATAGTCCCTTTATCATATTCAGTTGCAAAATTAACTTTTCAGAAATTTTCAATATTTTCGAATATTTCCTGAAAAGGGCATGGCTTGAAAAAATTCAAAATTCCAAAATAGTTCAGATTGATATTTGATATGACAAAGCAACTATTTGGGATCATAAATATGTAACTATTATGAAAATCCGAAGAAAATTGGATTTTTGGCGAATTTTTTAGTGCAGCTAGTTTGGCATCGGGCGCGCCTTCAAAGGGGTGTGACGGGCGTAAATTGGGCCATGGCATCAAACCGCTTCACACTTTTTACTTTCAGAGGGGGTACTACCATATATCCAAAGGACATCAAGATCTGTCATTATCAGGTTGGCGTACTCTCCTCCTTAGCTATAATGTATGCCACAATCAACATTTATAGCATATACATACAAGTTCTTAGAAAATCACAGTCTCAAGAACGGAATTCCCTTTGATTAGCAGTTAAACTATTCAATATTACAAGTAAAAACGCTAAATAACATTGAGGGTTTTCACGACCTTCGTAACCGTGGATTCGTAAAATAAAATTCGTAAATATACGTCATTTACGACGGGTTGACATGAAAGACCCTTCGTAAAAAATATTTCGTAAAAATTGTTTATAATTTTTCCTTGCCTAATATCATCGGTAACTATGGTGTTCGAAATATCATGATTTTTTATGCTTACAAAATTTTTTTACGAACGAAAAAGATGCCTCAACCTTGCGTATATTTACGAAGCTTCGTAAGCATGGAATTTTCGTAGATGTCGTAAATTTACGCTATTTACGACAGTTACGACAGTTACGAAGGTGACGTGAAAACCCTCGTGTTACACGATTCGTATATCGCATTTTGCTGAAAAATTTTTCACAATATCTGGTAAATACCATTACATCCCAGTCAAATTCTATTAAGTCGTCCCTAATGAATGAATAATATTTCCAAATTAACGTATCAATGTTACTTTCTAATCATAAACCTTTGCATAGGACATCATTAAACAATTAAACATAGTGGGTATTCACGTCAATTAAAAACGTCGCTTCGCAACACATCTTCGCAACTTTGCGGTGTTTGCGAAATCGGTGTCGTGAACGACTTATTTTACATGAAAATGCGTAAATTGATTATTAACAAAAAATAAACCGTCGCAAACGCGCATACGGAAGTAGCTTCAGACGTACTTCACCCCAAACGGTCCCACCACAACTCGGGAACACATAATTTTACTCTATTTCACCTATAGATTAAATTGCACTAAAAATCTCATTTTGCCCCGACCACACCCCCTGGCGACGAGGGGGTGTGGAACAACTCGGGAACACTTAATTTCACTCTATTTCATCTATAGATTAATTTTTTATAAAAATCTCATTTTGCCCCAACCACACCCCTGGCGCCTAGGGGGTGTGGCACAACTCCGGAACACATAATTTTACTCTATTTCACCTATAGATTAAATTGCACTAAAAATCTCATTTTGCCCCAACCACACCCGCTGGCGCCGAAGGGGTGCGGCAAAATCGGGGAAACACTCAATTTCACTTAATTTCACTTAATTTCATTTAATTTCACTCAATTTCACTTAATTTTACCCATAGATTAAATTGCACTAAAAATCTCATTTTGCCCCAACCACACCCCCTGGCGCCGAGGGGGTGTGGCACAACTCCGGAACACATAATTTTACTCTATTTCACCTATAGATTAAATTGCACTAAAAATCTCATTTTGCCCCGACCACACCCCCTGTCGCCAAAGGGGGTGTGGTCCGGTTGCCCCCAAAAGTTGATAGGATCCTCCCCCTGGGGTCCTATGTATGATGGCGAAAACCGATTTCGATTATCTCGATCCGTTCTCCTGATATCCTGCTGACAGACAGACGGACAGACAGACAGACAGACAGACAGACAAAGTCTTCACATAAAGTAGCTGAAGCTACTTAATAAATTCATTTGACGGAAAAGTGTAAGGTTGTCTGGCAACATTTCTAAAATTGAGGAGAAATTAAAATTTCACTTGACGACGAGTTTGTGAAAAATAGTTTACGGCGATAATAGATGCCCTTTTGCTTCGCATGTGTCGTAAAACAATAAAGCAATCTGATTGGTTGTCGCATCGCAACTCTTCGTAAACATCGCAAAGTTGCGAAGATATGTTGCGAAGCGTACGGCTTTTACGAAGTTGACGTGAATACCCACATAGTTATGTACGACTAAATACAGTTAATCAATAACTATAATTATTGAAAAGGTTAATATTTAATGCAATAAACGGATAATACATAGCTGGACTACGCAAGTACTAAATATATATATACATATAACGACATAAGAACAATTAAATATTTTAATGTATCGTTACATATTTTTTAGCCCGAGTCAGGACCTATTTAAATATGAAACATCACGATAGAGACAAAACGGCTGAACCGATTGATTTGAAATTCATATTGCAGGAAGGTGGCGAACAATTTATATTGGATAAAGCTAGAGAACGATTGCGAAGATGGGCGAAATCGGTCAAATGGTTAACCGGTGGGGGTCATATAGATGGGTGGGGTATCATTCAACAAAATTTCAAAATTGTGGTACTTAAAGGCTTCTCATGAAAGATAATGAAGCTCTAAAAGTGAGCAAATTGTGACTAGCATGACCCATACTGTTTTTTTAAGTTACAATTTGTATCTGAAATTTAAATTTGGTATGGAGGCTAAAAATTACAACTTTGAAAGTTTAAGATTTTAACGAAACCAGCCCCATTGGTCAAGGTATTAATAGTCGAGGCGAAGATTTGTAACTACTTGAAGGAAAATATTTAACAAGCGTTCCACCATCCACACCAGGGGGTGGAAATAGTAGGCCGATCAAGTCGGACAAAAATTTAGAAGCGGACTGTTCCCGACTCGGGCTAAAGCCTGTACACTGGAGGTTTTAAATATGAAATTTAAAAGGTAGGTAAAATTCGTTGAATATCCACTCAGATCAGAACAAATCCATGTCGTGCAGCTATAATTCAGAAATGAAAAAATTATGAATTGATAAATTAATTGGCTAATCACAAATTCACCACAACAATTACAAATTTCGACCAATCAAAAAATCGGATTGGGAGCATGACATGATGATGCCATGAACTGTAACCCGAGCTTATCGTAAACAGCCAAAGATTGCGCTGCTTACGTCAGTTACGTTTGTTACTAAGAGGCAGTGAAACTCCTTGAATAATGTTACTTAACTTGCATGTGATTATCTACGTTAAAAGAATTGAATGTTCCTTACGTCAACAGAACTTCTTCGGCCGGATCTTGGCCCTACAATTTCATGGAGATTCTATCAGTAATTTATTTACCAAGGTATATGATTAATGTTTGCACTAACGATTATCCCGAGAAGAGCGAGAATTATTCGCTACAATTGCTGTAGAGCGTCTATCTCTTGTTCGATCTCGATCGCGATGGGAAGAATCTGCTCTGCTAGTGTCACGTCCCGAACCACGATAATTGTGCAAATCATGAACAAATCGACGCATCGCATCAATTCCAGCACTGTCAATTACAGAAGCACGTACAATAATTTGGACCGATTAAATTAGATTAACTCTACAGAGTAATTCTCTCAATAGATTTATTTTAGAGGTTAAACGAATTACAGATCAATTATGTACTACGTACCTGTCAATTGGAGCAATACTCGGCATTGCATCCATTTCAGAAGAAGTCGGCGAGTCACCAACAGAACTACCCCGCGTTCCACCAGTTGAGGATATTACGCTACCATTTCCTCTAGAACTCTGGTTTTCCTGCTGGCTAAAATCTTGCCCATGACCATTTGATGATGATTGATTTTGATCTTGATTATTGATTTCATTTTCTGAATTCATATTATGTTCATTTTGTCGCTCAGTCTCGCGATAACCTCCTGATATTGGGGCAAGAAAACGATGGCGAAATTGTCTGGCGCTTGCAATCCGTGGTGATCGACGAGGTTCTATTTCATTTGAGATTAAATTTGTAATATTACTGATATTCACAGACGCATGGTTATTCAAAATAGAAGAGGATTCACGGTCAGCCAGATTGTCTATAAGATAAAACAGTGTTAAACATTGTAACAGTAACATGACGACTGTAGAATCAACCAACTAATATGCTCCCACTCACTAACCTGAAGCTGATGGAGGAGAAAGCATTGCTAACGCTTGTGACAAGGTCCCTGTACCAGTAGATCTCGATGAAGCGGCCGCGTTGGATGCATAAAGTCTTCTAGTTTGTTCAAGCCGTTCAATATCACTCATTACTGTAGAATTTGCTTCAGGGACTGTATTTCCTGTACTTTGAGAAACTGATGTCGTTGCAATGGGTCGTGATCGGGCTGCAGAAATGGCAGCAACGATAACGCTGGCAGCGTTCGATGTATAAGAGTGATCATGGTTTAGCATTGGTTGAGGTGCAGACACAGACACGTTCTCACCAGTACTAGCCGTACTAGGACCACAGCCAGGAACAAAGTTAGCAGGTGGATCTCGACGACTTAAGGTGTCCTCAAAGCTATCTGGAATGGGAAGGGGGCGTCGAACCATTCGTGGTGGAATTGGGAGCTGAATACGCAGTGCGCTCGAGGTGGACGGAGAGTCGCGGGTTGGACCTTTAATAACAGTTAAAAAAATTAAACAAAACAATTAAGGTTTATCCAAAAATAAAATATTTTAACAAGATTTACCAAAATTGCTAACCCAACGTCCAGATCTATGGGTAAATGGTCTATAAGGTGAAAGGAGTGACATTCTTCTCCTATTTCCTTCACTTGCTCCAACATTACTCCCAGATGATGAGGGAATATTGTTGTCAATATTATTATTACTACTAGTAGACTCTCGAATGGGATGAATTTGACGACGCGGCGGACCCCAGCCATATCGACGACCCCCAGACGTAGTCCCGGCGAATGAACGACCTGTACTGAATGCCCGTCCACGCCTCGCAGTTTGTCGAGGGCGACGATCCTCTGTTATCGATGGGGAAGCGTACCTCGATGTGCGACTTCTGTTGGGGAATGTAGAAATTAGTTCCCAATCAGTCGTCGTTATTTAAGTATATGATTACATACGTATTGATACATAAGTTTAGTTACGTTACTTACGCTGGTGTTGAGGCCCAGAAGGGACTTCTCCAAGGCAGTGGAATTAGACCTCCTGAGTAACGAGCCGTTGGACTTCGTCGTCTTCTAGATGACGCAGTTGGCGACCTTGAACGGGTTCGACTTCGCACAGGCCTTTCAGGTGGTGATGGTGATCTAGGACTGCATTATGGACCATGTAATACAAGCTCAAATCAGTTTCATTTGTACAAATAGTGTGTATCAATGAATTGCGGTTAAAAATCGTATAGGAATTAAATACCTTGCCCTTAAATCAAAGAAACTGATAGCACTATCATCATCTGAATCGTCGCTATCGCTTAATGTTGATACACTTCTCGACCTAGATCTTCTTTCTCGAAATGCATCGTCATCATTGAACATTCCAAAAAGGTCAAATGGTGATACGGACCTTGATCTCCGACGCCGGGATCTGTTTCGATTATTCTCATTTGAACTTGGATTCGGCAATGCAGCTCTTTCTTGAAGCACTTGATCCCTCGTAGTTCGCATATCCTCCGGCAACATTTGAAATATCTTATTGATGAAGTTTCGCATTTCAATGTTCTTTGAAGGGGGGTTAAAATTGTAACCTGTGCGACAAACAGGGCAGAGACAATCGATGGCTAAGGCCCTATTGATACAGTAACTGCAATAAGTGTGCCCGCAGCTTAACACTGCAGGATCGATATAAATATCATTGCATATGGAACAATTAAATTCCGTCTCCAGTAACCGACCAATTTCGCCCAGCACATTTTCCCTGTGATGACTTTCTGCCAGAGCCAATGTCTCCAAATGGAGTTTTTCCTTCTCTTGCGCTGCGCGTTCCTTGTCCCTCAGCTCCCTCTCCAATTGCGAGACTCGATTTTGTAGTTGAAGGTTCACATTTTTCTGACGCTCGGAAACGTACTGTTCCAACAGAAACTTTTTGTCGACTTCGTCCAGAACGGTGGCAGTCCGTATCCTTTTTTTCGAATTGCTGCCACCACCAGAAATCGTCTGTTGTTGTTGTTCAATCCTATTATATGAGGCGATGATAGAAAACAACATACTTATAGATAGATTCACAGAATCAGTAGCAACATTATTATTATTAGAAAGTATTCTCACTTTTGAGTCGATGGTGATGGAATAATGCATCCTCCTCCCTCATTACTTCCTGGAAGAACGTCATCTCCTACGGCGACGTTCATGTCCTTCTCAGGAGCTTCTACCTTTGGTACAAGCAGCTTTTGACTATCTTCGCGACCCATTTGCTTATTTATGTGTCGCACTTAAAAATGCAAAATACGGTCTTAATGAGTCGATGAAATATGTTTCAGCCTGAGCAACTTAATTTAGCGATGATCATAACACCCACCCCTGCTTACACAATATAAGTAGCAATATCCTACAGCTTGAAATTTATACAAACAAACATGACGTCGAGGGATAACTTCAATCAGACAAAATTTACAGAAATTCCACTTATGACTTATGCTGAAGTTAATTAAGGTCAAAGCCTATAGTTTAGAAACAGAAAATAAGGTTTTTAAACTTTTCCTTGAAACAGATGATGTGATAGGATTGGGATGTGATGTGATGTAATAATATTGCCTGATGGTCTTGGTTGGAGGGTAGCAAGCAATATGTGAGGATGAATGAGTGAGTGACGAATTGAGAGAAAGCGTACTCGCAATACTCGCATTGGAGTTCTTTATGTGACTTGTTATCATTTTATTAAAAGACGTATTTCGATAATGGTTATTATTTATTTATTACATGCGTAGATGAAATTTTGTAGTTGAATTCATTCGTACCCGTTAGAGAAAAATAATTTTATAGAGAAAATACTGAGCTAAGTTAAATAGGATTGCAAGCGTTCCAGATTTCTAATTGTTGGAATGGATAGCTTTTAACAGAGCTGTACACAGGCAATCAATAGAGAAAATGTAATTCTAAATAGATAAGTTCGCAATAACTAAATATTTTACATGGTTTGATACATACAAATATTAAATAAGAGACAGAGAATCGCTGAGGAAATTACTGCAAGTACACATACAAAATGAGACAACTAAAGGTATAATATGTGCATACATGCATGTAGATGTTTTAAATTGCCAAGCAGAATTAGCAGCAATGATTCAATTTTAAAATTTCAGTTCAATATTTAAACGTGGTATAATTTACAAAACACGAAACTTAAATTAAGGATCAAATTCATGCCCTAATGGAACCTTTCCTTCTCCTACTAAAACGTGAGGGTTTGCATGGAGGTTAAATGCGTCGTCCTCGTCTGAGGAACTATTCCGTCCGAATAAAAGCATCAACAAGATGATCATTCCAACAATAGTACCTATCACATATAGTGCTGTACGACGACGACTTTTACGTTTGTTGGCAGGATTAACTTGTCTGAAAATAAAGAATGAGGACATTATTGTAAGAAAATTATTCGCTATTCAACTAGCATTTTGTGTAAGTATAAATAGCTCACCTCAGCCATCGTGACAATGATTCAAATGGTGACCGACGACGATATTTATCTTCCTCGTCTAACAATAGAGGAATTTCCGGATCAAATTTTACACTTTTCCTTGTTGTAGTAACTAGAATATAATAAATACATGTTAAGGTTTTTGAACCATAATAATATACTATAATAATAATAATAAACAACGGAGAAATAGTTCAATATTAACCTGAGGGGTCCTGCGGAAAGTAAGGCTGGGAGTTTGGCGAGCCATAACTATCACTCAAATTCGGCATCAAATTCGACATCGTTGATAACTCGTACGGATTTTTGCTGTATTGCTGGTTATAGGAATGCGTATGAGAAACATTATGATCGGCATTAGTTGAATTGGGTTGGCCCCCAATTCGACCCATATCATAGCTCGTTTCACTTCCGGACACATCCATTCGCCCATCCATGTCTCGATCCTTCTCATTAATTAGAGAATTTAAATTTTTTGTAAAAAAAGTGCAATTATTATTTTTTAAACTTACAAAGTCTAAATTATGTTCCCAATTAGCAGTCCCGTTCCCATTGAGTCTATTAAACATAGCACCATCAAGACTAGGAGCAGCAGGTGGAGGATCGTTATCCAACTAATAATAACACAATCCACCAATTATCAATTATTTTCAACAATCGGCAATAAAAGAACAACTTGTATCCATAATACAAACTAACCAAAGATAATCCCAATCCTGCCCTGGCCCAATTTACTTGAGACATTCTCTTCTTTAGTTCATCCGCAATGGGAGAAATTTGGTTATGGGCTGGGAAAATGCACATTTTCCTACAAATTGGGCAACTGTAACCTGCTGGGGCCGTTTTAGGGGACATCTGTCTTGCCCATCTGATTTTTTTAGTGTTTCGATTAGTACAATTTTCTTGGCAATTTTTGTTTAACGTGAATACTTCAATGAATACTGCTGCTTACCCATCCAAACAGTTCCAGTGCACAATATCTACGAAATTTTAAACCATTCTCAAAATACATTTTCTTTGTCGTTTCCTCTCTATCTTGAATTTCTAATTAGTACTTACGCAGACACAAAAGTCTGACCGTGTCGCCAGAAGCAAGTTCTTGGTCACAAATTCCACAATTTGCAGAGAAGACTGAATCAGTAATCCAATTTCGATACGTGTCAACAACGCACTGAAAAAACAACGTGTTATTAACATTTTTATTTTACTTATCCAATTTTAAATTGGACATAAAATAAAACTTACTTTTGGATGGTTTTGCATCAAACAATGCTCGCAAACATTAACACGATGCTCGAAACAGAAAATATTTGTCACTTTCCTGTGCGGACACTTACATAAACCCATGATAAATTTATTTTTTCAGCGAAATTGGGTTTCTAAATTTAAAATATCATTTTTTTCCTACTATTTTTAATTTAGTAATATTGCAGCATTTGCAGCTGAAGAAGATTGTGAAGTGAAGAAGTGACACGTATCTGTGGTGCAAATATAAAACACGAATAATCCCACTTTCCCCTTGGTTCTCCTTTATGAAAAATAAATCATAAACTAAAATATTTTTTCATGAAATTAAGAGACTTACTTTATATTCATACACAACAAGCCGTTTAGTTAAATTGGATAAACTCTTTTTCATACTTGGAAGCAATAAGTCTTTCCAATTTATTTCCCCAAAAACCTCTTTCACTCTTTCCCGAATTTGATGCATTCCATGTTTGATGCTTTCCCTTATCCTTAGTTTCAAGGCATCATAAAGAGTTTGAAGCTACTGAATATTTCAAGTGAGTTTAAATTGGTATTTGATATAATAGAGCAACTATCTGGGACTTAAAAAATCCAAAAATTATGAAAGTCCATAAAAGTTGGATTTTTGATGAATTTTAGAATTTTTAATATGACCAGTTTAGTATAAGGATCTTCTTTAAGTGGGCGTGGCAGGCGTAAATGGACACTTGTACTCTTCTCCTCCTCTATTAGTCCGTTCTATTCTTAAATACAGATATGCATGTTAAATATATTAAAATTATGCAATTCGTCCTTGGATCTTCTAGAGGATGGAGGTCTTGCTTTATTATGTAAATATTTAAATACGCACGGGTTTTAAAACTCTAAATATTTTTTTATTAACTTTTCAATTCCAATTTCAAATTTAATAATCAACTACATAGGTATGTATTGTATTTAAAACACTCAATTCCGATTTCTTCCATTAAATTCCTTCACTTTTTCAAAAAAGAAAAACGTACCGTTGTTTGTATAGATATATAGATAGTATAATAAGTAGACTACGTGTAAGTACTAAATTTAGTTTAACCTTTTGCCTCTTATACAAACTACCACATAAGTAATTAATAATACAACTAGAATTTATCACTAGATGAATAATCTGTTAATTATAGGCTTACATATACATTTTAATTATTAATTATACTTATTTTCACCTCCTCCTCCAACAATAACAACAACGACGACGACAACAACAACAACAAAATCATTTGTCCCCACACCACAGTAATTAATCAATTATAGCACTCACTCATATGTACATACATACAACTCAAGCAGGCAGCAGCAAACTCCAATCATACATATGTACATACATATACAGACAAATTGAACAATGGGTTTATCATATACCAAACATTATTTCATAGATATTTTGTAAGTAAGGTAGCTAAAGTTTTACTATTTATTAAAAACACTTGCTCAGTTTATCATCTCGTCAGGATTGTAAATTGCATGCATGCTTCTCGTTTAAAGCTTCATACTTGTTTGTCACCCTGACGATCGTCGTTGGTAGTGGTGCATGGCGTTCTTTTTCTTTATTTATTTATTTATACTCACTGAAGAACGAACATAAATTGTCCTCATGATTGTTGTATGGAATTGTTAGTAAAGTAGTAGTAGTACATATTGTTGTTGGTTGGTTTTGGGAGTGGTGGGTGCTTTGCTGTGGGCGGTGGACTTGCTGGTTAACGGAATATTATTTTATTTAAATAGCGGTTGTAGTATGAGGACCATTTGGGTGGTTTTTTAAATTTGTTAGTTTTTAGTGGTAGTGTTAGTAGTAGTAATAGTACGTACGTACATTGTAGTTGCACTTTACTGACTAATATTATAGACGTTATACAGGAGCATGTTATTGTAATATTAACAACTTTAAGAATATTATTATGAACCAGCGTACAGTACAGTGTGGAGGAAGAGATGATATTGTATCAATATGAAGAAGGGACACATAATTACTTAACATGGCGGTGACACATATATAATATGTAGTGTGGGAGGAGGATGAGATGGAGTAGGAATCAATTAAGCATCCAAATTTAGCACATACCTCTTTTTAAAAAAAAATTGCTCATAGTAATTCACAGCTCAGTAGCCCTTTGTTTTATTTAACAATGTAACCTATCACCAGAATATAAGATAAGATGGAAACCTTTTAATTGAAGGCTCAATTTTAAGACTGCTGAATGAATGACGACTAAGAGTTTATGAGTAAAATTTAAATGTAAAACATAATTCAAGATTTAAAATGGGGCTAATTAAAATTACATTTCTTTGAAACATTTCTTTTTTTTACACGGTTGTTGTCGGTTTTGATTGGTTAGTTGTGGGTTGATTTCTGTCGTCGTCGTGTCTGGCCTGGCGGTCAATACATGCATATTTATATACCGAAGGTCATCATTCATTGGTGAGACGATGACTTATGGATTTACATTCTAGTAAAATTATGACTTGTTGTCGACGTGGCGTGGCGGCTGAATATATAGATATATAGATATATACTTTCTTTTACCTCTAGACATCATAACTATTAAAATTATTTTTATTTACCCTAGAGTTATGTCGTTTTTTGTATCAAGTAGTAGATATTGTATATGATTAGGTATATTATAATAGTACTGTTGAATTTAATTGAAGTTGTAGTTGCATTAGCATTTGGTAGTTTTTGCAGCTGTACGTTGATTGGTTGGTTGGATGTCCTAGACGACGAAGACGTGGTGTACGTGTGATGATGATGTCGGAGTTGGGACAATAGTAGTGGGGAAAGTCTATGGTTAATTGGTTGGGAGATATTCGTTATTTATTATTCATTCATTTTCGAAGATGATTAAGTAATTTACGTGTAGAATTCATTATTTATTTATTTATTTATTAAATTGGTTGAATTATTTAATAGCTACGATCACTATGCCAGTGTTGTGGACTAATAGTATGTTTCTAGTTCCACCCAACCACCTGGATTACGACGAAGAATGAATCGACGAATCTCATCATAAACAAAAATAGCTATGGAGAAAGGGATTCCCGGAATCCACCAGTTGATTCTAGATTTTTTTAAAATGTTAAGCATTAAAAAAAAATATTTAGATTTTGCAAAATGATTTGGCTCCGTAAAAATTGCTCTTACTTGAGTGGGAACATTCGGAGGGCAGTTTCCATGCCAGGAGTGTATGATAAAATAGCTGAAAATTGAAAATAATTTAAAAGTGTTTTAACCCCGTTTTATTTTAGTCGGAGCTTAGTAAATATTTTTAGTATTTACCTGCTAAAACAGTTTCGAACACAAGACCAAAGTTGAGGACCCAGTTGCTGAAAAGGGATAAATTACATAGTCAGCAAATGTTTTTTATTTAAATTGAGAGCATTTGTAAAAATAAGTAGTAGTACATACTTCATTCCTTGGTGAACAATAGAATTTCTTCGAGTTTTGCAAATGATCAAATCAGCCCATTGCACCACCACGATGGCGACGAAAAATGCAGTGTGGCAAGTATATTCCAACTTTTTCCGATCCGTGTAGGTCTGAGAATTAACAAATTACAAGAAATGTAAATTTATAATGCAATGCAAATCATCTTATTTACAATATGCATATATTATTTAATTCATTTTACCCATTCTTGTCCATAAGAGTCTTCTAAGTCATTCACGCCCTTTGAATCCCATTGTTTCCGGATACCAAACAACTTTGAGGGAAGGAATCCATTTTCAGCCATGATAATAAAGTAGGTAAAGAACCCAGCGGCTGCTTGGATCATACCGATTTGACCGTATGCCATGGAAATCAACCTTTACGTTGCACAACAAAGTCGATCAAGTTAAAACTGTTCCTTTCATAACAAAGTGTCCTCAGTAGTGTTATCACGTTGTTGTAAAAGCTTTCAGGGAAAAATAAGCGAATCCACAAATGACAAAAATTTAAGCCGGTTGAGCAAATAAATAATACAAATGTAGCGAGCTTAAATTACTACATGTACAGAGCACATCGTTAATCATTTCAAAAAGGCTGTTTTTGTTAGTCTTCATTTCATTCCAAAAGACGAAGGTTATGTAAAAAAAAAATTTTTTTGAACAATACTTTGATTCTCTCACCTCTCACCGAAACATAAACAAAGCAGCAGTACATCATTCATCCAATGACGACGACGACAAGACAACAAAATACATACACTGTGTACGCCATAGTTTTCAAAAACGGTATGTATAAACAGAATAGATGACAAATTTTGATACTTTTGTCATCTATTTTTTAAAGTGTCTTAGCGCCACTAGTTAACTAAAGAAGCTCAAATTAATTATTTTTCTTGCAAGTGCATGACACAACGTATGACGTAACGTATCATAATTCATACACCAATAAAAGCACAATCAGTCGTCATCGCTATATACATACTGATGCTGTATCTTATCTATCTCGACAGCAATATATCGTTGCTGCACAGCCGCATTCATGATGATGAGATAACAACACGGTCATCTAGCAATCTCCTCTTCAAATATTATTGCTTATTGGAGATTGCAGCAAAAATTCCATGGCATAATGGCTCGGCACGCATGGCAATATGCGATTACACGAATGAAACTAAGCTATAAATTGATGAACAAAAAAGACTAAAAAGTCATATATTTAGTGGAGCAACAAATAATGCTAAAATGTTTGAAAAATGTAGGTGACGTTAAGCCATAGGTCTTCCATTAGAAGACGTAAGTACAAAAACGTCAGTTTTACATATATATTTTTGTGTGAGAGTGAGACGAATTAGGATAAGTGAGGGTTACCGACCTTCGATTAACGAGCTTATCATGATTAGGATCTCTAGGCTCTCGTTTCATGATGTCTGCCTCGCTCTTTTCATAAGCTAGCATAAATCATATTAAATTTCAATAGAGAAAAATCACCTCAGTTATGTGGTCGTTTTTTAAGTTTTAAAGCTATTCTTACCAAGGGAGATAGCTGGAACCTTTTAAAATTGAAAATTATATAGGCTTTAATTGATCTACATATAATGCACCTACTACTTAACACCGTATAAAGTGTAGATGCAAAAACCACAAATATAAAGAAGAGGTGAAACCCTAGAGCGATTTTTTGTTGAGTAATAAGTACACATTATGTGACATAATTTATAGCTGCTGAATACCGAATTAATGGTTTTAAAATTCATCTCTTCACCAAATGGGCATACATAAAGTGACACTGAAAAGCTTTTTTTCTGAAAAACTACATCTGTATATGTGTACATCTGTACGAATGTAATGTAATTTTACTTGAAACCTGAGAAAAGATTATTCCTATTCCACCATTACTACCCTTTTTATCGTACTTGTATTCACATATTATAAATATGTAAAGTACTAGTTTCGGCTGGTACCAAATTATTAACTTCCCATTATAAGTATGTAACCCTAAATTCTTGTAATTTTTACATAACAATAATTTATATTTAAATATTCTTAAATTTATTCCCAACAAATAAAAAAACAAAATAATCAACAAAAATAAAATAAACCAATTTAATTGTTCGTTTTTGTTCGTTGAGTTATACTTTCCCATGTCTTGAGTTGAATAAGTATTAACATAAGAGTTATGTCGATAGCTCACCTGAATTTATCAAATAAATCAATAACGTGTAATATGTCTTCAAAAGTATCATAATCAATGTAGCACTTGGATATTACTCCTTGTATAGAAACATACACAAGCCAAAAATTACATAACAACAGCCACTTTATAAAATCTACGAAATTATTCCGAAAATCATATTTATAAAGAGTTTGTACTTTCCAAACAAAAAGCAGTTTGTATCCCTAAAAGAAAATATTTGTATACTTGTGTGAATTTGCATTGCTTCACGACATCGAGTAAACTAAATTCATCTAAAATGCAACAGTTACGTACGTACACTGTACCTGATTTCTTTATCGCCATTCATCGTATCGCATTGCCGTGTACCGTTCCAAAAATATAGATAGCGACTTACCGTTCCGAGCAGTATCGCATCATCATCATCAATCATGCCCAATTCAAAAACGTTACAAACTATTCAAGCAGAGCAATATGAAATGCTGTATACGGTGTATGTCACATAAGACGCAGCAGTCTTTACTCACATGCAGTGATACATATGTACATACATACATACACAAAGTAATCAGTTAGCAAGCAAAAGCTCAGCAGTTAATTTAAATAAACTAGAATTTGCAAATCAATCCAAAGCTTTTGTAAAGCTTTTGTACATCCATTTAATTAAAATTAAAAGCTCTGCAGAAAACCCGATCCCCAAAATAATTTTGTTAACCAGGTAGTACGTGTTACCTCTCATTGACAAGTTTATCATGAAAGGGATCCCTGGGTTGCCGTTTCATGATGTCTGATTCACTTTTTTCGTAAGCGAGGGAAATAGCTGGAATCTTTAAATAAATGAACACGGACGATTAAAGCAGACAAGAACATAACTACGAGAGGTCATGTGTTATTGTTATGGACAAATTTGTTCAGTTAAACTAGACATGGACGACTAAACAGTTCATGTGTCTTTTAGTCAACATGATTTTAAAACAAGTAAGTCACGCTCATAATTCACAACCACACATTGCACGTATTTATTACACTACATGGCACGGCTGGGTACCATAATGCTTCTTATGCGACAAATATGTTCACGGTCAGTACGCCATTGCATATTCATTACATAACTAACTACCTAATACTTGAGCTATTTAAGTTTTTTTTTATATAAATAAAGCCACAGAGTGTACAGGTAAGGGAGCACGAAGGAAACTACATAAGACGACGAGAACAACCAGTACGCCAACAAACTACACACTACAATACCTACGCACACCATAGTGACACCGCGTCACAAATATTTCTAAAAGAGACTAAAAATGTCAATGTCTTTGACACACTGACATTCTTGCTACAGAGCAATACGGAGTGACATGACGCTAACTGACATGACACTGGCACACAGAATCAATTTTTTCGCACAGCAAATCAAATCGTGGCAGGATTTTGCGGGGTGAGTGAGTGTCATTTTTTTGGAGGGGGTATAATAGTTACCTCTCATTGACCAATTTGTCTTTGAACGGGTCTCGAGGACACCGTTTCATGATGTCTGATTCACTTTTTTCGTATGCTATCATAAATCAAATTAAATTTTAATATAGGAAAATCACCTGAATTTGTGCGTCTTTAAAAAAAGACTGCGTAATAAAAAATAATACAAATAAAAGTTCAAGCTATTCTTACCGAGGGAGATGGCAGGAATCTTGTATGAAATTGAAAATTAGCGTTAATTTAATTAGTCTTTCAAATTGATGACTTGAAATAATTGTGACGCCAAACATGGAAGGCTACTTATGCAAATATTATGACTGGGACGTTCTACTATGTATGTAAATACCCTAAATAACTATAAAGCTTTTACGACAAAGTTAAATGGAATTATGAAGAGATGAACATGACCAAATGGACGCCATTATAAATACTGGTACAGAACGTAAGGGAAAGTGATGATAAGCCACCAAATGAATCGAGACTGATCCAATGATAACCATACACACCCATTCTCTCATCCAAAGGCTAATTGCCGTGGTCTAATATTATTAGCCTCAAATTACCATTTGCATACCCTGTGCAAAATTTGCACTGCAAATACCCCTTATAATATATTCACGTTCCCAAGTAATATCAGTCATCCTAGATGATACGTTTTCCTCCTAGCAGCATGCATCCCTTTTAAGCTGGATTTGTACGAATTTGTTTCATATGCAATATCGATACATGAATACGAGAATTCCGGAAGAATATTCATGTGCAGCCACTTTGGGTACTTGCATATGACGTAATGTATGCATAAAATGACGAGGTAATTACAACTAACTAAGGTGAAAGGGGAGGTGAAATGAGTGAAAGTTTTAGCACAGCAAACACCAATAATGATAATATTGAGACGTTATATAATTAAATATTGAATAATTATTTCATGTGCATAATAATATAGATGGTTGGGTGGGTAGGTGGGTGACAGACATAGGGTTTGAGTGGGTGTGGCTAAAAGGCATTCAATGCTCTGCTTCTATTTACTACTGATCTAATTTAATGCTATAAACTATGGTGAAAGGTTGGGATAAATGGTATTAAAAAGTGAGTAAATGGCAACATGCGATGCAGAGCTAAAATCTATGAAAATTTTGCTAATCTAATACTTGTGTATCTTGCATTACGATTATCTACATCTTGTAAGTACTATAGTAAGTAGTGAAAATTAAGAGTGATTAAATGCCATACTATTAAGAAAAACAGTATACACATATATATTAATCAACGTATAAAGACAAGGGAAATAAAAGGAAACGAAAGAAAGTAAAAAATTCCAAACCAAAATTCGAAACGAGAAAATAATTATGAAAATTGTAAAGTAGTCAAAAGTTTTTAGAAGGATAAGTTAGTAGAATAAGAAGAAGAAGAGAAGAAGAAGAAGAATTATAACACTATACATTAAGAAAATACTTGACTCGTTAATGTCTAGTAATGAAACTGTAAGAGTACTATTATATATTTAATATTGGTTTTGGTTGTTATGGTAGTAAATAGATATAGTAATAAGGTGGTGGTTTGTGGTAAGTAGGTTAAATAATTATTGAACTAATTATACTATTCTAGATTTATTAGAGGTGGTTTAAGAACGAGAGAAAGACTAATAGTTCTAAGTATTTTGGTGGTAATTTTAGTAAATATATTTAGTAGCAGTGTGGTTCACTAACGAATTATGAACTTGCCGAGAGGTATGTACGTATTCTATATGAAATTCGATGAGATCAGAATATTTACAGCTTGACAACAAGGCATTCTGGAAACCTATGCCAAACTTCCTGCATGGTATTATTGAGATGATGTTACGAAGAATTATGAATAAATGAATAATGAAAAGTCGTCATGAAATGAGTTTTACATAGTTCTGAAAAAGTTTTCTGATAAATACACTTACCATGTCAGTTCCCAAATCAATACAGAGAATAGTAACCGTTCCAAGAGGGAGTGGGACACTGGCCAAGATGAACAAGAGGAAAGGAGAAATCTCGGGAATGTTTGATGTGAGCGTGTAGGCAATGGATTTCTTCAAATTGTCAAAAATCAAACGTCCTTCCTCAACACTGCAATATAAATCAAGACATAAATACATTGTAAAATGCATAACTCGTGAAAATTTAACATTTTTCTATTGTAAGGTAAAATTGACAAAAATTATTAGATATTTAATCACCCAGTGACAATGGAGGCGAAATTATCATCCAACAAGATCATGTCAGCGGCCTGTTTCGACACATCTGAACCAGCGATACCCATAGCAACACCGATATCAGCTTTCTTCAGGGCAGGAGAATCGTTAACACCTGAAAAACGCAAAAGAATGAATACCCCAAGTTAGTAAGTGTATGTAATTAGATATATAATGGGGCGAACAAGATTATAAAGATTTTTACCATCTCCAGTAACAGCCACAATGGCTCCTTGTCGTTGACAACCTTCAACAATAATCAGCTTCTGTTGTGGGGACGTACGGGCGAACACAATTTCTGCGTGGTGGCGCAAAATGTCGTCCAATTGGTCTTGAGATAAGTCCTTCAGTTCTGTTCCATGGACGACGGCAGCCTTTGCTTCAGCGGGATTCACTTCGGAAACGGGGATGTTCAATCTTTGAGCAATGTCCTCTACTGTCTCGTTTCCTGCATGCATAACAAGTACGTTAGCATTCACGTTGGTTCGGATTTTCTTAAGCACAATATTGCACTCATGACATGAGAAAATTTTGGATACCTTCGGAAATGATTCCAACACTTTTGGCAATAGCCTTGGCAGTGATAGGATGATCACCTTGGAAAATAAAAGCAGTCACAAAAATTAACAAACATATTTAATAAACAATGCATGAGCTGTGATGAAAAGATGTACTCACCAGTGACCATAATGACCTTGATACCGGCAGATCGGCACTTGGCGACAGCATCAGGGACAGCAGCACTTTGAATAAAATAAGAAACATGTTATATTTTCTTTCAATGCTTTCCATCAAAGTAACGACATTTCACGAGAAATTTCATAAAATTTTTAAAAATATTCACCGAACCGTAAAATACAATCTTGTATCAAAATCTTTCGCATTACATTTTCAACTACATTTCGGATTTAATGAAGTCAATTTAGGTATGACTTACCGAGGAGGATCAATCATGGACATTAGACCAACAAATCTCAAGCCGGAAATGGGAAAGTTTGGATCATCACAATCAAATTTGAAACCGGGTGGGTACTTGTCAGACGGCAGCATAAAGTCGCAGAATCCTATGGGAAAATTAAAACATTAATTACGTATTCTACTAATTTCATTTTCTCCACGCAAATTAAATACGCACCAAGAACTCGCTCTCCAAGTCCACCAAGTTCCAAGTATGCATTGTTGAAAGCTTCCTTCATTTCCTCGTCCAAAACTTTCTCTTTTCCACCAATAAAGATTGTTGAGCATCGATCCAAAATTCGTTCAGGAGCTCCCTGTGTAACACAATAATTAAAGTGTTTGCATGTAATATTCATATGTATTTATGTGTATAAGTGACAGTTTAATACCTTCATGACCAAGAGATATCGAGGATCATTCTGATCTTCAGTTTCGTGAATGGAAACTTGATACTTGTTTGTAGAGTTGAAGGGTACTTCACAAGCCTTTTTGTTTTTCTTTCGGTAACTCATAATGTCGTGAATGGCAAGTTCCATGCATTTAAGAAGAGCAGCTTCAGAAGCGTCACCGTTAACCTGGCACCATGACATCATCACATTAGCAAATTATTTTTTTACATACATTATATTAAAGTTTATATTTACCTCTCGTTTCAAAATTGGAACACCTTCTTGATTTCCCTTAAACTCTGCTCGATTACACAATGCAGCGACCCGGGCGAGAGCCTTAAATCCTTCACTGGTTTTATCATACTGAGCTCCAGATTGATCTTCTGTGGTATCGGCTTCAATGATCTGGTTGTCAAACCACATGTGAGCGACAGCTGGAAAATACACAGTGAAAGTTAATATCAATATTTTCAGTGCATAGATTAATTCTACTTTAAATCTTTGCATCAAATGTTGCTACTTACTCATCCTGTTTTGTGTCAGGGTTCCGGTTTTGTCCGAGCAGATAGTAGAAGTAGATCCTGGAGAAAAGGTGAATTTTATATATTTGTTACTTCAAGTCAGCATCATAGATCTTTTTTGATTTTATTTATAATGGCAATCTCTTGTATTAATTTGCACAATTTTTTTCTGAAATACTTAATAAATATCAGTCATCCAACTTACCAAGTGTTTCAACAGCTTCCAAGTTCTTAACTAAGCAATTCTTGGAAGCCATACGTTTTGCGGTGAGAGTCAGACAGACAGTGACAGTAGCCAAGAGACCTGATATAAAGTAGACAATTTTAGTTTTTGTGAAGAGATTTGTAGAGAGAGACACCCTGCCCCAAATTCATACTATTTTATGCATATGTACATACCTTCAGGGACATTAGCCACGATGATACCAATCAAGAAGATGACAGCGTCCAGCCAGTGGTAACCAAGGACAAAGGCGACAATAAAGAAGACCACCCCCAAGAACACGGCCACACCTGATGAGATAGACACACATATAAGCTTCAAATGTCACCCGGAACTTAGTTACCCGGAATTTGCTATTGATCAGATTAAGATAAAATTACCGGTAATGAGATGAATAAAGTGCTCAATTTCCTTTGCAATTGGGGTTTCCCTGAAAAATAAAATATTGAACTTATTATAGTGTACACGTCCTTAATAACACTTGAAAATGCGTAGCTTCACATACCCAGAAGAGAGTCCAGAAGCCAAACCAGCAATACGACCTAGAGAGATAAAAATCGGTTTCGGTATGGTTTTGATATAAATCGAAGATTTACGCAGAATGATTGAACTTTGGATTGGTTCTTATTTTTAAAAGAAATCAAAATATACATGCATATCGCAATCAGGAAGAACTTGAGTGAATATTTTTGCGACTATGTATTTTCTTCGGATTTATAATTATTCATAGGAACCTTTGATCGAATAAACTTACCCATAACCGTATTGTCACCACAAGAAATGACGATACCCTTGGCAGTTCCTGGAGGGAGAGAGAAATCATAGAGCGTGTAATTAAATTTGCATGTGGGACTCATTATTTATGTTTTGGTATATAAAGTATACAGAGTGAGATCGGTTATATATTTATACCTTCAACAGCATTGGTAGAGAAGAATGCCAGATTCTTGGTCTCTAGGGGGTTATCATGGGTAAAGTCAGAACCTCTCGACTGCGGTTCACTCTCTCCGGTCAATGAAGAGTTGTCCACCTGGTTGAATAATTTATTGCATTAATTAAGAGACAATCTTGACATATTGTGCATGTAGGGATACGTATACATATAATGTATCTTATACACATAAGTATATACCTTAAAGCCTCGAGATTCAATAACACGAATATCTGGAATACGGCAAACAAAATTCAGATTAATCATGGGTAAGTCATTCATTTTCATGGAGGTTACTCCAAACACGTCTTTTCGTTTGAGAAAGTTAAACCCTAGTAAACCATGAAAGCCAATAAATTAAAGAAAAATATAACAAATTACCTGCTGGAATACGATCACCAAACTTAACTTCCACAACGTCACCGACGGTCAATTCTTCTGCTTTTAGTGTTAATTTTTGCCCTTCTCGTAAAACAGTTGCATATTGAGGAACCATGTTCTGAATTCAAAAAATACAAATCAGTAAAGATACTCGTAAGTCGTATACATGAAATAAATTTAAAAACAAATTATAATTTACTTTAAAGGATTCCATGATTTTAGAGCTTTTGCTCTCTTGATAATACGAGAAACATCCTGTTACGATCACAACTACTGACAACACAGCGCCCAGGTATAACTGCAACAAATCATCCATAATGTAAAATCGACCACAGCATTATCAAAAAATAAGCAATATTATTATTCTCAATTTCACTCACGTTGTCTTTGGGTACATCTTCATAATTACCTAAAAACAATTAAACAATACAAAATTAGGCATTACAATTTACTATTATTTACTATTATAATTTGCATTTCTTACCAAGTTGGATGGAATACGCTATAAAGCACAGAGCTGCACCGATCTATAAATTAAGTGAAGTATTTTAATTTTTGAAGCTGGATTTTCTAGATAAGTAATACTATCAACTATCATAAGTAAAAGTTTGTTTTGTGAAATACAATGACAAATGACTTTAAAACTTGCTAAAATCATTGCAGAAAATACTAAAATGATGGACCAATAAATCGGACTCGAAGCCATAGCACACCACAGCTTCAGAGCAATTTTATTCAGTCCCATAAGCATTGACCACTATTATTAAATAAGTATGAGTTGCTCTGAAATTTTCTTACCCACAGTAGGAGGGCGAAACCGCCGAAAAGGTTCTTACAAAATTTAATCCATTCTGGCGTTGTCTTTGGGGGTGTCAGGGCGTTAGGACCGTCTGAAATGTAACAAATTAAAATTGTAATTAACCTGACCTTGATTGTCCTAAAAAATTCTGTCAGTATTTGCACTTACCCCGATCATAGTTTTCTTTCGCCCTCGCTTGCGTGAGACCCTAAGGAAATTGTTAATATACAAAATTATTCACAATCAATACACAAAAAATCCCATTATTTTTACTATTCATTCACTTACAGTATCAGGGTTGGAGTGCAACCTTCTGAAGAGCTCTAAAAAAAGATTTAAGGGTCATATGCAAATGGAGGGGAAAGATTTATAGAATTTGTTATGAGTTTGGGTTATAAATAAAGTACTCGAAAACACCTTACCTTCTAAGGGAATTTTATGATCATCTATATCTAATTCTGTAAAACATAAAAATGGCAAGGTTGAGATGGGAACAAGCAATTAAATTTATTGATTCATTGGCATCAATGGGATATGAAACAACGCAAATAATTTACCTTGCTTAAGATTATCTAAATCCTTCTCCTTCTTCTTCGGCGCCTGTACATTTAGGAAAAGAGAAAGCAGAACAATCGTTAAACAGAAATGTCATCATTATTAAGCAATCTCTCGTCACATTCCCCAGAAAAGTATTCATTATCATTTCCTCTCATGTATTCCTGATGATTTGGCTCGATGCAAAGTCAAAATTAAATTGTAAGTAAATTGTAACAGTTCAGTGAGCTAAAGTCTACTTCATAATTCTACGAAGAGGAGGAGTGGTGAGGTTCAAGTGGCTCTGAAGTTGAGTTTTGGAGTGGATCTATGTACTATGCATGTGGATGATCGACGAACCAAGCAACCAAGTTTAAACGAATCATGAGACTGGAGCATGCGAGTATAAAGTAAAATAAAGCATCATTAACTGTACTTGTCCTCTATTCCCGTACACATTATCCTATTATACTCTAATTGAATCCGAAATTCAATGTGATCCAATCCGACTATCCGACCCTAGCGCAGAGAAGAATAAGGCACGAGCATATTTTCCTAGTCGTGCATGCATGTCGTCGTTAATGTCGTTATACAGTTATAGTTAGTTAAAAGTTGCAATACTTTTACTTCCACTCGACTCCTTCTGTAATACTTACTTGGGTTGGGCCGTAGTTAAATGTTAAATGGCAAAGTGTGACGCAACTACTCGGAGCAACCTCGTGTCTGTAAGGCTGCCTAATGCAAATTTAGGCTATGCCAATAAATCTCCATTACATTACAGAACTACATAATACTGTACTGACATCACATCTCAAACGAAGAAACAAAGCACGATCTGACCATTTCGGCTCCATATTCCTAATTCGTGTATACTTACATATATAACTGCATGCACTTAATATACAAGTTTGATAATTCCTTCTGACAATTATATAAAACATCCCGTTTTTCACATTATGGAATGAATTTTATTACAAAATGCTCGTCCGTTAACGACTAACACATTTCATATGTGTGTACATATGTGATACATTATTTCGTAATATTGTTCGGTGTTCTAGAAGTGCAAGATGTATGTTTGCATGCAAGCACAAAAGTTGAATGTGAGCATTCTATAAATAAAGGCTAACATTGCCTCTTAGATTACCTATTTACCGGTTCTTCTCGCTATTTTTCCTTAAATGTCAACGTGTGCGTAAAATGAAGTTAGAATTTAGCTGGAAATTAATGATGCATATATTTATATAGTGGAGTGGAATTGTCGCAATTTCTTTCATAGAAAGTGGAGCAGATTGAGTGAGTGAGTGAGTGAGTCGTGAGTGTGGTAGGGGAGCTGGTGTAACAGACTCTGACTCAATTGGCGAAAACGGTCCATTTATCCTGGGGAAAGGTCAAGGGTCACCTAACCGACGTCTCTTAATCACATTCAGAGACAAACTATAGCCAAGAGGCTTTTCCAGAGTTGAATGAACACATGGCTCCAATTTAGAGATTCACAATAAAATTCGCATTTGTACGTATGTACATATGTAAATACTTACATCTTACTGGATGATGTGTTTGTCTACCCTTAACCATACATACATGTATACGAAGCGAAGCGAATCGACATTTTTTACCGAGCCCGTATACAACTCCTATACTGCAACCATATCACGTACGTATAATCTTAGCTGCCAATCTGTTATGTAAGGAATAATAATTATTATGCAGAAACCAGTGCTGGGTAAGTAATTGAATTGCCGATATTATATAAAAGTGTGGATGTCGGATTTCTTTGTGCATGATGATAGCATTATAACGTGGCAGACCATTATCTCCATCTACTTAAACATATAGAATGGTATACCAATTCATCCACAATAATCCATACGATATTCACTCATTCCAGACACTATTTGTACAAGTGTGCACTCATCTAATCCAGCGTATGTATATTCAGTTTAATGAAACTCGTATAAATTGTGTTGTAGGATAATGCGAATATTGCGAAACAGTCTGCCCTGCCGGCGAATTTAAGTCGATTCCAATTGACATGATATGATAAAACTGATGCATGCATGCACGTATAACTATTCTGGGTTGTACTACATTTAGTAAATGGAAATGTTGCTTGGTTGACTTTGTTTTTGAAGCATTTATTTGACAGTCCACTCCACTCCACTCAACTGACTGATATTACAGATAGATATATGCCATCCCATCAACTAATTATTGGCCACGCGAAATAATGTTGGTTTGAAAAATATGGGGAATAACAACGCACCGGCCGGCATTATGACTTACATAATATGCAGCCAGCTAATGCAATAACAAGTCTACACAAAAATCTTAAGTTGACATTTTGTAATATTCCTGAACAAATAATGTAACAATTAAATGCATCTTTGCTAATAAATAATGCTTCGCTATCACTTGTAGTATCACATTTCGCATCATTTAGTTCACATTTTATGGATCTGTTTGTGCATTTATATGCATACGCAAAATCTCAACACCCCCAAAGAAAAAAAGACGATGGGAATGATAACTTACCATATTGCTGTCCCTGAGAGAAGTGTGTGGCACTGACTTGAGTAGGTCAGCAGACCTTTGGACACGTTAAGCACTCGAACGGGTTAAAAGGTCACAGCGAAATTGGAGACGGGGGAAGAAGGGCCACCATTTAACAACGAACAACAATCACACTGTCCCCAACCGCAGCAACGGCACTCTCAGAACTGAAAACAGCACAAAAAGAATCTTTTGTTACTAAACATTATTAACATTTCATTCGGCAATAACTTTCTCGGAAATTTGTATATAATATTTTAGCCACACAATAATAATTATTATAATCATAGCACTTTAACACTTCATTGTAATACGACTTTACGTGTTTGAATGCGTATGCACCTCTTCATAAGGTTTGAATCAATTATTTCGTGAACATAATAACTTTCCAACAGTCAGTACATAAATTGTTTCACACCGTTGTCCCACAATTTCATAGTTCACGGAACAATTACACCATGTTTAACGTCTCAATGGACGAATTTGTCGAATAATATTTGATATTTCCAGGAGGTTAAGAAGAACTAAAATAAGAACTAAGATTAAGAGTTTAAAATTAAATAAAAAGTAGCCTAGTCGTCCAAGACGAGCGGATAGTCTGGATGAAATGCGAGTCAACGATCCAAGTGTTTGCTATAAGCCAGATATATATCGCATTATAAACTAACTTCTGTAAAGTGAACCACCAATCCAACCCATCCAGTACGGCTGGAATTGCTGGAAACCATCATCATCATCATCACCGGAGGCAAGTTACTACGTGCTGGAATAGCAAGTGGAAAAACAAGTGGAAAAATATTTTGTTTCTTTAACCAAGGTTTTATTAAGGTGTGTCAAATGGCAGTCTCCCCAATGATAACGATGCAATGCAAGTACATGCTGGAGAAAATGAGATTTTGTCAAAATGCCCCATCCGTTTCCAGGGTAATGATTTCATATGCATACCATTGATGCAGATACATTCAAGGCAGTGACATTTTCTTAAGTTCATTATTTGTGCCATAGTTTACGAAGGATTAATAATTTAGAAGGTAAAATTATATCATAAAATTCTAGTAAAATCTGGCTGAAACTGCTTTGGTTTATGGCCTTTAGAGAGATAAGAACTACCCTGAGACAAAATACATGTTTTTGTCAACACTACACAAGTGAAAACCAAAATGATGGATGAATGACTCATGCATAACTATCAGAACTCTGTCAACAAGTGTCACAAGTTTTGATACCCTTAATAATTACTTAGCGTCTTTAAATATAGAAAAGGTTGTCATGTAGGACAACCTTGTTAAATATCTACGTTATCACAAATTATCTAGTTCAAAATATCTGCCACATCTTTCTTTCAAACCTTTCTCACTTAAATTTGTGAATGCATGAACAGTGTGGACGATGCTGGTTACCTTTTCTCCTCAAGAAAATCCTAACGTTTCCCTTTGTTACCTGCACTTCTGGTCCATCAAGTTATAAAAAACGCAGCACCGCTAACACCACACCGACCGACCGACCGACCCACGCGTATAACGTAAACCGACTGCCCTGCTCCAATTCCAAATCCTGCCCAGGGTGCTTATCTTGAATTTTACGCATTTGCCAATAATCTGTATGCAGTTCTAATCAGGTAATTAATTCGACAAAAGCAAAGTGATCATATTCACCACACATGCCCTCCACTCCAGCCAGCAACATTTTATGCAAGGGTGGACAGACATGAGGATCTTTATGAGAACATGGAGTTGCATAAACACTTAAACTTTAAAACTTTGTTCCATCATGATGATCCCACATATCGAATGTAATTGTAATTTGTGCTGTATAGAAGTTGAGCTGAAAGTTATCTTCATAATTATCCGCTCCATTCAACATGCCATGGTTCAAAGTAGAAAAAATAAACTCTTGACTCGGTGTATGAATTTGATTAACATGTTCATGTCTCCTGCATTACGTACGTAGATGCATGTGGTGAGTTTTAAAAATACGTAGGGTAAAACCAGTGAGCGATGATGATGATGAGGTGTTAAAGAGTCTCCAACTAACTAATTGTTCTACTCATAATTATGAGCTAGGTTTCCAATGTTAAATTAAATTAACGAAAATGTGTTCATGCATAACTAAGTTGGGTTTGGATGGCAGCCTGCATTTATAGTTATTTGCAAGTGCACTAATTCCAAGTGAGACCACTCGATATTATTTGGAATAATTATTGTGGGAGCTCCTCCTTGAATAATTGTCGACAAATAATATGTATCTCTTGGGACACTTATGGTCATCGCTTCTACTATGCATTAGCTCATTTCATCCCAATATGAACAGGTGTTGTATTGTATTGTATTGTAAACCTTTATTCAACTGTCAACAAATATCAGCTAATATAAGCTGGTTTCCAATTCATGACAGAAATGCTATAATTTAAAAGCACTAGTCTAATTATCTATTATTAGGTGTTTAGTGGCGAAACGTTAAATAATTAGTTGAGTGAGAGTAAACTTGACTCATTTCAATAATTGAGTGATGTTAAACAGTTGTACTAGTAACTGCTCATGTTAGAGAACAAGTACATTTACTTAATTATGTAAAAGCTTGCATCTTTATGTAACATGTTATCTGTGTGGTAATGATCAATGTCAATGCCGCCAACGTAAACACTTACTCGAGCATTGGACCAGAATTATATTTGCAATTTTTGTGAATTAGCAACTTGGCGAACTTGGTGATGTGTTTATGAAGATGGTGGCATAGAGAATAGAAATATTTCATTGAATCAGTGCATTCCATAAATTCTAGGAAAATTTTCAGCTGTCAATGTCAACATCTATATGATTATAGTTCTTATAGGATTGAGTAGATATCGTGATATCGTATCATAACGTTGTGCTGTCACCTCATTTCATTGTTCTGACACAACTAGATTATATGGGTGCTGGTTAACCACCGTCTTTCACCATAGACAAAAGTTTATTTATTTATCACATGCATGTACGTATTGCAAACTGCTTATGTACATTTCCAGTGTATAAAGAGAGTCATCTTCATATGACGCATCGAACCGAATTATGTCCCCTTCTTTTATCGTTGATATAATAATAATGCATTTCCAATGAAGCAACTGGGTGGAAAATTCGAACTGACAACTGACACCACATCAGAAAAGATAATGGATCTATGCATGCTTCCTCCTCCAGTGAAGAGATCCCATCTCGAGGTCTCATCCTCAGTTACCTCAACAACATTATTATAATGCTGAAAATCTGTGCTAATCAAACTTATCGAACCACAAGGCTACTTGGATATGCATATAATTGCCGGCTAATAAATTCATTCAAATGAATTCATTCTTATCTGAAACTTTAGCACTGTTGATATTTTGCATCGAAAAACTCTCAACAATTGTGCATTATTTGAACCAGGTTGATTATCCTGACTTTTTTCTCATTGTTCTTTCTTGGAAGGTGGGTGTGGTCTTTGGGGAAGAAAGAGCCGGCAGAAAAATCACACGCTCGTATGCATGCACATATGTATGTATAACGGTATCAAGTCTAAAATAGTGGAAAAGGACGGATCGATAAGCAGCAGCCAGCTCCACTCCGACAACTAAAAACTCCGAATTTCTACAGAGTAGTCAGTTATTTGATTGGGACAGACGGGAGCAAGAAACAGCAGACTAGAGGAGAGGGTGGTGTGTGTGGTGGCATGCATGCTTCTGTCTGGAACACTTTGGCTGCCACCGATTTCTTATTGTCTTTTGTGCAAGAAGAACCTGAGCCACCCCCAAAACCTCAATGGAAAGTACCATCCATGGTCGTTCATTGGTGTGGAGAAAAATAAAAGCGTGCTTCTCCATGAAATCAAAATTTGCCCTATTGTTTTCATAAGTGCATGACTCTCCGCACTCGGATTCAAGTTGAACCTGGTGCGGTTTCAATTTTATCATGATTCCTTGATTTGCCAGGAGGAGTATGTATTTGAAGGTAGGAGAGAAACTCATTATTATACAGAGATAATGGGGTTGCTGTCTAAAGAGGCTCTCTGGGGATTATTTGCAGCAGCTCGCTTCCCTGGATAGTGCACTACTGGAAGAAGAAATGTACTGGGACCTGGCTGCTGCGTGGCCATGATTTAATAAGTTTTGATCTGAATTAAATTTTCTCCAGGAGGAATTCTTTCTCACCATCTTTAGCCTAGAGTACATAGACTGTTATACGTATAAAATAAATCACAGTGTACTCATAAGGACTTATATTCCATTGTTTTTCGTGAATGGGGCTCACACTTCATAAAATTTACAAGTGGTATAATAAAATGACATTAAAGAAAGTATTTATTGATCATTCATTCCTCTCAGGATAAGATATTGAGCGACCACAATACACATTCTTCGACTGACCTCGACACACTGATCGTGATTCCTTCCTTTATTTCTTATCAAAGGTATTTGCCTTGTTCAATACTCGGATGGAATGAAGAGATTCCATATAAATAAATGAGAATAAATTCCACTTTATTCGAATATTGCACCTACTGTGTATAAGTCTATGTGCACATGTATGCATGCATATATGTACGTATATAGATATGTATGTGTACTACATATGTACATTCGTACATACTGCTATGTGTAGTATTGCATGGCTTTAGTTTAGCAAAGTCCCCGTCAATATGTCCAAGTCACGAACTCTTTCCTCCAAAATATTGGATGTCATGTCGGATGAATCGCCTCTTTTCTCCAATAATCTAGAACCACATAGTTCCATCCTTATTGGTGGATTGTTCAAATAAAGAACATGGGTGCGGTTTACTTGATTTCATGCCCCTTCCCTACTCTCAGTTTTTGAGATGTCTAAAAACCGGTTTCCCTTACACCTTGAACATATTGGGACTTTCACCAGTCGTAAAATTCGGATGTACTTTGTGACACAGATGTAAATGTTGAAATAACAGTAAGTGCCCAGTTGATGATCTCTTATAGTTTGAGACAAGAAGCAAATGAGTGCATAAGGTTTGACCAGAGTCTCACCTACCTTGTAATATTTAAGATATTATAAGAATCCTAATTATGGGCCAAAAGTAGCACTTTTCGAACACTTGTATTTGTCGGAAACTCTCCACTTTTTTAATTTCTTTTAGCTAGCACACAGTTTGGGCCCAGCTATAAACCTGCCGACGAATAAACTTGCTTTTCACCTCTCGTCGACGACACACAAACTTCTTCTTGCACTAATTTCGACACTCTTACACACCGCCCTCCTAACACCACCATCGCATATCTTCCAGCAACCACTCACGAGGGGGCAACTTTTCTGGGCCTTGCTCTCCGAGGTCAGTGAGTAGTCAATCAGTGAATGGATGAGGAATAAATTGGACACTCTCAGCTCATTGTTTCTCTTAAATTAATATTTTTTGTAATGACGGGAGAGGAGGAAGAGTTGTTAAAGAGTGAGCAGGTAATAGGTGGAAGAAGAGGTCGAGAAGAAAGTGAGCCAAGCCTCTCTCTCTCCGGGCTCGGCCGATGCCATACCAAACCAATGCGCCTCGCCCTGCGCCCCGGTATAACTTGCCAAAACTTGTAACAAACTCTCAAGTATAAGCTATATATCAGTCCGAACCGGGTAGTTGGTTGGTTGTGGAAATACCCGGGTGGTGAGGAGGTGAAATACTGCAACTCCCAGTGAGCAGAGCAAAATTGTCAACCACGACCAACAAACTAAGGATTTAAGTAGGAGAGCAAGTCACGAGAAGGGAATCAGTGGGAGAACGAATTATCTATTTTTTATACAATCAGACAGAAATACCATGGCGGAATTATGTCCAATCGATCCTTTAAAGTTTTGAAACAAGGCAAGGAATAAATTCGAGATTGCGATAAATAATATATGTAATAACCACTCAATTCATTCCTACACACATGCATTCTTGATGAACATACACCAGTTTTGTACTAATTTATCTAAATATGTCAAACTGTCGTGTTAGAACCACACTTTGTACTACACGCAATCTAAATACATAAACTCACCACTTTAAAAATGTATGGATACTCGATATGATATGCATAATAATGAAAAGTAGAATTAGTGGAAAAACAATTTCAATAATGTGAAATGTCATTAGTTTTTGGGTTGTGCGTGGTAATAGTAAATGAGAACACGAAATGCATATTTTCTAGTATTTTCACGTATGTATGCACACAAGAACCTACTCGACTCATTGTAAACAACCCACTGCAACTCATTCATGATAAATTCCGCAGTGTTGTTTCACGACTTTTGCCTCATTTCATTTATTTACCACTTGATTTCAAATGAAAGCATTTATAATATTCGTAGTCGTGCATTTATGTACGTATTTATACATTCGTTATACATATATTTATTTGCATAAGCTCTAAAGACTATTCAGCTCCGATAAGCCAACTAATTGACTCATTTCTCGTATTTTTTAAATTCAGCAGAGAAAACGTAAATACATGTGTGTATGTTGAACGATGGCTATTAATAAATGAATTTATCTAATATTTACGATACCTTACTCCATATCGCTACGTTGGTTTGGGCGTTGTCTGCATACTAAAATTGCATCGTGAATATTCCGTAAGCCAATTTCGAAACACTAAAGTGAGTGCATTTATTAACACACATCTCTTCCGTAACAATGAGCCTAACAATACGGCTCAATGTCTTCATTGTATGCATTATGATGATGGTGCCGTGTTCCAAGACCGTGAATCCAGTTGCGTGTCTCTCCATCCAGACAGACACTGTGACTGGGTCAATTCAATTTGGCCAGCAAGGTAAAAAAAACTTTTATCGGAATAAGCAATTTATCACTGCCTAATCAATAACTTTTGCCTTCCAGTACTTTCCCCCATACTTTCACCCGATTTATATACTCGACTTCAAAGTGAGGCTGCCAATCGTTCCATCAAACATTTATATTTATAACATTGGCCTTTAAAGAATTAAACTGTAATGGGCAGATGGTTGGTTGTGCCAATTATGGATGGAATTATGTAAAATGAGTGGCTTAGGGATGAAAAGTGAAATAAAATGAAGTTCTTCGTCCAACTCTAACCTCAAAAAAGTTTCCAAATTTATTTCATTCCAATATAGGCATCCTTCTTCTCCTCTAATACAATATATGTATGTACAGCTAACTGGTCATACTCAGAACTTTCACATGGCGAAGCCATTGCACAAAAAGTTTTGCAACTTTGTTAAAGTCACAATTCCAAACTGTAAAGTTGGAAACTTTTCCCCATTTCATTTCTAATAGAGGAGCAAAGCTTCTGCCGGGGGAAGCGCCGTGTAAAAAAAGTTAGTTACGGTACGGTGCTAGATTTCCTGCCTTATGGTTTAAGGTAGGAAGGGAGATTTGGGCTTCATGTATTTTACAACCTGGACTGGACTACACGTACGTACGTAGTCACCGTGGGTACGGAATTTTAATAATGCACAGCCCAGTCATTAGCAAACATAAGTTTGAATATGAATATAATATGGGCTGAAAACTAAAGTATACACAGTAGAAGCCATATCCGTAGTCTGTTTACTACTCATGCATATGAAGGCATTATCATCACAACAATTTTCAACCATTCATCCGCGACATTTCAAACTCAGAATTTTTTCAAGATTTAAGTGCCACCACTTACTCAAGATTCGAGCTACGTATGCATTGACGAGTATTGGCGAGAAGAGGCGACTATTCTTAATTCTTGGTGCAGGACAAAGTACTACTCCTTACTTTTTTTTCCCTCCTTATTCAGCAATAATTCTGCCTTTGCATTGCTATATTTCCAATTTTCCCTCATCTCGTTTCAGTAGAGCAAAAAGGAATGAACTGGACAAACTTTTTGGTCGGCTTGCTTGATTTCTTGTGAATAACTGCATACTTGCTCCTTGCCCATACATTCGCCACTTGAGTCAGACAACCTGCCTACTCTATCACTATATTACTTCCCAACTTGCTTGCATGGGAGGAACACGTCGAGGAGATGGGTAGCAGTGAATCAGTCAGACTAGCAAACTTTCTCCATCCCTTTCTCCAGCCAGCCTGCCTGCCTGCCTATTTATGTACCTACTACCTTCCCTCTCCCCACATCTCGGACGGGGAGAAAGTCTCCTGTCCCACTGTCTCTATCTTGTCTCTGCTAATTACCCACTAATTAGGATACCTGCCACTTATTCTACTCTGCAGAGCGCCATATAGAACCTTCCCTTTTCTTGATTACTTAGGACTCGGTAACTTTTTTTCTATATAAATCTTATCATTCTTACCTGCCCCCGTAACGGACTGCAATCCTACACCACCCTCCCAACACAAAAGTGCAAACAAGACTAACTCTTGCCTCCCACGGAGCTCTTACATTACTATCTGATGTTGGACTGAAATTCAATAAAACTTTTTATTGCAATCAATTAACCCCGTAATTATATAAGAGAAGGACGGATATTAATAATTTGTTTAATGCTTTGCATTGTGTATAAGTACGTCGAGGTATACGTTATGTATCCAGTCATCATAGTCTGTTAAAATGTCCATATAGCCGCTATTAAAGCAAAAGCTGGTAGAAACCCAAGAAATAGTAATTAATTTTTCAAAATAATTATAATTTTACGGACAAGTGCTCACTGCATAATCACACGTACTTGATAGAATGATTTTTATTTCATAGTCGCCATTTTTACTACCACGGTTGCATTTGCATTTGCATCTATATAGTTATTGCAAGTGTTCATAAAGTGTACAAGTCTGAAAATCACTATAACGTATATGTACAGTGTGTCGTTGTAAAGTTTCTTTTCATGGAGGAAATCCCAAGTCTGCCACCGATGACTGGGGATGTACATAAATAAACGATAAGAAAAACACCACGGTGCATGGATGGTTAAGTAATATGCGATAATCTAGCAGGGTAATAGAGATAGATCTTAAAAGAGATGACGATAAGCATTTTTTTATTGTAGCCAAATCTTAGACTGCGACAACAAAGGCTCGTTCACTCCACTCTTGCAAATCTCGTGTTGATGAAGCAGCCACTTTTTATTTACTGCTTTATTTCACGTTTATTTTTAAAGTGGGTTTTAAGCCAAAGTTATTTTGAGGCAACGCGAGAGAAATGTAAAGCAATGCCATAATATAATTATGTATGTATGTATGTACATGGTGGAGGAGCAAGAGCAGAATGCATCTCTATTTTTTAGGTACGTACGTCGGAAACACGTGAATTGGGGGGACGGTAAATATTTGCAAAAATTAACATGTTCAATCATTTTTTTTCATTCTGACTTCACAACGTTTAGAAAACACTTCACAAAATGTATGAACAGTGTTTCTCCTGAAAATGTTTTACCACCACACCTGTCTCCTCCCAGCAGGCTTCGGGAAACCACATATTAACAAACAAGACAACAAGCAAGCCTATTGGCAGGCAACCCTATTTTCGCCAGTCGTCCTACTGCCAAATTATTCAGCTTTGAAAATAAATAAAACAGATGCTGCTAGGATAGTTCAACATACGTGTACGTACGTATGCATATAGATAATAGCAAAATCATACAGAGATTATTCCACCAACTGCATAAACGGTGGCAGGTACATATATGCGAAACCAATAAGATTGTGCCATATTATATTTGCCATACCGTTTGCAAGTCTGTATGCGATATAAAGAACGTCTGACATGATGTATAGTAATTTGATGAATCAACATTTCAGTTTTTGGAGGAAGAGCACGAAACAATTGACATTTACCGATTTATTCATGCCCAACTTTTTATCAAGTTGTTGTAGGTGGACGTTTTTTTCCGCACAGTCAGTCCGTCTCCATTGTAGAAGAAACCGTTAATCATTTCACATATCGTTGGAAAATATATCAGAGACATGTTTCCGCCTCATGAGGGATTGTGAGCTAAAGGGTGTAAATAAATAAGAAGAGTGGTCCCAAGAGAGACAGCCGAGAGAGAGAGAGCACAAACTCTGAGAAAACTCTAAAATCTCACAAAAAGTCTAAAAGTAGAAGCTCTTCTTCTTCAAATGTCAAATGCCAACTTTGGTGAGGGGTGGACTATCTCTTTCTCTGTGGTGGGGACATTCACTCCAACGTTGCTATTTAGCCATTAATAAGAGACACACTTTTAGCACTATCCTATTACACCATTACGACCAAGAGTGTTTCTTTTAGTTGATCTCTCTCCGAAGCGAATTTCAGATTCATGGACGAATCTCTTAATTTCCTTTACTTCACACTCATCTCATGTTTCCTCTTTTTTGTACGTTTCACGACGAAGAGAAAACTCCTGTTCTTGTCATTTCTACCTCCACCCATAAACTCGTTGTCGAGTATTACCTACATAAGTAGCAGTACACTACAGTAGTGCCGGTTGGTTGGTGTTGCATCACTAACTAACTGATTCCATGTTCAGCAGAGAGAAGAATCAGCTATGTATTGCACCCACCTTTCTCCATTCCAAAGGTAAATGAGAGAGTGACAGGTGACTGTGACGCGGTGTCGGGAAACCCGTTGAGCTCATTAAAACTTGAGTTGAAAGCCAAAACTACCGAGAGTGCATGACATCAGCATCGCCTTCTTGTACCTCACTCAACCGGCTAAACCTCATCCTCTCTTAAATAAATCCGACCTTTTTACACTCCAATTTCAAACACGGATACTGTGTCATGTATTGCGTACGAATTTTGTTACCACATTATTCTTGCAAATCCTTATTTTCGTCAGTTTTCGAGATTTCAAGTTTAAATTCAGAAAGAGCAAATATAATATGACACAATGCGATATGTTTGTTTGTTTCGTCTGCGAGAGAGGATCGAGGAGGAGGAGAAGCCGAACACACAGACGGATCTTCTTACGTAGAGCTTAACTTGACCTTGGTGACCAACCACGTGGCATACACCGTCTATTTCCTCTCCGAGAATAGTTCCCCAATCCCACTCTGTCTATTCCTGAAGTCACAAGCGTGCTTAAATAAACCTTTGCCTTGTACTGCTGCGGTTTAATCGGGGAAAGTATAAAGTACGATAAAGGTCAGAGGTGATCCTGTACTCCGGAGGTGTAGCAGCATACACGATTGAATGCGCCCAACAACGAGTTTCATTTTATTGCAGATCTACAAAGTCTTATTACTCTCTCTCTCTCTGGAGAAAGTAAAGCGACTTTCACTCCCGGTTTTATACTTAACCACCCGAGAGAGATTTCTGCTCCAGATCCAACCCCGATTTAAATTATGGATGTACATGATACGTCCATGTCCTTGGTACTAGCAGCAGTAAATACATATACATTTAACGCTTAAACCCATCATGAATTTCATACAAATTCCGAATTCCTTCCTCTTATGCCACCAACCACATCGCGAGGAAAAGAAAGACGAGAGTCAGCCCAACCACTGAACCGTAGAGGCTTTATCCAGATTTTTTTATACTACAAAACAGAAATAGAACATGGGATGAACCGATTCAATTGGAAAAGCAATAAGTGGAACGAACGTGGTGAAACGATGTAAATGTCAAGAATAATGGGATACAAATGCAAACTTTTTAAATCAGCAGAATTGTTCAACCTGAGGAAAAGTTTGCACGAATTTTGGCAAAATTTTGAAAACTTTTTTTGCTTGATAAATGTAATGACGTTGCTCTTGTCAGAACCCCTGTTCCGCATCCATCCATTCCCCAACGGACGGACAAACTCAACCTTCTGGAAGGAGAGGCAGTAGAAGTAGCAGCAAAAAGGAGAATTCATCCGCATTGCATTCCACATGACGTCATTGTTGGGAGGATTGACGTCACAACTGTCGTGTCGTGTGGAAGAACTCTTGAACAAATGGAGAGCAAAGGAAGCACGGGGCATCCAATCTGCTAAACTTTCACCCTAATTTACTCCAAGAAATTGTTAACTAGTTCAAAATTTATGTAATTTTCAGGACTTTTGAGTTATATGGGAATCATGCAAGCACCCCCTTTTTCCTCGGCTTCCTGTTCCACAACATGGGAGAAAGAGCAACCACTACGAAATACTAGTCACTAGACAATTCTCGCTGCTGCTGCTGCTGAACTGACTCAA